GCCCTTCATTGTCGAATCCGATGCCTCCGACTTTGCCCTTGGCGCCGTCCTCCTTCAACCCGATGACACAGATCAACTCCACCCCGTGGCCTTTCACTCCCGCAAATTTACTCCTGAGGAAATCAACTATGAGATCTACGACAAGGAACTCCTGGCTATCCAAGACTCATTTGCTCAATGGCGACACCACCTCATTGGTGCCCGCCACAAGGTCATCGTTTACTGTGACCACAAGAACCTCCAGTACTTCATGACTACCCGTACCCTCAACCGCCGCCAATCCCGCTGGTCAATCTTCTTTGCTGATTTCGACTTTGTCATCACATACCGCCCTGGTACCCAGCAACACCAAGCTGACGCCCTCTCTCGTCGCTCTGAATACGAGCTAAGGGAGGGGGAAGAAGCATTCCGCTCCCAGGAAACCACGATCCTCACCCCTGACCATCTCCGCCTGGCCGCCACTTATCTGACCCCACTGGACTCCTCGCTCCTTGACCAAATCAAAGCTGCCCTGGCATCCGATGTGTTTGCGCAAACCATCCGGCGACAGCTTAGGGCCCCCATTGCCCAGCAATCTCAAGAAGACCAAGAACGGATAAAGCGATTCTCCGAGGAAAATGGGGTTCTGCTGTACGACAACCTTGTCTACGTCCCCACCAACAAGCTCCGTGCTGAGATCTGCCGGGACATGCATGACACGCGTTTGGCAGGACACTACGGCATGTCAAAGACCCTGGAGCTCATCTCACGCAACTACTGGTGGCCTAGCCAATGGCGTTTTGTCAAGTCCTACATCAGGTCCTGCGACGTATGTGCTCAAGCCAAGACCAGCAGACACAAGCCCTACGGTCTCCTCCAACCCCTGCAGGTCCCTGACCGCCCCTGGGGGTCAATTTCCATGGACTTCATCACGGATCTACCCGCCAGTGATGGGGTTGATTCTGTGCTCGTTGTCATCTGCCGGTTCACCAAGATGGCGCACTTTGTACCGTGCAGGAAAACTGCCACCGCTGAGTCAACTGCGGATCTCATCTGGCACCATGTCATCCGGCTCCATGGACTCCCCGACGATATTGTATCTGACCGTGGCCCACAGTTCAACTCCCACTTCTGGAAACGTCTCTTCGCTCTCCTGGGAACCAAGGTCAACCTCTCATCGGCGTTCCATCCCCAGAGCGATGGACAAACCGAGCGGACCAATCAGATTCTTGAGCAATACCTTCGCTGCTTTTGCCACTATCAACAAGATAACTGGAAGGAACTCTTGTCTTCTGCTGAGTTCTCTTACAATAACACCATCGCCACCCAGACAACCCCCTTCTACGCCAACTATGGGTTCCATCCTCAATTCAGTCTGGCTTCCGCCACCACAACCGAATCCCTTGATCCTGCAGCCGAAGCTCGTGCCAACCATCTCAAGGAAATCCATGAACAGCTTGCCACTGAGCTCAAGGAGGCCCAAGGACGCATGAAGCGCTTTGCCGATGCTAAGAGGGCACCTGGCCCAGACATGAAACCCGGGGACAGTGTCTGGCTCTTACAACGGAATCTCAAGACTCTCCGACCTTCCCAGAAACTTGATCACCTTAAGATTGGCCCCTTCACAATCACGGAGAAGATCAACTCGGTCACATATCGCCTCAAGCTTCCCCCATCCTACAAAATTCACAACGTCTTCCATGTGTCCCTTCTTGAACCACGTTTCACCATTCCGGAGCGAACTGAGCCAGAACCCACCCCACCAGAAGAAGTCGAAGGACAGGAGGAATGGATTGTGGAAGACATTCTTGACTCCCGTATTTGACGCACGCACCTTCAGTACCTCATCAAGTGGCAGGGTTGGCCAAGCTCGGAGAACACATGGGAGCCAGTGGAACACCTTGCCCGATGTCAAGAGCTTGTTGCCCAATTCCACCAAAAGTACCCCGACAAACCCCGACCAAAGCCTGCCAACATCAAAACAACATCCGGACGCCGTGGCTAAAGGAGGGGGTGATGTTATGGACGACGCGTCCATACCATGCGCTTACCTCATGACAGCATCCCAACAGTCAGTCAATGTCAATTCCCTGTCAAAACCTGACATCTGCCAAACCTCGCAGCCGCACGCAGCCGCGCTACCCCACACCTGCCACTGCCTTCATTTCTCCACGCAGCCGCACGTAGCCACACCTCCCAACACTCGGCGCTTACAAACCCTTCTCCATACTTCCCCACGTACCCGCCCACAGCCTCAGCGTAGCCACCCCATCCCCAGTCTTCTGTTTCTATGCTTCCCCACCCTTGGCGCTTCTCTTGGCTTCCCTCTCATTCCGTACCCTTCTGCTTCCCCACGCTTCCCCAGCCTTCCCAGAAAAACATAAATAGCCGCCTCCCCTGAGCTCCCCACGTCCTGATCCCCCAGCAGATCAACACCAGTTCTTCCTAGTCTTGTTCTAGTTCTTGTTTCGGTCTGAATACCATTACCTGTCAACAACCTGCACCACAAGTCGCCTCTATTTCCATCGGCTCCACCCATTCATAACAGCTGGGCTATATCGCTCCTCAAACGCAGGTGCATGAGAGGATCCTTCAATTTGCGGCCACGCTCCGCATTGATTTCCCCCCCCTGGGTAGCGTCCCCAGACCCCCCACAAGTATCACCCTGCCCATCTGTGACAGTTGCCGACCCTTCGTCGGGCATATGCCAGCCATCCCTCCATCTCCGCTTGATGATATGCCAGTTGTGGAGAATGATGCATGTCAATACACCCCGCTTGATGAGTGATTCTTTGTGCAGCTTGACGGGCTGGCGGAGGAACTCCCAACGCTGTCGCAAAACGCCAAAGGCCCTCTCCACGTCTTTCCGCTGGGACTCCTGCCTCTGGGTGAAAAGCTTCTCCACATCCGACAATGGTTGGGTCAATGACTTGACAAAGCACGTCTCATCAGGGTATATGCCATCGGCAAGGTAATACCCTTCATGATAAGTTTGTCCATTGACTTCGAATGACACTTGGGGCGCGGCACCCCGCAAAATGCGATGCCGCAGGGGAGAATGTTCCCACACGGTCTTGTCGTTGTTCGTCCCAGTCATTCCAAAGAACGCATGCGTGATATAAAGGTCGTGCTGGGCCACCGCTGAGAAAAAAAGGAGTAAGCAAGTGAGGAGAGGAAGGGACCCAGGGGAAAGTACCCCTGGGGAGGACGCCCACCCACCCTCGAGGATGATGGAGAAATTCCCGTCCTTGTCAAGTTACTGCCCCTGGTGAGCGGAAGGACAGTTTTTCCACACGACGTGCATGCAATCAATGCTTTCCAGCATGCCTGGCCACCCCGCATCCTCATTGAGTTTCAGTATGTCCTGGGTTTGGGAGACTGACGGCGGGGTGAGGTACACTGGGGTGTAAAGCTCGACCATAGCGTGGAGAAAGCGTACGACTGTGAGGCGGGCGGTTTCCCCTGAAACTCAAAGATACTGCGAGTTGGACTTGTATGCTCTCGCAGTGCGGAGGTACTCAAGTCCAATACAGATCTTCAATTGTGTGGAGATGCCCAGTTTCCCAAAGGCATCCCGCGTCTGACGGAAGTATGCATCATAGGCCGCAATAACATTGCACAGGGTGTCAAACATCTCAAAAGTGATGCCATACGTCCGAGTGAATTCAGCTTCTCCGCCAAGTGACAGCTCGTCCGGCCCAAAGTAGTCAGCGATGAACTGCAGGTGGCCGCGGAGCCACCCCCGGGTGCGGTTCCCCCTCTTCCCCGGCAATGAACCTTGCCGGCCATCACCAATAACCTTTGCAGCGTTCCTCGTCAAGTATGACTTAAAAAAAAGCTCGGCCACAGCGTCGTCCTCTTGTTCCCGTGTGTTGGCAGAGGGGAAACCCACCTCCATTGCGAACTGATCGAAAGACTTGTGGAGAAATGAGACTTGTGGAGAAATGTGGAGAAAGCCCTGGGGGGAAATCCCCCCGGGTACCTTTTTTATGGATGTGGAGGTGCCTTTTATGTCTACACTATGACCACGTTTTTGTACGCGGCGATGGGGTTGAGCGCGTTGCCAGTTGGACACGGTGGACATGCTTGGCCCTGAGGCTAAATTCTTGGGCTAAACACGAGGGCAAACAATTTTGCCCGGATTTCCGCCCGTCGCAACGGTGGAAGTGCCCTGATGCCTGCGGAGTTGAGTTTAGCGGTGTATGACATGGCTCGCTTGAGGGAACGGTAACTCGGCAGGCGCCATAGGCACGCGTGTTGGACGCGTTGCCCGACCTCCCAATGTTGGAACCAACGGTACGGTCATTGGGGAGAGCTAAAGGATGGCCGGAAAACGAGAACGATAGGATACCCGTGCTGTCTTCCGTAAAGCCATCTGTGATCCACGACCTTCCTCCCCGGCCCCTCTCGCTTCGCCGAGTAAAAGGGTATAGCTGCCAAAACAAGACGGGTTACACCTGAGGAACGGGCCGGATCTCGGGTCGGCATCCCCGGCAAGCGGCATTTCATCGTGAGCGGCTGGAAATACAACCGTTCTCACGAGCAACGCAGCGGTCCACCACTCTTCGATCAGGTGAAGTGCTATTTTGACAAGGTCTTCACTAAGCGCGGTTGTCGAACTTTCAAGGTGTGGCCGTCTCTGCCCGTGATCATAGACACATTGAGACTTTTTTTTCCTTATTTTGTAGATGCTCATATGAGCTCGGCGTCATCCAGAAGTGGCGCAATGCTGGGGACACCTGTGCCAGGGCCATGAGCAAGCCCACGGTAATCCAGCGAGTTTGAAAAAGAAGTATGGTTGCCAATAGTACTCGACCGAGTAGGTCCAATTTGTCAAACTAAACAGAACAGATCCCTGATGATTGACAACGTTGCAAAAGTTTGGAGGAGAGAACTGGAGTGCCGGTACGGAAAGTAACTGAAAGTGGCAGGAAATCCAGAGGAAATCCGTCACGATCATTCACTGATTTTGTGGATGAGGCGCGACTCAGCCTCAAAATTGACGGATTTTTGACAGAATAGGTTGGGATCTTCGCCAAAAGGCCTGAGAGGATTGGTTTTCAGCAGGGTTTACGGGATGGGAGGGCGGGCTTCCTTTTATAGGCGGCGGCCTAGATGGTGGAAGGGAAGTTGGTGGAAACAAACTCGGAGTGAGGATGATTCAGCTCGAGGCAACAAAAGGTTAGGGTATTTGTATGTGCGGTGTGTGTGTCACGGGTGCGGTGTTCAACTACTAGCAATAGTTTCGGATGGAACCCCGCCTCGCCTTCGGTAAGCACCGTCAAGTCCAGGAGCGCAGATATTGCCTTCGACGATGGACCTGTACGTTCCAGACTACAATTGACTACAGGTTTCTATGCAATAACTTAAAGTGTAATATGTGCAGATATAAACTATGTAGAAATGAGAGGGACATTACAACGAGGGCCCGTTCTTCAGTTAAAGAAGTACTTGCTATCCTTAACCTTCTCCAACTCGAAGTTCCCTCTCGCGGGCAACGGCGCAAACTCGAGGTCCACCCACGTATCTATCTTCTTGACCTTCCCATTCTTGATCATCTTCTTCCCTACTCCCGATTTGTACCCTTTGCTATCGCACCAAGCCTTCCATTCCTCTGCCTGCTCGCCGGAAAGGGTGACTTCCACCGGCAGCTTGTGGCCGCGGTATCTGTCCATGAATTCGGTCCGTAGCTGTTTCATCAAGTCGCCTGAATGCAGACGGACGAAGGATTCACGAAGGATCTCGTTCATCACGGGAACGTCGCAAGCATGTGTCCAATACGAATCGTGGACGGCGGCGAATGTAACGTTGACGCCATGACATGCAACGGCCGAGATCATCATGTGCGAGGCATCGAGGGAATGGATGTAGTTTGGAGGGAAGGCGGACGATTGCTTCATGGGGTTGACGGTGGCGGGCGAGTCCCAGTCGCGGATGTTAATGGTTTGCAGTAAGGTCTGGATGACTCGCATTTCGTAATTGCGGTATGGCTGTACGCATGGTAGACCAAGCGGGGTAGTCCAGATGACTGCACTCGTTTTCCCCACCTTGTGACTGACGTCTTTGACGTTGAGCGACGCGGGCTTTGCGGCCTCTACCGTGTCCGACGCGTTTCCGGTAGCCACTGACGGGGCCGTATCCATGCCCACCACAATCTCATCGGAGGCATCCTCGTTAAGATCTTCCATGAGAGCGCTGAGAAGGCCACCACTACTGATCTTCTCTTGCTCGTCCATCACATTTGTGGTAACCTCGTTGGCAACTGTGAATGCACTAGGTAGCACTCCCATCTTCGCAAGCTGCTCGGCCATTTCGAGCTGCATCGGAGGGATGTCCTTGGCGTTGGTAGACCGGGCTATCAGATTTGCCGAGGAGCTCAACCAGATTTGAATCGCTCGAGCACCTTCGAAGAGCGTTCCCATTGCTTCGAAGATTTTCTTGGCAATGTAGAGGGAGCACTTCAAGATCTGGTCGTCGGTCAGTTCATCCTCCTGGCTCGCCACGGCGGCATTCGATGCATTTGCCAAAGACGTCTCTCGTGATTTGTCGGCATGTCGAGCGGCCGCGCGGGCTTCCTTGAGGCGATTGCTGACCTGAGTCTTAGCGCCCATGAATGTCACACCGTACGTGTTTGTCATCACTGTTTGCTTAACCAGTTTGCGATTGATGCGATTTTTCATCAGGATGGCCTCCTCTACGCCTGTTTTGGAATCCTCGTCAACGTATGCCTGCACCCGATCGGCCACCCCCGTGTATATGTCGGAAGGTTTTTCACTTGGCGCCAAATTGACTTGTCTCGCGCCGAGTTCGTCTCCTCCAAGAGCGGCATAATGCTGCAGTCCATTGCATGTGCCATCTTGATGGATGGGCTGTCGTGAGAGATATTTCGTCGGATGGTCTGATCGTAGTGCGTTTGTCAAGTCCTGACAAGCAGCCAGTAATTGCCACGGGCTATCGAATTGCAGCCACCACCGAGTGCCTTCCAATGGCCGATCAGCCGACTCGTACACCTGTGCCAGATGCTTCATTGTAAATGCTTCACGGTCCTCGAACGAGGCCTTGTCCTGGCCCGCCAGAGAAGCGACCTGGATCTTCAGCCATCTTAATCCCTCTTCTCCTAGTGGTTTGCCTTCAGCAAACTGGAGAAGGCCACGACATAAATCGTTCCCGATATGTGTCAAATGCGCTGGGATCGGGTAGGCGCGACCTCGGAAGTCGACATTGTGTGGGAAGTAGAAATTTTCGTTTAGGAACTGCGATATAAGAAAATCGTCAGTACGAAAGGTTGTTGGCCTCATTTGAAGTCACGTCAACTTACTGCTCTTGCGATCTCCAGTTTGTAGTTGGCATCCGCTCGCATACTAAAGTTCGTAGCTAGCCGGTCATGTCGCTCCTTCACCTTCTTATAATACTCGTTCCTCAGTTTAGCGTCGTCGTCTATACCGGGTGGCTGCTCGACGGGAGGCTCCTCGATTGGCGATGGGAGGGACGTGACGTGCTGCTTCGAGTTCCACATTTTCACGGCAACGTCCAGCACAGCGTCGTTGATGCTCCATGGCACGGCACCGAGGATGTCCAGGGCTTTTTGAACTGGTGTCAGTTCACTGGCGTCGTCCGCAATTTGCAAATACGCTTTGGCCTCCCTGTCTCCTTGATACCGGACCATCTCAACACGATGTTGCAGGTATCCTCCCGTCTGCCAGGTCAACCATGGTTGCGGGGTCACCAGCATCGGTAGCAGGTAAGGTTCAACGTGGGTTGGGCTGCGGGCCAGGACTTGATACAGCTCAGGATGGTAGGAAATCATCCCTATCTTTTGTGTATTCGTGGTGTTCTGAATACTATGCGTGAAGGCAGGCACGTGTTCCTCTATTATTCGGTCGGGGTCTTCGGGGTCGGTTCGTTGCATGCGGAACATGGCCACTCGAAGAAAGCGCTCTACAAGAAAGCCTCCAATCTTGGCTTTAATGCCTTGCGGGAACGTCGGATTCCACACCGATTGTTCCAGGTTCCGTCGCTCCAGTAGCGCCATGACATTCCGAACGGTGTTAGACTGGAACTTTCCCTGGCCAGCAAGATTGTTCACAGCTTTCGTGAAGTTCAGCTTGTGCTTGGAACCCGTGACTTTCATTTTTTGAGCGTTGTATTCGTTCTCAACGGTGCTTCCGATGTGTATGGACAACCTCGCCATAGGCATGTGCCCTGCCATTATCCCTTTATCCATCTCCTGAGATGTGGGACTGCGAAGGAAAGCTGAGATGGTGATTTGCGAGAGCTTTTCCGCTGGAAGGAGCGACAAAAAGCGCCCCAGACCGTGCTCCTCTGCATCTTCGCGAAGCTGATTCATTGTCTCGATTTCCCGCTTCAATACAGGAACGAAGACGGAGTGCCATGATGCGACCATTTGCGAGGGAATAGCGGTCAGTCGCCGCACATCTTCCGGCATGATCTTCAGCCTTTCTTCGAAGTCCTGCACCGCGGCCGCTGCCGACCGCTCCTCCAACCATTGTTGCTGCTCGAACTTGTCCGCCCGACTTGCCACCTGCATCTCGTCCAGAGCTTTCCTCATTATGTTGACACCGAGAGCGTCTACCGACTTCAACGCTGGGAGAGGCTTGGTTGCGGCCTTCGTCGGAGCTTTGTCGGATACCAGGTCAAGAAGTATAGATGATCCTGTGGGTGATATCCGTTCATCCGACGGACCGTCGTCGTTCTCGAGGGCCGATAACAACAGCTGATCTGCCTTATGCGCAGCCGATGTTCCCAATCCTTCATTTCGAAGGAACGCTTCGAGCGACACTTTGTCTTCCTTTTCCTCGAATAAGTCTCCCAGCAGTAGCGTTTCCGCTGGTATTCCCGCACTCGACATGTCAGCCAGTAACGCTCGTACTCGCTCCGTGTTGCCGGCTTTAAGGAAGTGACGTATTAACAATCCGAAGGTGCGTTCGTTCGGTTTCAAGTTCAGCTCGTAGTTCAGTCGACGGTACCAGTCCATCGCTCGGTCAACTTTAGGTGGCGACGGGGTCGCCAGATATGCTTGGATGAATGCATTAAAAACCCGCACATCCACCATTTCGCGCATTTCCGTCAGATGGCGTTTTAACATGCGTTGGAAAATCGTTTCTGCCCCACCCAGGTCGCCAGACTCTAGAGCCGCGTACATTAGGATGAGACGCTCCTCGAGCACCGACCTTACCGGCGATCGCTGACCTGGATGCGAGTCCAGAGACTTTGATTGATCTGGCTTCCTATTGAATAAGACCCCGCTGAAATCATCCACTCCTGCGAACGCGTCGGATGGTGCACGCACGGGCGTCAACGGTCGATATGGCGCTTCCATAGTCTCTTCGCTGTGGTACTCATAAGTAGAAGCTGTTGCCGGCAACTTCCCACGGGAGTAAGACACTCGGGCGTTCGTTTTCACCGGGACCGGTCTCTGCATTTGTTGAAGTTCCGCAGAATATGCTCGCCGTTGTGTAGCGCGGGAGATCTGCATACGGCGGCGCACCCTGGTGGACACCCTCCGTACAGAGCCGAGGGCCATGTCTCGAAGTGATTTCTCCGGAAGGTGTGACATTGCAACGAATCACCTACAGAAGCTTCCAAGTTAGCTTCTTCTGAAGGTAAGTCCTCATAGACTATGACTCCTTTCTTACCGACGACAAGCAGAGAGCTGTGTGCTCATACAAAGAATTCGGGCTTTCGGCGCTCAAAGAATTCCATTGAGCCCAAGCGACGGAATAACCGGCTTTCAGGCCCGCCTGTAAATCGCCAGGTCCGGGAGTCTCAAAGGGTTCGACGTTGCCGTAGGACTTGAGAGCACGACTCGAGGGAACGCCGATGGGTGTCAACCGGGTGGAGGGGTTCTTGATACGTGGCCGGGATACTGATATTTGCAGCTTTTTTCGTCGTTTGCCCGGAAGTTGCGTGTGGGTGATTTGTCGTCGCGTCTCTTCTCGATGTCTCAGGCAAAACGCTGTTCACGTGACCCTAATAGAGACTTATAAATGCACAACGACAACTGCCCGGCTAAACGTAGAGAGTGGAAAACTTTCCCAACATATGAATACTTCAATCATCTTATCTTATTATGGTATGAATATCAAAAACCTGCAAAGAGATTGGGGAAAATATGTATGCAAGGACCGCTCACAAACGGTCGCTACAAGCTGCAACTGTGCCTAAGACGCCAGATTCTCAAAAATGACTAGCTTGCGCATCTAAGCTATTCTTCAAAGTCCTCAACGTGTGTCCGTTCTCAACGGAAATCATCAACCCCATCCCCATCGACTACATCAATCTCAATGTCAGTCTCCTCGCCCTCTTCCTCAGCCAATCGAACAATGACCGGTGTGGATGTCGGTATCGAAGTAGAAGGAGTCGAGGTTGGCACGCGCGCCCCTCTCTTCTTCCGCGCGATGGCTTTCGCTACGGCGATTGTTCCGGTACCGTGGGATTGCTTCTGCTTCTTCGCTGCTGGTTTGCGAGCCACTGCCGCCGTAGTCGCCTTCCTGCTCGCTTTGCCGTCCACCGCGCCTGCAACGCCGCGTGCTTTGGACCCGCGCTTGGGCTGCGAAACTGCTTGGGCAGGGACCGGTATCGGTTTCTGAGGCTTGATCTTGCCGCCTCCAACAGCCGGTGGATGCGATGAAGGAAATCGTTGGCCGCCAGCCATAGCGTTGAGATGGTCAAAATCGTCTTCTTGATCGAGATCGTCCGTGTCGTCGTAGGATGTCGCATAGGATGTCGCACCATGATCAGCCCCTTCAGCTTCATCCTCCGCAGTCTCATCTTGACTTCCATCATCCGTGAAGTCTTCCACGGTTGCCATATTGGACATGGCGAGCCCTTCAGTGGTGCTTGGCTTGCCGATCCCAACGGTATTCTGTTTCGCAAACTCTTGCACATGACTTTGTCCCACATGCAAGGGGAATCCGGCCGCCGCAGCCACCGCAGCCAGTGCTGCCGAGCTTGCAATGGGAAGCTTGCCGTCCCCTCCATCGATGTCATCCAGAGCAATGAGTGGGACGGATGGCTGGGTGAGCATGGGCAGAACACTCCCTAACCCTGGCGATGTAGACGTCGCCAACGTGGGTAACGCGGTCGTTGGAAGAGAGGCGTTGTTCATGGCTGGGCAGACCGATGTCGCTGTGCTGGTGGGCAATGGCGTATGAACGGTAGCGCTTCCCAGTAGAGAAGATGAGACTGGTAGGAAAGGATATGTGGACGCCAATGAAGCTGTTGAAACGCCAGACGATGCCAACAGAGGTAGGCCGGCCAGCGCGTTTATTTGCATGGAAACGGGATTTGGCGCCGCAAAGCCCGTGGAGCGGTTCGCGATAGCAGAGGCGGTCACCGCGGTTTGCTTCATCGCAGTCTCTGACGTGGGCATAGCAGCCGGCGCAGCCATCTTCGCGTTGGACGAAATCGACGTCAACATTAGGTTGTTCGATACCGCGCCATGTGAGTGGCCTGCGACCGAGGTACTTCCGGTGGTGGGTACAGGTTTAGCGGAGCTGACGACCGGCATAGGAGTGACCGTTGACCCTCTCAATGGCGATGCGAATGCAGTGGATGGTTTGAGAGAAGACTGAGCAAGGCCAGTGGTGGTGGTGGCAGACAGGCTGCTTGATGGCAATTTGTACGGTGATGACGCAAGTCGTGACGTGAGAGAAGCGGCGAAGGACGTGGGTAATGGAGAGCCCAGTGGCCCACTGAACGTTGTGCCGACAGATGGACGTAAGGCCGACGTTACCGGATTCGATGCGGCCGAGGGCTTGGTACCAATAGACGAAGACGGGGTACCAGCGGACGTCGGCGTCCATCCAGACGCAAAGCCACTCTTGAAAACGTTGGTGAATGCTTCCAAAATGCTGGCGGGGCTTGGGATAGAGGCTGGTGCAACGGTTGCTAAAGCGGATGCGGCTGACGTTCCTGTGGGCGCCTGATTCAGTGGCGAGTTAACCGTCCCATTAGTATGCGCTGGAGCTCCAAGCGACGGAGCGGCACCTGTCCCAACAGTGTTTGTCAAAGGTCTCGCTGCGTATTTGTTGTTATGTGCGTTGAGTTGATTGAGAGCGGCAAGAGCGTTTGCTAAGGTAGCGGCCGTTAACGGCCCGCTGCCTCCCAACTTGGTCAGTGCAGCAATCGCAGCTTGCGTGGCGGCAATGGTAGCGGGTGATGGAGTGAGGGTCGTCGTGCTCGGCGCGCTAGTGGTAGAGACTCCATGAGTATGAAGCGGACTGGCGGTCGTGGCCGCCGTGAATGGCGGGCGCAGTAAGCTCGACGTTGCGGAACTTGGCACAGCCGCTTTGGCTCCTGATGAGCTCACAGCATTGGGGCCTGAAGTTACGGGCAACGCCGTGCTGACAGCAGCAGGATGTGACCGAGCAGACGGTCGACTAGCGGTGGGAGCAGACGATTGCTTTGAGCGTGCATTGGCAGTCGCCTTCCCCACCGTCGATGTCGCACTTGCCACCGCTCCCCGTCCCTGTGTATCCTTCCAAGCCAGCGGGTTCACCATCGTCGTAGGACCCGCCGTCAAGACCTCCATCTTATCTACTGCAACGCCGTCGTCCATCCTCATGCCTACTCCCCCAACCGTGATATCCTCAAACACCACCTCGGGCTCCACAACGCCAAAAGAGGATTTCGTCACAGAGTTGCTCAAAAACCCACCAAGCTTCTGCTGCAAGCAAAAGGTCCTTGCCAAATGCCGGGCACGCGCCAATGGAATCCACGTCCCGTAGAGCCCACTTCCTTTTTTCCGACACCGTGCGCGTCCCCGTTCAAGCGAGAGAACAATGCTGCGCTCTCTATCCGTCACCATTCCACCGGCATGCAGGAGAAGTGTGGCGTTGACCATGTTGTTGTCAACGCGACGGAGGACGGGAACGGGCACATTTTCGGTTTTGTTGGGATCGGAAGTTGAGGCCTGAGGTGTCGCCGTCGATTCGTTTGAAGAGGGCGGGATAGTCGAAGATTGTTCGTGTCTCATTGCTTCAGCAGGTGTGGCCGTATACTGTCCATCGGCGCCTTTCAACAGCCACAGGACATAGCAAAGGATCCCGTCTACATCGGTCATGTAGATGGGAACACTTCCGGCAACCGGCTCCACGGGGCTCACAAGGTTCAGCTTTGCTGGGTCGAGCGTAACGGGGGGTGCATGGCTGACCGCATGGGCAACTCCTTGCTGAGTCGCCGGCTTCCCTACCGCCTGGGAGTCGCCAGCCGGGTCGTCTCCACTATGATTTCCGTCGCCGTCCCCATCATGACTCCAATCCCCAGTGAGTCCGGGTTGCTCAAACACGAGAAAATCCTCATCTTCGTGCGCAATCTCTTCTTCAATGGTGATGGCGGCAGCGGGAACAGTCTCGCTTACACTGCTGATACTGCGGGCTGCCGGAGCCATCTTCACTTCGACAGCTAGGTGGGGTGTTTGTGCCGGGGAAGGCAAGCACAGGGAGGAACGATTGGGTGTGGCTGGTACGGATAATGTTGCGCCGGGTGGGGGTCCGGAGTTCAGATGCTCTCGAGACAGCGGCCCGCTCGCTGACGCCCCGCTCGCTGACGCCTCCGGATGCATTGTGAGAAAGTCGTCCAAGCGATCCATGATCCCGAGATGATTTGCGAGTTTCCTTGCTTCCTGTGTTGGAATCCTACAAAGAACTGAATATGAGCAGTTGCCACGCCCATCCTAACCATATTGTGAAAAACCTACCACACACCGCCACACTGGACAGGCACCCCACTATCGCCTTCGGCATCGCTAACTTTCAGTACGACAAATGTATGGCCGACAGAGTCGTTATTCCGCAAATGTATCCTCACAGCGACGCTCTCATCAACTGTGCGAGGCGCTGCGGTCCTGCTTCGTACTTCTTCCAAAAACGCGTTCCACACAAACGCTTCTGATTGCTCCCGATCCGCTTTCGCTCCATTCTCCGCTTTCACAACAAGGAGGTCCGTGGTGTCAAGGGCTTCCACAGGAGCCGACCAGACCTTCAGCCCCGCGTCCAATAAGCCCTGAGCCCGGACAAAGCCTTCAAGCCGGAATGATACTTTTTGCCCATTCGCTCCCTCAGCAGAGTTCGTCGTGCTGGACGCGCGCCCTGAAGGGTCCACGGGCAGTGTCCGAATGTTCAACTCGAATGAGGGCGCGCTCGTGATTTTGCTGACATGTATTGGAACAGGGTGATGCTCCACTTTCTCATGCACCTCAAGTGTGTCGCCATTGCATCGATAGGAGGCGACGGCTAGAGATCCTGGGCCAGCATATGGTGCAATCGACACCCGGCGGTCGCGTTTGGTCGGGGGGGATGCGGGCGGGGATGGTGCATAGGGCGGGATGATCTGTTGTTCAAACGGAATGGACATGGATGCAAGTTCTTCAGGGTTCGTTGCAGATTGCTTCGTACAAGGTAACGCGGTTCCCGTTCTCTGCCCTGTTTCGGCTGTTGACGTGTTGGAGTCGGCCTGCTGTCTTAGCGGCTGCGACGGCGGTCTCGCAGCCGACCGATCTCGAGCGTCGCGCGCGTCATCTGAATCGTCATCAGTCCATGTCTTGGATTCCGGGACCCCATCCCGACATCCTGTTTCTACTCTTCTCCGTTTCGCCGACTTTCCCGTAGCCATCTGCGAGTCAACCACCCGTTTTCGTGACGTATCCATGAACCCACTACCCCATCCCCCGTTCAGATTGGCACCCTCTCCGAGAAGGAAATCCAACTCGCTGACGCTGACGTTCTCGGGATGATGAAATCCATGGTATAGACTGAATTCATTGTTCTCGAATAATGACTTGGCAGTGACATTGCCGCGATAGACTTCCGTAGGCGCATTATCCTTGTGCGGGCTTGTGTATTCTACGTCAAGCTCGCCTAAGACGCCCAACGCGCTACCAAACAAAGGCGGTGGAAGCAGATTTGGTGATTCGAACCCGAGAACTGCGGGCAGGGACATGTACACTTTGGACGGCGGCGTATTCGTACTCAGGGAGGAAACATGTGGTGCCGTGATAGGATGTAAGACAAAATCGTCACTGGTCGTACGTTGCCGGGTCCCCGTGAACTCCGTGTGTACATCCGCGTCTCGTGGATTCTCAGCCGAGAATACAGCGGTGACTTCCAACATGTCTTCGGAGAAATCCTGTGGTCCCTCCTCAACGTCCATTCCCTGCGGCTCAATGTCATCGTTCGAAGCCGCTTCGTGAATCGTTGGCGAGCTGGAGGAAGCAAACATTGGACTTGATGGAGTCGATGGTAACTCGCCCTGGTCTTGCCCCGGCGTGATATTCTCCGGCGAGACGGAACGTGCCAAGGCTGAGTGTGACCGTGCAGATTGGCGATCGAGAGTAGCTGAATCGTCCTCATCTTCCGAAACAGCGGGACTTGTCGGAAGGCTGTGACCACTGATGCTTGCACTCCGAGACCTCTTCATGAAAGCCTGTGGTTCATTGGGTGGTGAGTATGGACTTCGTCGGCGTTTCACTCGCGTTGACACTCGTAATGGCGCAACGGGCGTTCGATGTGAATGACGTTCGGACTCGAAAAGGTGGTTCTCCTCTGCTCCAGATGCCGAGTTCCGGGATGGTAATAGCGAGTTGGTTGGGGATAATAATGGGGAGGAACCGCCGGAGAAGGCATTCCGCGTTGATCCTGCCGTGTTGCCGTCCATGCCGTCTTCCGAGTCTGACGAGCCCCGATCTTCCCCCGGGTTCACTGGCACCCCAGCTTGATCGACAAAGTAGACAAGCCTTCTCGAGTTTTTCTCGTTGAGCGAGCGCCTCCCGAGTAAGGGAGACCTATTTAGCTCTGTCGCTCGTTTGTAGTGCTGGGATATCCTCGACGAGACTGTAGCGTACGGTGTCGCTCCCCTAGAAACCGGGAGAAGAACGTGAGCAAGCTTTAAAAAGGTGCTAACAAAGGGAGAAAAGACGTTTCGCGACGTCTTCCTCTCACATACCCCAGAGTAGTAAGCTTATGCTTCAAAATGAGGTTGCTCAATTCCTTCGGTGTACAAGGCCGGTTGCTCTGTCGCAGCAACGCCTTCACGATAGCAAGAAAGACTTTATCCCTGGCATCGTCAGGGTGGAGCTCGACACGAAAGTGCTGATAAGTTAATGTGGTTGTCCGGCCATTCGCCACTGGCTTGAGGAGAAAACCAGTCCGGGTGCCGTTGGTCTCGGTGGAGGGCATGGTGGTGCTTATCGGACTCGGCTTTTCGAGCTTGTGAAAGTCTACCATACCCGCATCTATAAACCGAAGGAGAGACGATACCATGCAAGAGACGGCCTGAGTTTCGTAGGTCTCGCATTTACCCAGGAATGGTCCGAAAGCACGAACGTGAACTTTCCCACAGTTGTTCTGTACCCACCTCACCCCTCCTTTTTCTCACTTGCTACCTCAACTCTTCTTGAGCCCCCTACTGCTGTTCCGAGCGGGCGAAAGTAGCTAAAGACCTTGGAGCAAGCACCCTTGGGAGCAAGCGAGCAATGCGAGAAGATAGGGGGAAAGCGTTCTTCCGGGGGTGGGAAAGGCTGCATATGTAGGAAGGCTGAGCGCAAATGGGGGATTGTTCCCCCCTGTTGTGCGCGCGTTGACGGGCGATCAAAGCAATAAGAGCCACAACCATCACATACCCACCAGTTACCCACAAAGTGAGGATCGTGGTCGTGAAACCATCTAATAAATAGTCAGCCATATATCCTTGCATCCTTTAAGGCATTTGAGTTGGTCGTCTGCGAGAGGAAAGGTCTCATTTTTTTTCTTTTATTTATTCGTTTTACATTGCGTGGGAGTGGTGAGGTGATATATGGTGATATATGGTGATGTTCTCTGAAGGGAGTGCGTTTCTATCTATAACTATAACTTGAGTATGCATGAGGTAAGGTATAGGGGAATAACTGTCTTCCTGAGGAAAAAAAGGGATCAATAATATATACGCCGGACCGCTCCGCTCATACGCTGCCGACTTTGGCACCATGAATCCGCGCCAACTTTGTCTGCCGGTACCCCTTCGGTTCAGCGATGTTAACGACAAGCGTCTTTCGGCCAAACTCCGCGCCATGCATCTCCTGCAACGCGCGAGCAGCCTGCTCGGCAGTGTCAAACGAGACAAATCCAAAACCTCTGCTTGTCCCATCCGGCTCGTCTCTCATCACACGGGCGGAGATGACGCGGCCGAATTTGCGGAACATGTTGAAGAGCTCGACATTGTCGACGGAGTCCTCGAGGTTCTTGACGTACAGGTTCCTGGCGTCCAGGGTACGGGAAATAGGTGGGACAGGAGCGTTCTTGGCTTCCCACGCCTTTTTCCAGTCCACAGTTGTGTTGGCTTCGACGGTCCCGCTTGCGGATGCAGGGAACGGGTAGCCCGGGCTAGATTCAGGGCTGGCCGACGGAGTCCATGGTGCGGCGTTGGGGTTGGGAGTTTTCTTCTCAACTAGGGTGGTCACAGATGGTGACCCTGGTGGGGTAAGCGGTCCCCATTGGTTTGCTTGTGCGACGGTCTTGATGGATGAGGTCGATACGTGACTGCTGGACGCCTGAGGTGCGTCGGTGGTGTCTGCAGAACTTTGTTGGCCGAAGAGAGTGGAGGACGGGCGCACGGATGGGTACTGGTAGGGGCTCTTCTTTTCGTATTTCCATGCGAGGGCCCTGCAGCGTTCATTCCGTTCATTATGAGCTTGCTGAGACAGCAGAGGACGTCCGAATCACCATGTCACACTTACAAAGTCTTTCCGCGAACAGACGTCCCGTTCATCTGCGCCAAACACCTCTCCGCATCATCCTGTTTCTCAAATTGCAGCAGCGCAAACGCCTCAGTTCCGCACCGATCAAGCATGACTTTGCATGACATGATCGGACCAAAACCAACGACTTGGTCGTAGAAGGCCAGGGAATTGATTCCGAGTGGGATATGTTTCGCGACTATCGGTTTGGCCCCGGAGGTGGTCGAAAAATTCATGTTCCCGTCTTTGAACGTTAAATGAGCTTTGCTGCCCAGAAACATGCTTCCGTTGACCGTTGCGTAGAAGCGAAGGGCTATTGAAAAGTATAGTGAGTCTCCACTGCGCTGCCCACTGAGTCAAGAGCCAAGACGACAGTACCGTCGGGAAGGTGGCGAAAGATAATAGTCCCCAACGGAGCGCCCGTCTGAGCGTCCCGTTCGATCCGAACTTTAGCTTCCATCCCGATATTATTCAAGACGTTCGCAATGTCCAGTTCGTTGATGGTCGGCAACAGACCGCTCACATACAGGGCAGGGTACGAACTCAGCAAGTCTAAGGAGGTATGGGTTTGGTCGGAGGTCAACATGACGACGAGGTACCTCCCTGGGGCAGCAGCGGGAGAGGGAAAATGAGGTCCTTTAAGGAAAGAGCGGAAGGTGGTTGTTGCTTGCTGTACCCTGTGGGAGGACCTCGTCGAGACGTTTGGAATGACCGAAGCGTCGAAGGGGGTTTCCCAACCGATCCGGTCTATATGAGTGGGCCTTGCCGTGGCTTTGGGTGTGACCACTGGCCGTGCTTTGAACGCGTCGCCGCCGCGCATCCAATCAAGCCACGTTCGGCTCACCTTTCTCATCAGATTTCTAGGCAGGACACATCAGACGTCCATATTTATCACGGAGCCCATACCAGGTTATGCGAAAAGGTGCGCTCATATTTAAGTTCAACAGGGCCATAAAAGGTGAGATACTTCACTTTCACGGGGCGATAACCCTCCCTACTACTCCATACCCAGCTCCCTCAAAATAAACCCACACTCCACCGCCGCTCTCTCCAACCTGCCCCCCATCGTACCCACAACATGCCCCTGATCATCCACCACCCTCAACAGCAGCCTCGGCCCTCCCTTCCCCTCCACCCCCGGTCCATAAACCCCCGGCCACCCCCTCCTCAACCTACTCACCCACTTCAACCCCTGCCAAGCCGGCACCCTCATATCCTCACTCGACACCGTCACCAACATACTCGTCCTGCACCCCGCGGAGACACTTGAGAGGTTGTCGTAGGGCGCGTAGGAGGAGATGTAGTCGAATGCGGCGGGGGAAGTGAGGGGGTCGCCCCATTCGCTGCGTTCGGCGGGTGCGAGCGGAGAGGTGGCGGAGAGCATGGAGGAGAGGGGGTCGAGGAAGGGGACGTGCAGGATGAGGCAGCGGAAAAGGTCCGGTCTTTGATGCCAGGCGCTTGCTGGGGTTGCGGATCAGTGTGTGAGATGCGATGGATGTCTTGTGGGTGGGGCTTCAAACTGCGACATACCGACGAGCATACCCCCAGCACTCGTCCCATGCCCAACCACCAACCCCGGCTCAGTCCACCTCTCCCTCACGAGATATTCGACAACATCGACAAGATCGTTCATCGAATTCCGCTTGTTCATCAGTCGGCCCATGTCATACCACGCAGCTCCCATCTCGCTGCCGCCCCTACAGGTGGAATCAATATTGTGATCAACTCCGGTCCCTGGGATGCATTTTAGGGCTCGCGGGCATTTACCTGACATGCGCCAAGGCAATGATGAATCCGCGTCGGATTAGGGGCATGGCTTCGAGGCGGAAATGGGGCTCGAGGCTGACTCCTGTTATATCCCGGCGTCAATGGAGAGTGTTGTGCAGTACTCGGGAGAGATGAGAATGTCGTACCGTAAGCACCGTACGCGCGGATGACTACTGGGTTCCTGTGTATCAAGATTGTCAGGAGGAGGAGGGTAGGGGATACTCTGCCAGCGAACCAGATATGACCCTTACCTGCCATCCCGTATCCTCGACTTTGGCCGTAAGAGTGTGACGGGAACCTGCACACCGTCCCTAGCACTCACGAACACACGTTCGACTACAAAATCGTCCGGGTTGATGCCTGGACACGGGATATCAGCACTTCTGCCCCAGTGCTGATGCGTCGACACATGACTTTTTGCATTACCTTCAGGTCTCTGACATGACAGTGTCCTGAGCGTCCTCAGCTCCATGTCATATTCATACACTTTATCCATCACTAACGGCGAGGAGGATTTAAAGCGGACCTTGGCGGTGTCATACGTCTACACAAAAACAAAAATCCCATCAGCGAAACTTTCCCCCCGCACACACATCCATCGCACCACCGCGCCATACCAAGTTCGTCCCAGGAGCAGCACTCGCGATCTTCTCCTCCGTCTCGACAACCACCGTCTCACGAGTTCTAAAGTCAAAACACGTCAACTCAGCCACGCCGCGTTCCTTGCCGTACAAGAACGCAAAGTCGCGGAAGAGCTCGATGCCTTCGATTGTGCTGTCGGAGTCGGTTGTGATGATGGGTTGGACGGCGGACCATGTGGCTTTTGAGAGGGTGGAGGGGAGGGCGCCGAGGGACATTGTTGGGGATTGATGGTTGTGGAGGAGGTAGAAAGAGTCCTAGTTCGGAATGCGGTATATGTAAGGGGCAGCGAAAGAGAGCGGGTGGCGAGTTTTGCTCACCCCATGGTGATCCACGAAGTAGTTGGTGCCTGTTGATCTAGGGATGACCACAACGGGTGTTGCAGATATCTCAGACCCACTCGGATCGGACCGGATAGCCAATGCTTCAGAAGTCTCGGTGGAATTACAATTGATGAATACATATCTCTACGTACAAGGGATGATCAATAGGTATGCTAATCCCGAGATGCTAACGAGTCTTCAAAGCTAGAAGCTACCTTATCCCTACTGCTAGATACATCCAAAAAAAACGCTTCGTCCGCCTCCTCGTACATCAACGCATCCTCTGTTCCATGATCGAGTACAGAATGTTTGTACACCTGACGGAATGCTCGTCAGCCCACCCCCATGGATCGCACGAGTCCAGCCTGGCCCTCGCGGGATTATGCACCTTTAAGGCCCGCAGTGTTGGATCCAGTCGGGTATAGTATATGGATCTATGACCATCTGCCCACACAAAGTTGAAAACGCCGGTCACGCGGTGGGCCTATTCCGGAAATGGTCATGTCCGACATCGACGATATATTCCAGGGTGCAATAAGGTGTTGCATACCATCACCCGCGGTGTTCCGTCGGCCTCGGATCGGCCACCAAGGGGCAGAATATGTAAAGTTCCTTGCTCATCGGTTGCTTTGGCCGTAAGATATGCCAAGACTTTGTGATCATCCGATATCGAGCATTTTGTGACATTGTTGGGCACATATCTGGTGTCCAAAAGGATTTCCTAGCGAGATTGTCGTTTCATTTTTCGTTACTCCAAGGATTTCCGACTGGGATTACTGCTAAACATACATCGACGCCGACATCCACATGCTTTCGCATATGTATCACTCCTCCGTCCACCCATTTCGTCCAGTATAGCCACGGTCCGATTTGATCGGGCAGGTCGCGAGGACTGGCGGATGGGATTGTCCGATGGAGCTCCTGTGGATGTCAAACTTCAACGCCAATGAACCGATCGATGGTATTCTAAGGAGGAGGTCCTGTAATTCAACCTTAGCGAGACGCCGGGTCAAGCTCCCTGCCTTTCGTAGTTGATGCTCTGCGTATCTGTATTCCATGATTTCCACGGAAACTTCAATAACCGGGCGCACTTCCAACCAAACGAGGTTCAATCGGACCTGCTTTCGGCAAAGTATGCGGCCTTTGTTCTCTGTCGACCGGGAAACAGCTCCAGCCCGCGTTATTATTTAACCACGCGGCGACGAGTGTGCGAACCTCATCCCGCGCGTCTTCCATGTATTTGAACGGATCGGTCCTACTCCGCCCATGATGCATCGAGGTATGGTTCTCCACCTGAGGCCAAGGGACGTCGGCTGGAGGTTCTCTGCTGGCGACGCGACGAAAGGTCATTAGAATCGCAATCGTCGTTTGTTGAGATTGCCTCGCGTTTCCGAACTTCATACCTCAGGCGCCGGCCAAAACGACCGAAAAAAGAGCTTGCCAGACGAATGCCTCTATGGTTGGGCAGCACCCGGGCATAGCGCAGGGTATGCCTCATAACAGAGTCGTATATACTGTACTGAATAGAAAAAAAAAAGGGGGGTGTGCGAAAAGGAAAGGAAAGCGCGAGGGTTGAGCGAAACGCAAAACCCAGAGCCATCAAATTGGCGGGCAGCCAATGGGGGCGCGTCTTCCGAGTGTTGCTGCCACAATCCACATGGTAGCGGGAGGAGCCCAGCATTTCATTTGTGACTCTGGATGGTGCGCGGGTCGATCTCTTGGTGCGAATCACAGAGACTTAGAGTCACTAAACGAACGCAAGTGAGGCTGCACTTTTGACATCATCGATCGCGAGATGCGACTCATGCGAGTCCCTCCCATAATAATGGGGGTCGATTGTCAGGAAGGCGAATCGGGGGCTTCACTTTCCATCGGGCCCTCCGCTTTTTTCTCACGGCCTTCCCCCCCCGTCTCTTGTGTGTGGACTGTATGGACTGCGGGCCTCCACTGTCCTCCCTCCACTCATACAGTATCCCCTCCCTCAAAGGCAAACGCCGCTTGGAGACGCAGACCCTGTCACTCGCTGCGGTCATACGAAAGGCGTCATTTGGGCCCGAGAATTCCGCAACCCTTGCGAAGTGCGGTAGTCGGGGGGACAACACAAGCTTGGGGTTACACTGGCACTCGTCGAACCGGCGGACTTAACTGTTAGAGGGGGTGTAAGGCTGGCTCTCCTCTCAGACGACAGCACGTTCTCCATTCCCAGGCATAAGACATAAGCTATGGCCTCCAATCACAACAACAACAACAACAACGAGGACCCGACTGACGCCATCGAGCCCCACTCGGCTAGTTCCTCAACTTCCTCCATACCCATACCCGTCAGAAAAGCTACCCCGGAAACGGAGGACGACCACCTAACGGGCGAACTCTCACCAACCAGTACTACTCCGGTGTTGCCGTCAGGCTCGACAAGACTCACTAGAGCGAACTCTTTTGGCAAAGGAAGGCTCAGTGTTCCTCTCTCCAGAAGCTACTATTCTAGCTCCAATCCGAGGTCTGACGAGTGTGAGTAACGGGAGTCGCGAGCGACGTGAGCGATGGTTGTTGTCTGCAACGAGCGAAGCGAGGCGCAGGGATGGTTCGGTGTGGGAGAACGATAGGTCGACGCGAACGCCTTCTGGTGTGCGATGGGAGCCGGAGCGGAGCGAGTTCCTTGCGCCAAAGGCGCAATACTCCCCTCATCGACCCAGCCCAAACTTCTCGTCGCGAGCGGAGCGAGCAGGGTGTCATTCAACCATCCAACCGTCGGACCATCACACGCGAATCCTAACCAGTTGTCTCAATTTCTTGTTGACAGCATTCAATGAAGATTCGTTAACGCGCTCAGCAGCTGAAAACCGTCAGCAAACCCTTTCATGGACATACCGCGAACTACAACTGGCATCAAGCAAGCCGTCGCTTGAACCCCAGTCCTACAAGGCGGATACGCGATCGTATCGTGTAGGCACGGCTTCCCCGCTGGGGAAAGGCTCGATGAGTAGCGAGGAACGGGCAGACGATATGAAGCGTCCATCAAAAGGGAAGAGGACGGCGTCATTTGATGCCGCTCTGAGTCCGAGCAAACAGGACGCTTTTGCACGTCAGCGACAGGTTTCGCAGCTCAGCGCTCTTCGCCAACTTGCACTCTCGGTAGAGGAGCAAACAATTGCTGATGAACATGAAGGCGAGGGTGAGGACCCATCCTCCGAATCGACACCGCTTTTGCAGGAAAACGCAGAAAGGGGCGCACAAAACCAGAAATGGCTTGCTGGTAGGCAACAACGCAAAGCGTCGCCAAGTCGCCACGCCCCACGAGAGTACGACCACGATGTCGAGGCATTACCGAGGCACATCGCTGCGGATCGCGGCTCCCGGCGCCACACCTTGACAGGACGATTCGGCGATTATAGCTCGAAGTACCACGCTCATCTGAAAGCTTTCCGGCCGAGAGACATTGTGAACTACATTGGCTTTGTGTTTGCTACTATGCCCGCGGTCGTTTTGGCTTTAATTCTCAATCTGCTGGATGCGGTATGTTCATCACTCGAGAGGACCCTGGATATACCTGGATCGTTTCTCATCTCTACGCTTCAACAGATGTCCTATGGTATCATCATTTTCCCTAGCGCGGATGGTTATATACCCGACACTGCTATTCAAAGTGGCATTTCCATGTTTTTGGCGAGGTGAGGAAGCGCCTGTTATCGAATCTTCCCGGGAGGCACCTAGTGACGCGATCCATTCACTCTTTTAGTACGGTCATCTCCCAACTTGTATATACCCTTGGTGGATCTGCTTTCAAAGGAGCCGTTGGAAGCATGGTAAGTTTGATTTAGGCGCGGTCACATTCAGCCACGAAAGGCCACACATCTCACGGTTTTCAATTCTGAAGATGATTGAAGTCATGCCCTTCTTGCATATAATATGCCGGACAATCCATTCCGAAATGCGTGGTTCAAGCAATCATGCCATCCTGGCGACCATCATGGTCGCGTACGCCATGAGTACGCTGCTAACAGGAACCGTATTCCTCCTCCTCGGAATCTTCAAACTCGGAAACCTTGTCCAGTTCTTCCCACGTCACATTCTCGTGGGTTGCATCGGAGGCATCGGTTTCTTCCTGCTGTTAACAGGTGTCGAAGTCACCACGGGCATCACCACCGCATACACCATGCAGTACCTGCACGACATCTTCCAACTCTCCTCGTTCAAGCTTTGGGGCGCATCCCTGGCACTGGCCATCTCCCTCAAGTTGATGCAACGGCGTATCCACCACGCCCTCTTCGTCCCCATCTTCTACGTGTGCATCCCGATCTTATTCTACATCATCGTCTTCATCGGCCGTTTCTCCATCGAGGATGTCCGGTCCGCGGGATGGCTTATCAGTCTCCCTGAGGGCCCACCGGCTAAGTTCTACGAGTTCTGGACCTACTTTGATTTTGGGGTCGTGGATTGGGGCGCTATCCCGGCCACTATACCGACGCAACTCGCGCTGGCTTTTTTTGGGATCCTGCATGTTCCGATCAACGTGCCAGCGCTGGCCGTGTCGACCCACCAAGACGTTGACCTGAACCGCGAACTCATCGGCCATGGAGTCAGTAACCTCGTCTCCGGTCTCTTCGGAACGACTCAGAACTACCTCGTTTACTCCAACTCGATCCTATACATCCGATCCGGCGGCAATTCCGTAACCGGCGGCCTCCTCCTCGCCCTAGGCACAGGCGCGGTCTGGATGGCAGGCGGGAAAGTGATCGGCTTTGTCCCCACCATCGTCGTCGGCTCCCTCATCTTCCACCTCGGCATCGACCTCCTCAAAGAGAGCGTCTGGGACACGTGGAACACCGGCATCCACATGCTCGAATACATGACCATCCTCTCGATCGTGTCCATCATGGGCATCGTCGGGTTCACTGAGGGTATCCTCGCGGGAGTCATCATGGCGTGTATCTTCTTTGTCGTGATGTACGCGCGCCGGTCGGTGATTCGGTCTACGTACAGTGGCGCGCAGCTTCGGTCGACTGTGCATCGTCTTTATAGGCAGCAAGCGTTCTTGGACCAGGTCGGCGACCAGATCCAGATCATTAAATTGCAAGGGTTCATCTTCTTTGGAACCATCAACCAGCTCGACGTTCATATCGCGTCGTCCATCGCGTCGCACTCCCAACTTCGCTTCATCGTCCTCGACTTTTCCCTCATCTACGGAATCGACTATTCGGCCCTGGAATCCTTCCACCGTATCAAGCGCGTGCTGCGTGAGAAGAACATCCATCTTGTGTTTGCCGGGCTGTCGACGGTGGGGAGGACGTTGGCGCAGAGTGGGTTGTTTGAGGAGGAGGAGGTTGAGGACGATCTTATTAGCGATTTTCTGATACATGCGTTTGAGGATGTCAATGAGGCGCTGGAGTGGTGCGAGAATCAGTTGCTTGTTACGTATTATCATACGATGACGAGGAAGGATCTTGTACCCGCTGGTGTTGGCATGGGTATGTTCAGTGACGTCTTTTCAATACAAGATAACCCATTTGCAGCGGAATACTGATATCCTCCTGCCTTCGTATTCATAGAAATCCCAACAAGACACGACATCGCAGACCGCGTCAACCAACGCAAAGACACAGGCCTCGGCGTAACCCCCCGCCAAGTCGCCGTCCTCAACGCCGCCTCCCTAGTCTTCAAAGAAACCCCCATAACCCCACCCCCCGCCGCCGAGCACCTCGGCATCGTCGCCGCGCTCCTCCAAGCCTCGTCCGAACCGCAAGACTTTGACGCAGAACTGCTCCGGTTCGTCGAATCACGGTTCGAGCGCGTCGAGGCGGTGAAACATACGGTGTTTTGGATACCCGGTGAGGAGTCGAGGGATATCTACCTTGTGCAGCAGGGGGAGCTTGTGCTTTCGATACCTGACAATGAGAGTAGGACGGATAAGTTGAAGGTTGTGGAGACGTTGTTGCCTGGTGCGATGGTAAGTGGGGCATTGTACCGCGTGATTCTCATTCAACACCGATGCGATATTTCGTATGCGCATACTCACACCCGCCTTTTTTTTTTCTTGCAGGTCGGCGAGCTCGAACTCTTCTCCAACCGCCCACACACCTGCCGCCTCGTCGCCGCAACCGACGTGGTCGTGTGGCGGCTAACGAAGCAGGCGTGCGATGAAATGACGGCTGAGAATCCCAAACTCATGATCAAATTCATCACCCAGCACGCGCTCGGCTTCGATGCGACGCGGATGAGCAACTTCCTGGCCCATTGGGCGCAGTTGAAGTGATGGGTTCTTGCATGTAGAATAGGCTCAGTAATCATTAGTAATATAGCATTTTGCGTGTGGAAGGGTTTGGAATGCGGCGTACTGCATGGGAGAGTTCCCGCCCGTAACTCTCGGAGTGTATCAAATGTTTCATATGACATAAACGCAAAAAATCAGATACATTGGATCGGGGTGAGGTATGATTCGCTAATGTTGATCCCCCCCGATGCTCTAAGTAGATAGGTACAAACTCATAAACAATGATCGACTTGCTTTTCCACACCGAGCTATTAGTATTGGCAGCATGGCTGGTGGTAGCGAGGTTGGTGACGTCGGCTGTTGTTGGTAGACAGCGGGCAAGTGTTCAAATAATCCGCATGCACTTGGGGAAGGCCCGTCAAACGTTTGTGGGAAAGTCGACAACTAGTCCTCACAGGTACAAGCTTCCGGCGAAGACGATATCGCGCTTGATCTTGTTGATGCCTGCAATATGCAACAGTCAGTCTCAGAAACACCAAGAACACACGGGGAAGGGAAAAGGAAACAGCTGGTCCATACCTTCCGCAAACTTGTTCTCCAGATCCGTGTTTCCAATGCTCTTAGCAGCAGCAACCATCTGCCTCAACAGCTCCTCCAGCCTCCTCATAGAGCGAATGATACTGCCCTCAAAGACATCGGTCATTTTGCAAATCTGGCTGAACTTGGCTCCTTGGCACCACGCGTAAGTCACGTCCATCAGCTCCGGGCGGAACGACTGGATGTACTCTTCTTCGTCGATGGTCAGTTTCGATTCCTGCGACACGCGCGCGATTCGGCGGGCGGATTCTTGCATCTGGCGGAGCGGCACGGCTAGGTCTTCGCGGACTTTTGCGGGAGTGTCGCTCACCTGAGGAATACCAGTGATCAGATAAATTGCGCAAGACGACTTTAGCTTGAGTGATGAAGGCTTACCTTCTCACCGAAAGTGAAGCAGCTCAACAAACTGACGACCTGGTCGACCGTCAGATCGTTGAAAGCACCGTTGAAGATCATTTCCGTAAGCAGCAGCTCGTCTCCCGCCGAGATCTCACAAGCGACCCGTCCTTTCATCTCAATGACGTCCGCGTCGGTGGTGTACCCGAGTCGTCGTAATACTCGTCGTCTACACTTCAATTCTTCCAACTGGACGACGCTTTCTGTTGCCGAAATCTGTTTCTTCATCTCCTTCATCTTGGAGTTGAGCTCAACTTTGGTTTCGAACAGGTCGTAGAGGTCGTTGAGTTCGGTGGAGCCATGAAGTGGGTTTGAGAAGAGCTTCTGCTCTAAGAGGGCGACTCGCTATTTAAAGGGTAAGGCAATCAGTACCATTGCAACCTTTCTCCACGCTAGTCGAAGGTACCTTCAAGAGCTTCTTGAAACCATCGTCCACGATTCTCATATCCTCAACGGGGTCCAAGTGCGGTACTCCATCAGGGAAGCGCTTTCCGACTTCCCTCAAGGTCTTCCACATCTGATTCCTGTAGTCGGCGCTCTTCACGTCCTTGGTCTGAACGTGCACTCGGACACTGCTCCATCCGGCGATCGAGCTCAAAGTACATGGTATCACGAGCATGTCGCCCTTCTCAACGTCTGGTGGACAGGGCTTCGGCGTTTTGCTTCCGTTCTCCGTTCCCGGTGCACAGCGCATCAAGACATCGACGACGATCTTTGGTGCTTCCGGGGCTGCCGTCATGTCGTTGCCCTTGATCTTTGGTACAATCTTGGTGAAGTTGATGACTATACCCCAGCCAAAATCGTACTCCTTGTCCTCTGACTCCGATGGCGCCTTTATCCGAATATGAACGAGACGGCCGGCTTGCGCAAACGCTAAGCAATGCTGAGGGTGGTTCACAACGTCGCGGATATCACGATTGTACTGATCAAGTTGTTGTCGGATCTGGTAGTATTCCTGAATCTGCTGCTCTTGCGGGATGACCAACTGATCGATACGCCGTTCGTAAATAGACAGTTCTGCACGCAGAAACGGGTTGTTAACTTAAATCACATGGAAAATCTCATGCAAGGGGAATGTACGAACCTTTCTTGAGTTCTGGTATTTTCGAGTGCGCTTGGAACTGAATGAAACTCCTTTCCAGAATGAATTCCGGGCTGATTCCTTCGATGCGAAGCAGGTTCAGAATCATCGAGTACGTCAGATGGAACGCGGAGTTGAGTGGGTCAGCGACTCCTTTCAACATCGTCTTGGCAACATCGGGTTCCATTTTCTCATCAATCATAAGAATGACGATTCCACGATCATCCAGACCACGACGTCCGGCACGTCCACTCATTTGAATGTACTCTCCTCCGCCGAGGTAACGTTGTTCCTTCCCATCCCACTTTCGTACTGCAGTGAACACGACGGTTTTGGCAGGCATGTTCAGACCGATGGAGAACGTCTCTGTCGCGAACAAGACCTTCAGCAAACCCTCTTGGAAGAGAATCTCGATCACTTCCTTCAAGATGGGCAGCAGTCCAGAGTGATGGATTCCGATTCCACGTCTAAGCAGCGGCAATAGATGCTCAATCTGCGGCAGGCCGCGATCGTCTTCGCTCAGCGATGCGATGGCATTATTGAAAATGGCGTCCACCATTGCTTTCTCCTCGGTGCTCGTGAGGTCCAGTTTGGACAGAATCAATGCGTTCCCCTCACATTCACGCTTTGAGAAGGAGAAAACGATGACCGGGTGATAGTTTTTCGTCATGATCATCTTGATGATCTTGTACAAGTCGGTTGTTCCTGTATGGACTGTGTTAGGTCTCCGAATCTGCAAAGGCTGTGGGTTGGCTTACGTACCTGCTGTACTTTGATCGACTTTCCCGCCTCTACCCCCACCTCTGCCGCCCCTTCCTCCTCTGCCACCTCTCCCTCCTCGTCCTCCACCTCTCCCACCATCACTTTTCTCTCCGCCTAATTGGGCAATCGCACGCTGGAAGTTATCCTCTCGGAAGACGCTCTTTTCATCGACCGCCAAATGGATACCATCGCCGCCAGCAGGGAACAAATAGTGCTGCAATGGCGTTGGTCGGAAATCAGTGTAGACAACGTGGCATGGCTGCTTGTGCATTTTGCAGATCCATTCGGCGAATTGCATGGCGTTCGGAATTGTCGCGGACAGGAAGACGAAGTGAACTTTATCGGGTATCAGAATGATTGTTTCCTCCCACACGACACCACGAACTGGTTTGGGTAAGTTGGAGCATTAGACAAATGAATTTGTAGGGAAGGACGGCAATGCAAACCCACCTTTGTCTCTCATGTAATGCACTTCGTCGAAAATGATCCACGCAACTTCTCTGATGATCTCACTTCCCCGATACAGCATGGATCGCAGAATCTCAGTCGTCATGACGAGACATCCGGCCTGCGGATTGATGGTGACATCACCGGTCATCAACCCAACATCCCCAAACTCCTGCAGCAACTCTCTGTACTTTTGATTTGATAAAGCCTATACACAATGTTCGTGTGAGTTACATATCGCGAGAGCCTCGATGTGCAGATTGAGTGCATACCTTGATGGGACTCGTGTAGATAACACGCTGCTTCCTCTTCAGACTATGTGCGATGGCATACTCGGCCACGACTGTTTTACCAGCACTGGTATGGGCAGCAACCAGTACGGATTCTTCTCTCTGAATACTGTGGATAGCAGTTCGTTGGAAAGGATCGAGGACAAACGGATACACTCTGGCGGGCTCTTCGGGCGGTACATGTTGCGATATTGGCACGTATGGAAAGTTTGGTGGAAGTGCAACCTGATGCCTGACTTGATGCTTGATGACGAGGGGCTTTCCTTTTTCGTCGACCGGCTTCCCGTCACCATTCACTGCACTTGCATCGCTAGCGGCGGCCTGTCCGTCAGCCGAGGATTTCGCATCCAGATCACCTGCTAATGCGTCGGGCCCAAGCTCGAATTGGTGGTCAACGCTCTCTTCCACGTCATCCGCTACGACCGGCATCTCCGCATCCATCTGCATTGACCGGAAATCCGCCGTTTTCACTTTCTTCTCTGCGGACCCTTCAACCTTCTGTCCATGGGTCGGTTCTTTGCGTTTCAACGATATGCTGGGCACAATGACGGGTGCATCTTCTCCTTCTTCGTCGAACAGGTCGAACACACTGTCGGCATCACCGTTGAACATTCTGAAGATACTATGATGCGGCTAAGGGACCTTTATTGGTGATCAACAGTAAGGAGCCAGGCGAGGACTGGGCTTTTGGTACAAGTCGATAGCAGGGTTTCCTCTAACTGACGGCGATTCTTCCACGGCTGTACGGCGGTGAAAGCGACTTCAACCAAAAATGCCTCCACTATCAAGAACTTCGGCGGAATCACTCAAGCGAGAGGGCACATATCCGCTGCATAGACTGTTTGCCGACTGGTCGCAGGTCTTGCACCAAAACCCGACCTCAGGCTCCACGCCAGGAACCAAGGGCTCCCAAGGGTGCAACCTTGCAGATTTGAATTTATCACAGTCACGTGAACTCGCTCGCTGCCCAGCCTCCCCGCTCCACTTGCTAAAGGCTTGCCTTTGCACAGCGATGTCGACGTCTGTTGTGCAGGAATCACTGCGCTAAGCACCTCTCATCCGCTAGACGCTCACTGCACCACCGAACTCGAACATGCGCTTTGCTGTATCTGATATCAAAAGCGGACGATTTGAATAGGGTTGCGACTCTTGCTAGTGTCTCCGGACCCTTGCATCGGCTGCGTCGCCTCTCCGACTGACTTGTGGTAATTTTGGCAGCTGGAAAGCGATTATCCTGAAGGCCTTCCTGCAGGCTTTCCTCTAGCTGATCCGGATAAGTAAACCTGCTCTTACTGAACGACACTTCTTTGGCGTCATGTCAAGCAACCCGTTGTTGGCGACGTTGAGCGCGCCAGCCCCAGCACTGTCTTCCAGCTGTGAGTTGCCATGATAGGCTAGGCTATGTATCCTTTTGAAGGGTTTTCTTTGGCTATCATGTCTCACGGATATTCTTTCTATCCTGATGTCATGAATAGTCTCTGCAAAGAGGCCTGCATCGGCTTTTGGGAAGGGTCTTCTCGACCCACCCAATAAGAGGCGCAAAGAGGCGCCGCCTACGATTTCTCCCTCCACCTCGAATCTCGAGAACCAGAATGGCAAGGCGAATACTCCAGCTGCGAATGGGGCGAATGGGAAGCCAAGTATCAGGCTGAAGCTGCCAGCTGCGCCGCAGCCAGTCCAGCAACCAAAGATGGAGGAGATGGATGTTGACCCAGAAGCACATATCAAAGAGCACTACACCGATCCGTCCCGTTTCGCCCGGTTCACAGTGGAGGCGGTGGATACAGACCAAGCAGACAAATCGGTCATTAAGGATGTGGTGTCCAACCGTTTCTCTTCAGATTATACATTCTTGGAACAAAAGCCCGATCACAAGCACAGGCCCCTCTGGGTTTGCGATGACGGGCGTATTATCCTTGAAGCGTTCTCGCCTTTAGCTGTGCAGGCGCAAGACTTTTTGATTACCATTGCCGAACCTGTCAGTCGACCGTCGCGAATCCATGAATTCAAACTCACAGCGTACTCATTATACGCGGCGGTATCCGTGGGGATGGAAACAGATACCATTCTGGCCGTTCTGGAGCGATTCTCGAAAGTCACACTCCCCGAAAGAGTTCGTAAATTCATCAAAGAATGCACCATGGCCTACGGGAAAGCGAAGCTGGTTCTGAAAGACAACAGGTATGCAGTGTGGCTGCCGAAATGGTATCATATGCTGTCTTAGCTAAACAGTAGACCGTAGATACTTCATTGAGTCAACCTATCCCGATGTCTTGAAACGACTTCTCACGAATCCTGACATTGCCAAAGCTCGTGTCATCCGTCCAGACGATGACAGCATCCCATCGTTTCTCGCTAAACCAAATGGCTCGGCCATAAATGCGAAAGGAACGGACGTGTCCAAAGCAGACGAAGGAGAATTGGGAGCCGTCATCACCCTCGATTCTATGGACGATGGGGAGGATGATTTGGAGGACGAGTCGGAGTTTGTTCACTCTTTCGAAATCTCGAAGCCGCTCGTTGAGGAAGTGAAAAAGCACTGCATTGGAATGGATTACCCTTTGATGGAGGAATACGATTTCAGACATGACGCTCTTACCCCCAATCTCGATATGGATCTGAGCCCAAGAACATCTATCCGTGATTACCAGGAGAAGAGTCTGAGCAAGATGTTCGGAGGAGGTGGCGGTCGTGCCAGATCTGGGATCATTGTTCTACCAACGGGTGCGGGAAAGACTCTGGTTGGGATCACTGCTGCATGTACGGTCAAGAAGAGCACATTGGTTCTTTGCACCAACGCGCTGTCGGTTGACCAATGGACGAAGGAGTTCCGGAATTGGACCAGTCTAAAGGAAGGGCAAATAGCAAAGTTCACCTCCGACGAAAAGCACAAATTCGTCGGCGATGCCGGAATCGTAGTGTCGACATACACCATGATCTCGCACTCCGGAGAGCGATCCGCTGCTACCGCGCGAATGATTGAGTGGATCAACTCAGTCGAATGGGGCCTGATGATTCTTGACGAGGTGCACGTCGTACCTGCGAACGTTTTCCGACGAGTTTTGACTACGGTGTCCGCTCATACAAAGCTGGGACTGACGGCGACGCTGGTGAGAGAGGATGATAAGATCGAGGATCTGAATTTCCTCATTGGGCCTAAGCTATTCGAGGCGAATTGGATGGATCTTGCTAACCGGGGACACATTGCTAAAGTCGAGGTGCATATGGAATTGTTGGGACTTCCAAGAATGATTCGTAGACTCACGAGGTGTGTTCCCTAGGCGACCGAAGTCTGGTGCGGAATGACGTCCGAATTCTACCAGGAGTACATGGATAGCAAACATGCAGGGTGAGTATATAATGCAGCTTCCCAACCTGACAACGGATGACTGATTCGGCGATATGTAGGAAACGACGACTCTTGACCGTCATGAATCCTAGCAAATATCAAGCTTGCGAGTACCTCATCAAGGCTCGCGAAGCTGCTGGTGATAAGATCATCGTGTTTTCCGATAACGTGTTCGCTCTGGCTGTAAATATGAACTTCGACCCTCGGTTTCACACGCCCAAACTCACTAACCTTCTTTTTGTGCAGTACTACGCTCGAAGAATGCGAAAGCCATTCATCTACGGCAAAACCTCCAACGCCGAGCGTTCCATCGTTCTCAAAAAGTTCCGCGCGTCCGGACCAGGTTCCTTCCAGACGGTCTTCTTATCAAAAGTCGGAGACACCTCCTTGGATCTGCCCGAAGCGACCTGCTTGATCCAGATCTCGTCCATGTTTGGAAGTCGTAGGCAGGAAGCACAGCGTATGGGTCGTATCTTGCGAGCGAAGCGGAGGAATGAGGAGGGGTTCAAAAGCCGATTTTATACCCTGGTCACGAAGGATACGGAGGAGGTGCAGTTTAGCGCGAAGAGGAAGACGTTTTTGATTGATCAGGGTTATGAGTACAAGGTACGCTTGGACTGCTCCTACCGTGCACTAGGGAATAGGATACTCACTGCCCAATCTTTATCTCTATAGATCATCCCAAGTCTCGAGCAACTCATCCCCGCCTCAGAGCGGCCAAAACTCTACCTGTACGCACGAAGCGAACAAGAAGAACTATTGCAAATCCTCAAACAAACAGACGTCAACCCGGACGGCGAGTCACTCAATCCTGACGCGGACAACAGCGACGATGATTATACGAACAACCCGGCGAACATTGCCAAGCCGCGGTTCGGAGCAAGCAAGGCCCTCCAGAAGAAGAAAGAGGAGGAAGCGAGGAAGGCTGCCAGGTTGAAGAGGGAGCAGGCCAAGGCGAAGGAGAGTCGGACACATAGCTTGTTCAAAGCCTGGAACTCTGGGAAGTGAGGTTGTCAAGACGAATTCCCCTTGGTATCTCGAGATCCACGATTACGATTAGATAGTCATTTATTTTTGGAAGTTCCTAGCAGCTTTACGCTGACACTGATCTGTCACTCCATACGAGTTTCAACTCCCACTGGCATGTTATGAATCATCATGTACATAACTCCTAAAAGCATTGTGCTATCAATGACATAGAATTCAAAAAACACCACCCAATCTGTCACATCGGTAAAGACAGCAGACACTCCGAGAAGACCCCAGTTCCGCCGGGACTCTTTTCCATATTATGTCCTTACGCCCTTCCTTCTATCTACGCTGGTACTTCGAGTCCCGGCGGTCTCGGGACGGGGACCTGGAAGGGCTTCTGTACCGTTTTCCATTCCTCTCACTGCTCCTCTCCCGCCTCGACGATCTCTCATAACCCCGATCATCCGACCCGCGTCTACGGTCATCCCGGCTACGCTCATCATACCGCCTCGCATCCCTATCTCTGTCGCCGCGTACGTCGTCCTTATCCTTGTCCCCGCGTCTGTCGTCCCGATCACGGCTGCGGCTACGTTTGCGGGTAGGGCTGCGTCGGCGATCGCCGCCATAGCGGTCATCTCTGCTGTCCCGCCGAACTTCGGGGCGACGCCGGTCGATATCATCATCACTTCTGCGGCCGCCGTTCCTGGCCACCGGGGAACGGCTCCTGCGGCTGGAGGCACGTTTCCTCCGATCGACTTCTCGGTCAGACTCCGAGTCGGACGATGAAGTGCTACCGTCCGAATCTGAATCACTGTCCGAATCTGAATCAGATGACGAGTCCGAGTCCGAGTCGGAACTAGTGCTGCTATCGCTGTCCGATTCCACTTCCTGTTGCTGAGCCATGATGAGCTTTGGCGCGTTCTTCAAGAACTCACGAAGATCTTCGGTGAGGCCTCCCAACCCGATACTAGTGAAGTAATTGATGGCGAAACGCGTGTTGCGCGGGTTGTCTTTCGGGAACAGCCCTTCGAAGACGCCACGTGTAACATATCCCCCAGGGGTATTGACTTGAACGATCATGCTGGGGTCCCGGAGGCGATTATCCAGGTTCTTCAAACCGAACGCTTCAACGAGATCTTGGAAGAGGATTTTGATGAAGATACGCGACGAAGAGGTGGTATCGGCCTCGGTGAGACGGACCAGGGCGAACACTTCCCAGGTCAATGCGTCCGACGAGAGCAGGTGAGCGAAGAACTTCGCAATGTTACGCAGACGGTTAGTTTCGTAACGGTGAATGGTCTTATATGTTTCCTCGAAGGATGCGCAGAAAGCGTCCGACCATCCTTTGTTGATACGGCAGAACCGTTCGCCCAGCAGACCGTAGAAATTGACGTACGTCCGTTCCTGCCCGCAACATTCAGTGATCATGTTCACCAGTTCCGACTCCTGTCCTGGCTGAATCTTCAGCCTCATCAGCTTGTGAGCACACTCCTCGAAGTTCAAACTCGACATGATCGTGAGGTAGATCGCTCGGCGCAAGTTGATGAGATTGGTGTTCGTCTCGTCCTGAATCTGCAATCGTTCCTGTGCTTTTTGAATGGCTTCCGACTCTTCTTCCGACTCCTCTCCGGACTCCTCCTCACTCCCATCGTCATCGCTTTCATCGTCTGATCCTTCGCCTAAAATCTCTTTCTTCATTTGTTGATAGATTTCTTCACTCCCGAGGTAATTGGTGTCGAACTTGAAAACGTTCAGCCCCTCCTCGACGTTCAGATCTTCGTCGCTCAACCCAACCATATGTGTCATTTGGTCATCCTCATCAACAAGATCCAGCTCCTCTGGAACAGCGAGATTGTCCTTGAACTTGTCCTTACGAACTTGGAAGAGCACTTCAACCATGTACTGTGTTCGCTTATCGATAGTGCTCTCGTGCAGGATCGCTCGGAACCGGTCGAAGACACCATTGCAAGCCTTCGGCGACACATCCGTGAGGTATGCTCCACAGTCTCGCATGAAGCCGACGGCCACTTCGACGGAATCATCGGTTGGTCGTTCCAACAAGAGTGTCAGTAGCTGCAATGCCACGATCTCGTGTGCAACTTTTTGGTTGACCAGGTGGGCCAGAAACTTTGCGTTCGCCAAACAGACAGCTTTGTCGCTACGTTTGTATGCACGTCGGAATTGCTGTACCAGTCTGGTGAGGAGAAGCTCGCCGATCTGAGGGAACTTGGTGTTGATGACAGCAATCAATGCTGCATACACCGGCGTGAATGGCAGGGAAGCCGCCTGCGCCTTCATGATGCTTCGACATAATAACCCACGACCCCGTACGAGATTCTCTCCAAACAATTCTACCACGATATTCTTGATGTTTGCTGTGTTGACTTTGTTGATAAGACCGTTGAGAGACTTCTTCAGAGCTTCCCATGTCATGCGCTGATATTCTGGGCTGCTTTTGTCCGTTATAGCCGCCTGCATCGCACGCAGCCGTGCTGGAGGAATGTATGCCCCTCCTGCTCTTCCTATTATGTTGTCTGGCTTTGTAATTCGACTTTCCTTTACTTGTCCGGCGGACCCATTGGTATTCGTGACTGCGGCGAGCGGGACCCTCGCACCATCTTGATCTTCATGGGTCGCCTGGGAATTTGACTCTGACTCTGGCGAGGGTGACCGAGACGAAGGCCGAGGACCGGGCGAGGCGGAGGGACTGCGTGAAGGAGACTTGGAGCCCCTTTCGCTCTTAGCTGAGCCCTCTGGCGATCGCCCGCGGCGTGGTGGGCTTGCCGACGGCGATACTGAACTTGCCATCGCGAAAATCGAAAGCGAGAAGTTGGAAACAACGACACTATAGCGTTTGAGCGAGCGACTTCAGGTCCGGGAGCGACGAGGTGTAAATAGTTCAGGTAGTCTACGTGTTGTGCTGTGCCCGACTGGGTACTTTGCTGATCTGCGTTGCCTTGAATGCGAGAGGGAAAGTAGAGCGCCAGTGCCCCCTCGACAATTGAACCGAGCGAGTCGTCACGTGACTGTCGCTTATGCACACGCTCGCTCTCAGGCTCTCTTTGCTTTCGCCTGTTTTTGTAGGCTGCATGCGAGACCCAGAACATACTTTACACTTAGCGGCATCGACAAAGCACTTACTGCGTCCCTCCTGCGAAAGGAAGCTGAGCTTATATCGTTTTTCTGTCTCACGGAGCAGGCCCCCGACCGGATTCGAAACTAGTGGTTGACGTTTGCTTTCCCTGGCCGTCGGAAGCCATTATTTGTCACAGACCCACCCGTGGAGGTGAACTCTTAGCAAGCCGCCTATCACAACCTCTAACAGCCGCCTGAAATCCCTTCGCCAAAAAAACGCAAACAAAATGGCGCGGAAAAAGGGTGGAAGGAACAAGCTCAACCGGCCGAACACCGCGTCCAGAGACGAAATGGAGGACTACAAAGTCGGAGCGTCGGCTGACTTGGAAAACGTCGGTCTCGACTCGGAGGATGAGTTTCATCAACAGCGGGAGTCTATCTCCATAGATGATGCCAAGTTGTACCAAAGGCGCAGGCGCGGACAAGACGAGGACGAGGAGGCCGACGAAGACGTTTTCGGGTTGGGGCTGGAAGACTCTGACGATGAGGACGACGAGGATGACGAGGATGAGGCTCTGCTAAAAAAGCTGCAGATGGGGCTGAAAGGCGGTGCAGGTCTTGACAGCGACGATGACGTCTATGGTCAGGAGGAAGATGAAGCTGAAGCAGCCGGGAAGACATCGAAGAAGAAGGGTGCAAATGCCGATGAAATGGATGAAAGGGCATGGGGAAAGTCGAGGAAGATGTACTATGACGCGAACGATGCCACGGATGAGGAGGACGCGAAAGCTGAAGAGGAGGAAGCGCTTCGATTGCAACGTCTCCGAGTGAGCCAGATCCGGGAAGAGGATTTTTTGGATGACTTTGGCGACAGCTTTGCGAAGCGAGTCGCAGGCGAGACTACAACCGAAGCGACACCCGTTACAATGGACGAGGACGATTTAGATCATCTTGGACTATCCTCATCTTTCCCGCTCAACCTACTTCCTTCCGCATTGACGGAAGTGGAGGTCGTTTCGAAGGACACTAGCTCCTTGCCTCAGGAGGAGCTTGTAAAGATTGCGGAAGCTAGCATTCCTGACATTGTCGGCTTGCTTGCTGAATTCCGGGAACGATGGGAGGAGTGTCGGGAGGTCGTCGGGCCAACCCTGAAATGGAGCTGCAAGCCAGAAGACGGCTCCATCAAATCGGGTATTGCTCGGGCAAGAGAGTACTTGGAACTTAAATACCGTGAGTACCTCGGAGTATGTTGGTCGTCCGCGTCTCGCATCGCATGCACTTATCATGTATATATCTGTAGGTCTGTTGGTGACATATTCCACAAATGTGGCCTTCTACCTGTCATTGCGCGCAAACCCGCCAGCTGGTGTCAACGTCCAATCTCACCCAGTTGTCCAATCACTTGTTCAGTTACGTGAGTTACTGGCGAATCTCGAAGCCCGGGTCGAAGGAAAGGTGGATTCCGACGATGATGAATCGAGTGAAGCTGACAGCGATGAAGACGCCGCAGCGCAAAGGAAGAGGAGAAAGAGGAGGAGAAAGGAGAAGAGGCGCTTGCGTCGGGGCATGCCAGATTTGCAGGCCGACATCGAGGCTCTGATAAGCGGTGAGGTTGAGGTCGAGGAGCTCGAAGTGGAAGAGCAGGAAGATGCGGACGAAGGGCTCGAAGAGGAGTCCGAGGAATTCGAAGCACCAAAAACGAAGCTAGCGAAGAAGACGAAGGCTGCACGGGAGGTGAATGGAAAGAAGTCGGCGAAGCAGTACGAGATACCGGAGGAATCCTACGTGCCAATCGGAAAGGACAAGAAGAAGAAGTCTGTCCAGGCTAAAGCCGCTCGTCAGATCGCCAACGACTTTGGGGAATCGAATGAGATTGATGAACTGGACATCGATGACAAGATCGCGCGGAAGAGGAGTCTCAAGTTCCATGTGACAAAAGTTGACCAGGTAAGCCGGTTCTTCAATCAATGCGAGTGGAGAAGTACATGTGCTGAGCAGTGTCTTTCAAATAGGCTATCACGGCACGGCAAAAGCGGCTTGCCCGCAACGCCGGAGGTGACGATGACATCCCCTACCGCGACAAATTCGGCAAGCTCATCATCCCCGGAGCGGAACAGCCCGAAACGAAAGCCGTCCAACCGTCACGCCTGTTTGGAAAGCCAGACGACCTAGAGAACAACTCGGACAACGAGGGTGCCGACATGGGCGGCCTCGATAACGGCTTCGGTGAGATGCCTGACTTTGACAAGGAAGCGCCGGCAAAGGGACGCAAGCGCACTCGCGGCGATGACGCCGAGGAAGATGATGCGCCAGAAGTGGATGAAGACGCTCTTGCATATTACGAGAACATCGCATCTGCGAAGAAACAGAAGAAGAGTGAGAAGGACGACAGGATACGGGTCGAGAAGGAAGTCGCAGCCGAAATGTCGAGGTGTGTTCCTTTTGACTCACCCAGTAGTATTTGGCCAATGTCTCATATCTTACTTCCAAAATCAATCAACAGATTCGACGATCCCGATGCCATGGAAGAAACCCGCAAACGACCTGCGACCTACAAGATCCTCTCCAACAAGGGTCTCACCCCCTACCGTCCGAAAGAAGCGCGCAACCCACGTGTCAAGAAGCGCATGCGTTTCGAGCAAGCACAAAAGAAACTCAAGAGTTTCAAGAGAGTGGTGCAGAAGGAGAGCAAGGCTGGCTATGCGGGAGAAACGACCGGTATCAAGAAGGATTTGGCCAGGAGTGTGCGGTTCGCCAAATGAGTGGGGATGGGAGTATGGTAACCTGCTAGGTTCTTATTCATTGTTCATATACATAGACGCATCATCTGTAGCTATCATTCGAGATATTTATATATTTACAACACAATCAGAACCCCAGCATCCACTACGAACCTTCTCTGATGAAATACCATCCCTTCATCAGAAGTCACGTTCCCCCAATCTGCACGTCCCCACTCCCCGCCGCCTCCGCAGGAAACCACCCATAAAGCGTCAAATCCACACAAAACAAGCCCATCTCATCCGCCTCAACTACCACGCCCTCTTGCCTCAACAACTGGGCCTGCCGCGCGCAGTTATCGAGTGGGACGCGTGGCGAGATCTTGCCTTGAAATGAGACTACCCTCTGCCACGGCAGGTTAGGGGGCGACTCTCGCATTGCTGTACCGACGTGCCGTGCGTGACGGGGGTGGTTTATGAGCTTTGCTATGTGGCCTGTGAGGGAGGACACGGTCATGGAGGTTGGAAGGGAAGGAGACAGGCCCTGTGTAGCTGGAAGCGGAAAGTAGTAATGCGCTGCCAATCGGGGTTTGCTTACCATAAGAAGTGACCCGTCCTTTGGGTATCCTCTGGACAACGGAGTACACTTGCTCTTTGAACTCGTCTCTGTCGCTCATCGCAAACGGTTGTGTCGTCTCAACGGCGTTGGTCAGTTTCGGTGGAAAAAGCTATTGTGGACAAGCGTGGCTTCCTACCCAGCTTCCTACCGTACTGTAATGTAAAGTTCAGGAGGCGAGGACGTGTTGGACCGTCCACGCATACCGGAGTAACTGGTACTGTATGCCGTTACTCCGATCGTAACTGGTACCCGGTATTACTACTCTTTTAATCAACCGCCAGAACCACCTTCCATGTATAAAGCAACAGCAAAGCGTCGAATGCGCAAACTTCATATGCTACAAATGTGTCCTATTCCAATCTACATGTAGCTCGCTGCTGTTTCTACAGTAGTCAGCATCAATTACGAAGCAAACCCGACAATCCCGCGTTTGAGGGGCCCCAAGGCATCCACGACATTGAACCCAGCAGACCTCACTTTCGCGATCAGCGCATTTTCCGTTTTGAATAACTTGCCGATCGAGTCGATGGATTTCATCATGACGAGGTTGGGAAGGTATCGGCCGCGCGAGTAGTTTTGGAGGACGTGGGGATGACCTTCCGATGGGATGAGGATGTGAGATATGGGAAAGAGGAGCTCGGGGAAGATGTTTCCTCTTCACCCACCAATATCTGATCCTACGTCGAGTGCGTCAGCCAGGACATCTGCTAAAAGCTCCGCATCTGCCAAACCCAGATTTAGACCTTGCCCTGCCAGAGGGTGGACCGTATGGGCAGCATCACTGTGGAGTGGGAAACGATGGCGTTAATCAAGCACAACATTCAAACTGGTCAAACGCATCCTTACATACCCAATCAAAGCAACCCTGTCTCCAATGTAATTCTCTGAATTCCTCAACCTCAACGGAAAGGCCGCTCTAGTCTTCTCCACCACGCTCAATACTCCCGGAGGCTTAAACGTTGCCTTCCTCCTAACTCTAGCCGCTTGATTGGTGGCAAGCCTTTCGTGACTCCACGAGACTTCAGCGTCAAAATCTACAAGCGGCACACCCTCCTTGGAGATCTGGGAGCAGAGAAATTCAACGTCTTTCCATGGCAGAGTGAGAGCGGCGTTGAGCAAGGCGGTGAAGTCCTTGGACGGAAGCGAGCAAAGAAGGGGTGCAAGCTTTGCTGAAACGGTCCACACAAGGGAGCTGTGGGTATCGCTGAGCTGCATTTGATGATTGAGTCAGGAGAGAACACTTATGGATCAGAACTGCAATGCCTTACCGGGAGAAGAGCCACAGGGCCGGTCGGCAGAAACCGTTGCCAAGCACTGGGGTTCCCACTAGCGTGGCTATCGACCGCCAAAGTTGCTACAATCCCCATCTGGCCGTAATCCCAACCAATCGAATCAATTCCCGCGTAACTCCGTACACTCGAGTTCGCTCCATCGGCACCAACCTGTGAGACGGGAAAGGTGTCAGATCCTTACATACACAAGGTGTCTAGCCATAGAGACATACTGACCAGCAATCTCGTCTGGATCGTCCGCCCATCGGCCAATTGGACTATAGGCCATTGAATGGCCTTGCTGGCCTTGCTTTCCCCACCTCCACCTGCTTGTGCCTCAACGCTGATGCGCTCCACCTTCGCGTTGTTGTATACGTGAACCTGCGTCTTTTCCTTCAATCCGTTGACCAGCGCGGCTTGAAGGTGGGTATTCTCCACAATTTGTGCTATGGGATCAACTGGTATGCCGGCGGGTAACCCTTCTGATGCGTCGAAAGTTATTTGCCCACTACCTATTGCGTCCCAGACCTGCAACAGGAAGAGGAAGGTCCCATGTATGAGCATAGGGACAAAGGCCCTGAAATCGTTTTTGTCCGCACCTTCATAGTATAGTACGGTCTCCGCCTGTCGGAGCTGATGGTGTCCCAGACACCCAAATCTGAGAAACCAATTTTGAGCTTAACCAACTGGTCTGATGACTGAGAATTTCGGTGCAAAACGAGACTCACCTTCCAAAAACTGAAACGTCGTATTCGTTATGGAACTGACTCGATTCGAGTATACACCCGGCTCGGTCGCTGGCTTGCGATACAAGTCTCCTGCCTCAATGAGCGCCACTTTCAGAGCGGAGGATGTCCTTCCTGGCCTTGCTATTCGGAAAAAGTCAATATACGTTCTAGTGCCACCACCCTCGTCTCCACGAGCTGATCTCCTACCAATAGCGGACGCTAGCGCGGTCCCTACGATGCCGCCTCCCACTACGCACACATCACAGACAAAGGGCGACGCTGGTGTTGATAGCTTTGTTGTTGCGGAATACTGCCTTATGACAAGTCTCCCCCTTCGTGGCTGGTTGCTCACCAAAATGCGGGTGAATCTCGGGGCAAGCAACGACTGAAGGCATGTCGCCAGCTGTCCCCTGCTTTGGATCATTGAAAGAGCTACTCTAAGTCTGGGGAGTTGTTCAAGGTATGGAGTCCCGTATGATGCTCAAATCTCCACAGTCTCTCTACATATACTGTACAAGCCAGCAAGGTGCCAGGAAGGTAAGGGTGGCATTCAGGTGGCATTCGTGGCTCCGACAATCTTGCAGAGGCAGTGCAGAGGGCAATGCGCGTCGTTTGACTCTTTTGAGAGTCTTTCGACCCACGGGAGTCTGACAGAAGCTGACGAAGTAAAGCAGCCGGACAGACTATTTTCCAAAACGGTAGAAAAGATAGCACTACAGGCAGAAGTATCTGTCATTAGTTAGTACACCAAAGTTACCGTAAGCATCTTGAATGAAGCGAGGCCGGGGCAAACCCGGCGGTCGTTTCGTGCAGACCACGCTTTCCTTCGTCCGTCCGTCCCGACCCTCACCACCGGTACGATCGAGTCAGGAAGATCAAAGCGAGACGTCCAAGTATTTTCACGTTGATAAAACAGGGCAAAACGGTGTTTGGAAGCAGAGGAATCAAGGACAGAGCAGCGGTAGTGGACGCGGTGACCGGAGTGGAAGCAGCTTTTCCTATGCAGCAGCGGCGGGCGGTTCCTCGGGGAAGGCCTCCGACGTGACACCGGCGACGCCAAAGTTGAAACCAACTTGGAGTGAGCTGTATGGCGACGAGACGGAAATCGAAGATAACGGCAGTGGGAGTGGGACGGATGTCGACGACGACCCGGCGCCACCTGCTTCCGGGAATAACACGCCGGTACACAAAGTGGGAGACAATGCACGTAAACGGCAGTGGTCGGGAGATGGCAGAGGTGGATCAAATGTCGGCCCATCGGTGAGAAATGACGGTCGTGAAGGACTTGAAGGAACGACGCCTGGGAGAGCGATCGAAATGCGACGAGATAGAGACAAAGTCTTGATGCCTAGTGATCCCGAAAACGTGTTGAGGGATGGCCACGGCAACAGAATTCCGACATGGATGGTCATCTGTCAGTCGCTTTCCACGCCTATTACATCAGCGGACGAGCTAAAGGTATGCTCCGATACTACTTGTTGCCAGATGTGCTGGTAGCCGGCGTACCCAGGCTCTTCTCCCCATGCCCCTAACAGGAAGCTATCTTGGCGTATAATCCACGACATCGTGGACGGTGGACCTTCGCCAACCTCGAGCGATACATCAACGGACCCAACAAGAACTTCATTTTCTCAACCCTTTTGCCAGGGATGTGCGCTTTGGCGCTGAGACTCCTTGACTACTTCCCGAACTCGGAATCCATACCACTGCTGAAGCAGTCCTTCGACACCCACATAACCCTCAGCCAGATCGAGATTGCTGTGCTGTTGGCCAACGCGTTCTTTTGCACGTTCCCGAGCCGGAACGATTTTGGAAAGGATGCGGAGTTTGCCGGGTATCCCACGATCAACTTCGATAGCCTTTTCTCACGGGCGAAGATTGCGGAGCGGAACGCGGCAAAGATGGCGAAGTTGGACATGGTGTTTCATTACTTTGCCCGGGTCATCAAGAACGGTAAGTCCGTGGTCGTTTGGTTTTCCGTGGTCGTCATCCGCATTGGTTGACACTTTATTGTGTGGGTTGTCGACAGCGCCGACAGGCTTCGTCACATTCCATCGATGTGTCTTGCCAGAACAGGGATTTCCCGCCTGGGAGTCTTTAAACATGCCCCTCTGCGATCTCGAAGTGCGCAACACTGGAACAATCGAAGATGACGCATCTGGACTCCTGCAGGCCGACTTCGCCAACAAATTCATCGGGGGTGGCGTTCTCAATTCTGGCTGTGTGCAGGAGGAGATCCGGTTCCTTATCAACCCGGAACTCCTCATAACCCGCCTCTTCATTGAACGCTTGCACGACCATGAAGCCGTGGTGATTGTCGGGGTGGAACGCTTCTCTCAGTACTCGGGTTACGCAGACACCTTCCGATGGGCGGGCAACTACGTCGACACGGACGATAACCGCCGCAGGACGCAGATCGTGGCCATGGACGCGCTGTTCTTTGCCAACAAGCCAAAAACGGAGCAGTATAAGCTGTGGGCGATCGAGCGTGAGCTCAAAAAGGCCTATATCGCGTTCAAACCCCTATCTGCATCCGGATCGGGTCCGCCATCGGCGATCGCAACAGGGAATTGGGGGTGTGGAGCGTTTGCAGGCGACCTGGAGCTGAAAGCCATCATCCAGCTTATTGCGGCGTCGGCGCATTCCCGGGGCGTGAGATATTTCACGTTCGGGCAGACCGAGTTTGGGGACGATTTGGCAGTCATCCGAGCAAGGCTGGCGGATCGAGGCGTCACAGCGGGAACGCTGTTCAAGATGGTGCGACTGTTTCATGAGGAACTGCGGGGTAATATGGCGGCGGGGATGAAGTTGGCGGATTGCTCGCTGTTTAAGTACCTGCATGAGTTGTTGGATTTGGATGCGGATTGATAATTGGATGCTTTTTTTTTGGAATCATATCTGCCACCAAGTCTCACCCGTAGATGTCATCTACGTGCACCAATGCGACGTGGTATAGATCAAGAACGGCTCTCAAGTTGCTTTTTGACAGTCCTTCGAATAAATATACATGGATGTAGCTAGTCTCTACCTACTCTCCGTATCCACTACTGTGTCCAGGATTATGAAATAACGCTTTGTGCCCCACATCAGACGGCGGCAATCTTGGAACTCCCACCCAGGACCTCCATATCCGTCACGAGCCTGCTCTTCTTCCATTTGGACAGCCTCAACGAGCCGATGACAGCGGAGACGACGAATGTGCCGACGATGTAGGCCGTAAGAACGAGGTATGAGCGCGTGAAGGTGTGCGCTTGGCTATTGAAGAGGAGCACCTTCATAATTTTGAGGCCATGGTAAAAAGGAAGGCCGTAACCGATTTTGAAAAATTCTGGCATGGCGACCTGTATGTTTGGAAAGAGCGATAATCGTGAGCATACAGTCGAAAACACGAGAGAGTTAGTACACCACGCGGAAAGACCGATGCTGCTTACATGATCGACAAGTCCTCCAGAGCTAACCAACTGCAAAATCAGCAGCAAACTCGCAATAAGCGGGAACGCATCCGGTCCCACCAGCGTCGCAAACACATTCACCAGTCCAATACACGCGAAAGAGAAGAACCAGATGAACCCATACGTCAGGCCAGGCGGCCATGAAAACAGGAGGTCGGTACCGTCGTCCGTGATGTGAGGCAGGGTGTAGACGATGATAAAAACGATGGAGGCTTGCACGAAGGAGAAGAGGAAGCCCGCTAGGTGTGTGGCGAGGATAATTTGCAAAGAGTTGAAACGAACGGGGTGGTGCGAGGGGTGGGTTTTGACTCCGGTAAGGTGGGGGATCTGGGGGAGCATGACTTTGTGGATGACTGATGGAGGGTAATGATGTTAAGGGTGTGTTTCTTTCCCATTTCGATATGGAAAGAGTCCTTGCCGCTCACCAGTGACGGATAGCATCGCCCCCAACCACATCAGCAACAAAACGATATAGGTTACTAGATTCGCCCCGAAAGTAAGAACCGCATGCCTTTTCCCTGACGCCAAAGAAAACGGCGACATGTAAAACACCGGTTTCACGATATTCGGGTTGGATTCTGTCGCATTCAACAGTTTCATCCCAAACTGCTGTGACAAGGCCGACATGGAGGCCGTAACGACGCCGCTGACGTAGTTGGACACGGTCAAACTCCGGCCTTGATCAAAAATGTACTCCGCCGATAGGGGAACCGCCGCTCTTGGTGCCCCGGTTCCCGAAACGTTCAGGCGAAGGTTGGTGAGGAAGTTGTCCGAAAAGTTGGCGGGAATGTACACGACTCCCCAGTAGTCTCCGTGATCCACCAACGAAATGATATCTTCATGCGTCAACTTTTGCCCGCTGAGGTCATTCCACGCCAACCGGTTCCGCAGCGCAGGCGTATTCAAAAGCCCGCTGGTGATAGACTGGCCAACCGGTGTGCCGCCGTTTGTGAGCGCTTTGGCGACCGCCTGCGATGGCGGGTCGTAGTCGCCCAGAGCTTGGTACCCAACATCGTCATTGCATATGGCAACGGGAACGTTCGGGAGATGCGACATAGGATCCCATGTCGCGTGCAAGTAGCAAAGAGCGTAGATGGCGATAATGAGCCCTGTTACGATGTAGAGGACAAAGAGCGGTTTGGAGATGATATGAGGGAAGATGTAGTGCGTATGCCACCAGGAACCGTGGGCAAGGTGTGTCGACTCTTCGGCCTTCGGAGTCGCCGTGCCATCGTTGGAATTGGCGGTGGGGGCGGAGGATGCGACCTTGGCATCGCTCACGTTGGTCACCGCGTTGAACGACCGTTCGGAGCTTTCCTCGGACGAGTGAGGCGGAAGTGGGCTGATACGGCCGTCGTGAGCAGACATGGTGCGGGAAATGAACTATTGAAGTTGTCAGGGGAGACCCAACCTGCAGCTTGGTGTAACGCCGTTCACCGAATACAATGAGGTGGTGCGAGCTATGTATGCGTCCTTCTTTCCAACACCAATGCGTCGCAATGGCGAGCTTCCTACCGGTGCGAAGTGCAGCCGCTTTTGAACGCAGTGTCGATACTCCGAAAACAAAACAACATGAACGGCGTTGTTGCGGGCGTTGCAGAGTTCCCAGGTGGGCGGGGGGTCTTGTCGCGGCCACGAGGCTCGTGCGTGCTTTTCGCAGGGGGCGCACGCGTCAAAGGGAGATTAAGCGCGCACCGGAGGGCAAAAGCCTCCGGGAACCAGTCACAGGAAACACTCAAAACAGGACTCTTGCGACTCTTGCGTCGGACTTGCTCGCCGGCGGATCATTGCTCATAATATTTTTCCATTCAAGTGATGAAGTTCTTTCTTCCTACCCAAAACCGTCGTCCAGAACATGCATGAGTTTCAGATCAAGCCTGACAATGAATCCCAACCCCCATAACATCTCCCAACGCTCCCACCCCATCGCCACTTCCACTCCTCACAAAGTAATCTCATCAAACGGCTTCATAGCCACCTCCTCGCACAGCGTAACCAGCAACCCCCTTTCTTCCTCAAATGTCGCGGCCTGCTTCTCCACAATATCCATCAACCGCCTATTCTCCAATTTCAAAAACACATGCTCGTCCTCATCGATGCACGAGAACGACGTGCCGGTAGTGTTAAGTCCGTCGTGGTGTGAGTTGGTGCAGTTGGAGGAACGCAGGTACGCGACCTCAGACTCTAGTTGCGCGATGTAGGATTGGTATTCTCGTTTGGTTGATTCGGTGGTTGTCTCGTGGTGTTCGAGGACGGCGTCGGTTTCGGCCATGAGACCTCGGAGTTCGGAGATCTCGGCTTCGAGTTGGTGGACGCGTTGGGCGAGGTGGGAGTCGCTGGTGTGTGTGTCGCCGTTGACGGGAGGAGGTGCGTAGTTGGAGGTGCCGTTCGGCATACCGCCGTGCTGTGATGGCGGCGCAGGATGTCCTCCCGCGCTACCGTCATGCGCGCCATTCGCGTAACTGTCCAACATCGACCGCATCCTTCCAAGCTCTCCATTCAGATGAACAATGTGTCCATTCGCCGTATCCAGATCTGCAGCCTGCTCCGCCAACGAGGCATCCCAATCCTGCTTCTCGGCTCTCAGGGCGTCCGTCTCGCCACAGTACGCTTCAGCCGCAGCCGCCCGCTCGGCTTCCTCCGCCAGCGAGGTCTCAAGGGAGGCCTTGACTTCGTACAATCGGTCGAGTTCGCCGCTCATGTGGTATATGCGGTCCTTATCGGCGGTTCGTTCGTTCTCGGCCTGGAAAAGGGCATCGTTGAGTTGAGATATGTATTCGTTGGCAGATTGCAGTTCGGCAAGCCTGTCGGCTAGGTGGGCGTCGATATTGGCTTTCTCCGCGCGCAAGGTCTCGAGCTCAGCAGAGAGCGATTCAGCAATGTTGTCCCTATCCGTTCCCTGCGCCAAAGATGCCTCGAGGGACGCTTTCTCGGCATGCAAATGGTCCAAATCTTGCTGCGATTTCTCGGCCCGAGCGTTCGCATCATCCCGCTCATTCTGAGCGGCCTGTAAAACCGATTCCAGTTCCGAAATCCGGCCGTTGGCAGCCTCCCGCTCAGCCGCCAATTCAGCTCGGAGAGAATTGGCTTCGGTTAGATAAGCCTGCATGGAGTCGGCGCGTTCAGTTTCCGCCGCGAGCTCCTGTTCCAATGTCGTTTTGACTGCATGCAATTCGTCAGCGCGAGCGTTTGCAGCGTTGCGCTCCGTATGAGAATCCTTCAAAGCAGAGGTCAGTTGAGCAATCTGCTCGTTTGCTGCGTCAAGACTGGCAATGTACGACGCCAGTGACGCGTCGAATGTCGCTCGTTCCGTGCGCATCGCTTCAAGCTCCGCTTCTGTGTTTTGGGCGCTCGTGGCGGCCCGTTCCTTCTCGGTAGCGAGCGAAGCCTCGAGTGCCGCTTTGATCTCATTCAAAGTGTCGAGTTGCGATTGAAGCTCGTCTGCACGAACTCTCTCGGCGTCGCGTTCATTGTGGGCAGTCACAACCGCCTCCGACGCCTCGTCCATGTGAATTTTGAGATGGGAGATGATGTTGCTGAGTGTCTCATGTTTGTCGTTAGCGTGATCTTCATCCTTGCGATCGATTTCAGATTGAATTTCGGAGATCTTTGTGGTCTGTTCCTCAACACGTTGTGTAAGAGTGCCCAGTTGGTCGTTGAGCTCTGTAATGGTCGATTTCGCGGTATCCAATTCAGCCCTGAGCTCTGTAATGGTGGATTTGGCGGTATCCAACTCAGAAGTCAACGCAACAACGTTGTTCTGCGCTTCATCGCGTTCAGCTTCGAATTCTTGAATAGACGCGTCGGCCTGCTCTTTTAGATGCTCGATGATGCGTTCCACGGTAACCTGCTTCTCGGCCGCGAAATCCTCGTCTTTCTTCACAAGTGCAAACTCAAGTTCTTTGATTTTGGATTCGTACTGTGTCTTCTGTTCTTCAAAGGACTTGACGAGACTTTCGTCTGGTGGTTTGGTTCTCCAGGCTTCTATTTCTGCGTTTAGGCGCGTGACCGTGTCGTTCGCTGCGTGCAATTCGGCACTGAGTGCGGTGGAGTTGTTTTTCACTTCTATGAGCTCTGCTTCGGCGGTGTCGCGAGCCGAAAATGCCTCGTCCATTTGCTCCTTGAAATGTTCAATCAGTCGCGTGACGACCGCTTCCTTCTGTGAGTTGAACTCTTCGTCCTTCCTGTCAAGCTCGCTCTGCAGCTCACGGTTCTTGTTTTCCAATTCCTGCTTCTGATCCTCGGCAGCCATCAGTTCTTTAATTTTTCTATTGAGCTCCTCGACCTTAGCTTCGTATTCCTCTTTATGTTTCTGCTGGGCAAGAATCGCCTCTTTGCTCTCGTTCGTGGTGTTGTCTTGCTGCCTCATCATTGCTTGAACGTGAAGATGGGCCTCAGAAAGCTGGTTTTGCAAATCCGCAGTGCCATTGTCAGTTGGTGATAGGTTTTTCCTAGGGCTTAGCGGTGTTGTCCGGCCATTATTGATGGACTGGCGGCGAGGAGGACCGTTATCTACTGACTGCCGACGAGGAGGACCATTATCGACAGATGAGCGGCGAGGAGAAGCCGGTGCAGCCGGCTGTTCATTTGCAGGTAAGGGCACGGAAAACAAGCCCACACTTCCAGGACGCCTGAGGGGAGGTGGGTGCCCGTTGTGCGGCGCGATGGGAGGTCGATTTGGCGTGTTGAGCGCCTCAAAACTGCCTTCCGGACTCGTCCCTTTCGACCCTATTGGCGATGGATTGGCGCTAGATGTTCGGGTATCTGGGATTTTGCCAGCTCGTTGGGCTGCTTCGAATTTGTTCCGGATGGTTTTGAGTTGACCTTTTGAGCTGTTGAGGCGTGCTAAAGTCGCATGTGGGTCGTGATGGTAGCCCGTTTGAGGTGGTGGTGCCGTTCCCTGGGGACTCGCAGCGGTTGCAGCGGCTGGAGGCGGCGGCGGTAGCATTGCAGCGGTAGTGTGCAGAGGCTGATGGTGACAGACGACGACGAGCGAGCCGGTCAAGATGAAGGTCAGCCTGCGATACATCGACCAAGGAAGCGGACGGTCAACAGCAGCGCCACGAGGCTGTTCGCGAACGACGGGATTCGCGACACTTTCAACGGGATGGCTTCAGAATGGTGAGAAGGGTTCAAGATAGACTTTGTGCTGGAACGGAATCTGCCCTTGCAGAAAGACGAGCCCTTGTACACTGCGGATAATACCCCGAAGACGGAGAAGAAGCGTCGTAAGCAACTTTCGAAGATTTGCGCCCGACAAAGGAGGTCAGCAGATAGACGCCATTTAAGCTTAAAGTTTCCCGACGCTCGAAATTTTACTACTGTCGCCACTTGAGCTAAGTGTCCCAAACGCTGGAGGCCTCACAGGTCGTCACATAGTATTCGAGCTATCGGAGTGGCATAACTTCCCAGGGCAGACATCGGTACCATCTGCACCCCGCCGCGAATGTTAGTGTCGAGGACGGCCAAGGAAATTGTTCAACAGGCATCCAAGCACCAGCTGTCCCGGGATCTTCGCGTTCTGCTTACACCGTGCCTATGGTCAGGTGGCTCGGCTCAGTTCCATGGGCGTCCAACCAGCGGCACCGCTTTTCCGGGTGAAGGCAAGCGTGTAAAGCATTTCGAAGTTCGAGCTGCCCCACTCAGAATAGAGCTCGCAAATCCTGAAGGGGATTACGTGCAAGCATTCACCGATGCCGTGTCCCATGGAGATCGAAGGCTGGCGTTGCGGGCATTCTGGAGAACTCGCGGATCTAATCGTGTGCAAGATCTGGATGTAAAGTTGCTGAAGGATTTTGTCAGACAATTGTTGGGGAAGAAGACGTGGACTACGCGGACAAAGGACGCTGTTGCGGAGGTTCTTGATCTGATTAGACGGCGAGACGAGGGGTACATCAAGGAAAGCAATTACTCGCTCGCGTATCTTCGACTCAATCAGGGCAGAGTCACCACGAAGGAGGCTAAGGAGTTGGTGGACGTGGTTGAATTGCATCAGCCTGCGTCAGTCAACGTACTCCTGCGATCGTTGAAGGATCCTCAAGTCGCCGTGAATGCCCTGAATCGATTGAGGGAGAGTGTGAGTCTTGACGGTCTGGAATCGGCGTTTGAGGGACTGCTGAGAGGATTGGTGGATTCGGGATCACACTCGGAGGCAGAAACTCTGGTGAAGTCGATGGTGGGTGATATGAGCAAGGAGGGCATGCCTTTCTGGCTGAACCGGCTTCGCATAGACGTTGCGGGGAAGATCGGACGGCCTGAGCTGCTCTATCAAGAGTATTCAGACATCCTTGCCAAGGAGCCTGAACACGGGAAAGCACTCATGTCACATTTTATCATGAGTCTGGCTTGCTGTGGGCGTGTTCAAGAAGCGGAAAAGATCTGCGCAGAGTACCCGGCCTTTTGGAGCGAACCAGGGATTCAGGGAACGCTGATCCAACAATATCTGGCCAACGGCTCGGTGGGTGACGCGAAACGCATATACAGGAAGGCCGCAGAACTGGACATTGTTTTCAGTACGGAAACTTACGCAGCGCTGGCCAGAGCTTTTTCTTCGGCGTCCCATTTACCAGATTTCTACGCCCTGCGCCGCGATATAAACAGCCGAGGTGTTTCATACGATCAGAAACTGTACACTGAACTCGTGCGCGGGTACATGAAGCACCAAAACGTCAATGAGGCCCGCGCAATCTACAACACTGCGCTGGCCGACCACGTCGTGTCGAAATCACAGAGCTCGGCGCTACGCGCCACCTTCATCCACGGACTCCTGCAAAACAATCGGGTAGACGAAGCCGAAGAATTGCTAGCGAGCTCGTTGCGCAAAACCAAAAACCCGGGGCCCGTACCCTGGCCCCGAGCGAACGATCCGGTGATGATTGTGCTTCAGATGAAGGTGATGATGGCGAAGAAGCAGTTTGAGGCGGCGAGACGGCTGGGGCAGCATGCGCTGGATAACGCGGCGGAGGGAGCGGCGGATCCAGTTGTGCTTGCGATGCTGATCAATAGTTTAACGCATCTGGGCGATGTGAATTCGGCGCTGAAGGTTCTGCGAAAGCTGAAATCGGATCCGAAATCGAGAATCCATCCCAAAGATTGGAAACGAGCGGAGAATGACTGCAACGCAGCACCGACCACACTTTCATCCCGAGAATCGCCCCTCCTCGTAGCATACTCCGCAATGATCAAACAGCTCACCCGCCTCTCAATGCAAAAAGAAGTTTTAGACCTGCTAGACGAAGCCATCACCTCCGGGTTGAAACCCAACCTCCTCACGGTATACCCGATCCTCGTCATGCTCGCTCGCGCCAACGAAGCCGAATCCCTTCTGGAGTTCTTCAAACGCACCGTTACCCAATTCGGTATCACCCCGGACCATGACTGTCTTGTCACACTGTACGCGTTTTACGCACGCATGTATCGTCCAAACTATCACGGCAACCTCAACCGGAACCAGTACCTGCAGCCGCTGCGGTACCTCATGCATGACGTGGAAGCCGTACTGCAGGTCGAACCCTCAATGAAAGCAGGGATATACGACGCGGCGATCAGCTACCATATCAAGTTCAAGGAGCCGTGGGCAGCGGAACATTTTTTCTTGAATATGCATGAGATTGGCGTTGTACCGACTGCGAGGACGCTGGATCGGTTGTTGGCGATGTATGAGACGACGAAGGAAGTGGAGAAGGCTGCGGCGGTACGGATGGAGATGGAGGCGTTGGAAGGTGTTACGAAGACGCCATTGCATACACCTGGGGAGGGAGAGGGTAAAGGAGTGGGTGAAGTGGGTACGGCAACGCTTGTGTCGGCGGGGCAATGGTCGCCAAGTGAGGTGTCGCGAGTTCCAGCGTGGTTTCCTCAGCCTAGGCCCCTTCTGGCCGTCCGGAAAAAGCCGAAACTCCGGCAGTGGAAGATACAAAAGAGGGAAGCTATTCGCGAGGACAGTGATATTCAGCGTCTTGGGCCAGCAAAACCCAAGGAATAGAATTATGAACACGGCGATAGTTCTCTTTCTGTAGATAGCATCTCTACATACATAGGTTAGTCAGACATACCCCCGCGCACATAACCACCTATCTACACCCCCATGCTGCTATAACTCTACACATCTCAACGCCGTACATTCTTCCGCTTTTCAAAATCTGGAAACGTGACTGCGTCTATCGGGTTTTCCTCTTTGATGTCCACGCGCTCGACTGTGGACTGCGGTGAGCCTTTCTGCTCGGGTGAGGGGTTTATATGCGTATCCGGCTGTACCAGAATGAAAAGCAGGTCACCGTACCTTTAGATCCTGCTTGCTGCCCAATATCCGTCCCGGAAAAGCTCAGAACATAAGTTCGCCAAGCAGGAACCTGAAAGTTTGACCACTTACAACGTCTCCAAAGCATCTAAGAAAGATTTCAATAACAACATAAGTCCCTGCCTGCCTATTCTACACCAAGACGGCGAACTGACCGACCGGACCTTTAGTCCCCTGCCCGACCCCCTCGACAGTGCCTCTGTCCGTGTTGCGCACCCATCCAACGATCCCGAGTCGGGTGGCTTTTTCTACTGTGTATTTTCGGAAGAAGACTCCTGCGCGGGTAGGTGGGACGGGTAGGTTGGCTTGGATGGTTAAGGTCAAGATGGGAGGATCTGTGACCCACCTTGAACTTTGCCGAAGACCTCGAAAGAGAGGTTGAGGAGAGTTGGTGATGAGGTTGCCATTGTGATCAGCGTTTTTCTGGTGCTGAATGTCAGCAGCAGATCACGCAGGGCCGCGAGTTTGGCGAGTTTGTGGGTTAGGTGTCTGGCTGGAGGTGTCTGGGCTACGTGCGGCGCGCTCACATCCCGTTGCAATTTCCTTGCTTTTACACCACCCTGGGACGCGTTGTCCCGAGTCCTTCAAGGATTATCGCCGATTCGCCGTACGACCCCTGAAGCTCCGCTCGGAGACCTCCGACGCACACGGTTAGCAACCGATGGGCATTTATGAGAATCATATGGGAACGGTAACTTTGGGGCTCTTGTTTGTCATGCTACTCGCTAGAGCTTCGCCCGACATGGCATTAAAACCTGCTGCGTCCGACCAACTGCGTAGTTAACCCCATACAGTGCCGAGGGGCATGGGTTTAGTCTTGTACATACATACTGTACAGTACACCGGTGATTACGTAATAATCGTATGGTGGAATGTTCACAAGCTTCATCACAAGCTTCATCACAAGCTTCAGGATTCAGGGTCTAACCTTTACAATCTTCCAGAGCGAAAAGATCGACGAAATCACGGCCCTGACAATTCAAGTTGCTGTCAATAATTTTCCATCAAACGGAGCACCGGAAACGACGTTCTAGAACGCAAAGATATCGCCGAGCCAAACAAAGAAGTAAGGGTTCTGTGGCTCGGGTCATTCTGGACGCAGGAGACGTTTTCCGCGCTGTCGGATTATGCCAGTTGGCTTACATAAGCGTTTCTTCGCCCTTGGCTCTGAATGCCGACTTCTAGATCGACAGTTTTCTGCTCCGCCTTCTGCCTACACTATGTACATACGCTTTTTCGAGGGGCGCATGTTTGTTGTGTTGTCGCTGCTAGGATGTGATGCAGAGCATAAAAAGGGGCGGGCGGTAGTGAACAGGTCCCACTCCGCCGTGTGCCCCCAGTTCCATTCCCGCTCAGACACCTAGACTTTCATACCTACTCAGACATCTGTCTTGAACACCAGCATCTTGCTAAACACTTAGCACAGAAGCACATCTCTACGATGAGAGGACTCGTAGGAGCTTTGATCTTTGTCTGGGCTGCTATCATTGAACTGGGTAACTCCGTTTCGGCATGACTGCAATGCGTCCTGGGGTACATACACTGACACCTCGCTCTGTTTTAGTCTCGTGCAGCAATGCTCCTCAGGTTCAGGCTGCTGTTTACCAGCGGGTGTTTGTAGACCGCCCAAAGATGAACATCTCCATGGCCTACTTTGGTGAGTTGAACTTGGTCGCTCACTATTCACATCTTCCACAACCTCATACATCTACCTCTTGTATGGACGCAGCCGATGCCAGCGACTCTCTCTTCGTCATCATTCAGAATTCGGCCCATATCGTTGCAAAGTAGGTTCAATGACAAGCAAAGCTCGACTTGGCCCTCGGCACGTCCACTGATGGTCACCACCCATCAATCAGGTTGCTCAACGTGACGTTACTCGGCGCTCTGCCCACCTCATCCCCGGATGGACAAGGAACACTACCCCAGCAGATCCGCGATGCGATCGCCGCTCACAGCATGGGATTGATCTCCACGCTTCACACTCAGGCTATCACTCTTCCTCTCTTGACGGCCGCCGCTCAAGGTGGCGCTGCCATTGGTTCTTACAACAATGGATATGACGAGATAAAACCCATTGGCACCATTGCTGCCGTCGCTGAAGACCTTTACAAAGGGTGAGTTGCATTCTCTGCACTCCATGTGAGGACTTGCTCTCACATCTGCATATTCATCCAGAGGAGTCGCTCTCGGCAAGGCCCTGGGCAGCAACCCCTACAACGTGCACAACCCGATGTGCATCACGCTCAACCTTGATGCGACCTACGCCGTCCAGCGCTGCACGGGTGCATTGGACGGATACAATGCGGTTACGGGGAAGAACCTGAAATTCAACGCCGACATCACCGTGAGTGATACAGTGATCTTGGTTGAGGTCGATAACAGTCCTGTGACTTCCACGGCGAATGTTGCTCGTAAGTATTTGTGTGATCTCTAGCAATCAATCTGTCCTTGGCACTCTAGCCATAGCTTCACGAACATGCGAACATCATACAGAATCTCGAAACCTGGCAACTTACCTGGACGCACACCCAACGGTCGACGCTTTGTTTCTCACCCAGGCGGCTCTGATCCCAAACGTCAAGGCCGGGATCGCCATGATGGCCAACCCACGTAACATTTACGTGGGATGCGACGACTATAACACCAATGTCCGTGCTGAACTGGATGCGCCGATTACCAGCACCGGCATGAACTTGGTCATTGCCGAGGGCCAGCAGCCCTTCATCCAAGGTGCTTGTCCGTCCCTAAGGCTCCAGCGACCCATGTGGATCTCACTGACCTGGCCATTTTTGTATCGCAGGCTTCATGTCGATCCTCTACATGTTCACCCACCTGGCGCTTAACGAAACAGTAAGCGACTATCTCATCGCCAGTGGGCCCTTCGTAGTAGACAGCACTGTATCCTCGAAGGAGCGAGCCGACCGCGTCTCTGCTGTCGAGGCCATCAGCTCCTTCACCCTCGGCACCCGCCGCAAAGTGTACGCGCTGTTCCACGAAGGCAGCAAGGACCCAACCTTCATCGCCCACCAGGTCAACGTCATCGCTGGTCTGACCGACGCGGCGGGACAGTGGAACTACGACCTGACTGTGACCCCCACCGGCACTTCGTTTAACAACGCGACCACGTACGCCGCTCTGGAAACGATCTTCACGTCGTGTGCCGCAACGCCCAGTACGTGCCCGGCCGCCCTCATTACAAGCTACTTGGACCAGCAATTCGTTGATCGAGCTGCCACGCTAGCCGCTGGCGCGGTGAACCCCATCCCGTACTTTGTGATCGGCAGCTCGGGGGCCACTGACGCTAACGCTAACGCCCATGTCGCGCAATACATTGGAGTTGACGATGGGCAAGTCGGTATGCAAGCTGCGCAGATGATGATCGAAGCTGGAGCCACCAAACCGCTTTGCGTCGGTCCTAGCGCAGCTGGTCCTTCGTACGCGCGCAGGTGTGCCGGTTTCGTCTCAACTTACAGCTCGGTGAAGGGTGTTACCGCGGCCGAGTTGTACACCCCCACCTCGCTCGAGAACGCGCAGGCTCTCCTAAAGTCAAAGATGCAAGGCACGGTATACGACGGAATCCTCTGTACGATGCCCGAGCTGTGTACCTCCCTTTTTGCTATGCTTGACACGACACCCACCATCGCTCGTCCAAAGTATGTCTACAGCATCGGCATGAGCGTGAGCGTCATGGAGGCCATCACGCAAGGCAAGATGCTGGGCGCGGTTGACACCACTCCCTACACGAACGGGTACATCGCCATGTACCATGTCGGTTCCCTTCTCGAGGGATCTACCATCCCGTCGACGCAGGTCGTGCACATCGGCCAGAAGAACCGAACGTGGGCGTGCCCGCCAGGCTATGCGTTCAACGCCGATGGTAACATGTACACCCGCATGCCATCCGGGATGATGAGCGCTGGGAGCGTTTGCCAGCCTTGCCCTGCAAACTCCCATGCTCCCGCTGCCAGCACGGCAATCTGCTCTGCGTGTCCTCTCGGCACGTATGCCGACAGGACCGGTGCAATTCGATGCGCTAGTTGCGACGATGGGATTGGGATCACCGTCGGCTACTGCGCGAATTACTTCAAAGGGACCGAGGTGACTCCGTCGTCACGTTCGGCGGTCAGAGCACTTGGTGGTATTGGGCTCGCTGTTGTCGGCTTACTCGGCGCCGGTCTGGTTGTGGCCCAAGGCGAGCCTATCATCCGCAAGGCTAGTCCGGCTCTGTCCAGCGGAGTCCTGGTTGGCAGCATGTTCGTCGTTGCATCTACGCTCCTTCAGCAGTTTGATCTCAGCACTGGCAAGTGCACGTCTTCCATGTGGTTGCTTGCCACGGGGTTTGGGCTCTCCGTCGGGTAGGACCTTATCAGCGCGAGACCATTCCCCTTTTCTTCACGCTTTCGCTAACTCATCATGCTCCCTTAGATGTGTGTTTGTCAAGAATCTCCGTGTCTACCGTATCTTCAACAACCCTCGCCTCCGTAGCCAAGGCCTCAACTTTACGTACATGGCCCAGCAACTCGCCTTCATTTTGCTGGGTGAATGGATCCTGCTCGCCATCTGGACGGGTGTGAGCGCGCCCACCAAACTCCTGACGACCTCCGGCAGCGGCAAGACTTACGCAGCGTGCAGCTCGCCCAAGCTCGCAGTGCAAGGCGCATTTTCCGGGCTTTTGATCCTCTACAACGCAGCGCTTTTGATCGCCAATGTGTGCATCGGGTTCCTGAACCGCAACCTCCAGGAAGACTTCTCCGAGACGCAGTACATCTCATGGGCCAGTTACAACATCCTAGTCTGCTCCGCGCTAGCCATCGCGATTGGGTACCTCGATATCGATATCGACTTCAAATGGGGCGTCCTCTTCGCCATGATTATCCTCGCGGCGGTCGGCTTGCCAATCATCTTGTTTGCGACTCGTTTGGTCCGAGCGTACACAGATCGCAAGAACGCGAGCGGCGATACTGGCAGCGAGATTACCTCGCAGCCCAAGTCCGCCACCGGTCAGAAAATGATGAGCTTCCGCAAGGGCTCGTTGAACAAGGGCTCTGGGAACATCAGGCCTAACACGCTCAACGCGATGCTGACGCAGAACATACCGGTCGCCGTTCATAGGGGGAAGATGATGAGCGTTTGGGAAAGCTACAAAGCGACGTTGATCATCATACCCCGCGGGGCAGGAGTAATCATTATCTTGACGGGGAGTGATACAAAGGTAGCTGCTTGCACTTCCTTGTTTCCTCTGACTGTCTGTTGATGTTCGCACTCTTCTCTCTCTCCTCGCAGGAATCCTCGGAGGCCTTAACGGTCGGCCCTGGTGCTTTCACCCCGCTGATGAACCCGGAGGCCGCCGCGGACTTTATGCTCTTCGTGGTCGCTGCCAATGGCCGTCGGACGGTTTCCATCCAGCTGGAAGACGCCGAGACATATGCGACGTGGGAAGCCCACTTCAAAGCCGTCGCGAGAAAGAAGGCGCAGGACACAAATACCATGCCCATGTCAAATGGTAGCGGTGGCGCGACCTCTGGTGGCCGAGAAGATGATTTTGTTTGAATCCAGAAAGCTGCAGGATAAGTAGGGGACGACATCGGCCGTTCGCAGGATGCGTGTAGCTAGACAAATGATGTCCAGAGTAGATATCAAGTCAGGCTTCACTGTATACACCTTGCCCCGATGCGCTGTGCGTCGGGGTTTCTAAGTTCTGAGAATGTCAAACACAATGTCAAACAAAAACACAAATGTGCACGCTGCGATGGGACATGGGACTTGGGGAGCGGAGTTCCCTACGCGTTGTCGAAATCGGGACACCCCCCCATAATTGAAATCGAAGTCGTCGCGGCGGTCGCTGATTTATTTCAGAGGGGGCGCAGCAGTCCAATCTCGCGAATGGCCTCCCAAAGGCATCAACAGAAGGGACCTCCCAAAGCGAAGCGAAGTGGAGGCCAAGGCTGGTTGTGTTGGAGCAGACGTACGGTAACTTCGTTCCCCACAAAACCCCTGAGGGGAGCCCCTGATGCCTCTTATGCCTCTTGTGTTGACAAATCAAGCGCGTCGGGAAAGTCGGAAAGGTCGGAAAGTCCAAAAAGAAGTGCTGGACGGCAAGCTCCCATTGCACGCAACCCCTCTCCCGCTCTCCACGACATTGAGACATATAACAACGGAACTGCTTGTCTTCCTCTCCATAGCTCTTCCAACCCTGGGGAACGCACTATGTCAGCAGCGCACGCTTCAGCCTCCGCCGCCACAGGCTCCTCGCCGGCCCCACCAGGTCCTCCCAAAGCCAAAAGTTGCGGAGTATGCACCGACTTCAAAACCATCCGCCGCACAAAAGTCAAAAAGGACAAGAGCGGGCACTTGTCCACCTCCGCACTCCCAACTGCTGCCACCGCAGCAACCGCCGCCGCCTCGGGACCCACACCCGCTTTATCAACTCCCTCCACAAGCACCCCCCCACAACCACACCCTTCAACCCCTTACACCCCGTTCCCCTGCCCCCCCGACTCAACCGACCTCGGGAACTCCTCCTGGACATTCCTGCACACCCTCGCAGCCTACTACCCGCCCCATCCAACCCCCGCAGAACAACTCTCTATGCGCAATTTTGTCTCGGCGCTCTCCCGTTTCTACCCGTGCGGCGAATGCGCTTCTCATCTGACGCGTGAGGTGATTCGACACCCGCCTGCGGTTGAGAGCAGGGAGGCGCTGAGTAAATGGATGTGTGAGGTCCATAATGAGGTTAATGAGCGGTTGGGGAAGCCGAGGTTTGATTGTGCGAAGGTCGATGAGAGGTGGAGGGATGGAAGCGCTGGCAGTGACTGCTTTCCGGATTTGCAGTGAGTTGGAGCGGTGGCGAGCAGCGAGCGAAGCGAGCGATCGTGGCTGTCTGCGGCGAGCAAAGCCAGAGCGAACGCTTCGCAAATGACAGAGAAGCGATCCACATTGCGGAGGCGCAATCCTCCCTTCAGCTGCAGTTCTTCGCGAGCACTAGTGACCGAAGCGAGCAGCTCGCGCCCACCGACCAATCGGTACCACCAATCGACCATTCGCTTCCGCCCACCGACCACTCGCTTGACAACCGATCGCCAACGCTTACGAACCCCCTGCATGAGAGGTGGAGCGTGGTGCATTGCGCGTTAATGTGATGTGATGCAATCTCTATGCTAGAACAATGTAGATGATCCATGTGGAATGTGGCAGATAATATTGTAGATAGACACTGATGATGGAAATAAATACAAAATCGTACGGCCTTGGGCGTAACCTTCTACCATCTCTACGTCCTCTTCTTCCTCGCCTCACCACCAGCAAGCGGCCGTGCACGCACAAACCCCAACGTAATCAACCCAATCGCTAGCATCCCACATGCCACCGCCGAATACGTCACAGCGCTTCCCAGCACCCAATAACACGTACACGCAAACATCGGCCCCAACGACCTGCCCAACTGCCCCACACTCCTAAACTTCCCCAACACCGACCCGCTATGCTTCCCCGCGCCGTCCCGGTCATCCTCCTCACTTCCAAACTCAGCCCCATCCGCACTCCGCCCCGTCTCATAACTCGCAAGCGCAGTGAGCGCCGTAACAACCGTCCCACTCGTAAACGCCAGAAACGCCGCGCCAACATACAACCACCCGACACTCCACGCCAGCAGGCCCTGGATCGCCAGCCCGACCGCGGCAGCGAACATGCCCTGTGCGGCGATCCCGCGCTCCGAGACGAGTTTATGCGCCACGCGTCGCGTGTACCCACCCTGCACGAAGGCGGATGTGATGCCCATGAAGCCTAACAGGCGGCCTTGCCGGGCGTGGGAGAACCCGAAGCGGTCGTGGGTGAGGAAGGTGAGGGTGAACTCGAGGCCGGAGAAGCAGAAGAGGAAGAGGAAGTGGATTAGGCTGAGGGTGTTGAGGCGGGATAGTTTGGGTGGGGTGCGTGGTGATAATAGCGATGGGGCGGATTTGGTTACGCTTGAAGGAGCTGAAGCGATGGAGAGGTTCTCCGTCGACTCGCTGAGGGCTCTCTTCTCCGCCAAACGCGTTGATCGTCGCGTGGCTGGACTCGAGTCGATGTCCGTGTCCGACGGGGTCGAACCTGATTTGAACCCTTTCGTTTCGGGTAACGCGATGGCCAGATAGACCGTCTCGATGACGATGAGTATGAATGCAAACAGCGCCGGGCCAGAGTACTGGTTTATCGGGAGGCCTTCCAGGAAGGGAAACACTTTCGCAATGTCCATGGATGTGAAGTATGCGCCGAGGGGTGGGCCGACCGTGAAGCCTAATGAGAATGCAATTCCAACAAGGGCCTAGATTCGCAGAAACGTCCATCGGACCCAGAGGTCAGCTTATTACCGACACAATGTGAGACATCTGAAGCGCACATACCAGCCCCCTCGACCTCGTCTCAGCAGTCGTGATATCCGAGATAACCGCAATCGACATCTGCACATTCCCCTCCGTCAACCCGCCAATAATCCTCGACCACACAAACACGCCAAACGATTTCGAAAAGATCCATAGCAACATCGAGACGCCGTTGCCGATCATGCTGGTCAGTAACACCGTCCGGCGGCCGTACCGGTCGCTGAGTTTGCCGATGACAGGGCTGCTGACGAATTGGAGAAAGGAGAAGAGCGAGCCGAGGGCGCCGCCGAAGAGGATGATGTCGAAGCCTTGGCCTGAGACGCCGATGCTTTGGCGGAAGCGTTGGACGAGGCCGTGCATTTGATAATAGAGCGAGGTCTAACGATCGTTTGAGAATGTGTCAGGTTCGCACAAAGAGAATAGCACATTGAGCGTAGCCAAGAGAGGTATACCTTGTCCCCGCCATCTACTTTGTCATAGTGCTCTAATATTCTCGGATACAGCGGCAAGATGATCGTGAAGGCGAGAATGTCGATCAGGAGCGCGACAAACACCGTCGTTAAAGTCTTCTTGACGAATTTGTTATCCGTCGCCTGTAAACTATTACGTTTCCCAGCCTTCAAGTCCACGGCGTTAGCTATCTGAGGTCCATCGGCGGCGGCTTTCCGCCGTTGAGACGCAAGTGTTATCGTATCACTCATAACGGTTCCGCTGAATAAACGAGGGCCGAACGAGACGGGAATGACCTCAAACCAAGGCGACCGAGGTGTTGCTGTGCAGCAGGGCAATGTACAGTATATAGAAGTAGTCAGAGGACCTGGTGTTACTGGCAAAACTGGCAACGAGTCCGATGCGGTAAGTCTTCAAGGCCGCTGAAAAGGATGCCTTTTGAATGTTCAAGTGTTCAAGACCCAGCAAGCCTTTGACCAATTTGTGGCTGGCGGTAATGAGAGTTGTGTCCCCAGGCCTTTGATTAGCCGCGTTTGAGGCCGGAATGAGCGCGATTCTAATCATTGTTGATTGGCGGCGTGCCATTCCACGGGTGAACTGTAATCAAGCTGGCTGCACACCGCAGTCCATTCAACAAAAGCCCGGCGGCACTTGAATACCACGGCAAACTGCCCTAATCCTGCGGAGACGACACCCATCGCAGCCGCTCGAGCGCACGACAGGGAGATCAGTTTCACTAGACCGTGGGAGGGACTTCAAGCACCTTTCAAAGCACTCCGCCTTACGCGCGCAAATTTCACTCCCACACACAAAGTCTCACGCAGACAACACGTCAGCATCATGAGCGACAACCAAGTTCCCAAGGAGGAGATCGAGGAGGTGTTCAAGAAGCTGAAGGCAAAGCGTGAGAACAAGGTGGGCTATTCGGTCTCGTCTGAGAGGAATCTCTGCACTTGAACTTCACTGCTGACCCCACCTCCATGCGTCCACCAGGTCTGCTTTGACTGCAGTGCAAAGAACCCGACATGGGCGACCGTCACGTTTGGCGTGTACCTCTGCTTCGATTGCTCCGCAGTGCATCGGAATATGGGTGTCCACGTTACCTTTGTGCGCTCCACGACCCTCGACTCGTGGACGTTTGACCAACTCCGCACGATGAAAGTTGGCGGAAACGCCAATGCTGCTGAATTCTTTCGCCAGAACGGGGCTGGAAACGTGAAGGAAGCGAAGGCGCGTTATATCACTAGGGCGGCGGGCCTGTATAAGGAACGGCTGAAAAAGCTCGTTGACGAGGATGCTAGAAGGTGCGGCTTTGGTTTTCCCACGAAAGCATCTCGCTCCATGTACTCACGTTGCTTCCGATAGATATCCCAATCGAGTGGTCGTAGATCCCGCAGAAGGCGAAGAAGGCGCCGCGCCGACTGCGCGACGCAACAGCGACTTTTTCTCTGGATGGGACGATCTTCCCGCCACTGGGTCTTCGCAGAACTCGACTCCGACCTTGACCGCAGCATCGATCGCACCACCGAAAGCAGAGACTTCGTTTACCCCGCTCGCTGTTCACACGCCAACGCCTGTCGCCGCGCCAGTGAAAGTCGCTCAGGCGACCATCAGTGCAGAAACTGCCGCCGCAGCATCGCTCTCATCGGCATCAGATCCATCCAGGCCTGTTGGCGCCATGCAGCCCACCCGAACCAGTTCCGGCGCCAACATCCTCCGACCTACTAAGAAAGGTCTGGGCGCCAAAAAGGCGACTAAGATTGTCAATTTTGAGGAGGCGGAGCGGTTAGCCAAGGAGGAGCAGGAAAGGCTCATGCGTGAGGAGGATGAAACCAAGAGGCGACGCGAGGAGGAAGAAAAGCAACGGCTGGCAGCTCCTATTGTTCCGGCGGCCACACAATCCTACGGGAACACCAGCGCACCAGCCGCAAGAGCCCCCCCAAAAGTGTCAGCAGAGGAGGCAGCCATGATGGAGCGATTAGGGATGGGCATGGGCAAGTTGGGCGGGTTTGGCTCGGTGGGTGGGTTTGGTGCTACGGGCGGTGTTGGTGCTGGTTCAGCCAAGCCGTCCGCTTCGTCTTCCCAGTATGAGGATAATGGCGACGCTGCCAAGCGATTCGGGACAGCAAAGGCAATTTCCAGTGATCAGTATTTCCAACGCGGCAGCTATGACGAGGCACAGAGGTAAGGAGCCCATGCCACTGAATATATTGCAATAACCTTGATGCATTAAGCCCATTATTCATGACCTCTGTCCGCTTTTTATAGCCGCGAAGCCCGCACCCGCCTTCAGAACTTCAGCGGCCGCAGCGGCTTCGGCTCCGCAGAATACTACGGCCGCGACGAATCCCATGGCGCCCCCGGTGCGCGCGGCTCCGGCTCCGGCGACCCCATGGCCGTCCTCGGCGAGTCGGCCCGCGAATTTGCGACAAAGTTCGTGGGGCAGGCCGCGGATGATTTGGGTACGTTGAAGAAGATTGTTGCGACTGGAGGGAATAAGTTGGGAGAAGTCTTGCAGGACATGTCGGTACGTATCTCGCTGTTTTTTGGTTTTCATGTTTTTTTCTGCTACGGTGTCGGCGAAACCGCGGATGATTTTAGTACCTCATGAAGCCTACCCACTGATCCCACCACAACACCCTCCTTTAGTCTCGCTACTAATGAACGCGTAAAGCTAAACGGCGTGTCCGACAGACATACACACCCACGAAATGCTGATCGCTGGCAAATGGAGCTGGACTTTTGGGAGAATAGGTGGTTCTCAGTCTGTCAACTCCTGTTAAACTCTAGTCCAACCATGCCGATGTGTATCTCGGTACTTTTGTGCCTTTCCTGTGCTTGGTTGTGGTTTACCCCTCTTATTTATCCTTCAACCTTTGTTCTGTAACCTTTTTTATGAATGCGGATTTTACATGTGGTTTGAACCTTGGTCATTCTGGGCGCGCATGATGCGCATATTTCACGAAGGAATGAAACTGCACCGGCGGGTCTATGATAATGTTTTGGTCGACACAATAAGTTACATCAAATACCTCAGGCCCCGCCTACCAACTCTATACAAAATCTACGTTATCCTTCCGTCTAATACAAGGGCCTCACCTACTTCTCCTCAACAAACATAAAAGCATCCTTCGCTCCCTCAATCATATGCCCAACCCTCCTACTCCCCACAACGCGTTCCAGCTTCAACCGATCGTACTTCGTATACAGCACGGTGCAGGTGACGTCCTTGGAGGCGTCCGACTCGAGCATGTTGACCATCTCGGGGTAGAAGGTGTCGCTGTAGTCGGGAAGGGCGTAGAAGACGAGGTGGCGGATGCCTTTTATGCGGTATCTGTGTGAAGGGAGGGATGGTTAATGGGAGGAAAGAAGGGAATTGGGGATGGCGAGGTTGGTGTGTTACCTCCGGAAAAAGTGGAACCGTTCGGTGTAAAGCATGTAGCTGGCTTCACCACGGAAGAACTCGCCACGGGCACCAGAGATTTCACGGCGGGGTGTGTACCTGTGAAGGAAGCAAGTCAGAACCATTTCCCCAACTTCCGCTCCAAACTCACCCCACACATTGCCCATACTCACTCGCAAAGCTGCACCGAGTTATAATTATGCTCCTCCAAATATTTCTTCACTCTCACAAAATCAAAATACGACGGCACGAAAATCATCGAATGTTTCTGCTGCACGACGCTCTGTCTCAACGTCGGGAGGATCTTTTCCACAAAGTACGTGAATCGCGCGTCGTCGGCGTCGATGGGGGACGCGCATGGGACTCGGTGGAAGATCTGCGGAACGGTGATGACGACGTCGGCGATGGAGCCTTGCGTGTAGCGAGGCTTGATTTTGAGCTTGCCGGCGACGTTTTTGCAGTGGGTGGTGAGGAGGGCGTTCATTTCGGGGGTGAGTAGGCGGGAGAAGATGAGGGTTTGGCGGACGTATTTTGCTCTGGAAAGGGGAATCAACTGTGTGAGCTCGTCGCCGAACTTCAGAACGAAGAAAGACCAGTGCTTGCATACCGCCCATCCAAATAGTACGCCCTAACGCGGGAGAAATCACACCCATGCGGATCCTTTGGTATCAGGTTCAGATGCTCAAAGATGTGCTGGACATGGTCCCAGTTCTGCATCAGGAAGACATCCGCACTATCCATGATCACCACCTCAATGGCAGACAGGTAATCAAAGTCCCTCTTCTTCTCTCCCTCTGCTCCAATGACCATTCTTAACCCCAGCGGCGACGCAATGATGATATCCGACGAGTAGAAATCGGCAAACAGCTTAAGCTGCTTGCGCGAGAATTTAATGCCCATTCGGAAACAGTCGTCGATGTTGCCCGCGAAAGTCTTCTTGAAGTCTTCGGACTTTTTGGGGTCGACTGTATCGTCTTCTGGTGGGAGCCCGAACTCCTCAAAGAAACGCTTCTTGTTGTCCTGCTGTTTTGTTCCCGATAAGGCGATTAGCATCTTCACAATCTCCAGGGCCGTGTGCTTGAACGGCACGATGATCAGGACTTTCGGCCGCGTGAAGCCCTGATCCCTGAGGTCCAAATCGTCTGCCGCTTCCGATTTCAGTTTTGTGGTGTTCTTCAACACCCGATCTCTCGTTTTGAAGACGTGATTCATCGCGTGCAAGGCGTACATCTGCCGTAACTGTGCCGAGTTTGCGTGGGTCTGCTTTGCGAACATGACGTCCTGGTATTCATTGACGTGCGGGAACAGAGATGCCTGCAGAGGTGTCATCTGCGCCGTCGCATTCGTGCTGTCCCCCTTCACGGCCGCCCATGATGCTCCGTTCAGTTTCTGCCATGGCTCGTGCAACCGCTGCTTGACTGTGAAGTCTTCAAGGGTTGCATCTCCAGCCTTATGTGTTGATGGATGCGAGGCTGTCTTCAAGCGCAGCTGAACCCCTACTTCCAATTCTGGGTCTTGAACCGGTTCAGAGATCCATTGCAAGTCTGCAGAGTCTACGGCCGAGGCCTGGAATACAAGCCCTTCTGAGACGTGGTCTCCAAAGTGCCGTTCCCAGTGGTCGGTTGACTGTATGCCTGCTACATCGTCGTCCTCTTCCTCGTCTTCGTTCGCCTCCTCAGCGTCTTCGTCGTCTTCCACTTCCTCACCCTCGGACCCGACCTCAGAAGCATCCTCTTCTAGTGCTTCCCCTTCCTTCTGTTCCGACACGCCTTCTTCTATGTCTTCCGTCTCCACCTGCTTCCTGGCCCGCTTTTTAACTATAGAACAAGTCAGCATTCGTTTGCCATAACAAACGGTCCATCAACCATTACTAACCTTTCTCGTCGACCTGTACGTCCTCTGCAGTCTGCGGTTTGGGTAGTTTAAGGCTTTTCTGGCGGTTTTTTGACGACTTTTTCAAGCTTTTGACAAGCTTGTTGAACGAGGAAGGGGCTTCCCAGCCCTCTGCCTCCCGAGTTTTCCGTTTGACCATTGGCTAAGAGTGCGTTTAGGGGAACGAGTGCAAGTCCGACGACAGGTTCAATGTCCAGAGTTTTTGAAGTGCAAACGCGCTGGGGGCAAGCTGCACGTCTGCTCTGTCTGCTTGCAATTCTTGCTCGGTGCCGAGTCTGCCGACGCAACATTCTGCCAGAGCAAAGCAGGAGCAAAGGCTAACGACTACCCCTCCTTTGACCGGAAAACCCAGCCCTCGGCCTCCGCCTCGTCTTGCAAGCCGCGAACGACTTGAGTCCAAGTGCTCCTGGCTGAGTCCGCCGAAAAAAAAAGCACTCAACTCCTGCATTCACCAACTCCACCCCGACCATAATGGCAACCAAATACATCGCCCCCACCAGCGTCCCCATCGACCTAACCCTCACCTCCACCCAACCGCTAAACGAATCACAACTCCTCTCACATCTCACCACATTCCTCGAAACACGGCAACACTTATCCGCCGACGTGCTGTACCAGCTCACGGAGCTGCACCGCAGCGTGCAGTGGCAGGTGGAGAACGGGGTTGCGGGGCTCAAGGTGTTAGGTCCTGTGCCAGCTGGGGCTGGATTTGAGGCTGCGGGTGCGGAGAGTAGGGAGGGTGGTGCGACGGAAGAGGCTGGGAAGAAGAAGAAGAAGGGGAAGAAGGGAGGGAGTAAATGGGCTTGAGGAGGAGCATAGGCAGGGCGCCGATGCGATCACTCGGGATTCGATGCGGTCGGAAATGCAATGGGAGGAGTTGCTTAGGTGTTGCTTTGACAGCAGTCATCTCACGACTCGCGCAACGAACTTCCGCCCAAGTAGGAGTTTGTCGGTCGGTTTTGGCGGGATTTCGACGCAACAAAAAGGAGAACACCACCCCACGCTGCTGCGATAACCCACGAGCGCGACAACCTGGATGGTCGCGATAGAAATGGAACATAGAGGGTGTTCAGTGCTACGTTCGGCATGTGAGAAAGAACAGCCCGGTTTCCCTATTGCGACGAAGCGCAATCACGGGAATGCGTGTACATATAGATCTTCATATTCAATGATCATAGCGACATGAAATATAGCGTATGGGTTTTCCGAGCGAGTATATGGTTGTCTTTGAGCTTTAGTTCTCTTTGCACATGTACATTAATGTGGGAAATGAGAAGGGAGAATGACGAAAGACATAACGTATCCTAGCCTACATGCTACGACCTTGAAAAACTATTCTTTACCGCCAGTAGGTGGATGTATTTCGTCCGTCAAGAGAGCGCATGCCATCTTACGATCTTCTTCTCCTTACACCCGTTTGGTATAATCCAACTTCTCGACCCTGACATCCCCATCAATCAACTGATAAACATACAAAATCACTGTCGGGCCCTGCACATCCATCAACACAAAACTCGGCACCGTCTCCACTTCTCTCCCCTTCACGCCCGGCGGCGCCGCCCCTTCCGCACCATTCCCACCACTCCCACCACCCCCACCAAACGCCCCCGTCGCACTCCCCGGCAAACAGAAAAACCGCCCCTCCATCTCAAACGCCTCAAACCGATGCGTGTTCCCCACAACCAAAACATCCACGTCCATCTCCCGCGCCACGATCCCCAGCGCGCGTTGGTCGCCCCAGGGTACTACTTGATGGCCGTGGATCAGTCCAATTCTTAACGGGCCGTGCGTCACAACCCTTGACGCAGGGACCGCAGATGATGAGGCCCCACCCCCCGATATCGAGGAAGCAAGACCGGTCTCGTCCATGTCGCCCTTGACGAGCAGGATATCGGAGCATACGGAGCGGAGGTAGTCGAGGGTCTCGCGGGAGGTGAGATTGCCTGTGCAGAGGATTTGTTGGATTTTGCCGGGGACGAGGAGACGTTTGAATTTGGCTGGGAGGTCGACTGCCCGGTGGGGGATGTGGAAGTCGCCGACTGCTAGGACTAGCATGTTTGGGGTGAGTTATTGGATGGTGGTGGTGTCTGAGGTTGGGTTGGGGGCGAGGCGGTGGGCCGTGGGCTGGGCCGTGGGTGGTGTGATGGGCGATCGGCCGTGGATCACGGAAGTGACAGCTTTCGGTGGAGAAAGTCCTTGCGAGTTCGTAGTGGATGTTCAACAGGGGAGCCGGACAATGCAGGCAAGATGTTTGGCTTTCTTGTGCGGTGAGAGGTTTCGCAAAGGACTCGGAGTGACACTTTCTGCTGAGGTGCTGCCGTTCCTTGCGTTTTGCTTCCAGCAGCTAACGCGGTTGCATTTTAAATATTCGTTCAAATCAAAACCCACAGTTTTACAGTCAGTCAATGCCATGTGTGTATTTTCAATATCGCTACGCAGATGTAATCAGGGAGACTGGGTTGTCATACGGGACGGTGTAAGGAGAAACAACATCGCATCCTTCCGATCTAGAAGATGCCATAAATGAAAGCATTGCTCCACCCCGGCAAATTGGTATCCTTCTTCCACTGATACACCGGCTGCCTAAACGGGTTAACCTCCGGTTTGACAGTGAGCGGGCACCCAATCAAGTCCAACTGCTTGGCAATCATGTCCACAGTATGCTCCATTTGCTCCGTCAAGATGGTCTTTTGCCTGTTCTCAATCAGCAGACGCACGGTGGGCAGCCAGGACGGGCTGGAGATCAAGCTCGAGTTCATGATGATGACCACGTCCGGTTTGCCCGTGCCGAAGGGCAGGCCTTCGGCTTTGTAGGCGTCGCCTGTGATGTGCGGTTCGCCGTAGAGGGATTCACGGAGAGTGATGAGGATTGTGGAGTCCATTTGCTCGTTGCGGATGCCGATGGTGGCGTGTTGGGGCGGTACGCGGGAGGAGACGGAGGGGGAGATCATGTGCAGGGCAATGTCGGTTTTGGGAATGAGGGAGAGGAGGAGTTCGAAGAGCGTGCAGAGGTCGGCTTCCTTTTCGACGCCGGCCATGTGGATTGTTAGTGCGCGGCGGCCTGTAATGATTCAGGTATAAGGGTAGAGCCGTGAGTAAGTGGTAAGCGGATATCGGAAAACCACAGTGAGCACAAAGTATTCATTCAGAACCCACCATCAGGTTTCGTTTCAAGCTTGTCCAAGACGAACTTGTTAAGAATATGCCACACAGTAAGCGGCACCTCCAGAACCAGCGCGGCGGGGTCATCCATGCTCAACTTCTTCAACTCATAGTACTTCTTCCACGAGTCGATTTCCCTTACGTTGTAGCCCTCAGGGTACGGCGCCGATAACGGGAACAGCTCATTGGACAGTCCGAGCAGCTTGAACCTCTCCAGCGGGTCGGCCAGCTGGCCGGACTGCATCTGTTGGATATGAACGGCGGCGAGTTCGCCGTATTGAAGGTGGGAATAGCAACCGCAGAGACGGCGGAAGACGCCGACGTTGTGCACGTCTTTTTGGGCGAGGAAGGCGACTTGGTTGTAGCTGGCGAGTTGCTTTTCGGAGTTGTAGAAGTCGAAGGGGAGATCGTGGAGCTTTTCTTTGTCGACGCGTTGCATGTTCGCTTTGAAGCCTGGGCAGATGGGTTTATGTTGTGGCCAGTCTTTTTTCTACAGGAGAAGAAGCTATCGGATCAGGTTTCACGCCGTTTTTGCACGCAGCATTATCACAATAGGGAACTCACCGAGCACTCAGCAGAACAGTAGATCATCGCTTTACAAGCACTGCATTGGCTCGCCTTGCCATCAATCTCCTTCTTACACGTGAAGCAGCCTCTGTTCGGTTGCGGGCCAAACTGTGGCTTTTCGCCAGCGGGAGCAGGCCCTACTGGTGATGTCGGTAGTACCAGCGGGATTTGGGGGCCCTTTGCCATATCTGCCTTCCTCTTTTCGTAGTAAGGAGCAAGCTCCGCTTCCAGTGCTTCGGCGGTATCCACTCTGATGCCATACAGTTCCAGCTTCTTTCCAACGTCTTTGATGTCCCTCGGTGAGCATTGACGACTGTGCAAGAAACTGACAATCTTTGGCCGCTGAACCTTAAGCTCCTGGCTGGGTGCCGAAATAGCTTTGACAATTGCAGCGGCGATGAATGCAGCCGTGACCTTTTTCCCGCCCTCAGCCGCCTCGAATGTCCTCAGGTTTCCGTCTTCCGCGACTGCCACGGCCGTGTTGGTGACGCCAATCTCCCAAGGCGTTTCCGTGACGGGCGCGTTCGCAGCGTCCTTTGCCCATCCCTCCGCCTCCTCTACTAAGCTCTTTGCGACCCAGTTGTCCAGCGCATTGACCGTCCTTTTCCCGCCCGCGAGCACATTGTGGAGTAAGGCGAGCAACAGGGAGGGAAAGATGATTAATCCGACCAAAGCGCCAGCCAGGTGAGGCTCTGCTTCTATCGCGCGTTGTGGGTCCGCTACGAGTTTCGGCAGGAAGGCGAATATCTCGTCGAAGAATGTTGTTGGAGAGAACCCACGTTCCGTCGTAGCGTTGAACGCCGTGCCATTAGTGTCGGCCATCTGGAAAGGGAAGGGCGAATTGAGTGGACGTGTTCAAAAGTTGTCCAGAGTAGATAAGGAGTGATTTATCGATACTCTCGTAGGAGTAACGCCCAAAGGATCAAGGTATCGTTTCCTTTAAAGCCAAGAGATATAGTGCGAGAGATACATACGGTGATCGTCGGCTCTCGCGAAGGGGGGAAGAACACACGACGAGTAAGGACGAAAGGCGCATTGCCGCTTCTTGAGGAATCGAAGTCACGAGACGTCACGTGCAGATCACAAATTCCATCTCTAAAAAGTCGGCTTCTTTTTTTTCCGACCGTCAACGCCCAGCCGATCGCCCTGGCCAAAAAACTACCAAATTTTCCATCTTACGTCGGAACTCGCCCAACCAACCGCAGGCGTGGACGACAAACCTGCATGTCCAGGATGCGCAACGAACGCGTAAAACCTGGACAGATCGCAAATTCCGCCCAGTGCACAAAGGGACATGAGCGTTGAACATTCGATTTCGATGTGCCCCATCGATGTGTCCATTTCGATGGGGCATAACGTGCGTGTGCATCGACCGTGGGCAGCTGAGGCATACACTTTTTGTCCAGCGCCCAGCTGTCTCGGCGTGTCTTGCATGTGCATCGGCGTACATACACGGCGTTCGCCAGCGGCCAGTGGCATACGCTCGAATCTTGCGAGGCTTGCCCTGCCACCGCTGTTGTGTTTCAGATGCTACAGGGCATTTATAATCTGACAGGGTGGGATGCCTCCCCGCACATCTTTCTGCCCTTGGCCCGTTGGATTTGTGGGCTCCGTTCGCTATCTCCGACTCTCCGACTCTCTCCACGTGTATGCTTATGGGCATCTGCTAAGAAACTGACAAGCTGTTGCATCCGGGCGGACCGATCTCTAAGCGTCACGCAAGCAAACACGAACGAGAGCCGAACGCGGAGGCGGGGTTAAGACTTCGCGGACTTCCTTGGCTTGGTGACTTCATAGATATTGTAACGCGCCCGACACAAGCACGCGGGAAGCGCCGAAATGAACACCATGCAAGGTCGCTCCCCTCTCTCAAACCCATCACTCTCAAACTCCCGCAACCAAACTGACAATCCTCATCGCTTTTAGCATATGTCCTCAGCAACGCATACTACTTAGACAGCTTTCTCTGCTTGGAAGCACACCCACCTCTCCCTTTTCCAAGTCCCGCCTCCTCTGTGCAGGACGAACTTACGTCTCAAGAAGACCCCCACACAACAACAACAATGGAGGCCTCACCCGACATCCAGCCCTACAATGGAGGGCCACCAGCCGAACGCAGCCCGGAAGCCTCCGAAACCGGTTCCCACGATCACGACAACGACCATGACCACGACAGCGAGCTCGACCACCACTCAGGCGACGACCACTCAGGCGACCATTCCGGCGAGGACCACCACAATTCCCACGAGAATACTGGCGGCGGAAGTGGGGATACACGGCTGCCGAAACGGAAAAGAGCGTCCAAGGCGTGTGATACGTGCAGGAAGAAGAGGACGAAGTGTTCGGGAGACTTCCCGTGTTCCGGGTGTCATGCGTTTGGGTTCGAGTGTCATTATACCGAGAGTACCAAGAAAAGAGGGCCGGTAAAGAAGAATAAGATGAAGACGTTGGAGGAGAGGTGAGAATTTGGCCTGTGATTGGGTTTGCGAGAGGCGTACCCTGCGATGGACGAGCGATAGAGGGCATTAGTGGCTTTTGTTTTGGCGCGTGGTGGTGGCAATGGCATGGGAGGTGTGGGAGCTAGAGCGACCTCAAGGCACGGGCAAGGTGTTTAGTCGGTGTCGCATACTCACTCATCCCTTATTACCCAACGCAGATTGAAGAAAATGGAGACGCTGATCGCTTCAGCGTCGCCCGAGGGAGATGCCACAATCCATGAAGCACCCGCGCAACCAAAGAAGAAAAGATCAGAATCGAGTCTGGGCGGCGGCTCGGGCTCCAATTCAAAGCATCACGGGCCTTTGACGGATGGGTCGATAGAACCGGTGGCGAGGAGATCGAAGCTTGTGAATGATCCGGGATGTCTGGTGGAGGATTTGGGAGGCAACTTTGTGCTGTACTTTGGAAACATTTGCCATGGTAAGCATAGAGTCCATTACAATGCTAGCGGCCAAGTATTTGTTGCGCATCTCGGCCCTTTGGAACACTTTCCTCATGGTCTCCTGTTTTTCGCCATTGCCAGCCGCCTCACTGGCACAACATTCCACCCGAAACTCCGATGGCCTCCTCACTCTCCCTCTCAAATTCCCCGCCCGCGTCGCCGACCCATCCTCCCCACACCACCTCATCGCCCTTCGCGAAGTTCTTCCCCTCACCCACGACCAAATCATCCGCCTATGCTCCCTCTACTTCGATGCAGTCCATCCGTACGTTCCGCTCGTCGACAAAGACAGCTTCTTTTCAACACTCTCTGACGGCCCGGATTCACATGCGTTCCGAGCGCTATTGTACTCGGTGCTTATAGTTGCGGCGTATCATGCTACCGCGTTGCCGAACTTCACGATCGACCCAGTTGCATTGGATGATTTGACGAGAAAAGTGAGGGATATACTGATTGACTACGAGGTACGTGATCCATTGTTGATACATGGAACGGGATCCCTTTCTCTTTCGTGGCCTCTGACGAACATACTTCACAATGTTTTCCAGGCACCACATATCTGGATAACCCAAGCCACCCTTCTCCTCACACTCCTTTGGTACGGCAAAGGTCGGCGAGTAGTAAACAAATGGCGTGCAGTAGGGTGGGCCATTCGCAGTGCACAAGAACTGGGCCTGCATCGCAATCTGTCCAATATCCGCAAAACGGCTCGCGTGCAGGATCCGGCAGGCAATGAGGAGATGCGGCGAAGGACATGGTATTGGGCGTATATCCTGGACCGGTACTCGAGTATTGGGTCGGGGAGGCCGACGTTGATTCAGGATGAGGAATGGTTAGTTTCCGATTAATTCAACGGGTGGCGTTGGGCCTTTCGTCTTGCTTGGCAAGCAAATCACAGTTTTGTACTGACGCCATCAACCCCGCAGGGACGTTCCATACCCCCAAGGCTACAACGACAGCGAGCGCCAAAATGGTGACGTGGAGTATATGCGTCAACACGCGGACCTGTGTCGAATCGTGGGCAAGCTGCTGCGGTTCACCAACGCCGTGCGCGCGCCGGGTTCAAAGAAGACCGCGAGCGCTAAGGATACCGCGGACGACTTGCATAGGGATTTGGAGAAGTGGGGTGAGGCTTTGCCCGCAAATTTATCGTGGAAGGCGGAGCACAGTGAGAAGGTCTGGAGCCGGAGGAGGTAAGACGAAGCGATATCGGCGATAATAGGATTGCGGAAGTCGATGGGGACTAACCATCACCATTTCTGATTGTCAACAGTATCCTGCACGCGACAAGCCATGTCTGCCGGCTCTACATCAAGCGCAACGTTCTTGGCCTGCACGATTCCCGCTCCAAAGCCATCAGCCTCGAGCTCATCGGCATCCTCGAAACACTCCTAACTACCGCCGCTTTCCGTCCATCTACCAACCTCGACACAATCACCAAACCCGAATCCACCACCACCTCACTCCCCCAATCCCCCTCCAGCGGCGCCAACACATACGTCTTCCCGGGTCTCATCATCTCGTTCTTTGCGGCCTGGGACTGCCACGTTTCCCTCTACATGGCGGGCGATACGGACAGCATGGTGCACGTCGAGCGGCTACACTCCATCATGGAGACGCTGGAAGCCACGTTCGACATCTTCACACCGGTCATGATGATGATGGCACACACGCTGGAGAGTAAGGGCATCCATACGCGTTTGAGACGCTGGGCGCATCGACGAGCAAAAGGCGACGCGGCGTTCCCAGCCGACGCAAAGAACGCTCAAAGTGCGCCAATACCCGTCCCCATGTCCTCGGGCATTCCGAACGGGATGTTCCCCTCACCCGTCCAACAAGCATACGCCGCATCGCGCGTCTCGCCAAACACAAGCGCCGTCGCATGGACCTCAAACCCAAACATCACCGCCCCTTACCCGCGTCCGCAGCACAACATCTCTTCGCAAAGTTACCAGCAAATCGACCCGCTCGCCACCCAACAACAAGCGTACCCGGGCCTGTCCAACCCTGCCGCAATGTCGTACTATGCAACAGAACCCAACGCAGGCGCACCCGTTTACGCGATGCTCAACCCGGTCCCTGGTGCGAACGCGAACGGGAATGTGAATGTGAGTCAGGGCGTGGCTGCTGCTTCTGCGAATAACCCGATTGGGGGGAATATGGTCCGCAGCACGTTCTTGGATGAGGACTTTTTGGCGGCGATGTTTGGGGAGGTGGCGGATCCGAGTATGTTTGATTTTGTGGGGTATGTTTAGTTTAGGGAATCGCTTTCTCTATGGGAATTGGAAGGAGTGGGATTTTTTCGTCCCCGTCCACCCCCTCTTGTTTTGGAACGAGATAAGGGTGTGTGAAGGGAAGGGTGTGTATATGTACTTATGCACCGATACGAAAACGGGTGGGAAGCGACAACATGGCGCGACTCGCTCCTTAATGAACCGAAATCGTGAAAAAGTTTCATTCTGTGTACGAATATGTATGCTTGTAATGCTGCATCTCGCAAGTTTGCTTTCCTCCTATCACAAAGGAGGCAAAGGACAGAAGGACGTACTTCGCTGGTATGGACGGACGACGGTTCGGCGTGTGAGCTCGGTCCGTGTCCTCCGCTAGCGCAATACGAAATAATTCCCTCTCTACAAGTCTCATCATGCTCTCTTCCTTCTGACGCTGGCCAAGGGACTCTTCTTCCTCTGTTTCACTGACTGCTGTCAGCATACTCATAGTCCGAACACGCGCTGTCATCAATCAGACCTGCGCGCCTCCGCTTTGGTTCGTTGCCACCGCTTTGGTTCGTTGCCAGGTATTACGACCATAAGGCAGAGTGGTCTCCAATAAGGCAGAGTGGTCTCCAGGGTTAAGCTCGGTTTCCCAGCTGAAGTGCCAGAAAAACGCACCCCGCGAACGCCTGAAGATGTACCCTCAGACCCACCAGCGGCCCCCCCTCTCCCACCCCTTCCCCCAACATCCCCGTCGTAAATGCCCTGTACCATGGTGTACGTCTTCCCCTCCCAGAAGTCACGGTACAGGCACAACAAGCGGTGCCAACTAGCGTCCTCCAATTTGCAGAGCGGCGGGATGTTATGCACCACGGGATCCATAGCAGCGGACGCGGGGAGGCGTGATTGTGGGATAAAGAGTTTCGCGCGCAAAATCCACGCGAAGTTTAGGTAGGATTCGGCGAATTGACCAGCCGGATTCGTCTCAAGCTGAACAGGGGGCTGGTTTGGGCGTGGGAGCATCGGTGCAACCGCCACCCAGCGATGAAAGTCACGCTCTTCGCTTGCAAAGAGGAACTTAAGAAAATGGTAGCGATTCCGGTGGTAATATCGAACGAATGGACCAGGGATGGGCGGGGCTTCGAAGAGCTCACCTCCGCATTGGTTTGTAGTCCCGGTTCTCCTACCACCACAGCGGGGGCCGGGAGTTGCCCCAGCGGAGCAGGTCGCGGTCCACTCTTCCGCGATAGTAGTGCCCTGGGAGAATGATAATAGGTATTTGTGGTTCAGATATGCTGGAAGTCGACAGGTAAGGAGATTTTTGCGCACGGTGCTGGATTGCAGACATGTACTGTACAGTACTGTACTGTATATGTACATGTACTGTACAATAAAGGTGAGGGACGCGTTTTCCTTACGTTTTCTTGATGGACGCGTTTTCCACCGCTCTTTTCGAAAACAAGCGGATGCCATCATCTCTATGTCTGTACAAAGCGAATTCGGGGATGTCTCCCGGCTTTCAGGAGAGCGCAAGGAGAGCGCACGGAGAGCGCAAGGATAGTGGGTAGGGAGAGTGGTACCGCCGACCTTCCATTCGCTTCAAGGAGGATGCTACGGCTCGTAAGGAGAACGGGAGGATTGGTTGTAAGGAAACTGCAAGGGATTCCAAGGAGGGTGGTACGTAGGAGAATACGCCCCCATTCGGTCTCCCCCGTGCCTTCTTCAAAACGAATCTCAAGCTGACGCCCGGATAATAATTATGTGCGATCCGTCATAAGTCACTTAGCGTGATATACATACTGTACAGTACAGTAATATTCCCAGTGACTCTCGTGACAAACACTTCCGCGTTACCATCTCCTGAATCGGTTGGTCGACGGCGGGAACAAAACCTAGCTCTTGCATTGGCCATCGTTTGTATTGTCACCAAGAAGCGACTAGCTTTCCTGGTAGAGAGTGCAAGAAAGAGCAATCTTCGACAATCTCGTACGATTGCTGATCTACGAGCCTTCATCTTCGCGCCATCCCGCCACACAACAACAATGGGCCAAACATTCTACGCTCTCACACCTGGGCATCTGAAGTTCATAGCCGCCCAGCACATGTTCTTCGTCGCCACCGCCCCCCTCAGCGCCACGGCCTCCGTCAATGTCTCACCAAAAGGCTACGACAGCTTCCACGTCCTGTCGCCTACACGGGTTGCCTACGTAGATCTGACCGGGTCAGGCGTAGAGACCATCTCTCACGCCCGCGAAAACGGACGCATCACCATCATGTTCATCGCGGTTGATGGCCCGCCAAATATCCTGCGCTTGTACGGCCGTTGCACTGTGCATCTGCGCGGGACACCAGGTTTCGAGGAGTCTTTGCCACAGCACTTGCAGGATATGGTGGCTGCGCGAGCCGCTATCGTGGTCGACGTGAGCCGCGTGACGAGTGTATGTGGCTACGCCGTGCCGTTCTACCAGTTTGTAAAGCAGCGGGAGACGCTTATCGACCATTGGGTTAGGAAAGGAGAATCCGCACTGGAGCCCTATCATCGGCTGAAGAACAGCAAAAGCATTGATGGGTTGCCGGGGTTGTGGTACCCATGGCATGCGCGGTGGTGGCATGCGTATTTGCGTTGGCGGTCTCGCTCGAGCTGGGACAGTGCTGTGTTTTTTTGCCTCGGGATGGCAGCTGGCTCTTTCATCATCACACGACCCTTCGCCGAACGCCGACTTGGACTTGGGTTTGGAACCATATCATTTTTGTAAAGTCAAGCTCAACAGAGTCTTCTTTCCCCGCTGATTATGCCAAGCACGTTCCCTTGGCTGCGGGTTCGCTAGATCCCACCCGCCGGAAGCTCGTTCATCTCCAAAGAGAAGCGAGGAAGATATCGTTCCTTTACTCCAATTCGCAGCGGCAAGAACAAGCGAGCGAGTGTCCCTCCGATTCAAGACCCATTATACAGGAGGCGCTCGAAATAAATGGTACATACCGCGCATCGAGCGTCAGATTATCTTTCTTTCGTGTTCCTGCGTCATTAAAGAGCGACATCAAGTCGGAGAGGCCAGTTCGACGGTCGAAAAACACGCCAAATTCGATCCTGCTTCTGTTAAACCATCTCCTTCCCAGTAGCGCGCATTTCTGCAAGATATGTAGTATACTTGGCGCTTCTGTCTGATAGTTGACAGTCCGAATTTGCCCCCCCAGGAAACATTTAGGTGCGGAGTTTAGGATAAATGGTCATTTGGAAAACATCTATAGCCGCATTTAGCCCCTCGATCTCTTGATCCCTGGACTCGCTCAAATATCGTCACCGGCGCTCACTGGTCTCGGTGACATTTGGCCTGAATGGACCGGATATTTTGGCCCGAAAATCGACAATATATCTTTCCTACCACAAAGATTCCATCGCCAACCGGGGATCTGGATAGTGGATTTGGAGATTTCTAGCCTTTTGGTGAGACATGGGGGCACAGGGGTGATCCACCTCCCGATACAATCGACTGGAAAACGATCCCGCGACGGGGTCGGACCGTGGGTTGATGGGTGTGGGAAGTACGCCTTTTGTGTGCTGAGTCGTTGTTGACGTGATCACCATCGACAGCCCGAATGACAGTAATTGACGGTCTCGTCCATGGATAAATTGAAGGATCGTGGAGGCGCAACCACAAAAGTTATCCAACCTGCATTGGATAGTAGGAGTCGGATAGGACGCCCCAGTAGCTTTTCCCCCATGTGCCAGCGGCGTTTGGTAGTACCGATAGATACCGTGTGACTTTTCTCGTGCTACAGAAGCAAGATACAGAGTTCCACAAAACCGCCACGAGGTGTTCGCATTTCAAAATTCAGGGTCACATGAATGCTTTCGTCACCGCTGTGCCCACTGTGGGCCTCGAATGGGAAATCTCCAAATCCACTATCCAGATCCCCCGTTGGCGATGGAATCTCTGTGGTATATATATAGGTAGTAGTACCATAGTACCAGCTGCCACGAACCCTAAATTTTGGTAAGATTCAGGCCAAATATCACCGAGACCAGTGAGCGCCGGTGACGATATTTCATTTTGGTTGGGTGTCACCGTGTTACTCGGAAGCTAGCGCCGTCAAAGGACAAGGCGACGACCAATGATGGATCGCAGATGGGCACTGCCATGCTTGGGGAGCTCTCCTCCCGACAAGGCATCGTCTCATCTGTAATTATCTCGTCTCGCCTTGTTTGTATTGTACTACACAGCAAGCGAGCCGAGGCCCGTTTAGCACAACCATAGATGATTCAACATTGCGGGAACATCGCAGCATGCCCTGTGTGCGCTTTGCTTCCCGAGTGATGCGGAGCTCTACTACTCAAGTCGATGCAACGGCAACGGAGATCTTACTCTGGTCCCTCAGCGAATATAAAAGCAGATGGGTTGAGAGTGCCCTCAGTTAGTCGTTAACAATTGTGAAACTTCCGTCCACAATGCGCCAGTCCAGCCTCGTCTCCCCTCTCCTCTTGGCCGCCGCCGTCCTGGCGGCGCCCCAGTCTACCGGTAAGCAGTCTACGATTGGCATCCTCACCTTAGCTTTGATGCAATTCTAATATATTCCTTCCCTAGCTTCCCCTAACGACTGGGACAAGTATCTCGCAAAAGCGAAGCAACTCGTGGACAAGCTGAACCTGGACGAGAAGATTGTCCTTACGACGGGTGTAGGATGGGGTGCAGATGTGGGGAACCCATGCGTCGGCAACATCGGCCCCGTCGAGAAGATCGGCTTCCCTGGCTATTGTCTGCAAGATGGTCCAGCTGGGATCCGTTTTCCAAAGGGCGTCTCCGTATTTCCTGCCGGGATCAACTACGGGGCAGCGTTTGACAAAACCCTTCACCGCGCCCGGGGTGAGAAAATGGGCGCAGAGTTCAGGGGTAAAGGAATTAATATCGGACTCACCGCTTGTGTGGTACGTTCATCTTGGTGGATCCCTACATCACCGTTCTAAGCGTTTGCGGTCTCTAAACGCTCTTCTATCACAGGATATCGCTCGCGTTCCCGAGGGCGGAAGGCAGTGGGAAGGTTATGGGGCAGATCCCTACGTCGCGTCCGTCGGAGTTTCGAACTTCATCGAAGGCATGTCCTCGCAAGGCGTCATCACAACCGTGAAGCACTTCGCGCTGAACAACCAAGAACATGGACGCGAGCTGAGCTCTAGCAATGTCGATGACCGCACTTTCCGCGAGATCTACCTCCCTGCCTACGAGGCTGCGATCAGCGCTGGCGTCGGGGCCGTCATGTGCAGTTACAACCTCGTGAACGGCACCTACGCTTGCGAAAACGATCGTCTTCTCAATGGCGTCCTTAAAAAGGACCTCGGCTTTAAGGGCTTTGTGATGTCCGACTGGTGGGCTGCCAAGACGGACAAAGCGCCTGCTCTTGCTGGCACGGACATGATGATGCCGGGAACGAAGGTTTGGGGATCACACGAGAGTTGGTGGGGCGCGAACCTCGCTCAACTCGTGAAGGCGGGACAAGTTCCCGAGGCTCGCTTGGACGACATGGCCGTCCGAATTCTCGCCCCATGGCTCAAGTCCGGTCAGAACAAGGGCTTCCCCGCGACGAACTTTAACTCTTTCAACGGCATCTCAGGGCCGGATGTTCAGAAGGATCACAAGAAGCACATCCGAGAGGTGGGCGCTGCTTCCAGCATTCTCCTCAAGAACAAAGATGAAACCTTGCCCTTGACCAAGAAGCTGAAGTCCATTGCCGTCATCGGAGAGGATGCCGCTACTCCCGCGGATCCCAACCAGTTCGCAGATCGCGCTGGCGTCAACGGCACCGTCGCTCTTGGTTGGGGTTCTGGAACTGCAGAGTTTCCGTACTTAGTTGGTCCTTTCGACGGGATCAAAACTCAAGCTTCCGCCCTCAAGATCCCCGTCGCGGCTTCCCTGAGCAACACCGACCTGGCTAAGGCCGTCGCGGTCGCCAAGAAAGCAGATGTGGCTGTTGTTTTCGCGTTCGCTGATTCGGGAGAAGGCTACCTTAACGTCGAGGGCAATCAGGGCGATCGCAACGACCTCCACCTCTGGCATGGCAGCGAGGCCCTTATCAAGGCTGTCGCGGATGTCAACAAGAATACGGTGGTCGTAATCCACGCACCGGGGCCTATCTTGCTCGATTCCTTCATCGACCACCCCAACGTCAAGTCCGTCATCCACGCTCTGCTGCCTGGCCAAGAGTCTGGCAATGCTATCGCCGACGTTCTGTTCGGAAAGGTCAATCCTTCGGGCCGCCTGCCGTTCACAATCAACAGGAAGGCTGAGGACTGGGGCGTGCATGTCACCTACTTTGGCGATATTCCGGCCGACAGCGCCAACAAATGTATCACCTGTCCGAACATCACTTACTCCGAAGGGCTTCTTGTGGATTACCGCTACAACCAAGCCAAAAAAGTCAAGCCCTTGTTCCCGTTCGGTTACGGGCTTTCTTACACCAAGTTCATCTACTCCCAGCTCTCCGCCAAGGTTACCCGTAACTCCGGTCGCCCCACCGCGGTGGTGAAGGTGGATGTGAAGAACAGCGGGCATGTCGCTGGCCACGAGGTTGTGCAGCTCTACGTGCAGGCGCCGAAATCGGCGGGCAAGGCTTTCCGCGAGCTCAAGGGTTTTGAACGGGTGTTCCTGAAGCCCGGTCAAGTGAAGACCGTATCGTTGACCCTGACAACTCGTGACTTCAGCTACTGGTCGACCCAGAAGCAGAAGTGGGTCGTTCCCAAGGGTGACTTTGGGATTTATGCAGGTCCCAACAGTGGCGATCTCCCAAAGGTCGCGAAGATCACCCTCTAAACATACCCTACACCCCAGTTCGCAGTCTTTTCTCATCCTTAGATAGCTAGATAGGCTGCACGAACAACTGTAACATACTAAGCAATCAGCATCACCATTACCGCAATATCAGATTTCTCAGTCTTACTGTCTTCCAGTGCGATATGTGTGGTTGCCCGGTCCCAGAACGGAGTAAAGAGACAATAGTGAGAAAACACCCCTTTTCACATGCGCGGGAAACTTGGTACCCATTTACGCGCAATGTTATTTGGTACAAAAGTTGCGGGATATACAGTACAAGGCTACAAGCGGCTTGTCTCCCTCCCGCCACTGCAGCCTTTTCTAGTCGGCCTACAGTACAGTTGTAGAAAACCCGCTCAAAAGCCTCAACCCGTACTACGGTCATTATTCGCGCTGTCGTATTTTGCAAAATCGCCAACACCAGATCGCCCGTTCTCCGCCTTCTATGGAAATGCCGGCCTTCTGGCCCCTCACCACCACGCTGCCGGCGTGGACTAGGGACCCGACACAAATGAAGTTCGATCGCCTTCCGCCCAATATTTTGGGGCAACGAGATCTTGTTTCGACAAATCAGCCAACGGCGGAGGAGATTGCCGCCGATGCAGCAATGAGGAAAAGCATCATCACCTCAGTGCGAAAAGTCTACTCTGGCGTGACAGCTCTATACTTGACTTTCATCGTGATGACGGCGTTGTGGTTTGTTTGGAGGACAAGGAAGGATTCTGCATTGGCCAAGGTATCCGGACTCTGAGAAAGTTCACGTTGAAAATGAGTTCATTAAGCTGACGGACATCCCGCTTGTCGTTTTTCGATTTCGAATGACTAACAGCGTTCGGTCTGGCTAACAATGGTTGGCTTTCTCGGAAACTTTCTGATATCGTTCCCATTCCTCATGCTGCAATCCATGAGCTTCCCTTGCCCCATGATCATGATTTGTGTCTATCTCGGCGTCTCCCTCACCGTCTTTTCTCTGTCCGCTCGTGCCTGGCGTCTACGATACCTTTTCCGATCGCACCAGGAAAAGCTAGCCAGGATGCGCAATTTGGAGGGCAGATATACCGGAGCGACGCCAGCGAAGACCGTTGATATTGATGAGGACGATGAAAATGCCCATGAGGAGGATAGAGAAGGGGAAGAGCAGGACTCGCTGGAGCCCCTCGGAACAAGAAAGAAGGCGGCTGCGGAATCGAGGGCCGACACCTTGGCGGGCTCCACAAATCTAGTGAGTGGATCAACAATACTTGGTGAGGGGAATATACCGACACCAATGCCTGTCCGCGGACAGAACTCTCGAATGTCAACCGGCAAACCGATTGCAGCCGGCTTCTCCGGCGCAAACGCAAGCGCGGCAACAATAGCTGGTCGGAACGGAAGTCAATTCCTACCGCCCAGTGGGACACATCCAGGGATCAATCGCGCTCGGGGTGGAAGTGGGGACGAGGGAGTTCCAACTGCGGCTTCACGCCCGCGATTGGGAGCATTCATCGCTCAGAGCAAAAGTCGAGCACAATCATTCTTTGGCTTTTTGTTCAACCAAATGGACAGCGATGCCTTCGCAGCTGCGGAGGAGGGTCAAATCACGTCACCAACTTCCCATCGTGCTCATTTCGGTGGGCGGTCTCAACGCTTGGGCAGCAGCGCCTTGCAGAAGTCACAGACAGGGGGCCTACCAGGTCTGCGAAATGGCTCGACGGCAGGCGCAGGTGCCAGCACATTCTCATTTTTCAACAAACGCCGCCTTGGCTCAACCACTGGCCCTTCTCCAGGCCCTAACTTCCACCATCGAGCCTCGTCGGCCCTTACGAACACTCAAAGTACCGCTACATCCCAAGATGAACCTACTCGCAAACTACTGTACATCCTTGCATTCGTCATTGCCTTTGTCGTACTGTATATCAGCGTCGTTCTGATATTCACAAAGCAATTCAGCGTGAATCCCGTCAGTTACAAATGCCGCATGGGAACTTGGGAGATGACACCTGTACTCGTGCTGATGGGTGGCTTCTTCATGTTTGGATGCCCCGCGTTGTGCTGGTGGTTGTGGAGGGACCATGACACATATGGCATACGAAGAGATCTGATTGTGTTTGCCATTGGAGGAACCACCATCGCTATCATGTGAGGACCACTCGAGAATGTTTACTGGTGGACAACTACTCAATGATTCCATTTTCAGGTACGGAATACAGCAGATGCTCCTTCCTGATGGAATTAACTATGGCGAATCAACCCTCCGACTCTACTTTGGCGCCTCTAACTGGATCGTCATCGGCGTTGCGATCGGTCATCTTACGTCGATATTCTTTCCCCTCCTGGGCTCTTATGATATCCACCCAGGCCGATCTTTGGAGATTTTCTTCGGCAGATTGTACCGTGCCCCGTCGCGGGACACAAACTCCGAGGACGGAGGCAGCATAGAAAAGCTAGATCAGCTGAGAGGTGCCAAGCAAACAGTCCCCGGGAGTACAGACTCCGTAGCTGCAACCGGAAGCGGCGACATTGCGGAACTACAACCATCGGATAAGAAGAACTGCCTCCATATCGGAACCCATGAGGCGGCCGTTGGTTACAATCCAGCCGTAAAACGGAATGCACACACTTCTTCTACGTCGAGAAGAACGAATCAACGCAGTGGAGGACCAAGCGGACGTAAACCGAACGGAGGGCATCCTCCAAAGAAATGGAAACCAGGCGCATCGACAGTTACCTGGACGCTATTCCAAGGAGTGCTGGATGACGAAACATGTTTTGAATCGTTCAAAACGTTCGCAGCGCGAGACTTTGGTGCGGAGAACCCTTTGTTTTACCAGGAGTACAGGAAACTCATGGGTGAAGTCCGAGCGGCACAGGAAGCCGAAAAGGGAGGGCCGGTAGGAGGACAACCTACGGCAGGTTCTCGACGGCCGTCAACTGATCCGCCGCCTCAGTCTATTGATGATACCCCATCGAGGAGTCCCAGACCTGATCAGCCCCAAGGGGTGTCGGAAAAACCGCGGTCACATGTTGCGGAAGCTCCACTTCCGGACGAACATCGACTGGGAGCCACTCAATCCGGCGCGATAAGTAGAGACTCGGTAGCCGCCAAGAACTACCCAGTTTTTGACTTCACGGATAGCGATAGCATCGCGCCAACACTCCGTAGCAAAGTGGCCAACATGCTTCTCGCAGGAAAAGCCAGCCGCACAAGCTCGAAAAACCGTAACAGCAAGCAAAGCGTCTCAACGCAACGCAGTCAAATATCCCTATTTGGGTTTGGCTCGTCGTCACAGCCCACACTGCACGCTCCACCCGTCGCTGGATCAGAAGGGGGGCTCCTAATCCCTCCGTCCATGCGCGGTGACTATGAGACGTTTTACAACACATTTGTGGCTCCCGGATCGCCCCTTCAAGTATCGCTTCCCGCGCGAATCGTCGAAGACATTGCCAAGCAAGTAGCGGATGAATCACGGCGCGTGCTACCCCTCGTTAGCGTCTTTGACGAAGCACGAAATGAAGTCTTGTCCGCCATGTATGCCATGTTCCCAAGATTTGTGGACGTCGAAAAGGAAGGGGTCGTCAAGAAGTTGCTGAAGCATGCTGCGAAAAAGAACAGGGCTAGGGCTGTAAGGCGAACCGCACAGCCAATAGAAGCAGCCGATGCACCAGCACCGAGCGAGACAGGTTTTGAATTTCACGAAAGCTTCGGGGAAAGTCCCGTCTGAGATCGATTGTTTTTCTTTAGATATACCCACTGCTCCATTTGTATCTTCGTATGAAAAGTTCATTGTTCAATAGATGTCCGAAGTGTTTACGCCTGCCGGAACCAAATGGCGGCGGAAACTGACAGATATACCGAGTGGCGCAGCAAGGAACTCCGAACCGCGATCCCGTCAATTTCGAATTTCGCCAATCGTAATCTGCCGAAGCATCTCGCAGGTCGGCGAAACAGCCAGTCCCATCTCATCGCATCTTCTGAAAGCGCATCCACAGGGGCAGTGCTCTCCATAGTGTTCACTTCCGCGGGCTCCTCAAAATTTCCTCGTTTCTTCGTCGTTTTCAAACGCTTGTTGTGCAGTCGGTAAGTTCGTGCATGGGACTATTATCATATCTCCGCCGATGTATTTCTTTTGTGGACGCATCTGACTGTGACTTCCTGGTCATCAAGTGGTCCAGCTCAGCAGCACTTCGTCCAGAAAGATTATCCGTCTCGCACGATGCCCAAGTCTCTCGGCGAGCGTCTGACGTCGCTCAAGACGATTTCCTTGACGAAGATGCGAAGTCTAGGCCCTCCACCGACCGCCGGATCGTTCGACAAAAACTTTCAGATCGAAAAGCAAGCCCGTTTTGCCTACCGTTTCTTTGAGATTATTGTGTCATTTGCCAGCTGGTTCTTCATTGGCAAACTACACAATGAAGAGCTCATCAAGGAGAAGGAGCTCTGGCCGGCTGTGCAGTATCTTTGGTTTCTGGCAGTCGTTAGCCCCATGCTAGCTGGCGTGCTCATTGGACAGTAAGTTTGCGCCGACTTTTCACTTGCTGCAGAGCGTGTTGCTAACACCTTTCTTCCTTGCAATTTAGATACTTCGTCTCTGCCATCGTCAAATCCTGGTCCTCCTTGAAAGTTCTCGCCATCGAGCTCCTTATCGACTTCACAGTCTTTTTCCTCTGGTTGATCTGTGTTGGCTACCTCGGCTCGCAGATGGGAATGTCATGCAAGCCGGGAGACCAAGAATTATCGCAGTGCACGAACTTCAACTGGACACTAGCTTGGAGTTCATTTAACGTCATCTTTTGGTTCCTGTCAATGGTGTGGGATATCAAGGGATTCTTGAAGGGTGTCTGGGGATGGGGTGGTGAGCAGCTTAGCGACAGGGAGGTGGACGCTGAGATCAGACGGATGAGCAGGAACCAAAGCCGAGGAAGCAGGTGGCGATAGAGGACTGGGACGAGTTGATTCCTTGTGTCCGGTAACATTTGTCAAATCATTATGGATTTTATGTATTTGCTTCCGAGACTTGCCCGGCGGTGTGGCGCACCTCATTAGAGAGATTATACGGTGAAAAAACGACCCCGAAATGAAACGTTGAGATTGCCGACAGTTCGTCTTCTTTGCATCCCTGTCTGTATTTGCTCAACTCGTTCATGTATTCGGACCCACAGGCCATCCCTATCTTGATGAGATGTCACCTCAGTTCTTCCGAAGTTGAAGTGTTCTCAATAAGAGTGTCCACGTTTTTTTTTTGCAATGCATCACGTTACGAGTTCCCGAGTTGGGGAGGCAGTTTTCGTTCAATGTTTTCCGGATGTATTTTCATCTTGCTGCCAAATGTACTCTACATCCCACGCCATCAGGTCAAAACCTTCCCCGCACCTCGACTAATGGGGCAGTCGTGGCCAATATATACATATGCCCAATCTATACGGTCGTCCCCAGACACGCGCCCTGGTGATCTGTGTACATTCTCGCTTTCTGTTTCGGTATCGTGATTGCCCATTCGCTCAAGCTCGCGGAAGGCGCCTGCTGGTGAGATACAGGACGACCCGAGGAATTATTCTGCCCGTGCACGTTTGCTAGCTTCGTCGTCGTCGTCAGCTGATCTTTTCAGTGCTAATAATTGGTATAAACTCGATTAGCAAGGCTGGACCTTGGATGGACCGTGGATCGTCGCATAAGAGCGAGGCTCATTGCTTACCATTCGCATCCCCATTCGGTGTCCCATTGATTGCCATTTGCGGTGGAGGCGCCCATCCCATAGGCGGTGGTGGCATCCCACCCGGACCCGGCGGAGGCATTGCTCCAAATGGTGGCGCACCCGGGAAGGGCGGCCGGAAACCCGCTGGTGGAGGTGGGAATCCTCCTGGAGGGAACGGTCCTGGGGGTCGAAAGCCTTCAGGTGGCGGTCCTGGAGGAAATGGCATAGGTGGACGTCCGAAAGGTGGGGGCCCATGCATCCCTGGTGGTGGGCCTGGGAACGGTGGACGGACGCCGTTTGGACCCGGCGGACCCATTGGGGGTCTTCCCATCATATGCGGTGGTGGCACTGAGCGATACGACCATAAGTCAGCCGTGAACACTAATAAAGCGCGAAAGATTGTAACTTACTCCCAAATGGAGGTCCGCCCATTGGCCCTCCCATTGGCCCTCCCATCGGGCCTCCCACCAGGCCTCCCATCTGTCCATTCATGCCATTATTGTTGAAATCTGAGCATGGAAAGAAACGGCAGTCAGAGGTCAGAGGTCAAAGATCTCATGAGCCTTCCCTTTATACATCGGGGTACTGAACCCCCATTCACGGCAAAATGAGACCCGGCAGGTATGCTGGCGCGCAAACTGACCTGGTCCACCCGGGACTCCCTGATATGCTTCGTTGATTCGGTCTACGATCGCCTGCACCTGGTCCGGATCTAACGCTGTTGAAATTCCCCAAGAAGCACTTCCGTCAGCGAAACGCGAGCCGGGCGGCTGGACAGCGAGCGTTTGTTTCCAACCTGAGTAATAGTTCTGCACATGCATTTTGTGCTTCCATCCGGCATTGTGAGCCTTCCGCACCGACGGCGAGTCGTGCGTTAGGAAAATATCGCAATAGTCTTCGGATTCGAAGGAATGAAGCGATCAGTACACAAGATTCAGTTTGTCATATGGCTGGGTGATCAGATAAACAGAAGATAGACACTTACCACAGTAGTATCTGGGCATGTTGACGATGAGAGTGAGTGGATATGGACTCGGATGGCGACAATGTCTCTCTTCGTATTCCACCCTGCATGCATGCAGTTGGATTCGCAGTGCACAGCTGCGGGTTTCAATTCAGATTTCAGGTTCACGTGATTTCAAAGAGTTTAATATGATGGTCTTCGCACAACCTGGAGTCCTGGACAACGGCAACGGGGCACTTCTTTATGAGACAGGTCACATAAGGTTTTGTATTTTGCGCCAAGACTACTGTATACTGCACCGGGCACTATGCTATTATGGGGTTTCCGGTCAACTACCAATTCGCCAAAACGGCGGTAGACGAAGGTACGGGCATCGTACTACCGAATTCGAAGTGCTCTAATAGTACCTCCTCCTACCCCACCCAAGTCCGCCGGTCAGCCCAAGAACGAGGCCAATGATCATGTAGATGATCAAAGAGAAGAGGATATTTTTCGCCCACACTCTCTCGTACGGATTCCTGCTGTTCAAGCAACACAGGCCGATGATCCAGAAGAAGGGGAACACTATCCCCGCTAGCCATAACCAGAAAGCGAACGGCATCCCGCAGAAGCCGCGAGGGGCCGTGTAGTTCTCATCGTAGTAGTTGTGGTGCACATTGTAGCCGAGGGTGGATTGATGATATGGACCGGCTGGGGGATACCTCTGGAACGTGGTATGCGTGGGCTGGTCGTAGCGAGGACCTTTATAGTTCCAGCTAGACATGTTTCAGCGTTGATGTGAGGATTTGTATATGTACGTAGTCGTTTTCTGCGAGAGCTCAGGCGCAATTCGTTCGTTCGAGACGGCGTGCGAGCGGCCGGCGATGGATGCTCCCGATGGCTGCCCTGACTTCCCCTCTTTTATACGTTCCTCTCAAGACGTCCGCCGTCCTCCGACATCTTAGATTCTGCTATCGGGTTCTAATTCACATCAAGCTCGGAGCTCGATCCTCCTAGTTGACGTCAGACCTTGTGAAAGAATTCCGTTCCATGACTGTACTGTACAGTAAAACGCGAAAGGCACGCGTGAGTAATTGTTAGATCCACGCACGCATCACGATGCGGTAGCTCCGACGATTTTTCACGCGGGCGTGCTCTTGAAGTGACTTTTCGTCGTGTGCCGGTGTCGATGGCTAACTCATAAAACAGTCGTACGATGAAATGCACCTGTAGCCCAAATGGCCTGCCTCAATAGCGTCGTACTTCGGTTCTGCTCATCATCGGTAAGCTGTGACCTGGACAGCTTGACGGTCAGCTGCCCACCTCCCACATAGTCGTACAACTCCTGCTCAAATTCAGAGGGGAACAAATTCTGGTCGTCGATCAAAACATTCTCCAGTGTAATCTGACGGTCGTTGTGAAAGTCCATATTCTCCGGAAACGTGATACGATCAAATGTCAAAGGAATGCTCCACATACTGTAAGGTTCATCACGCTGTCTGGAAAAGTACGGAGTAGATCCCAATCGTAATCGTTATCGAGTACTGACGTTACATGAGTGAGGCCGGTCATCCGACTCACAGGAGCACAAGCGACTTCGAGATATATCGAGATGAGTAATATTTGGGAAACATCGCCAAAAGGCGTTGGAGAGGGCTTTATGCTCCGGAGTTAAAATCATTTCATGTGGACCGTCGGGTCCTCGTGGCGTAAGTGATGCTGTGCAGAGTGCGTCGTTTGTGATATCATCGAGTCCGTGACTGTATGAAGTGGAAACTGAGCTTCCGATACCCTGTGCAATTTGAAGAAGATCCCAATCTTCGTATGGGCGGGTATTGACAAACACGAACGGGTATTGAGGTCACTTGAACTGTTGTCAAAGGGTAGTGCAGCTTCATCTAGATCATTGAGATAGACCCTGGCTAGGTTCTTAGCAAGCAGAACTACAGCAACTGCATAAGACCGAGCATCCGGCGTCCATACTCCAGTCAGTCCAGTTGGCAACGCTTTGCGTATACAATATGAGAAAGGCGTTTGGGTAGGAATCATTACACGGACTGATAGTGACGGCCACAGCATGATCAAAACCATATACGCCTTGACTCCGAATTCGAGGACTGGCGAACGAGCCATTTGGCTAATATTTTTGGGGGGAGCCGTGCCGTTCGTGGCCCTCATCAACTCTATTTTGTGGTTGTCTCACCGGGCGAGGAATCACCAATTATATTCATACGGTCATCACCATTTTAGTCATGGCCTATACATGCGCCGCAGTGTCTTGGCGAGCCGGGCTCCTCTGGGCTTCCTCGGCACAGGCATCTTTTGAATATGAACGTCCACCTCCAACATCCTTGCCAGCTTCATGCGGTTGAGCATGTAAAACAGCGCCCAGCCAAACTCTTCCGGCGTAAGGCTGAGTGGGTTTTCGATGACGTTGGCAAAATCGTGACCGGGATGGTATAGAGCCGCGTCGTGATCAGCGCCGTCGCCTATGAAGCGTCCCAGGGAATCAGCCCATGTGGGGCAGTCCAACTCGCGGACGGTATCGCAGAACCAAGACATGAGCTGGGAGTCCTGCTCGTCCTCGTCTGGCCCGTTGGTAACAAATTCGTTCGGGGGGTAGATCGCCGCGTAGTCGAGTGGCTGTGTTCGAGCGCCGTCCCAATCATGAATGGCCCGGACATTCCCGGTCGCATCAACAACGATGTTGCCACCGTGTAAATCTGGGTGCACCAGCCGGAAGGTGTCTCGAGCCGTGTATCCGTTGGCAGCCGCAACAGACGCAACTAATGGTCGTAGGAGAGCGAGATTGTGTACAATGGCGCTGTGATGGCGGAAAACGATGCTGAGAGCTTCAAGTCGTGCGGTGGCGTAGGAGACCCAGGTGCGGTAGGGCCCGAAATCCACATGCCCATGATCGCGGGCGGCTTCCAGAACGTGGGAGTACAGCGGGCCGATGGAAATCTTCCGGTCATCTTTGACTTGCGGAGTACCGATGCAGTCGAACTCCCGGTTCATGAGCGGGATGTAGGCGCATGCCAGAGATCTCAAACAGGTCTGCTTGAAGCACAGGCTGGCCCCCGGCCACAGGTCGGACAGCCGCTGACCGTCGATGAATGTGCTCCGGGTGAAGACGTAGCCGCGGCCCGGCTTGATGCATGATGTGATGTTTCCAAGACCCACAGTGCGGTATGTGCCAAAAATCTGCGGCGTAGGAACTTTTTCCTCCGAACACAGCGCGGCAGCGGCTGCGCCAGCCTGCAGGTAAGCTAGCGGTGCCGAATCGCTTAGCGAAAAGCGCACGACGAAGCGGTCGACCCCTCGGTGCTCTGCCAGCACGACGATGTTGTATCTCCGCTGCCAACAACGTTCAGAGGCTTTACGCTGTCGGCAGGCAGGCTTAACTGAGCAGCGACCCCGCGCCAGAGATTGTGGTAACCACACGGGGTCCAGAGCCGCAAGGCGCGTCGAATCGCCAACTCGGTCTTCAAGCTGTCGAGGGCGCTGGGACGGTCTTGACGTTGGCGGCGTTTTCCTTTACACAGACGGGGCACGGCTCGGTCTTCAGGTGAGCCATAGTGTGCACTATGCAGCAGACTTGTTTTTTGCAGTATCGCCGACCGCCGGTCTCCGTCTTTGGGGTCTTGCCACACTTCGGACATTTGTGGACTGTCCCTCCCGTTACTGGATGGATCATGGGGGAGGTACAAGCGAGGGGGGGGGGGCCTATTAATACTGTATAGTGTCTTTCTTGCGTGCAAAGGAGGAGGCGGGGGTGGGGAGGCCCGGGGGGGGGGGGGGGGGCGGGGGCGCGGGTCGGGGTGACCTCCTGGAGAATATTCACCCTCGGGTGCATGTGTGGATAAAACCCAGGCTGAGCGTGCACGTGACTCGTTCTCGGATTTATAGTCCTTCAGGATACCTTCCTTCTCCTTTTCCCCTTCCTTACCTTTATTCGTGCGCTCAGCCATAATCTTAGCGATTCGAGAAAGAGAAATCGCTTGAGGTGCAGCCTGGATCTGGGCACTCGCGATAGCCAAGATACACCCACGTCTACCGTCGTCACCCGGCCTTGCCAAGTTACGTCCGAACGCTCGGCGAGACGATAGCCTGAGAAAATTGCGCCGAGGTGCCGTCATATATAGCGTGGGAATGTCAGCCGCCGACGATGGCCTACCAGCCCCAGAGAACGAAGCCGGGAACACCGAGCCCCAGACCCGTGTACGCCGCCGCGACGATGAAGAAGGAGCTGGCCCCGATGGGGAGGACCCGCAGCCGGGCTCTCAGGACCTTGCCGGCAACCAGGATATCGAAGCTGCACTCGCAGCTACCCGCGCCAAGCTCGCTAGGTTGGAGGCCCACAAGCGTCGCAAAGGGGATAACGGCAACCCTACCCCCAGACCTCCCAGCGCGAAGACCACTAGTGGGAGACTGCCTTCCGCGCAAGATACAATTGCTCAGTTGAACCCCTCGAGATCGAGGTACAGCTGGATGGTGGCGGGGTGACGGGGTCAAATGGGGGCTCGAAAGTTTCCGCGCGTTCTTGCGCTGAGCTCCGGAAAGAATTTCCTCTCCGCGTATGAAGAAATCGTACGAGTTGCTGCAACCGGGCTTGTTTGGGTCAGGCATGGTGATAGAAGGGTCGCACGGCCATGTCGAGCATGGTTTACTGGGCGTGACTAGAAATGGGTAACTCGTGCTAAATAGCTCACCTCAAGAATAAGACTCTTTTACAGCCAAAGTGAACCATTTGATTAACAAATCTAACCCCTTTGCCTTCGGTGAGTCGGCCTTACCCGGCCTCCTACAATCAGGGTCTACTCGCTCCGCTCGGCAGCTGCCTAACTAGTCTAACCCTAACCCGAGTTACTCACATTTAGCACGAGTTACCCACTTCTAGTCAATCCCTGGTTTACTCGGGTGGTGAGTCATCCACACAGCTGAGTCACGAACATGAAAACACAGTGAGGCCGATTCACTGCATGCACGTTGTTGCAAGATATCCTGAAGGCATATTCAGTTCCAACGCTCAGAAAAAACCTTCATATTGCAGCTGAAAGGGTTCATACCTCTAGCATTTACACTTCCTAGGGTGGCCTATTGAGATCATCCGCTTACATCCCAGCCTCATCCGCACTATGTCATTCAAGTTCAAACGGCTACTGTCGAAGCTCACACCTTCGCATCCTTTTTCACACGCGTGCAGCTTGTAGGCACGATAAATGGACCGGATAATGGAGTAGATTCACTTCCTTAGGACGATCTGATTTGCGCCGTATGAACTTGGATGGGAGCCCGTATGAACTTGATTAGGTAGTTGCGTATGAAGTTATAAATCAGCTTGTGAATAAGAAAAAGATGTGCGTGTCAAAATATACTGCTTCTATGTGACCTGAAAATGCGTTCAGGATATTCCGCCAGTCAAGATGATGGCATGCCATGCGGGGCAGAGCAATTTTGACAGGAGGAGACTTTTGGAACGTTGGCAAATGATTTGCATGCATGGTTGGCGGGAGGCGAGGGCGAAGGAAGCTTCGACCGGAAACTGGGGGTGTGCTTGTGCGCGTCCGAAGCCGTCCGAATGGGCATCATAATATCATCTCTGGGCGGAACGCGTGCGCGCGTATGATCAGCGATGATGATTCCGCTCGCCTCCTGCGCCCGATATGCCCGAGCTGAGTGTGTGCGTGCTGTGTTCCCAGAGGCAGAATCCCCCCCTTATCCTGGGTGAATACATGATCCGATACATACACTTACATACAGTACAATAATACGCCGAATAATGAATGATAAGATGCTTTCGCTTCCTTCCAAATTCGGTTGCCCTTCCTACGGCTTTTCCGTTTTCTCACGCTTTCAGACGCCCCCTGGGAAGGTGCCTTCCTTCAAAAGGTGCCCATACGCTTCATCGTCCCTACTCCTGCTCCGTAAAGACCTCCTCTGGCCAACGCTGAAAATGACGATCGCCAACAGGGCTTCGGCCTCATACTCCTCCGCCTATATCGCGCACAGCGCTTTCCGCGTCGGCTATGTCGACATCTTACGTGTATTGGCAGCAGTGATTGTGCTCAACAACACGTTCGCCAAGGCCACTTTCGATGAGCGCACCAACAGTATGCCTCTGGACACTCCCCAAGGCATTTTCCGGTAAGGCCGTCAAGTTCGCGTGCGTGTCACAGGCAATCTCTCACGAGGCTGATTTTCCTTCGCAATTGACAGAGATGCGAGCTGGGCCATCACGTTACTATTCATGATCTCCGGTCGCGTTGTGACGGCCGTGGCATTACCGCCGTCGTCCTCCGCAGAAAACTTCAAGCCAAACTATCCGGCTCTCGTATCGTCCATGTTCCGTCGCGCTTTCCGGTTCGCTCTGCCAGTCATAATCGTCGCGTTCACGCAGTGGCAGCTCTGCAAAAAGGGCCACACCGCCAAGGCCTCAGCATCTGCCCAGGAAATATTCCTAGGTTCTACAACGATGGCACCTGCGCCCGCCGGATGGTGCAGCATTGGTGGCTTTAGTGGACTGATAACTTTTATCGTCGATCTGGTGCGTGGGAATTTTCCGAACGGACCTGTTCATCGAAAGGGAACTATGCTGAAGAGCTTTTCCTTTTACAGTTCACATTCAATGGCCCCGCAGCTGCCGAAAAAATGGGTTCTATGCTGTGGACCGTGACCTGGTTCATGGAAGGATCTTATGCCGTCTACTTGACAGCTTTCCTCACGGCCCAGCTTGCGTCCAACCGATACGTCGTGTTTGCCACCCTCATGGCCTTCTCCTGGGTCACTTACAGCTGGAACTGGGTGTTCCTGCTCGGTTACGTCATATGCGACATGAAGGCTCATGGTCACTTCCACCGGCCGAGAAACTCCTTCGTTGCTATAGCATTGCAAATCCTGAGCTTGGTTCTCGCATTTGGCATCAAATGGGTCCTCCCTCTTAGGGACTTTCTCAACAACACATTTGCCCACCTCCAGATTGACATAGCTTCAAACAACTTGGTGCGTTGATGGTTTTTTTTTTGGGATTTGAAGGTTCGCCAAGAAATTTAACTGGTCGCATCTCATTCGCTTTTCCAGGTCCACTTCGCCGACACGCTCTCTGTCTTTTTCCTCCTCACCTTCTTCGAGTTGGCTCCCACAGTCCAAAGCATCCTTTCCTTCCGGATCTTCAAGCATATCGGACACCTTGCCGCTGGAATCTACCTTCTGCATCCTCTGTACCTTTACACGGTCATCCCTCAAATTGCCGGCCACTTGCGCTCCAGCAACTTCTCTCGCATCGTCGGCATCTGCTGGCTCGCCCTCGTCGTCCTCAGTACCGTCACTGCATTCTTCTTCTATCAATTGATTGAGAAGCAAAGTGTAGCGGCCGGGATCTACGCGTGGAGGTGGTTGGCCCACCCGGCCGGTATCATCGACGGATACATTCCCGGCGATAAGGTGAAGCCAGACAAGTACAAAGTGATCACGGAGACGGACAATGGTCGTGGGAAGCGGCCGGAGATGGATGTTATGACTGTTGGACCTGCTACGACGGCTTAGAGAACAGGACTATCTCATTTTTCCCGTCTTTGTCCCGTGAGATTCAGATTGTCGTTTCGCGCTTAATGCTTAGACTCCCAACACGGAGGGCGCTATCTTCTCCCCTCTCCATCTGTAGATTCTCAGTGTGTTCTTTCGAGATCTTTTCTTACAGGCAGTAATTTCGTCCCATGTGTACATAGAAAGAAGGGATATTGTCTCCTTAGCCTCCGGACTTGGCCCCCGTTTGTTTCTCTTTCACAGCGAAAAGTACATTGTCAATGTGATGAGGTGATTCAGATATGGTATACTATGCGTTCCAAAAAATATGTCCAAGTCCCTTGTCCATGATGTCCAAAATTGAAACGAATACAGCAAGAAAGGTTATCCCAGCGAAATTGCACCGGTTCAAGCCCACGGACGCTCCACACCCCTCTCGATGTCCTCACGATGATCCGTCCCAGTCAGATGCGTCGTGTCCACCAGAATCACACTCTCCACATCCGGCAACAACGCAGGCAAACCGTCCAGTTCATCTGGCTCCGGGGCCACGACATTAAGCGACTGATGAGATCTAAGATGCGCCGACCCTCGGAGGGACGGGTAAATGGAAGCTGGAGATTGCGAGTGATCGTTGTTTGGGGCGATGGTGGGCGGTGTTGTCGCGCGGATGCTGATGAGGTCGACGGCGGTTGTCTCAGAGGTTGAGGACGGCGGCAGGCGGATGTGGAGGAAGGAATCGACGTCTGTGAGAGACGAGCCACCAGCAAATGGACGAAAAGCTTTGTTAGTACGTAGACATATGCAAACCTAATGGCGTCGTGTGACAATCCCAATTCTACAAACGGTCAACATCCAAGACGAACCTGCACGACAGATGGGACATGTCGGCTTTCCTACACCCGGGCCGCCCCGGCCCTGCATCATCACCGCCTCGGCGCACTCTCGACACAGGCAGAGGTGGCGACATGGGAGAACAATCACGCAGCGTTGTTCCGAGAGGCAGATGGGGCAGTCTAGTGAGGCGAGGTTTTGGGAAGCGCTTGTTGATGGGCGGAGAGCGGGTGAGGGAGGTGGGCGTTGTATTGCGGGATTTGGGGCTGGTGGTGTTGCTGGTGCCGGTGCGGGTGAAGATGAGCCGGAGGGAGAGGAAGATAGGATGCGGCTGGACGGAGCGCCTGATGACGAGCCTGTTGGTGGGGCGGACGGTTGGGGATGAGGTGGCGCTGGCTGTGGAAATGGCCTTGAGACTGACGGACGAGTTGATGGTGGTGCGGCGAATGCGCCGTAGATTTCTTGTAAGCAAAAGACAACGTCGTGGATCTATAGGAAGGATATGAGCACCATGGCTTGATGGGACAAGAAAGCCCTCCTTGGGGTACGCACCTTCACTGATTGCCGAACCCGCCGCACAGCAATCCTGGTCACATCTCCCACAATATCCCACTTGAGCGTGCCCTCCGTGATGAAAACCTGGGACTCCCTCTCACCCTCCGGCGCCAGCAACTCGCGAACCACCAACGTAAACCTAATGCTATCCGCCGCGATCGCGATCGCCTTATCCATTGTTATATGCAGCCTGACGCGCATATTCATCCCCGCGCCTACATTTACGGCCGCGGCCTCTTGCATTGCGTGCGGGGCTTGGGCCGTGAGGTTCACGGGTGTTGGGAGGATGGGGGTTGTGCCGGGCATCGTGGGCGAACGCGGTGGCGGCCACGCAGAATCGGCTGTGGGCAAGAGAGGGTCGGTGATGGTAGTGAGCATGATGGTAGCCACTGTAGGACGTTCTGCATCCATCGCGAAGGCGGCCATGATGGTTATTGCATCAGCTGATGTCCACGGATGGGCGATGTCCAGCCGTTCGAAGCGTATACTAGAGCGGTGCACCAAGATGCGAGATATGAGTACTGACGGGCGATGGGGCCGTGCCTGGTAAGGACGAAAAGATCGTATCAACATCTGAGTGGAGCCGGCTGAAGCATAGTTTTCACGGACGATTCGCGGCTCCATGACATTCCCGTACGTACATAGTCATAAACATTCTGGAGAGCTTGCATATCCTCATCATTTAGCGCCTGATGAACTGCTTCACAGCGCGCCTCCTCTTCCCGCTGAACTCTCACAGTATCCCCCATATCGTCCGGGCCGGCATTGGGAGACCCACCATCGTTCGCTGCTCCCGCCTCCGCTGATCGCGCCGCATCAGGATCTTCTACATTTCCCGGCGGCTTATCCGCATCCGTCCGAATCGGCAGAACAGTCACTGGACCGAACCCTATCTTCGTCGGGTTGTTGGCGACTGTTCCGTCGGCGCCGTCTCCACTGGGGCGAGACGCGAAGGCGCCCATGCTGCCGGTTGTTAAGCGCCCGCCAAGCCAAGCCAAGATCGTGATGGTGACAGGACTTTCTCGCTTGATTTGAAGCCTCTAAACAACCGTTTCGCACTGACTCGCGCAACGCCTGGCTAGTTCCTCGTGTTTTATGTGCTCTGGAAAATTGCCTTGTACTATGTCTTTCCCGTCCTGTGCGAATTGCTAGTTCGAAATGCTAGTTCGTCGTCTTTAGATCCGTCTGTTCCTGAAACGCAAACCCGAAGCTTTGGATCGGGATGCGCTCTCAAAATTGCTATTTCCACGGCGGTGTTTGCTGATACCTGCAGAACGGGAGAGCATAAGGGTTCCCCACTGGTTGATGCCTTGCATGGACCGTCAGTGGAAACTTGGAAAGTGAGTGGAAAGCCAAAGCGCGTAAAGTAAGCGACTGCGCTTTTTCCCGCATTCCCAGTTTCCCACGCACATCGACGCCGGTATACAGTATGTAACGGAAATTGTGAATGTTCGAATATTTACATCCTTCAAACTATGTACATATGCCGAGGTGATGAGATACAAAAGTTGACATGGTAAGAAAAGGGACGAAACAGTGCGGAACAGTGAAAAACGAAACCACTTCTCGATACGCCTCAAGTGTGAGCACCAGCGTAATAGGGTCTATATACAGGACGCGTTTTGGTGCTGAGGTAGGAATCGAGAGACGACCCTTGGAATAGAATCGAGGAAAATTGTCCATGTTTGAAATGTTCATGGCGAAATGAGAGTAGAGGATTCGCATATGGCCGCCGTATGCCTGAATGTTCACGGCGAAGTGTGAGATTTTGTGATTGTTCATCATGGCGGAGTAGAGAAAGATGTGCAGGTTGTCGCCAGTGTCGTATAGAGTTCATAACGAAGAGTTGTAGTCGCCCAAGTCACATTGTTCTTTGGCAGTGAGAGTAGTGGGTCCGCATCACAGTTGAGCACATCTGCCGGTCCGAAAAACGACACCGTCGTCCCGCGCAATCAAGATAGGTTGCGTGTCAGTCCGTCCCGTCCTTTTCTTGAGCTTTGACGGGAACCAGCAGACAAGAAGAGCGTCACTTTCGATTTTCAAATGTTTCGCCGGCTCACGTCCAAGGAAGACCCAGATGTTCTGATCGAAGTTTTCACCGAAGAGAAAGAGCTTTGTCGTATCCGGAGACATGCAGGTGTCGTAGATGGTGGGGACAGGCGAGATTGCTGAAAGTAGAGGATGCTGGTGGCCGGGGTCACTGAGTGGGAGAGAGAGTAGCTTGCGATCTTCTCGGGTCAGCTTTGGCAGGACGAAAGTCGTCTCTGTATGCTCTGGAAAACGTGAATCCCCAGGGGAGGGGCGATATGGATGGAGGAAGGGTAACAGGTAGCTAACGCTCGTCTTTTTTCCATTGCGATGAATCATATGGGAGACTTACCAGTTGCAACTAAAGTCCATACGCATGCATCCCCAACATCATCAATCATCTTTCCGCCTTTCATTTTGGGGACACTCGGCTTTCCTCGATTGGTAACTTTCGTTGCTCGCCCGGCGCATCTACGTCGTTTGCGTTGCTCAACGGTGGCACCACGCTCATCATCGTCGTCTTCCTCGGTGTCATCGTTGTGTCTTTGTTTGCGGCGCGTGCCAGTCTTCGCCGAAGAGGGACCGTCGGTTGCACGAGACAGCGAAGTACATTGAATTTGAACGGAGGCTTCGTCGTCCTCATCTCGCTGTACTGACAGATACTGTCCGGTGTGCTCGTAGATTTGAAACGCAACTTTGTGCAGTGGAGCTACAGGCTCAGCGCATGATGCCTTGTTACCACCTTCAGAATAACAACGTCATTGCCTTGATAACGTTTCGTTGTGCACAAAGCGATGGAAAATTACCAAGATATTCCGAGGTCTCAATAATGGCCCTGGTCCGATTCTCGAGTTTGCGGATACACATCGGTCGCAGCATCGCGCCGGTGGCGCAATGCTGCAGCACGATCTTGTCACCATAATGTACTATTAGTGGCGACAAGCCAGTTGTGTTGAGATCTTGGCCGTTATGGTTCGAATCAGCGTTGTAGCGAAAGTTTCGAGAGACCTGAAGAAGACTCCGCAGCTTACCAGCTCTGGGTGTTTGAGCGGAGGGGCTGAGATTATCACGGGCTCTCTTCGGATTCCACAGAAGCTCTCCGGATTCTTCCGTGCCAAGCCTGCCATAACGGTGTACGTCTACAGGCGGCGAATATCTCCCAAGCATTCTTGGGTCATCAGCCCTGAAGATGACCCAATTGTCCCAAACGAAAAACTGTGAGGTCGCTGGGCACGGCCTGGGTAGGCAGGTGTCGATATCGACGCCTAGGAACCTCGAAATGCCGGTTTGACTCTTCTCGCGATTGAATAGGGTCAATGTCGAGCCCGACGTGATGAGAACTGCGCGGAAGATAGTTCGTCTTCAGACTGCCGCGACAACAATTGCAATGTCGATGTCACATAGTACATACGCTGAGATCCATGAGTCAGCTTCTTCTTGGACGGTTTGGAGATCTTTGTGATGGGCCTGGCATGGTACAGAAACTGTCCAGTTGGAGTCTTGACCTGCGCGCGACACCAAAGTGAGTTCGAACGCCAGAATACTCGCGTATATTACCCACAGTACCTGGTAATACAGCGGAACAGCTTTTCGACTCTCAGAATCGGCGATGTGCACTTTATTAAAGACCCCAACGACGACATATTTGCCTCGGCCGTTCGTAGAAGTGGGGGTCCGACTGAGACGATCGAGCTTCTGAACGGAGCGCTCCAGCACTCCCTTCAGGCCTGCAGAAGAAGCTAGGCGCCCCATGTCGTCATCGTCACCTTGACCAGTACGCTTTGTTTTGGCAGAGTGATCTTTGTCTTGGAAGCCACCTAGATGGCCAGTTTTGCGGCAGAAAGTTGGGTGTACAGTGGAGATGCGAATCTCAACGTCCTCATGGGTAAGACCGTCTAGATGCCATCCCGTACCAGTCAATCGACAGATAGGTGACACGAAGAATCTGATTCAAGCAGGACGGGATGATTAGTCGATGTTCCCTTCCCTAGAAACTTTTCCAATGTCAATTTACCGCTTCTCATCTCCGTAAGATTTCTGAACGGCCGACGGTTGCGTGACAAGGATGGTGCATTCATTCGCCGAGGTTTCGAGAGACTGGACTACATTCGTGCTGAAAAGAAAAGATCGGTTAGGCAATGCTCGTCTTCAAAGTGACATGCGTTAATTTAGGTACCAAATCCTATCAAAGGGAAGGCGACCACAGTACGTGGACATATCCGAGTCGCAATCGTCAGTTGTACCGCAATCTTCCTCCGAGACATCCGAACCAGCCGAAACATCCTCCTGGTTGGCGATAGGTATGACGAGGTCCGATTCAGAAAGCCTAGCTTGGTGGGCGGGATGATCTTGGCCGCATTCAATGGGTTCTTTCATTCTCGACGTGAAGGCGTCATCAGAGTGAAGGGGAAGAGGAACCTTCATGTCGCGAGCGTAGTCGGATTGGAGATCACCTGGCTGATCGTCCTGGATCTCGGCTTCCTCCCGCTGCGGAGTCCTGCTCTCAGAGAATGGGCTCTGCGGTGGTGGTGACGAGAGCAATATGGCCAAACGCCTGTCGAATTCATCATCACTGGAGCAGACGCTTCCCTCATCCAACATGAAGTGAGACTCCTCAGATCCATCATGCTCCGCTGGCCCGACAGTTCCCTCATCCTTGCAGTACTGCTTGCCTAATGGCGAGCTGCTCATCGAGCGTGGGGACGAAGGTAACATTGGCTGAGGCTTGAACGTGGGCACGAGAAGGACCGTAGGGTCGATACCAGAAGCATGAGGAGATGAGCAGTATCCAGCTCGTTGCCAGTGGCCAGACATATGCTTCCATGGTTGCGATTCTCGAGCTCGAGGTGGCATGGGAGGAAAATGGTAGCTTTGGACAATCGCGGGCAGCGGAGGGCTTCGCAGTAGCATTTCCCGTCGTTGTGGAGCAGTCGGCGACGACATGACTACGTTGCGCGCAGTAGGTATATAGCTGGGAACCATGAATGGGCTGTGGTGCGTGTCGTCGGCTTCCCCGTGCTGGGATTGGAGTGAAGACCTTCTTGTAGACTCGCCCCGCTTTGAATGAAAGACGTGGAGGTCATTGAACGCCAGCAGATCGGCATTCGAGAAGACCGACGAGCGCCGGCGAGAGTCGTGGTATATGGGGAGCATGGCATGCGAGTGGACCCCTCCGTTGCGAGCAAAGCTTGGCGTCTATAGCAGGATTTCAGGAGATAGTTTCGTGAGACCCATGTGTGGACAGCGATTCCTTCGGGAGCAAAGGCACTCACATTCACGTCGAAATCATGGGAAAGAGTGCCTTCCGGTGCAGAATGCACTTCAAAAGGGCCAGCACTAGTATGCAAGAGGAAAGTTTGCCTTTGCAGGCCACCAATGCTCAGGCTGAACCCTTTCCCCATACCTTTGGCGCCGAAACCCTCCACAGCTTGACAAATCCACACCCGTCATCGCGATGTTTCTCGAAACAAAAACTAGCGCACGCGCCCAAAAGCGAACGAGATGAGGCCCTACGTCTGTGAGTTAGCGACGGCTGTGGCTTCAATGCCATTCCTCCACTATACAGAAGCCATATAGTACGTACTCGACTTATGAAAAACTCAGCTTGCAGGTTATGAGGTTTTCCAAAAGCAGGTCGAGTTTAGAGAGGAACTGAGCGGTGAACAAGACTCGGAAAAGGGGAATTGGGAATAGTGAGAAGATTGCCGTTCCATCTCCAATGTTCCCACGGGCTCAGACGGGCTCAGAGGTCGCTTAATTGAATTTTAAGTCTGATTCTTTATGTATTCTTTATTTGTATTTTTATTATTGCTGACCGTCCACGAAGGAACATGTGTCAGTCTGTGCTGGAGTCGGCATTGAGTCGACATGAAGGACATCATAACGCTGCGGTTGCTAAGCGGAGCGGTGCTTGCCAATGGAGCCGCTCCGCAATCCTCTAGTTGTAAAGTGCGGGTTACATAACGTCGCCCGGTCCCACTTCGCAACCTCCAAGCTGTCCAAGTAGCCCGTCTCCGGGCCGCGTGGGAGAATAAATCACTGTACGCTATGGGGACTACATGCATATACTGCTATTTGAAGCAGGACATGTACATGTAAGCCTACGGCGTTCTGTGTCCTGTGTCTACTCATGTCGGTGCCCTCAAACTGAACGGAGACTCTCTCAATCCCAAGATCTGGTGTTCGAAGACGGGCTCTCCTTTCCAAGCGAGCGATAGGACTGTCCTCTGGAAGTCTGGAAGGCATCTCCTTAAGTGATCGAGTGAGATAGCAGCACATTATGGGGATCGTGGTTCAGCCTTGGAAACGGCTGCTCTGCCGAGGGAAGATGCAACTTCGCACTGACCGCTCTTCCATTCGCCATCTGGTTCAAAAGATTACTGTACAATATACGTAGACTGGACATGAGCGTAGACTGGGCATGAGTCGGAGGTCTGCCCGTCAATCCGCCGTCAATATTTGATACCGGCGGTACGTGTCGACACGTGAGGCTGTTTGCCTATAATGTTTTGGGTTATCACGCATGCGGGAATTTGAAGGGCGAAAATTTGGGCTCATTGGGCTGGAAACATTGCGGACCGCCGTTTTCGCCATTGGCACTTTGGGCAGCGAGCGATCTCACACTTCGCTTTGAAAAACAACCCAGTAACGGTCTGTGTGGCCAAGCAGCTATACAACGACCTCTTGACTAAACCGTGGCAGCACCAAGAAAGAACTAGTTAGCAGAGGCACCTCATCCAAATGTACGCATTGCAGTTCCTCGTCGCAGCCGCGACCATTCAAGGCGCTGTCGCCTCCGTCAAGCGAATTTCCTGGTTCGACGACGACACATGCCGTGGTAAGTGAATATAGAGCGCACACCGCTTCCGACAAACGGCACAGACTCTCCTTCTGCCAATACTAATTGCAACTTGTAGGCCAACCGGTAACCGTTCAATGGGCTGTCGACCAAAACCGGGACCCGTGGACTCAGGGCACCTGCGAGAACCTCCATCTCGTACCCTGTGACTCTGGAATCAATTACCAGGCCGATAAAGGTGCCAACTCGTCAATGTCGGAGTGTGTCAGCTCCACGAAGAATGAAGTGGAAAACAACGCCGCTTTTCCGTTTTTCCCAAACACAACAAACTTTGGACAGCCGTATTTGATTGGTAAGTCCCGTCTCTATATCGGGAGATCCTTCGCCTCTCAGGGTTCTAATGCTGTATCTCATCAGCAACCGAATACGACAACTCCATCGGAGTCCCCACGTGCAAAAACGTCAATCAGGTGCAAAACACATGGTTCCGTACCGCCTACCTTGCCGACGGACACTGCCGCATGGGTGAGCGATCTCGCACAAGCTACCCGGGTGCGCCACTCAACCGGTACATGAAAGTATCCTGCCAAATCGACGGCAGCGCTTACGTGGAGGACTGGTGCGACTCGGCATGCAATAACTGCCAGTTCACGAGCTTGATTGGATATAAGGACGACAAGTGTGGGTTCATGGGCGCCGAGACTGGTGGTCAGAACATTGTCGGCGGGTACTGTATGGAGTCGAAGAAGGACATCAAGTTCAGCGATGCGGGGGCAAAGCCACCAAGTGGATGGAACCCGCCTAAAAACACAGGGACGCAGGTCGTGAAGGCGGGTGCCATGGCCAGCAGCGGCAAGGAGTCGACGATGGTGGCTGCACTGGCTGCTCTGATTCTCGGTGCATCCGCACTTTACCTCTAAGGCTGCGCATCGAAAACAATTCACCAAGCTTTGTAGATTTTAGTAGAATCCTGTCGTCGTTACAATCGTAGACGTCACGACCGCACTATTTAGATATTGGGTATACAGAGACCCTCCCCATCACATTTTACTGCGCGGCGTACATCACGGCTTCCTCGACTCCCGTCCTCCTCATCTGTCTATGCTATATTAGTACCCATCCTACATAGTTTCGCCGGTCGGAATCATGTTCGTGCGTCAACCTCTGTAATGTCATGTAATACACTATCGAGAAAAGAAAACAACGAGAGGACAACGTCCTAGATGTTCGAGTGATTTCTAGCAAGATTTAGGAGCATTCCTATAGCTAAGGGCTATGACGACTTGAGATCACAGATGTGACTTTTGCTTGTCTGATCGGATTAGCGGGACGACGACCTTGCCCATGTTTTTACCAGACTGTAAAATGCAAAGATGTGAGGATGCGGTGAAAACCAATGTGAGAACGGTAATTGACTTACGTGAAGATAGTGGATGGCATCAGGAATTGATGTTATCTGGCACGCACAGGAAATGCATGAATCACAAGGATGAGACAAAGGTCGACAATGGCTCTGGATCACGCAAAAAGAACCACAAGAATCTCCACTCACCCCCTCAAAGTCAACCATATCGACGACAGGCGTCAAAGTTTTCTCATCCACGAACTTGAACAGATCCCTCAAAGCCGCAGGGTACTCCTTCGCATAATGCGGGAAGAAAAATCCCGCCACGGTGGCGCTCTTGTTCAACAAGGCAACAGTAGAGACAGCGTCCTCGCCGAACCCAGTCGCAAAAACCTTCTTCTTTCCATCTCCCTTCGTGTCCTCTGGATTCGATTCCGATGAGGCGTAGTTCGAGATGGATCCAATGACGATGAGCCTTCCTTTCTGCCCTAAACAAGACACACAGTCCTGCAGCATCTGACCACCGACGGATTCATACACGATGTCCACGCCCCTCGGGTAGTGTTTCCTGATGACCTGCTTCACGTTCTCCGTTTTGTAGTTGATGACCCGATCGCACCCGAGCTTCTTCAGCATCTCCGCTTTCGCGTCAGAAGAACATGTTCCAATGACATGGTTGCCCGCCCTCTTCGCCAGCTGGACGGCAATCTGGCCAGCTCCGCCAGCTGCGGCTGTCACAAGCACGGTTTCCCCCGTCGTCATCTGACCTTGGTGCTTCAGTGCAAGGTAAGATGTGAGTCCCGAAACCAAGAGTGGCAAGAAGTCGGGGCGGAGGGATGGAACGGGGATAACCATGCGGTAATCTATCACTTGGATTTCTGTGAAGGCACCGTAGGAGGCGACGGCGACCGGTTGGCCAACTTTGTAACCCTTGACGGCGCTACCGACGGCAACGATCTCGCCAACGGCCTCAAATCCAGTGTCAAAGGGCCTGTACACGGGCAATCAGAAACTTAATGAGAGTCATGTCAAAAGAAAGGTATCCGAAGTCCACATCTGCCCGCTATCGCTGGCCTCTGTTGATAGAAAAACAAAGGTTGAATTGCAACGTACGGCTTCTTAGTGGGATCATATCTCCCAGCCGTATAGTTGATATCGCTGGCGTTGATCGCCCAGTAATGATGCTTGATGACCACGTGAGTGGGTGGAATCGAGGCCAAAACGTCCGCCGTCTGATGGGATACTCAACAAGGTCAATACAACAGTCGGACTTGGGAACTTTCCCAAACAGGAGACAAGTCCCAAGGCTTCAAAATTCACCTTCAACGTTTCCAGCCTTGTTGCCTTGTTGAAGTCGGTGGAAAGCGTATGAACGACGTACTTTCGGAAGGTGGGTGGGAGTGAAGATGCCATTATTGCTGGATGATCTCGACGAAGAAAGCTGTTCAAATACTAAAACCCTAAACGCCATGCAATGCTGACCTTTTATACGGTCAATAAACGAGTAAACTACGTAAACAAGTTCACGCCTTGTCACGCGTAGAAAGTACGAGCTACATACATAAACACAAATAACTTGTAGCACGTGAACTCTTGTCATGAACCGCTGAGCATGGGGTAAGTAAGGGTAAGGGGGAACGCGTGAGAATGTGCAACTCCGCCCCCATTACCGCATTTTCTGCGTTCTGCGATACGGCGCAAAACGTTAATTGCGTTACGTGGAACCTTCCCTCACAAGTGTTCCATGGTCGATTGGATTTCGCAGCAAAGCGTAGAGCAAGAAACTCTAGTGCGAGTTCGATTTCAGGCGTCTCCAGAGCCCATACATATACCCTTCTCGATCTTTTTCGGCAGAAGCGGAATTAAGATATCGTCCCTTCCATATTGTCCCCTTCGCATCTCCCTCCGGTCGCAGCCCGGCGTCAGCTTTTCATTTCGGGTCGCAGACCAATACACCAAAACGTAGTCCGCTTTCGGGAGGCTGCTATTAACGCAACGCTCAATCGACCATCGCGTAAGCAGGGCAGGAAGTGGTCCAAACTTCAAACCGACCGGTTCCGAAAAACAGACGTAACCCTTTTCCAGTTTGGGAAGAATACCAAGGGTGAGGGGTGCTAATCAAAGGAGCCAATACTGCATGATACGCCTCTCGTAGCTCTCCTCACGAATTCATTACGAGGGATTCCTCTTCTCTATCCAAAACTCGTTAATTTTCACCCTACATGAACACCGCGGAGGGTCAACTGCCAACATGGACAGCATAAAGCTCCCTGGATTTACAAATGCGACGGTGCTCCATTACAATTCACGCACTTCGCTTATTATCCAACGGGCGCGGCGAAATGACAATCCAAATGAAACCGTGATATGCAAAGGGAATGCTTTCTACGACGAGGAAGAGAATATCAAACTCAAGCACGAGTACGAATTACTGAAACATATCCATGCCAACCTCGCGGAACTCGAAGCATCGAGGACGAAAGGGTCTGGAGTTAGCAAATCAAGCGGGGGTCATTCGACGCAATCTCCGCGATACCATTACTATAAGGCGTCTGGGCAGGGGTCCGGTTCTCCATCATTCTCATCAAATACCCAGCAATCACGCTGTCAGCAACTAGAAGCCGTCACCGAGGAGCAACACATGTACAGTTCGGGTCCTACACCTCCGCCACCATCTGAACGCAAAGGTTTTACGACCGGGCGGAGGCCGCGGAGCACCAGCTTGACCCACGAATCCATAGAAGGGGCACTGTCGGATAGAGTCATCAAGCCAATTTCGGTAGAAGATCTCAACGGGCAGTTGATACTAGTGTTGGAAGATTATGGGGGCGTATCTCTGAGAGAATTCGCCCTATCAAAGCCTACTGAGAGCAGCAGGCCAGGAAACTCATCAGTTCCTGGGTCAGCGGCGGACAGCGACGCTGGAAATGGGGGACCCAAATTCAAAGATGGCAGTCGTGAGAAGTTTAGTCGCAAAAACCGGCAGATTGGACTGGAGGAGTTTTTGAGCATAGCGACGCAGCTAGCGGAGGCTCTTGAGATTGTGCATGCCGCACAAGTCATGCATAAGGATATCAACCCCGACAATATCGTGGTGAAAAGGACAGGCCCACATTTGGGCGTCCAGCTGATTGACTTCAATCTGTCTGAAGTCACAGACATGGGGAATCAGATGACGAGGGGTTACCTCGAAGGCACTCTTGCCTACATGTCCCCAGAGCAAACAGGGCGAATGCAACGAATTGTCGATTATAGGACAGGTGAGGAATTGCCGTCGACTGGGGACGCAGGGTGTCGCAAGAATTCTGACAATTCCCTGGGGCTGCAGATTTCTATAGTCTGGGACTCACGCTGTGGGAGGTTCTGGTCGGACAACCTCCATTTCAGTTCGAAGATGCCACGGTAAGCAAGCGTCTGATTGCAAGGCTTTGTGGGATATATACAAAGTCGCTCATTATCTGTGGCTTTGTAGGAGTACGTGCATGCTCATTTGGCGAAGGAGGTCGAGTCGCCTCGACTTTATAACGACGCAATCCCGCAAATATTCGTGGACATTGTCATGCGGGTATGTTGAGTGGGAGGAGTGGCATGTACTGCTGCATCTTTTTTTCCTGTTGACCTTTTTGTTTTTTTTAACAGCTTGCCAGCAAAGCACCTGAAACTCGCTATCAGTCGAGCGCCGGGCTCCGCTGGGATCTCATGCAATGTTTCCACCAACTCCAGAAGGAGAAAGCGTCAAGAAAAGTCTCTGCCCTATCCAGATTATCAGATGCGGACGTGATCGCGATACTCGATGGGTTCAATTTCCAAGTTGGTCAAAAGGATCACTCGCACAACCTCAACGTTCCGGATAAGCTGTATGGACGCGAGAGGGAGATGAAAGAGCTGATGACGGCGTATCACAATATTGCCACCGGGCGGAGCCGTAGCGAGCTTTGCCTCATCATTGGGTCTAGTGGAGAAGGAAAGAGCTCCTTGATCAGCCATCTTAGGAAGCATGTGATTGCACAAAACGGGTTCTTCGGTATGTGCCCTTGACAGTGAACTCGGCTGACCGCTCGGAAGCTCATTTCTACTGTTCAGTTCATGGTCAATACTCCCAATACAAAGGCGATCGCCCATATGGTGGACTTGTCGAAGCGCTTGACATGCTGATTCGGCAGCTTCTATCCGAGCCGGCGAGGATCTTGGAAAGATGGCAATCTCAATTGACGACATCGCTAGGTTCCAATTACCTTTCCATAGTGACCGACGTCTTGCCCGATTTGGAGATGATAGTGGGAACACAAAAAGACGCGACGGAGCAGTTTGATGCTCAATCGGCGGAGCAGAACTCCTTCATCAGAGCCATGCAGGCTTTGATCGGAGTTTTTGCTCAGGTGGAGAACCCGTTAGTGGTATTTTTGGACGATTTGCAGGTAAAATTGTTCGAATTTGTTACCCTATGAAGCGCTGTCAGCCTTGCTAATGGTGCAATCCCATGCAGTATGCAGAAGCAGCTTCGCAAAAACTCCTTCAAGCTATTCTGTTCGATAAAAAGATCTCACACCTGCTGATAGTGGCGACGCAGCCTCACAGTGGCGGCCCGCTGAGCAATGCATATGGTCCAACCGTTCAGCGAATACAGTTTGAGGCGCCACAGCGATTGCGGAAGATTGAGCTCGGGCCCTTGCCAATGTCGGGAATTCGTGATATCTTGGTCGATACGCTGAAGCCAGCCGTCGAGGATGTTGACCAGCTTGCTGCGTTACTCTATCGAAAAACAATGGGAAATCCTTTCCATATCCGCGAGTTCTTACGCTACGGGGAACAGCATGGTCTCCTTTATTTTGATGACGTCGCTGGAGGGTGGTCTTGGGACATACAGGAGATGGATCGGCAGTCTGTCTTGAGCGATAATGTGGCGGAGCTGCTCCTGACGAGATTGAGGCAGTTCAGCCCAGAGACGCAGAAGCTACTTCAGCAGGGAGGTAAGCTTTCTTTGAAGCGCTTGTTGAGCTGCATTCTTGCCCATATTCACTTATTTTTCATAACCCTTTATCAGCATGCATCGGGGATGGCTTCGATCTTCGTTTACTTTCTCTCATATCGGAAAGTAGCATTGTGCAATTGGCCACCGACCTGTGGCCGGCTGTCAAAGAAGGATTCATTCTAGCTCAGCCTCATAATGAAGTGCTCATTCGCGGAAATTCAACGATGTCGCGGAGTTCGTCGGGTTCTGTAACATCTCAGCGTCTTGGCCATCGGTCGTCTATGTCTCTGGGGATCATGAACTCACGGCAGTCTGTGGGTGAAATGGTGCTGGCATACAGGGTAAGGCCCATCGCTAATGACCATATTCATTTGCGATACATTTCCTGATATGCTTTCCCCATCATCACAGTTCTGTCACAGCCGCCTGCATCAGGCATGCTACAACCTCATGGATGCGGAAGAGCGAGATGCTACTCATCTCAACATAGCGCGGGTTCTTCGGCGGACCATGACGGAGGAAGAAGTCCTGGAAAACGTATTCCCTGTAGTATCTCACTACAACCGCATCTGGGAGAAGCTGACAGATCCAGAGGAGCGCTATTATGCGGCCCGGCTGCATTACGAGGCTGGCGTCCGCGTCAAACGTTCTGGATCAGTGCTTGCGGCGCGAAGAATGCTGAACACTGCCGCAGGACTTCTGGGAGATGATAGCAATGCGTGGGATGCTCAATATGAGCTGAAGTTTAATACCTGCCTAGCCATTGCCCAATTATCCATCTTGGAAGGACTGTACGACGAAGCGGAAATGCACTTGCGCGGGATGGCCAAGCGAGCCAAGTCGACGAAGGATCAGTTAATCGCTAACAGTACGCTTGTTATCGCATACTACGTGCAAGGGCGCTTTACCGATATCATCGGCATGGGCGTAAAAGATCTTCAGTCGTTTCAAATAGTTACTCCTGAAAACGAACAGCAGGCTGAGGACTTGGCTGCTATCGAGTTCTCGAAGTTGGAAACGCTGCTTGAAGGGCGTACTGTTGCGGAAGTTGCGTCTGCCCCTCGCTGCTCCGATGCGACGGCAGGAAGGCTCGAAATCATTCTCATCCATGTTGGAGGCGCTGCAAACTCCCTCGGGCTGAGCAGCCAAGCCCAGTATTACTATCTCAAGGTATGCGAGCGCTATCACTATTTGTTATCCGGTTTGAAATTGTTAACGAATCTTCACAGGGATGTGTTCGAGCATTGGAGAATGGTTTAGGCCCGGACAGTTCTGTCTTGTTTGCGTACAGCGTTCGAAGCTTCACCTCCGCTAGGGGTGGTCCACGGTTCAACAGAATGCGGTGGCTATCTGAGCTCGTTTTTGCGCTTCTGGGCAGGGCAAGTACGGAGGTTCAAGCGAGGGCACGGCTTGCTCTTGCTCTGCATGGCTACGTGTATGTCGCCTCCTTTAAAGACTTCGAAGCAAATATCGACGGATGCATCACGTCGGGCTTGGAATCAGCACATTACTCCGTGCTCATTTATGCAATGGTGGCGTGGCCCGGCATTCTGTTGTCATACGGTCGCCCGGCATCCTCATGGAGAGACTGGGAAGAACGACACCGGCCTTTCATGGAGAAGATGAAAGGCTATTTTCTCAACGTCTGGGCGGGAACAATGGCGGAGCTAGAGGCGCTGGCTACTGGCAATGAATGTGTTTACCAGCGTCGCGATGTCATGGCCACGGGGATGAGTCGCACGATGGTATACTACTACCGTCTGGTAAACGCCTACCTTTACGATCGGGAAGATCAAAGATCACTCCTGGAGCAATACAAACAGGAGAATAGTCCCAATCACTATATCGGACTTCCAAGGTACTTCATTTCTTGCATTTTTGTCGAACGGCCCACAGCTCGATCATAAACTCATCTCGCCTCACGATATTCCTTAGATACATCGACTTCTATGTATTCCAAGCCTTGATTGCAGCACGGGAGTGGGATCGCCCAGACCGTGATAGAGCCCTTCTTCAAGCTGAGATCGATGAGGCGTACGCCATCGTGAAACGGTATGCGGAAGAGCCTCCGAGTGAGATAATGTGTAAATTCCTGATGGTAGCGGCAGAGAAGGTGGGTGTTTCTTTCTTTGCGCCTTCCTTTCTTCGTGGCTCGTCAGTCCGCAGTCTAAAGCCTCTCTCTAGGAGCGTATCGCTGGCAACGTTACCGCCGCTCGCCGATATTACGATGAGGCATTGGATTCAGCGCATGCCCATGGTTTCCGGTTGCAGGAAGCTCTGACGACAGAGCTGTACGGTGGATTTTGGCTGCAACAAGGATCAAAACGCCTGGCTCGGGCATGTCTTCATGATGCTTACGTTCTATGGTATTCGTGGGGCAGCGAAGGAAAATGCCGGCATCTACAGACGAAATATCCGGATGTGGTGGATCTATATCTGTTGACCAAGGCGATGCCGAGTAGCCGGTTCAACAGCCAGATGCCGGGTCTGACCACGCGCTCTCAAGGAACGGAACAAGCGGGCTCAAATACCGTCGATCTCGACTTGACGACAGTACTGAAAGTGACTCAATCTATAACCAACGAGACAAGCTTGGAAACCCTGCTAACGAAAATTATCAAGTTCGTTATGGAAAATGCTGGTGCAGAGAAAGGATTGCTGGTCCTCCGTCAAGATGGCAAACTGATGATTGAGGCCATCGGCATTGTTAATGAAGGCGAAGAAGTTCAACGGGTATTGCAGCATGTACCCGTCGAGCAAGCCTCTAGCGATGAAGGAGTTCCGCTGTCGGTTGTATATTACGTCTATCGAACGAGGGAGCCGATCGTGTTAGCGGACGCCAGTCACGATGAAACGTACGGGAAGGATCCATACATTGCCGAGCGCGGAACGAAGTCCATTCTATGCTGTCCCATCATGCATCAGAATGCCGTGACCGGGGTAGTGTACCTGGAGAATGATCTGCAGCCCGGCGCATTCACCGGCGACCGGCTTGAACTCATACAGTCATTGATGAGTGCTGCTTCAATGTCGATCGAGAACGCTAAACTGGCGAAAACGAACAACGAGCTCACCGCAGCGCTAAAAGATTCCAGCTCAAAAGCAGCGCCACGGTATAATCTCGATGGACCCATCAAGAAGACGATCGATATGTTGCAGAGCTTCAAGTTCCGACTGCCACCGGGCGACCCAGGCATAAAGCAGATCGATTTTATCATGAAAGCTCTGACTTCAACCGACTTCTTCTCTTCGAATATCGACGAGATCAACGACGAGACGGGAAAAGGCCTCGATTCCGATACAAAAAACTGGATCGAAAACTCTCTCTTGCAGAAAGAGCAGCGACGGAGTCGAGGTAACGACGCCAAAGAGGACATGTTCGCTGCGAAGAATGAGTTTGAATTGGTGAAGCACGCCATAAAAGCCGACGGCGCGCCAACTCCACGACCAGCGGCCGAGATAGTCTCCATGAATATGGACCGGGTCAATGAGCTGTTGAAAAAATCGACAACGGCTGATTTCAACATCCACGATCTTGCGGAAGCGACCAATGGGCGCCCTTTATACTTCCTAGGGGTGCATCTCTTGCACCACTGGGGGTTGGTGCAGCACTTCTCGCTGGACGAGATGAAGCTCCGCGCGTTCTTTCAGGAGATTGAGGCTTCGTACCATCCATTACCGTATCACAATAGCTCCCATGGAGCAGACGTTCTCCAAACTTCCAACATGCTACTGTTAAGCGACCCAAAAATGGCCGCGAACTTCACCAAACTGGAGGTGTTTGCGGCGTGTATAGCCAGTGCCGTTCATGATGTAGATCACCCGGTGAGCAAAACACGATATGTGGACTGAATGTGTGGGCTAATCCTCCTGGAGTCCGCGTGCTAATCTGCTAGTCGGTTTGGCAGGGGTTGAACAACAACTTCCTTGTACAGTCATCGCACCCATTAGCGATATTTTATAACGACATGTCTGTTCTCGAATTCCATCACTCAGCGAAAGCCTTTGAGATTGCTCGGCGGCCAGAAACCAATGTGTTTGTTGGGCTGTCAAACGAGCAATATAGAGAAGCTCGAAAGCTGATCATCAGTATGGTGGCAGCGACAGGTAATTTGGTTTTGTGCAACACTTGAGCATTGCACGATCTCACCCTGTTCGCACAATTAGATATGTCTCAGCACTTCCACTACATTAACAAGTTGAAGGGAAAGATCGCGGCATCTGCGCTAAACTGGGAGGAGCCGTCGGATCGATCTCTCATCTTGGAGTGTGCCATCAAGTGCGCGGACCTGAATAACTCCGCCAAGCCACTGGAGCAATCCCGCAAGTGGGCCTTTTCAGTCATGCAGGAGTTTTTCCTCCAGGTAAGCGGAGCCGACGCAATTTCAGGAAAATGTAGCAGCGAAGGTCTGGCCTCGTGCTGATCCCGTCAATCCACAGGGCGACAGGGAAAGGAAGCTTGGCATGCCAGTGTCGAAGTTCATGGATCGGTACGACACGCACATTCCCAAATGTCAAATAGGGTTCATCGACGTCCTGGTAGTCCCGCTCTTCGACTCCTGGGTACAATGCATTCCAACGAGTTTCTCGCGTCAATGCATGGACATGATTGTGCAGAATCGATCCCATTGGGAGTCGATATTAGACAAACCGGACGCCGTTCCCGTTTTCCATCCACCGCCAGATGAGGAACGCGAGGATTTTCAGATCGCTGCGCCATCGACGCCGCCCTTTGGCGCGCAACCGCCTTCAACACACTCAATATCGGAAGAAGACAGTCCGGAACCATTTCCACGGGTGACGGTGGACTCGCCGCGGCGGCCGGGAGATGTGGGCCGCCGTATGAGCAGCCCGCATGTGCTTTTGAGCGCTAGAGCGGGGTCTGCAGGCCGAGGGTCACCCGATCGGGGAAACCCAGTGGTGGGGAAGAAAATCCCGAAATCATCCTCGGGCGGCAGTATTAAGAGTTGGATCGAGCCTTTACCGCCACCAAACTTTGACAAGTCATATGCGACTGACAGCCCTCGGCTGTCGATACACCGTCGCTCTTTTGGGCAGATATCTCTACCCACCGAACCAGTAGCGGCCGCGCAGAAGCTACGAGTCGCTCTGCCGTCGATAACACCGATACCACGGAGTTCGTCCGGCCTCGAAGACATCCAGCAATCACCGGCAACCGAGCGGTCGAACTCACCCGCGTTATTACTGAAACGGCTAGGAAGCGGCACGGACGGTAATTCTCGACCAAATTCATCCGTGAGAACGTCTGGACTAGCTTCATGATCGACACCACCGCAACTAGCCGCACCACATACGCACTCATTCACATCCGATTTGAGGGAATCCAGTTCCTTCAACCCCTCAATTTTGTTTATATAGTGATACCTTCCTATCAATTCCGTTTCTTTCTACATTTGCTGTCACGCCCAATCCAATCACACTTTTACAAGTTGCCATCATCGGCGATGCCTCCGGCAGAGGTACAATGATGTGGATGGCAGATAACCACCACGGAAAATTCTAGACTACTGGTTACGGGAGAATGTGTCTGGTCTGCCATTGCCAAGCACCACCGAACGCACAATCGAGAGGAAATTCTTGGTACTTAGGACGTCCCGATTGTGCACTTTCATCCGTAGTCGTAGTGGTCGTCTTCCAGGAATCTCAAATGGCCTCCAGTCTTGGTTGATACATTCGGGGTTGGGGCAACCCACCAATCCATGGACGAATTCCATTCTTCCCTTTCTAGCTTGCCACGGCCGAGATGACAGCCGGCGTCGGATGTTTTTCTTCACACGGCCGTGGCAGTTGGGGCACACGGACGACGTTCGATACTCATCCAGCAAGTAGCATGGAATGCCGTTTCTCGCAAAGAGTGTGTGGAATCTAATTTCCATGATGAGTTAGAATAATAGAATACATAGTAGATACCACCAATCATGGTCACTCACCCCTTGGTCTTTGATGACTCCTGAAAGCGCGTTGTTTTCCCAGCATCGCTCCAATCACCCAAGACGACCGAAAAATGCTTTCCATACCGGCGTCGCATGTTCTTAATGAGCTTGCTCTCAGACTTTTGCCGCAGTGAGAAAGCCTTGAATCTGCAAGCGACGTGAATATCATCCCGGTAAAACTCATCTAGGGCGGGATCTGGATATGGATGGATGTCAGCCCATGTATTATGGAATTTGAAGACAATGCATAATACATCATACCTGCATGTATGTGATCCACAATGAACGCTGAGAACGCCTCGATCTTCATGCTCTTGTGCGACGGAATATGTGATTCCATCTCGGCGATGCCGGCATTGATCTTTCGCTCTCTCATGTCTCTTTGAAAGTACCGCGACTTTGTCTCGACCGCCCGTTGATTGGATGTGTATCTGGTATGGTATGGGATGGTGCATTGTGAGGATGATGCAACAGAATGTCAAAAGCAGTAATGAAATAAAACGTACCGAAATGGGCGCTCCTTCTCGATGTCTCGACGGAACAGGAGGTCACGCTTGCCCGGATCAATGCAGACGATGTTTGGAGCCTCCCTTAATTCGTCAATGTGGTGCTCAAAATACAGCTGCTGGACTTCTTCCTGCATTTGGGCCTTGCTGCGCTTCCGGGCCCGATACCCGAGCTTGAGCCCTGGCTTCTTGAAGTGGATGGTAACGGAATACCCGTTGGTGCTAATTGACCCATCGAACTTGAGACCAAGCTTCTTTCGATGTTTGAAGACCTTGTCCTATAACCCGTCGTTCAGCAGGGCAATTGAAATAAGCGCAGAAGGGTACAGACTTAACTTACATTCACATTGAGAAACTGCCCCCACAGCTCCCGCTTGCGTTCATCAGTGAACTTCCCCATGCAACTTTGGCTCAAGCCCAAGATATGACGGCCTAGGATCAATGTGTCGATCCGAACAGATGACTGGATTCAAGATTTGCGCAGCGGGATAGCGGAAAACAGCCGCATTCCACGGCGCTCATAGAGGCGTGAGAGCTCACAATAGGCACCTGTGGTGAGGCAGGTGTGGACCATGACCAGACAAAAGAGGAAGCCAAGGGGGGGGAGCGAAGGGGGGGGGGTATGTTCGACGAGCAGGGAACACATCGTAGGCGATGGTTACGTTGATGCCGTGGCGGTGGGCAAGAGCATCGGCCACGCCCCGGGCCCGCTGTGCGCGCAGTGGGGGCGTCGTCAAAGCGGGGGAGGAGGGGCGGGGGGGGGGGGGGCGGGGCGCGCAGGAGCCAAGCGTGCAGGCGCCCATCGGCAAGAGCGCATCGCGCACCACGTCGACCGGGGTCCCGGCAGGCAACCACTCGGCCAGGTCGGCGTACCAAGCGAGGCGCTGGGGGGGGGGGGGGGGGGGGGGGGAAGGGGGGAGTGTGAATATACAGGATGCAACTCACCTAAATATGGCATTGCGTCCACCGCAAGGCTGTATGCAAGTGGTTCATCCTGGGGAGGAAACAGAGCCCATAACTTGTCGAGGAGAGTCCGCTCAAGTCGTGTGAGGCCGGCAAACTCCTCTTCGGTTGGGTACTCTTCAAATGTCGCATACTTTGTGAATTGGCGGACACGACGATAATAATGTCGCCGCTGCGCTCTCCGGAGATGCAGTACAATTTGCTTCAAACCAAGCCGTTCATTGATGTAGCGCAGAAGCATTTGCAGAAAATGCTCCTGTACGTTGACTTTGAGGTTGGTGAAGATGCTCTGAGCTGTGTATGCCGCCGTCTGTTGGCAATCTTGCATGTGGATTGGGGCGAATCCGTGAACATTACAGTACTCTTGAACCCATGGACGCAACTCTTGCGCGATGGTCAGACTGCCATTGTAGCCGGGGTTGTTTAGCAGCTCAAATATCACACTAATGTGCTTGTTGGTGATGTCCAGGAAATCGCGTAGAGGATGATCAGCTGCGGTGGGCAGACGTAGTAGTCAGGACATTGTTTCATGGGAAATATACAGTGTACCTCACAAACTCACCAAGGTAGTACTTGAGAAAGAACGTGGTGTGGCGCGCAAGGACGTGAACATTGCCGAGGAAGGTTGTCAGGCGCTCCCTTTGCACTTGATTGTGATTATGGATTCTGTGAAGGGAAACCTTCGTGCTGGCATGCGTCTGCGGGCGGGGTCGTTGCGCAGGGGGTGGAGGCGAGGGTGGAGGCGGGGGTGGAGGCGGGGGTTCAAGCACCAGGGATCTACCCGGTGTGCTGGGAAAAGGGAAAGGGATAGGAGCGGGGAGGTTCAACGGACGCTGCAGACCCCTTTCCACAGGTGAAAGCCCTCGCTGTTGGTGCTGCCCGTCGTCATCGCCGGAACTCTCGCTGACCATGTCTGCAATGGCTTCGGGCAAGTGGCGCTGGACAGATGGTGGGAACTCGAATCGAGGGCGCGGGGGCTGCAATGGCGTCTGCACGGCGGGTGGCAGACGTATGGGCAACCGTGGGGTAACTGGAGCAACCTTCCTCCTCTTCCGCCGTGGTGTGGTTGCTCCAGTAAAGATGCCACACCACAGGTACCCCTGGAGCGCCTGGTGTGATGACATGCTGTGCCTTTTGCGTGTCTGCTAGAGATGAGGTGTATGCAGGTGATTGCCGTGATGGCTGTGTTATGGGGTTGAAGGAGTAGAGTGGGGATCCCCGCGTTTTTTACACGCGTGTAAAGGATGTGGGGTATCGCATCCGCGTGTCTGCTGGCCACAGCGCCGGATGACCCAGATCCTAGGAGCGTCAAAGAAGCGATGAAACGCCCGGACTGGCCAAGATGGAAACAAGCTATTGATGAAGAGCTGAATTCTTTGCAAAAGAGAGAGGTATTTGACAAAGTTGAAGAATGTCCTTCTGATGTTGTTCCCGTCGGTCACAGATTTGTTCTAGTGCGAAAAAGAAATGCAGACGGCTCAGTATCCCGCTATAAAGCCCGCCTGGTAGCGCAAGGGTTCACGCAGACGTACGGTATCGACTACGAGGATACATACTCACCGGTGATGGACGCAATCGCTTTCCGATTCCTCATCAGCTACGAAGTACAACAGAAGTACAACATGCAACAAAGACATATATCGACCAAAAGAAGACGATGAGGCTGTCCTAGATGTGGATACACTGTACGCCGCAGCCATAGGAGCGTTGATGTACCTGGCCAACTGCACGCGCGCAGATATATCCTTTGCTGTACACTGTCTCGCCCGCTCGACGAAAGAACCGACGCAACGACGCTGGATATACAACGAACGTTGCGGATATATTTACCAAATCCCTAGATGAAAACAAACACTGGAAGTTTGTTCACGCTCTAGGATTGCGCCGAACAGCCGATGTTGCTTAGGGTTGCCGACGACGAGTACGCCGAACTGCCAATATTGCCTGATATGAATGCGCTCTTTTCCTAGTCCCAGGATCTATTTTTTCCTCACGGAGGTTTTTACGACTGGGAGAGGTTTCTACCGAGGCATCCACGACTATGACGGCGAGGCGATGGCGGAAGTCAAGAGAACGAATGCGAGTGCCCATATCCAGGCTACACCTCAAGCGATCGGGAAGTCGAAAGAACGAATGCGAGTGCCCATATCCAGGCTACACCTCAAGCAATCGTGAAGGTGACTTGAAAAGCGAATCACGAGTCCGGCGACTATTCCTCGCTGGACTCAAGCGATCGCGGAAGTTGAGAGCGGAGCGTTCAATGAGATCAGGATGCGGAGCAATGGCGACTGCGACTTCGACGGCAACTGAATTCGATCTGCAGTCTGAGAGGGAGTGTTGTAAACAACCTGTTTTAGCCACAGCTTCCCTTTATAGTACCGTACCCCCTTTTTCCTTCTCGGGATAGAATAGCTGGTGTGGTTGTGTGCAGACCGTCCGATCGAATGTCTATAAAGCGAGTGGTGTGTGTGTGAAGGGGAATAAAAGTAACGAGTTCCACAACACGCTGGCGACAATCCAATGATGTGGAGAATCACTTTTCGGCCTTTTGCATTCTCTGCATTGCCCCCCTTCGCTGCCTTCGCTGCAGCAATCGCTCCCTCTAATTCCTTCCAAATCCTTCTTCGGTGATATCGGGTGGGGCGACAGTCCTCACACCACCAGCAAGGGTTCTCGATAACAGCGCTCATACAGCAGAGTCGGTGGAACCATCCCCCATGTTCGCATACGCCACCCTTCCCCTCGCACCAGAGCCACCCCCCCAACAGAACCCTCTTTGCTACCATCTCCCTTGTTTCGTTCGGTTTTTTGCCGTCCCCCCCGGTCCCAATGCAGGCAACATTGTCGCTGTTACTGTCGCTGTCGGTGGCCCCATTGGCCATTGCAATTACATCCGTCGCAATTGCAATCTCGGTGGCAGGAAGTCTTATCTGTGAGAAGAGGTGAGTGTGTGTGTGTGTGTGTGTGTGTGTGTGTGCGCGGGGGGGACGCAGCCTTACCAGCTTGCACTGTTTGTGCCCACATGTCCTTCCAAGTTCAGGCATGTCGTGCATTTGCAGCCAGATTTGCAGCCTCGAAGGTCAACGGTCAAAAAGCCAAGGCTGTCTGTCAGAAAGCCATGGCTTTTTTGTGATACACGGTCACATACGATTTCGATTTGCTTGCTTTTACACCACCCTGGGTAGGAAGGTACGAAGGAATCAGAGGGAATATGCGGTCACGTGGGGGACACGGACGTCGCGGACAGTAAAGAATGAGGATAATGCACATTCAAATCCACTCACCCATGAGACGCGCTGTCGAATTTTGCGAACACAGAGACAAAGGTCGGATTGACGCATTTTTGACGTCCATGCTGCGATTCAAGGGCTCGCTCACAAGAAAAAGCCTCGGAAGAGCGAGCATATGTATTCTAGATGAACCTGCACTTCCCCATGAAAGCGTTTTCCACACGTAGGCACGATCAACACCACGAAAAGATGCCGTTCGTTGCAGCATCGGCTCAGAGCTCCATCAATGCCGAAAGCAGCGCGTCAAGCAGCGTCTCAAGCACTTTCCGGCAAGACTCTGCCGCGAGCGCCTCATATCACGCAAACCCAATGGCCGTAAATGCAGATATCGATCAGCGCACCCGGCCGCAAAGTGCAGGAAAGGGACGGAATCCACTCTCGAAAAAGTGGACGGAACCGACCGATGAGGGGGTTGGGGTGAAACGCCCGACTTCAGCGCCCGTTGGAGGACGCACGGCAAGTTGGACGTCCATCGACTCCACCGCAAGTGGCAGATCTAGATGTAGTAGGCTCGATGCGCCACCGGAGGCCAAAAGCACGACCAGCTTCTTCAGGCTCCCGGCGGACTACAGCAACTTACCAGATGGCCCTCTACTGCCACTCTTTCCCTGCACATCAGCTGCGAGTATCTCCAGCGCAGGGATTCTCCTTCGACATCAAGGGAGAGAAAGCCATCTGGAGTTACGAAAGGATGAGCAGACGTCAGATGAGAGCCTGCCCAACGGCTTGCTGCCAAAAACAAAGTGGGCCGGGGTGAGTACTCTGATCTCCTTTTACGCGTACGGCATTGATGCCTTCCGTGGGTTCTATTTGTATAGCTCTTCCCATTCTGACATCGTGCCCATCGTCGTGATTTGTAGCTCAAGCGGAAAGTAAGATACCCAGTTTCGGCCAATGTGAAAGCTGGACAAGCCTTCGCAGGCTACGTCACGATATGCTCTCGAGATTGGGAGTTCCGAGGACGAGGGAGAGTAGGGAAACCCAAGCGCCGCTGGCTCTGCATCAAGGTGAGTGAAGTCTCCGGTCGAAGTAGATATAGAGGATGGCCATCTCAGTATTGTATTTGCCTTTTCATCTGCAGGACGACCAGCTCTATGTCCTCAAGCGACCAAATGCGAAGTATGCTACCGTCATCCTCGATCTCGCGGAGTGCACTATCGAGCCGAGGCCATTCCGGGTGATGTCCCAAAATAGCATTGTGTTTCAACTCTACCTGCCAATCGAGTTGAGCGAGCGGAAACCCCGAAGCTCCATCACGACCACCAGGGGATCGGAAAGCGTTCCAATGTCGGCAGGATTGTCTTTCATGTTCATTGTGGAGAACGAGAAGCTCAAGATGGAGTGGATGCAGGCTTTGCTCCAAGCCAGCGCCTGGAGGGGACAAGCACTGGGTGAGACCAGTTCGAGATGTGTCGCGGTGTACTAGGCATCTCAACTTCCATCGCTGCATCCTAGCAAAGCAGGGGGCCCTTCCGTACATCCGAGTCGAAGACTACGACAAGTCGAACGGTTCGGAACTCATCTTTCCGGAACCTCCCAAAATCCAGGATGTTGCAGGACGCCAGTGGTCCACCCACGTTTTTGACACAGGGGAGATTGGGAGAAGGAGCACACGAAGTATGGAGTTACTGACAAAACCCGGCCTGGAGATCAGAACGAAGATACACATGGGGGCGGACGAAAGAAGACCTGCGTTGTGCGATGAAAGTACGGAGATCACAAAAGCTGGAGAAACCAGCAAAGATGGTGGTGGATTTATGGTCCCCAGGATCAAAGCATCGGCAGAACGCCGGCATGAATGCCGGCACGTCGACTGACAATGTCTTCCTCACACATTGCTCGGCCGCCGAGAAGGACGCATTCAAGAAAGCAAAGGCGAAACACGCTCCCATCGTCCATCACCATGTACGGGCTTTCAAAGAGCAAGCCGCCGTACTCTCCATCCTTGGACAGTCGGCCGCCCCCGAAATGACGCAGGAACAACTTATCTCCATCGTTCAACAAACCATGTCCGTTTGTGAAGCAACCACTCTCGCTGCCCGCGAAACCATGAATAAGGCCATTAGGCCGCGCACGAAGCGGCCGGCTTCTCCGCTACGACCGTCGATTCCATTCACGCGGAATGCACATTCGGCGCCCGAAAAACGCAGGAGCTCTTCGGCGAGTTCTCCGAGCTCAAGGAAATCGTCGCCTCCCTCCAGACGATGAAATCCCTTTGACCACGCCGGAAGGTTTTTGGCACCCCGGTACGCGCAGCGGTCAGGACAACATGTACGCCGAGGCGTCCCCCTCCAAAGACGAGCGCAATCCCCACGAGAAGGATTCTAACCCACGAGAAGGATTCCGTGGCAATGCATCCAGCGGATATCACGGTCGATCATGAGGTCAAGGCTATCGAGGCCGCGGCCGCGGCGGTTCGACAATCATCATCGAAACAACTCGAACGAGTCGAAACCCGACCGACAACAGTAGAGGAATCCTCAATGGCGACGCCGGTGCCAACGCCAATCCTGCGCGCACAACTCCCTTCACCGAACACGGCTTCATCGACAAATAAGCAACCTCCGAACGGAGTCCATTGTGCTCTGGACGAGGAACGTAGTCCTCTAGAGTCTATGGACGAAGAGGAGGTTGCTTAGTATCCCACCTCACTACCCCACCGCACTAAGCACCTCTCCTTGACATTCGCCGCATTCGCCGCTCGAGTTGCACCGGCTTATTTATCAACATCTCGCCTTCCACGGCTCGATCAATGACTATTTAAAGGTTTTACGGGTTTCCCTGGACATTAGGTCCTAAATGCGCTCTGCCCCGATAACTAGTTCATCTTCATCGAACCCATCCCTCCCTCCTACCGTAGCTTGACATAGCACTCGATGGCTAAAAAAAGATACGGGGAAAAGGGAAGCTATACGCAATCTGTTATTTATACAGTCGAGAAGAAAAATAGAGAAGCTTACTAAGCAACCTCCTCCTCGTCCATAGACTCTACAGGACTACGTTCCTCGTCCAGAGCACAATAACAGCCTTCCGCGCGAGTAACAGCCAATAACAGCCTTCCGCGCGAAATAACTTACCGTTAGGGTGACATGCGCGAGTAACAGCCAAAAAGAAGTCCACGGATCTAGAGTCTTTTCTGAACCTCCACACAGCGTTATGGTAATAATTAGGAGTGTGTGTAGTCCACGGCTTCAGGGATATTTGGCATCCCATTTTGGCATCAAGCTGCGGCTTGGTTCAGTCATCTTAAGCCGAAGGAATTTCCAAGTGACTTTCATATCCCGGCCATTACATAGACAGCACGCGATTTCAGCGATGTAGGTATGGAAAAGATGAACATGTACAGGTTTGGGATATGGCGCAGACTGCACCTTCGAATAACGGCCGACGGTGGCTGTTCCCGACATCGAGTGTTCGTTCGATTATGGGGGTGTAAGCGGGGAGATGGGGTATGTTCTGTTTAGGAGGACACGTGAGAAGTGGTTTGAGATGCTCATGGCTTGGGAATCCTGATGGTCCTGCTGATTTGCAGGGTTCCGCTGATGGCGTATACGAGGACAAACGGCTGATGTACCAAGAGTGGAGAGGTGTTTATTAGCTAGCTTTCGGATAGAATGAAGCAGAGGTCAGAGAGGGAACGTACGTGCAAGGTCCACCCTCCCAAGACGAGCTTGCCTCCAGGAAGCTGCGTATAATACAGAAACGTCAGGACATCATCAAGGAAAAAGAATATGTTCCAATACGTACGCTGTCCTCTCCGTATTGTTGTGTGTTGACGAGGTAAAGGATACCCAGCGCGATAGACACCTGTACAGAATGATGCTCAGGACCGGATTCGGCATATTGCGCCTATCCCAACTGCCAAAGCTTACCGTCGTGGGAATGGGCGTGCCTTCGAAGAATCGGACTTTTCCTCCCTCAGCATTCGACTCAGCAGTCACATTGTAGCGTGCCAACCTAGAGACACCGCAGTTCACAAAGTAGAGGAGAACGATCACGTCGAAGAGACCTTGTAAGCCAATGGCAAACCTACGCGGGGGAGACGCCAGTCAGATCTCTGATATGAAGCAATGGTGTACATTTGCAGAAAAAGAAAGGACGCTTACCCGAGAACGGCGGGCGCAACACCAAAGCTGATGATATCCGATAGGGAATCGAGTTCCCGTCCCATGGGTGAGGAGGTCTTCGACCACCGCGCGACACGTCTGCCAAAGGGGCAATAAAGCATAAGCCATTTGCCAGGATTTTGGAGAAGTATGGAAATGACTGAATAGCTCCATGTATGCAGAAACGTACCCGTCGAAAATGTCAAACAGAAGCGCGGCCGGGAGCAAGAGGATGGCAGCGTAAAGGTACCACATGTTGCCGGTTGTCACATACTTCAAAGAGGCGAAAATGGAGGTCGATCCGGATCTAGATCCCAAAGAATTAGCCTCGTCTATCGTTCCTTCTCTCTATCTGTCTTCCCAGCCCCAAGGAACGTCCTTTGTCCGTCCCTTGCCCGCCGTCGCTCCCCAAAACGGAAACTTACGCAGAGTTGCAGAGAGTGACAGCGTCGGCAAGGTAGAACCCACGAATCATGCTAAAGTGTTTCTTTGGGCCGTTTCCGTTGATAGCCGCAGCGCCGGCGGCACCGACAGCGGTCGCGGCGTTGCGCGCAGAGTTTGCTGCAGCTTTGGCGTTTTTCCTGGCAGACATTTTCGGCGAAGATCGTGTGGTTTGTGTCTGGTGATACTTTGACAAGAAGAGATGTCGGCGATGATGTCCAGTCTGGACAAGATTGTCGGATAGCGGGGCTGTATACGTTGGTCCCACCCTTTTATGCTGTCTGTCGAGAAGATTGTTCACGATCTCCAAGGGAATTCCAACGTCCTCACACAAGGCCCTGCCCTGTCTCGTGGCTGAGGATTCATATGAGGCACCGGCGCTCTCCGGTCAAACGTCACCAACACGACGTCACCGAGTGGTGACGTCCGTGGCCAGCCTTTTACAGACACGGCAGCCAACATTGATCATCACAGGTTTCCTGGCGCTTCTTCGCCGTCATCAACCTCCCAAGGAGCCCTCGACCGACCAGTACTGTACAGTACTCCCTTTCCGCCTCCTATCCCCGTAGACAGAACACAAAAAGGGAATCTCACTTCCCGCAGCCTTGAGGAAAAATTCACCAACTCTCCCCGGATCCAGTTCACAATGGTCAAGCCTTGCCCTCAAACCCGAGCCGTCCAGCGGCGACGGTTGGTTTCTCGACGCAGCACTCGCAGCGGCACTCGGAGGCGCAACAACGCAGCTTCCAACGGGTCCTCGAACGGGAACGGCGGCGGCAGTGGCAATGGTGGGGGGAATGACGACGGCAGCGAGAGTGGCGCGGAGAACGGCGAGAGTGGCGGCGAGAGTGGTAACGGCAACGGCGGCGAGAGTGGCGGGGAAATGGCGGAATGGGTAGCGATGAACGTACGGAGATCACAAAAGCTGGAGAAAGCAGCAAAGATAGTGGTCCCCAAGATCAAAGCATCGGCAGAATCGGGCGATGAAGGTCACGACGGAAAGGCCTCTTGGGGTTTAGGGGTAGGGTTACAAGACGCATGATGCGGAACATACATACGGACTGATGCCGATCGCTATTCGTCGAAGATGATAGAGCAGAGCTTACGAAAACGACAGATTCTACCTAGCAAGGCGCACGCGTTGGGCAGGCGATCTAGCCGAATGCAAAATGTGTTCGGCCCAGAGAACCGCTAAGAGATACGATTAAAGCTACGACATGCTCTAATAGTCGTCGAAAACACGCTAAGTACGGGGTCAGTATGAGGATGACCGGGATACTAGTCTTCGTGGGTACGCGCGACTTTCCATTATTGTCGCTACGCCTATTAACGCCGTTCTGCCATTCTCGCGCCGATGTTCGTGTTGTCGCGCTTTTTATATCAGCAAATGCGAGGCTGTGCCCCACCTCGATTAGCCGCATACACTTCGACGTTCGAGTGCCAAGCGGTCCGATTGGCACTGCATGCCACCTAATCACGTCGTGCAAGACATTGTCGGGACATTGCGCCGTATTGGTGATCGAGTCGTTAACTTTCCGACTGCAGTGCAGCAACGAGCACCAGCTCCGTTGTCTGTTCCTGCCGTGTCGCGTAATGAGCGAAACTGGAATACTCTATGTCGAGTAGATCTTCCGCAACTGCTCTATATTCGTTGGCATCAGCGTAACTGGACATTCCTGCTTCTCTTCGATCCATCGGAAAATGCAGGGATAGCAATACACATAGCCAGAAGGCACCATCGTTGGATTTGTCCGCGGTTGAGAGCAGATGGGGCATATAGTCGGATCGTCGGGAAGGGGCAGGCCTTTCGGATTCGGCTGCGTTCGAATACGTTTAGCTTATCGTGCCCACACGCAATAACGAAGTTATCGCTCACTCACCTCGACCTTTTCTGGAGGTGGGGGGATGGGCTTCTTCCCAACCTGCTTGTGATACTCCGAGGAGTACCACCATTCCAGAAACTTGAAGAAGAAGATAGACATGGGCAAAGCGTACTTGAGTAGGTCCAAGCCGCGTGTGAGAAACATGGCCAGCATGTGACGCATCATGGAGACTTTAGAGCTTCGTGACAGCATGGCGTTGGTTTGCTCCCGGGCAAGCCGGTCTCGTTCTTCTTGATCACGCTGGTGATGGATGTTTCAGTAGAGCTCGCATAGAAGAAAGGTCATCGCCATAGTACTCACGTAATCCTTCATGCTCAATCTGCGCACTTGCAGCCCGCACAGATGCAGCCATGGCGAATAGTAATCCGTCTTCCCGTACATATACCCAATCTGGTACACGAATATCAGCATTTGATATCCTGCATTCGCAAACGGGTATCCGGTGCGAAACGCTCGCTTGATCCGTTTTTCCCATCTTGCTTTCCACGGCTCATCCTGCGATGATTTCCAAACCATAAGCGATTGAGAAGAATGCTGTGTTATTAGCGAGCGATTGTCCCATACCCTCGCAACAGCCTCAAAGCCATCCTCAGCAAATACATCTCCGAATATCCTGCTCCCGGCCCCTCCCGACACCTTTTCGTACGCCTCATCAAGCCTTGTTTTGATGTAAGGCAACCCTACAAGCATGAACAGCGACCGCCAGCACTGAGCAGCATCGAGGCGGGGCACATTCTTATTGGCGCGCTGTTTAAAGTTGGCGGATATGCGGCGCAAGCCGTAAAAGTGCTCTGCAAAAGAGGCGTCTTTGGACAAAGGGCGCGGTTCAATACCACCGCAAGCGAACCAGTATCTAAAATCGCACTGACATACCTCGCTCGCGTAAGTACCACCTCTCAACGACGGCCATCAGGAGCGCGAATAGCTCGTCCGTCCTATTCGCCATCCTCAACAGATATCGCGGATATCGCTGTGCATAAACTGCGAGGATGTACTGCAACGCCGGTTTGAGCAGGTCGCGCATCTTATCCTGGGCCACGAGCTCAAAGAGCGACGGACGATAGACGTCGTTGGCGCCGGCGTTGCTGATATTGCTAAGATACTCCATTGTAGTGGGTTTGAGGTTCGAGCGTGCGGGGTATGATCGACTGTCGACGCTCTTCTGCCGGGTGCAGGAAGGCCTCGAGTTCCCACCCAGGTTCCCACCCTTGCAGGAATGCAAGAGTGCAAGCCCTCTCGAGCAACGCGTGAATGGCTTCACGTTCGCATTTGGTTCGCATTCCCGAAGCTCAGACTTTCCGTGGGCCTCAAATCGTCACTCGGTCGGGAGCGTACCAACTTGCCACCATGGCATCAGGGTTCATCGTCAACAAAGGTCTTACGTTCGTGTTGGTGCTAGGCGGAATGTACGCAGGTAGGTACGGCCCCTCATGGAAACTCTCAACCACGGGACGGCCCTGTTGGCCATGCATATTTCCGCAGAGACTTGGCTTCGAATTCACCCTCGTTTTCACCAGGTAGCAACGCCATTCAACGACTCATGAAGCCTGATATGGTGAGTTTGCTCCCCCTCTGTGGACGCGAAATTTTCTGGACTTGGCTCAACCTGGACTTGGCTCACCCGGCTCCTGCACTTCAGTCGATACCTGACCTCCTGGCAGACCCGGCTCTGGACCCAAAGGCAAAGAAGCAGGAGGCGGAGGCGCACGCGCGGACAAAGCCTGCTTCGCAATTGAGATGAGGGAACATTTAAGGTCGCTGGGGCACCACGTCTGTTGAAGACATGATAGCTTACAAGACACCGTCGTCAGAGGACGGAGTCAAATGTAGGCCGGGGCAGACGGGAAGGGCACATCGCACGGCTTTTTGCCCTCTGCACATGTGCATACAGAGAGGCTATGTTAGTATATATAGCACATCTAGTCAGTTCCTACGGACTTACGAGGGTTCTGTCCTCCAACATGCCTGGATGTGTCCAAGAAACAAGAGCACAAGGTTAAGGCAGGTTAAGGCACCACTATCTTGTACGCCAGTATACGTTACCCACTACATACATCAAATGTGGCTTACATGACCCTGCATCGCTTTACGTCGCAAATTCAGAAACTCTGGTATTCTACCCTATAGGGGGAATGATCCCTAGCGCATCCGTCTCACCTTCAATCGCCTCATCGCCGTCCCACACAAACCCACCAAGCCCCAATCCCATCCCAATCCCCTTCCCGCCCCCACCAATCAGAACTCTCCCAGGCTTCACGCTTCTACTCTGCAGTCTCCCAAACCTATCCGTTGGCCACAGCACCGCAACCACTTTACTCTCCACCAACCCCAGGGGCACGGGCCCAAAAACATTAGAGTCAACGCCTCGAAACGGTTCATCTGACTCTACCCACACATGCCCCCTCGGAATCCGAACATACAGCGTAGACGAGTTATGCGAGTCGTCATGCCCAACAAGATGGTGATGCCGTGCCCACCAGTCCTCGCCGCCCCCCATCACACCCTCCTCGCTACCCCTCCGCGGCCGAACCACATCCCCAGCAACCGCCACCACCCGCTTAACCAGCTTCATCTTCTCATCGTAAGGGTTGGCGAGAAACACCACATCCCCTCTCTTTATTCCAACTGTTGGTGAGTTTGACGACTGCGTGACGGGTGAGGCAGGGCGTTTGTCGAGGAGAACGATGTCGCGACGCGTGTGGGAGGTGTCGGGGTTGAGAGTGGGTTGCATGCTCCGGCCGGAGATGATGCCGACGGAGAAGCCGTGCGTGAGGAAGAGGAGGGTGGGGGGCAGGAGGTAGAGGGTTGGGCGGAGGCGGCGGAGAAGGGTTATCATTGTTGCGGCAGTGAAGTTGGAGATCGGTCTGCAGCGGAACTCTGGCTTGAAGGGGAAGATTAGGAGAGGAGAACGCCGCCGGTGATAATAACTCCGCAACACGTCCGAGGCGTCCGTGATTAGCACATATACGGTACTGTACACGTATACTGTATACAGTATATCGGTTGTTCAACGTTGCATTGAGGGCCGAGGCTTGAGTGAAGCTGGTCGACGGCATTCCGGTTCCCACACACGCGACGAACTGTGACCTCCTCGAACAGCGTCGAACTGAGTGAGGAGAGAAGGGTGATGGTCACGTCGACGTTGATGTCGCAGAGATACATAGGACGCACGGACAAACAAGCTGTGACGACGAAGCCGCCCTCAGCCTGAGCTGTCTCCTCTGGTTTACATTTGCTAGCTTTCGGTAAGAAGGTCCGCAGGAGGTCAGAGATCACGGACGACCGCACTTGCAGCATGGCCTCCGGGTACCACTCCGGCCACTTCTCCCGGCCCCTATCGGACGATGACTATCGCAACCTGGAGAAAATGGCCGAATATGTCGCACGAAACGGGCCAGAGTTCCTGGAATTGACGAAGGAACGACTGCGGGATAACCCATCCTACGCTTTCCTATGGCCAAATAGCCAGTATCACGCACTGTTCCTTCAGAAACTGCAGCAACACCGACATCAACATGTTGCTCCGCGACCACTACAACAACCGCCGCCGCCGCCACCGCCGATGTCGGCCCCACCGCCGCTGAATGCCGGGGACTTAAATGGCCAGAACGCGATTCTAGCGCAGATCGTAGCGGCCCTTACCAGTCCCGGCATCCCTTCAGAGGTGGTCATAGCCGGAAACGCACTCGCACTTTCCGTCGGCGGTACCGACCGCCTATCCGAGTTTGCCAAAACTCTTCAAGCGGTGATGCACGATTGCTCGCAGACGAACATCCACGCAAACACATCCTGGGTGTCAAAGAACTGCAGCACGGCCGAGCAGTACGATCTCTTTGTGCGGTTCCTGGTCGCCACGGCCGCCGCAAACCCTGGATGGAAGAGTCAATTGGCTGTGCTCTACCTGGTCAACGACATAGTATTCAACAACGAGAGTCGGAACCGCGCGTGGGCGACGCAGGCGATGTTGGTGCATCTGGGGCCGTTGCTCGGATTGGTTCGCGCGGCTGCGGGTGGGGATGTGAAGCATTTGGAGAAGATTGAGAAGGTGCTGGGGTTGTGGGAGAGTAAGGGGGTGATGCATCCGAATGTTGTGCAGCAGTTGAGGCTGTCTGCGCAAGGGATAGCGGTGCCTCAGATGCAGACCATGCCGGTGGGCCCGGCCGGATGGCCACCGCTGAATGCGGCGAACCCGTATCCGCCATCGAATATCCCACCACAGTTGGACGATACTCAAATCGGAGCCTCTGGACCGATATTCCCTACATCCGTGGCTTTGCCGCAAAGCTACTCGCATCCTCCTCCGCCGCCACCAGCTGCCCCACCAGCATCATGGTCTACGATCAGCCACCCTCCTCCTCAAACGAACTCCGGATGGAGTACCTTGCCACCCGCTCCTCAATCCGCGATGACTATTCCTTCACCCAAGAAGCCCATCCCACATACCGCCGCGCCGTTCACCAACCACACAAAAGTCGGACCGCCCCCGCCACCGCCAGCACAGCATCAACCCCCGCCATCACCACTCCCCATCCCCAAAAAGCACTACGAGCTCCCCGCCGCCCTCATGCTCACAACCTACCCCCACCCTCCGCCCTCCGCCTACACCCCCATCCCCATCTCCAAAATCCACCCCCGCCGCTTCGACGCAACCATCTCCCCCGCACTCTCCGCCGCCATCGACGATTTCTACAAAGGCCTGGACGTCATCCACACCATGGTCCAGAAGGAGATGGAGAAAGGCGGCGAGTTTGAAGAGAAGGATAATGAGGAGAAGGAGGCCGTTGTGGTGGATGGGAGTCTGAGGATTGGGAAGGATGGGTGGGAGGTTGGGTATCTGGCGGATTGGTATGCGAAAGTGGATGTTTTGACGAAGGCGAGGGAAGTAAGGGAGAAGAAGGAAGGTGGCGGGGTGGGGTATGGAGGGTCGGATAAGAGGAAGCGGAGTAGGTCTAGAGAAGTGGATAGGAACCGTAGTAGGGAGCGAGAAGGCGGGCGAGACAGGGATCGGGATAGCGGCAGAATGAACAAACACAATGACAGTCGAAATGCATCCCCGGAACGAGGCCGCAAACGCAGCAGACGGGGACGAGACGACCAGGACAACAGCGAATCGGACCGGAGTCGGAGTCGATCGTCTCGCTCGGATTCACGGTCATCGGGTGATTCTGCCAGCAGTCCGGATAGTCGCGAGAAGAAGAGATCATCGCGCAGAACGTCACACTCGCACTCCCACCACCGGGACCGGAACCCTTCCTCATCACCTCGTGGGCGACGGTCACGACCACGCAGCCGTAGCGGCTTACGAGACAGAGACGGTCGCAGCCGAAACCGGAACCGCAGCTACACTCCCAGCCGCAGCCGCAGTCGAAGCCGCAGCCGAGATCGACACCCCCCTCGCCGCACAGGCTCCCACACCCGCAGCCCCTCCCCCACCCACAAACAAACACCGTCCAAACCCGCCAACGTCGGCTACAACCTCCTCAAAAAGCTCGGCTGGTCAGAAGGCACAGGCCTCGGCTCCCAATCCCAAGGCATCGCGACGCCCATCCTCGCCCACGAAGCCTCCGGGGACCGACATGCCGGTCTAGGCGCCTCCGGCGCTGGGGGGGATGAGGCGGGCATGTTTGAGCATTGGAGGAAGGCGAAGAGCTATAATTATGGAAGGGAGAGGAGTGGTGCGGCCGAAGAGGGAAGAGGGGTGAAGAGGAAGGAGGGGAGTGGGTGTTTTAAGTGTGGCCGGGCGGGGCATATTGCGAGGGAGTGTGATGGAGGGGGGAGGAGGGGGTGAGGTGGCGTGGATGAGAGGTTCTTGGGGGTGTCGTCTTTTCGCTAGATGAAAGCGTACACGGCACGAGCTTGACGATTGTTGCACACACTTTTGACAATACATATTCCATCGCCATTTTCTCCTTTTTCTGCGTTAAAGTTTGACGACATACAGGAAGGCGACTTGCTGTACCAAAATACTAAACAATCTCACATTTGTTAATTCGTGCGAAGAGAACGAGTAAAATGAGAGCTTTTGTATTTGTGAAAACCATGTCCGCTCTAGCCTTTCTTCGCTTTCAAACATCGCGCGAAAAGAAAAATATATATATACACTAGTTCCAATGTTAGATCGGAAGGAAAGGTTGATACGGGGACAGGATGGGGGGGGGAAGATATAGAAAACAGAAAAGGGGGAGTTTTTTACTACGCCGGGCCTCCCACAACGTCAGATCAATTATTTGTACAACGATCTGCTCGTTGATGGGTTGCTGGCAGGGGAAATATGGATAGACAAGGGGGAAAGAAATGTACGCAGTATCTACGAGAAGAAGCAGGGAACCGAAGGTGAGGTACTATGAAGGTACTGTTGAACACAGGAAATGTTATGAGATATCCCCGGGAGAGGAATACGCAAATGTACATCGTTCGAGTGGTTTTCCTCTCCCCGGTTTTCGGTTCCCGCCGGATGGCCGCCCTCCATCGTTCTCAAAAATGGTGTTCGTAGGCGGAGGTAGTTGTATATACGTGATGAGACCCGCCGCGACTGCCGAAGTTTCCGATAAAAGATGGATATAAAACGGCGGTCGGACATTGCGGTGGTTCATCGTCTATGGTAGCTTGTAGTAAGAAATACGTCGAGAAGAAAGAGACTTTGGAAAATTGTTGCTGTACAGTCTAGGATCAGGGGTAAGGCGGCCCGTGAAGGTCCCCTTTCCTGAAGTCTTGTTTCGTTGAAACGGGTTTGCTAGCTTTCGCTTGTATGCACTTGTCGTCCGACACTTGAGACCCGAACATCTTGAGACGGGAGCTCCAGCGCGGAAACGGGTGCTTTTCAGGCGGGTATCGAAAAGCGGCGTCTAGTAATATACAATGTTGTCCATGCCGTAGTCGCTGCGACCGTGGCTTGGATAACCGGGTGTGGCGGAACGGTAGGCCTGAATCTTGTCGTTGAAGTACAAAGCTTGGTCGTTTTGGTGTTGGTAAGGTGTATACATGGGGGTACCGCCAGCCGCAGCTATGGCCATACCACCGCCCCAACCGAGAGTGGGGTGAGCAGCGTATTGCGCCGCTGCAGCGATCGTGCAGCGTTGGTAGGCTTGCAATGCAGCAATTTCTTGTTGACGTTGGAAACGGCGTTCAGCGTCGATGGCCTGCTTGCGAATACGAACAAGCTCCCTGGTGTAGTTTTGCATCTCGGCCCGGAACAGGAGTAGTTCGATGAGATCCCGCTTGGTGAGCGGTTCCACGTCCGTGCTTGTGCGGTCGTACTCGTCGCCGCTCCATGTCGGGGCCACAGTCACAAACTAGAAGGAATGAGGGGTGTTAGAGATTGATTGGGGCAAGCTCAATCCGACTTGCAGACCATGTGCACGGGAAACACACCTCACGAAACGTGACATTCTTTCGAGGCTGTCCGTACGGCCTGTTTGCAACTTTCGACCTCACGGAGGGACGAATGACTGTATGGTCAGCGGATACGACGGTTGGTGCAGGAATGTCCACCGCTTGGGCGTGCTGTTCTGGCGACGGTGGGGAATCGGGAACGACGGCCTTGACGAGGGCAGGAGGGTTTGGTGCTGGGCAGACGAATGGTGACAGAGAGTGGAGTTGGAACCCAGGTGGAGCGCCGACGCCGAGTGGTGAAAAGGGAGCGGGTGCTGCTGGCGAAAGGAACTCCATTGCGGGCGTGTCGTGTGTTGTTGGTCTATGTACTGTAGGAGTGAATTAAGGGAATAACCAAAAGAAACCAAGAAAGACGACGTATATGCTATCTACTGTACAAGGGAGGGATAGTATATGGTACAAAGGAGGGGAGGTCTACACTACATGGACGTTTGCGAGCGCAGGGGTTGTCGAGAAATGGCGAAGGGCTTTGAAGTGAGGGATTTTGTGGAGGTGGTCGTTCGCGGCAGCAGCAGCAGCAGCAAGGCTCTTCCCCCCCGTCGCCGCCACAGCCAGTTTTTGCGTTTTTGACGGGCGCTTGACTCTTGCTTGCCTCTTGCGCTCGCTCTCGGGGGGCTTGCTGGATGGGTGGAAACAGACGCGCTCTCATCTATTGCAAATATGGCCCCTGCTGATTGTGATGTAGGGATGCGATTCTTCTGGGAAACCAATCAGCGACGTGCAAGCGGTCGACTGAGTCGACTCATCATCACCGCTGGCCAATTCATCCGTCCGGTTGTCACGTGCCTTCCTCGTGTCACGCTGGTCCCTTACTGTCCCTCCGCAACCTGTCAATTTTCGGGGGTTCCAGAAAAGCCTTGAGCAAAGTCACGTCAATTCATCAGGAAATGGTACCCAAATCCAAAAAAAAAAGAAAGATACATTTGTTCCTGCGACTTATTACACTACATCCTAAAGCAGAAAAAAAGCAGAACAGGGGGATGGATTACATACAGTATTAAAAGGAAGGGATATCGGCTGCCACTTACTAAATTACAACTGAGAGAAAAGCCAACACTCCTCCAACTGGTTTTTCCTCTCGCAGGTAATGTACGTCGCCCCATCAGGGAATCTCACCTACATATAGAGTAAAGTGTCCCGGGGGGTTGCTATCGCTTCTGCAGAAGCTCAATCAACTCCCACAACTCCTCCTCCGAGCACTCAACCGTCCCATTAGCCGCCGCCGACGATGCCGTGCTTGTTCTCCCCCTGGCCGGCGACGGTGACCGCCTCCCACCCGGTGGAACACTCAGGTAACCCTCACGCACGACGCGGAACAGCGCATCATCGTCCTCGGCGCCCGCGTCGACTGCGAGGTCGACGCCGAGCTTTTCGCGCGCAGCTTCACCGATGCGCTCGCCAAAGACTTTGAAGAGGATCTCGGCGCGTTCGAGGGTGCTTTCGAGGTGTATGTGGCCGGATAGGTCGTTGATGTACTGAGAAATTTGCGGGGATGGATTGTGAGAAGGGCCGCACACGTGGAGCAGGGAACCTTCCATTCCATCCACTCTCGGACCTACCTTCAGCGTCTCATCAAAAGCAGTTTTGGCCATCAACTCCTGCCGATGCTGATTCAAGATCGCAAATGCGACAAACAGGTGGAACTCCTTCGTCAGCGGGCAGGCCCACATGACTTCCCACAGCCGCATGATGTCGGCAAACTCAAACTCGCGCTTGAAGTAGATCAGGAGCCACCGGAAACAGCAGAAGAGATTGATGCTGTCTGTAATCTCTGCAAAAAGACGGAACGGACCGTTAGAGCGAGCATTGAGAGTCATTGCAGCAACCCTGATGAGCGACTCACCCATGTGAGCGTAAAGGTATGGGTCCATCAACTTGATGAGTAGCTCCAAGCGCCGGAGCTGCTTCCGCATACCGCTTTGGTCCCGGAAGAAGTTCGACTGCTGTAGAGGGGTGGTGAACGTGAGCGGGTTGCGATTTCGGAAAGTTTTCGTGAAACTCTCCGAATCCACACTCACAACGACTTCCATGAACTGGACAAGACACCAAAACGCCTCATTCTCATTCTGCATCACTACTAGTATCGGTGCGAGGAGGTCATTCATGCCTTGCACATATCCTAAAAGGGATCAAAATTTCCGTCAGTCGCCAGGCGTCGCCGACTTCACCCCCAAAGCAATCCATCCCAAACCTACCCAATTCAAAATTGTACATAGTATACGTAACCAAAATATTCCTCAACATCTCTAAATTCCTATTCGCCGAAATCACCTCCTGCATATCCGACGGCGACACCGGACTGATCTCCTCCTCACCCGCCAAGTTTGCAAAAAAGGGTATCGTCCGGTCCGTCCGCACCACATCCTTCTCGACGCGGTACTTGCGCTCCTTGATCTTGGTCACCACGTCCGCGTCCTCCTTCTCGTCGCCGGCTTGCGACTCGCGCTGTTCGAGGGTGAGGCCGGCCTTGAGGGCTGCTGCTTCGGATTGCGCGACATCGAGGAGGATGGATTGCCATTGGGCTTTCATGTCTTCGTATTCGGTGCTGCGAGGATATTGTTAGTCCCGTGCCGGCGTGGACCTCCAGTTTACGTTACAACGTACTTCCGCTTTTCCATTATCAAGGTCCGCTCGGCGTCGGTGGAGTCGTAGGGGTATACTTTCAGCAGGTACTTCCAGACATCCACCCGCACATCGTTCTCGACACCCTGTGATTAAGGCAGGAGATGCGTTAGCATCCTTTCGGAATGTCCGCAGCCTTGCTGACGAGAATTTAGACTAACCCCGGAAAAGACAATGGCTCTGATCTCCCGCTCTGACAATGTCAACTTCCCCGTGTGGTCATACTACGATTGTGAAACGCGTGAGTCTGATGTTCACGCCCAATGAAGAATCAAGGTATATATATAGCGTACCCAAGAGATCCACTGCTCTGCGGATAATGCTTCCCCAGTCCGATGGTGGCGACGGCCGACCTGAATGTCTTCAAGTAAGCCATGTCCAACTTCACACCCCTGACGTCCGCACCACACAACATACAGAAAGCACTTCAAAATCCCGCGTTTTGTCCTTCTTCAGTTGAGGCGGTGGGGTAGGGTGACTCCCCAGCCGGCTCTGCAGGTCTGCGGCAAATCGAGCAACGTATTGGCCTGCAGGCTCGTATTCGGCGAGTAGCGCTTCGGCTTCGGCTGATGAGAGGAAGAGAGACCGGACGTTTTGCGGAATGTAGGGGAGGATGGGGCGTGCGAGTGGGTGTTCGAGGACTTGTACTGGATGGGAACATGACAACGTTGAGCATGCGGAATTAATGTCGATGATGATGTTTCCTACATATACACACCGGTGGTGTTCTTGGCGATGTTGGTAACCTTGGAAAAGCGCTCAAGCATGTTCCAGCCAACGTCCTCAATTTTCTGTAGAAAGGGCTGAGTGTACTCCACAAACGCGTAAAACGCTTCAGATAGAGCTTACGTTTGCCATAGGCTGCCCCACAATCTGCGTGACGACATTGAATCCATACGACCCAAACCGATGCACCGCCGACTCTTCCGGAACAGCTGGCCACCCTTCTGGCCATTTACGAGTTTGCGGTTTCCCGAGCAGGGTTGCATCTGCTGGCAGCTCGAACTTGTCGGATAGACGGTACTGGAACATATGCGAGGCGTCGGCGTTCGGTCTGCCGTCTGTTGGTGCCCTGGATAAGTGGTCAGCCGCGTTCATTACAGAGTGGTGTTACGACATCAGTCCTCACTTTGCAAGATTCTTCCCAATCGCCTCAAACCACCCCCGCAGATCCTCTTCCACGTCCTCTAAAGACGGCGGCCTTCCAAAATCGTCGTTCTCGAACCACAGATCGGGTAACTGGGCGCCTCCAAACGTCAAATTCACGGTCAACCTGACCAAGCACACCTCCTCGCCTTTATTCAGCGTCAAGTCCCGGCCGATCCCGAGCCGGTCGATGTCGTCCAGCGGTGCCGATATAGATTCTGTGAGGCCTGAGAGGGTATACTTCTGTCCGTCTCTTATGATGTCTGCTAACGGTTGACCCCAGTTCTTCCGTGCTGATGGTTGAGCGTGAGAACGCGGCGCTTTGGGGACAGTTTCGCATTCCCGTGACGATACCTTTTCGTGTCCTGGACACGACCTCGGCATATGCGTCCAGCTCTACCCTCGGAATGGTCTTACGAGGAACCCATGCCAGCAAATTTCCGGCGTCACTCTGCATTGGCTCGAGCGGTTATTGACGCTTTGCGACGGTGCATGCTTTTCCAAGATGTCCAAAAGCATACCTGACTTATGAGACATAGATATCCAATGGTTGGGTTCGCCTCCTCGGTCCGTATGGACACATGAGGCATAGCAAACAGGAGTTCCAGCTCCGCGCTCGACATTGCCAAGACCTCGTTCGCAAGTCAAAATTGATGGGGGCGGACAAGTATGGAGTGGCAAAACGTAAAGTCGATTTCGGTGATGGGAAGGTCTGACGTTGCGGCTGGCAAAGAGGTAGCGGCTCGTACGGGTGACTATATAGATTTATGAGTTGCAGTAGCCTGGATCTGGATTGGCAGTTCGCAGAGGGGGAGCGCCGAGAAATGAGCAAGCCCACGAACTTTTTGAGCAGTTGACCGTGGTGGTGACGTGTGCAATTGAATGACTCGGGGCAAGTGGAACTTGGCATTCGGCATTCTCGTTCCCAGACTTCAACTTCAGGTCCTCTCAGAGCATCCCTCCTCACCAACACTCCGCCAAAAATACAATGCGTCCCACCAGAACCGCATTGGAAACCGTCACCCGAACTTGGCACTCGCTCGCCAACTTCGGCGGCCTCGACACCCGCGTCCTCGGCGGCATGCGCGTCATCACCGCATCTCAAGAAACAGGTTCGGTGAAATGCGAAATGGAGGTCGAGAAGCATCACTTGAACCGGCTTCAGGGGTTGCATGGCGGTGCTATATGCACTCTGGTGGATATTGTGGGGTCGTTGGCGATTGCGGCGAAGACGAACAACTCGCATACTGGGGTGAGATGTGGGGCCAATGCGTGGTAGCCGGTGGGGGTCATAGTCATCCTGGGCGGGACGGCGTATTGACGACGTTTTACCCCGCCTGCAGGTGAGCAGTGACATCTCAGTGTCTTTCATGAATGGTACAGTTCCCCTTTCGTAGTTGATGGACCAAACGCGAAACGAGGTCCTGACCCTGAGGATCGTGGGCAGGTGGGAAACTGGGCAACAAGCTTGAGATTTCATCGACGTGTCATAAAGCTGGACGGTAACGAGAAGAGGATGTTGTTACCATCGATGAGAACTCTCGCCGTACCTATGTTCATGTCTTTGTTCTTGCGCTTCAGGAACCTGGCTTACGCGACTGTCCAGATCCACTCCGGGAACAAGCTGCTGGCAACCGGAAGGTGCGTTCTTTTCATCCGTAGGTGCGTGGTGGGGCTTGGAGGATAACGGACCCGTTTCTATCAGCCACACGAAGTTCATTGGAAACCCGCCGACAAAGGATTTCCTCGACGAAAGCAAGTGAATCCGGGTGGAACCCATCTTTAGGAGGCGACAGCCGTGCAAAACGCGCACATTCACTGGACTTACTGGGGATCCAAACATCATCTACGACTTGGATCAATGCATTAGATTGTAGACTATCAGCACTAGATAGAAAGTTGACCAGGAAATTTCTCAATCTGGCGGTTATTTCGGTACCTCTCACCCCAGTACATCTTTGTGCAGAAGCAAGCATTTCGAAATCTGATTGCAAAATATTTAAGAGCCTGATCTATGCCGAGTACATTCCTACGCTGCATCTAACTAGGGAAGAGCGAGCCCGGAACTGCACTTTAAAATAATGTAAGACAAAAAGAGGAGTCCCCCAGTGGTATACCGCGGTGGATAAGCCCTTCATGAAGCAGACACGCGTTGAAGCCCAAGGACATCGAATCTATCCAGATCACCAGAGGCGGTGAAGCACCTCCATCATGGCGGCTCTACCCAGGAAACCTGCTGCATTTGCCTGTTTGAGGTGAATTCAGTTAGCATACAATCGTTTTTGGAAAACGCTTTGCGAGCAGTCTGGATCGCGGGTACTTACCGGGAAAGCACGCAAAAGAGCGGGTCCCAATCCCTTGAAAAGTGCAGATGGCCCTTCTTTCGCCACAATTTGCATCCCGCAGTCAACGAATCCTTTGTATGTTCCTGCTGGGGCGGACTGGATGCGAGACTTGATCACATCTGGAGGCTATATAATGTTGTTAGTGAGTGGGGTGTTCGAGAATCTTGGCAGTCTGAGACACTTACAATGGCGATTGACCACATAGCGACACCAGCCATTCCTTTTGTTTGAAAAAGGTGTGCGTCAGTCACATGGACAGTCCTGCTTTCACGAACAATGAAGATATACCTCCGGCAAACAGAACAGACGTGACAGGTAATCCTTGCTCTCCCTTTGGCTTCAGCGCCCGATAGACAGCCTCGTAAGCCCAGAAATACGCAGCCGACCCAGGCGTGTCACGAGCCAAGGTGGCGATGGTTCCACGGTACAAGGACCGGATCCCGCCTTCCCTCCACATAGCAGCCGCAGCATCGCCCATCCCCTTGTACTTCTTCCCTCCAACAGACTGATCTTGCGTTTGCAAAACAACCTTCACGCGTTCCATGGGTGTCGTGACGATCGTCGTTGGGATGGCTGAGAAACCTCCGGCGATGGCGTATTCGGTCAATGTGAGTTCGGAGGATTTGCGGTTGGGGGTCATGTCGCGGACCAGTTGACAACCGAGGTCGTAGGACTGTGGAGGCAAGGAGAGGTGGTTAGTCTTCTCCAATCTTCTCACGCATCACAGCGTGGCACAGCATGCGTCCAACTCACCCAAAAACTCAGCGCGAACATGGGCGTTACACCGACGAGTGGGGACGCCATACCCCTGTACAGTCCCAAAATACCATCCTTTGCGATCGTTTGCTTGAAGCAGTCAGCCAAGCCCTTGTACTGCGTTCCAGTTTGTAAACGGACTTTCAGCGTATCGAACGGGTGCTATAATAATTATGGTGATTAGGGAGGACTCCTTTTCGAAGCGGCAGCGGATTCTCGTCCACTTACACCAGCCAGGACTGTCGCCACACCGGCAGCACCTCCACCCAGCAGGGACTTGATCTGGTCCATCTGGGGAGCAGGCTTCACGGGCTGTTCTTGTTCGGCCATCTTCGATGTCGTTTTTGTGGCGTTCAACGTTCGTTTTCAGTGTGATGACGGAGATGTTCCTAGACAACGATAGCAGCGGGCAGCCAGCTTCGTAATGGAGTCTGGAGTCGGTTTGGAGCGAAGGGACGGCCGGCAAAAGTTCTGCGAACAACGGTTGAGAACCGGGACCTCTTTGGGAGTTGCGGTGAGAAGCCGACTGAGCCAGGGCGACATGAAAGCGAACGCGCCGAGGGACGCTCACATGTCGCAAATTACCATGTGAAAAGCAAGAAGGCCCGGAGGCATTTGCCACCCGGTCCTGACAACTGGAGAACACACCATTGCGGACTTCCCACTGGAAACACTCGCGGTAAGCGTGACAGATTTAATTGACATGCGACGTTACGTGTGCACTAGGTAAAGAGCTCAAGCCGCAATTGCACCCCGCAATCCTGCACTCTCATCTTGCTTTCCCACCCCTCGCGTAGAGAGGCCACGGACCTTCTTCTGTGTACGCTCCTCCTCAGCCGTACAGTGCTGGAACAAGGCGGCCTCATTCACATACACATTGCCTAGCATTCTCACAAAACCGAACCCACCATGTTGAACCGAAAAACAAACCAGCCCGCGGCCCCAGCGGCCCCACCCAAAACCATCGCCTCCCTCCCCCCCGATCTCGTCATCCGCACCTTCACCTTCCTCCCCGTCGCCGACCTCTCCTCCGTCGCCCGCGTCTCCCGCCGTTTCAAAATCCTCGCGTACAACGATGAGGTCTACGAGCCGAAGCTCCGCGCACTCCAGGTCGGCACGACCGAGGAGTCTGCCGGCGCGGGGCAGGATGATGCGGCGGGGAAGGAGAACGATGCTTCGGGGTTGGTGGAGCTTTTGTCCACTAGGCTGCGACAGATGCCGGGTGGTCATATGTTGCCGGGGAGCACAAAGTATCTGGAGACTGGGACGTTGTGGGGGTCTCTGACGGATAAGGACGATTCTATCCAGGAAGAGGGTTCGGACAAACCTGTTGCTGCAGAAGCAGTGACACCAGGACATGATCTACCGACGCCAGTGACGCCGTCTTTGGAGAAGGCGGCTGCTATAGCTATTCCCGAGGATGAGGCTGACATATCGGTGGAGGCCCCACTTGAAGATCTTCCTGAGGACGACGAGGCCTCGGCACGACCTTCAACGAATGCGGAAGTTCCCGCAGCACCGCTGCCAATAAGCCCCGTGTCCCCACAGCAGCTATCAATCACATCGGCACTGCCGACGTCTCGATCGTCAAACATCACAATTGGGCAGGGAGGCCTGAAGGGTTTAGAGCGGCAGAGTAGCAGAGTCAGCGTCGGCTCCGTCAAACGCGCCCCGCGATTGAGCACTCAAAACGCACGCGAAATCTTCAAGCAGATGTACATCAACCTTAGCCCATACTACTACGATTTCCGCAAGCGACAAAAGGACTCCAAAGTCTTCAAAGACTTCAAGGATCTCAGTGAAGTCGCGATGATTCTCCGAAAGCTGAAACTGTTCTCCGAGGCGCATTTCGTGCCGAGTTCGGATGACATCCAGTTTGCGCTGGACACCACAATCGAATGGTTCGAATCGATGCTTTTGGGACAGTTCGAGCGCGCGTACGATGGAAAGAACTTGAAGGAGATGAAGCGTAACGCCTACGCCGCGTACTTCCTAAACGGCGGCGGGGCCGTCATCCAGCTGTTCATCTCAAAGAACCCAGTCTTCTTCGACCCGACATATAACCCCGCCCTCATCATCAATAAAGTACCGATGGCCGGGACCGCCCCGGCCGCCGGTTACACGCTCGCGGACGATTTTGCCAAATTCAGCGACTACACCTTGAACAATTGTCGCGAGCAGGCTCGTGTGATTGCGCAGGTGTTCCCCGCCCAAGCCGACGCGCTGACGTTGTTTGTTAACAAGGTGTTTGAGGACTCTGTTGCGGAATACCTGAGCGGGGTATTGGCTGCTTCGAAGGAGAGGGAAGGGCTTGGGGTGTATCTCCATACGCTTGCCACGGGCATATATTGCTGTATGCAGTTTGCGGAGTTTATCGCGCATAACGATGCGGGCGTGCCCGTGCAGACGGATAAGTTGAAAGATGTGGTGATGGAGATTTGCAAACCGTATACGAGCACGTATATGAAGCTGGAGCTGGAGCATATGAATGGGAAGTTTCATAAGGAGCTGAGTAAATGGGGGAATAGGGTATGTTACGGGAGGGGCCGCCGTTCAGAGGGACGGCCAGCAACTATCACCTCCTGTACGCAAGACTCAAATCTTACCCATTTTGCAGAAAGGCGACCCCAAAAAGAAAAAAGCGGCAGGCTTCATAGCAGACCAAGACAAAGCCGCCGCCCACAAACGCCAAGTAATGAACACCATGAAATCCATCATGTTCGCCCCCGTCGCGTTCGGCAAGATGGTCACGGGGGTCGGCAACCGCGGCGGCGGCGGCAGCAAAGACAAACCGCACCGCGAGTCGCTGCTCGAGAACGCGGAACCCGTCACGCATCTTCCTGTTGAGCAGGAGGATAACGTGACGTATCATTTGGATGATAATTCGATCAATAGTCTGGTTTCGTTGGAGCTGTGTTTGCATCTGATGCATACCAATAAGGAGGCGTTAGGGAGGGTGCTGGTCATTACCTCGGCTACGGATGCGACGAAGATGTGAGGGCCCGTGAATTGCGCCTTATCTTTCCACATTCGCTAATGATCGTTTCCATCGTACGAACAGCCGCCGAAATGTGGAAAGAGTCTTCTGCGCCCTCCTAGACGTAGTCGGCCCCAACCACATCAAACCGGCCTTCGACGCCGCCCTCGCGCGCCTTTCCGATGCCAAACTCGCTGACGCCTCCGAAGAAAAAGCCGTAAACCCCGAATCCCTCCAATTCTTCGAACTCGTCCACATCGCCGACCTCATTCAGCAAATGATTGAGGTGTACTACCAAGAAGACGTCAAATCGTGGATAGACGAGTCCGATTTCCTCTCCGATATCGTCACCGAGAAAAAGGCGTTTGAGCGTCTATTGGATGATTGCGTCGCGAGCGGGATGGATAAGTCTATCCAGGTGCTGGTTAACCAGGTCGAGTATATTTTGCTCGTGGAGCAGAAACCGACGGACTATAATCCGGCGGAGAAGGATGTCGTGATGGATTTGAAGCCGACTAGGGCGTGTTTGAGGGTGATTGATACGTTGAATTCGCATGCCAAGATTTTGTATGGGGTGGCGGAGAAGCATACCATGGAAGTGTTCTTTGGAGAGGTTGGCGTGCGGATATTCAAGTGAGTTTTGGATCAAAAAGGGGTTCACTGGGCACTTCATCGAGAGCGGGATTATAAGAGCTCACTCATTATGTTATGTTCCCGCCCCACAGCGTAATCTGCAAAAACATCAAACGCCTCCAAGTCTCCCAAACCGGCGCGATGCAACTCATCATCGACCTCAACACCTTCTACGAATGGTCCTGCACGCTCAAAGTCAGCTCCGTGAAAAAGATGTTCGAGGTGCTCAAGGAAGTCGGCAACCTCTTCCTCGCGGACGGTGGCGACGAGCTGCGGAAGCTCGTGCATGATCTGCCGAGGTACCAGGGTCAGCTGCGGATTGAGGAGATTTATGAGCTGTTGGCCAGCAGGACGGATTATAAGAAGATTCAAAAGTATATGGAGACGAAGGATTGTGTTATTCAGTGAGGAGAGTGGTGAGGGATAGGCGCGATGCTGGGGGAATTGGAAGAGGATGCGAGAGAGAGAGAGAGAAGGGCGGGAGAGAGGCATGACAAGTCTGAGAGTTGATCTGAGTGCGGTGCCTGCCGTGCTCCGCCCCTCAGCGCCCCTCAGCGCCTACCAGTTTGCGCATCCCGTCGGATCTTTCGAATGGACGAATAGCGAGACGGTTCCTGCGCCCCAAACTCAACATCTGGATCCTCATTTATCTGTCTCACTCGCATCCGTCTTATATAGTTGAGGGGCGGGACAGTGGGACCCTAACTCTACTGGCTTGCATCACAACTTTTTTTTGGCACTTTTCGCATCAATGCACTTAGTTTCATTTGCCGTCATGGAAAAAACCTTTGGCCGAGTGGAAAGCACTGATTGACTTCTTACAAATATGGACTGACGCGCACCAGGGTGTGATATATGTCAGATATGCGAACACATACAGGGCAGGGCAGGCTTGTCGGCAGGGTGGGTTCACGAGTCATAACCTTAGACGTCCCGAAGAGCGCTCTCCTACACGCCATAGTTACAGTACCATTGCCAAACATCTCGTTGGCTCCCAAGTGCGCGATAGTTGGGTGCCAAGGCAGTGAAACAGCTGCCTCCGCCTGCGTGCGGAGTGGGCGTGGGAAAGCGGGGGGGCATCTTTACTTTGGAGGGGCCTGTGGTTGGTCTTCCGTTGTGAGAGGGGAGTTGGAGAGCGCGGGGGTGGGGGGGGGGGCGGTTGTATGTAAATTTTGAGCAGGCACGCATGGCCTTTGCAAGCGGCGAGGGAGAGGGGGAGGGTTTTGCGAGTCAGCGCTGCGGGGATCGCGCCCAGTCATGCTTGTGCGACGCCCGTATGTGCGTGGCTTATTCCATCAATAAGTGCGTCTGCAGGAGCGGGGGGGGGGGGGGATAGATCATGACCAGCTCGGCATCCATCCCCCTCTTGTCCCTCTTGTCCCTCTTGTCTCGCTGGTCGCGCTGGTATTCTCGTTCCTGGGGAACGACTGGGTAACAACCACCACCAACGACTGCTGCAAAACAACTACACACTTGGCTGCACAACTATCCTCAAACCCGCCCAATTGCTTGCGTGCAACCCGGAAAAAAGAGAGCCTGCACACCGTACTACTACCTTCCATACAGCCCAACCCCACCCACCCCTCCCCCTGTGGAACACCTTCGCGCGACGGTCAGCAGACGGCTCAAAACGGAACGACCGAAACTCGACTTTTCCTGCTCGCATTTGTTACAGTTGACCCCGAACTTCAACGCAACGACGTTCCCCAGTCTCAGCCCTAGCCCAGTACGGAGCGCAGTTGTCTAAAGCATAAGCAGCTAACTTCTGCTAGTAGTCACCCCTTACCCCGGAACTTCTACTTATGCTGCCAGCGGCGGAGCGCGAAGAGCATTAGTGGCTCGATATCCTCACCCATTTTTGGCACACATTCGGGTGAATAACCTCGACGACGAACCTTCGAACGCCGAGTAGTTTTCGTCGGAACCCGGCGTATATCTGGAAAGCTTCTGGCGACTCCTCGGCTTGGTGGTGGGGTGGAGACTTGAGTGACAGGGTTTCCGTGTGAATGGCCACGGCGCGGGTTTGAAGAAGACGGGAGGGCTTGAGGAATACCAATGCGCACGACGCATTCTATTCTCAGAATGCCAACACTCGATCCCGCAGCTTTGTCAAGCTCCTCGCGGCGTGGGAGCGCCTTAGGGCATATTGGCACGGGAGACTCCTATCAGTTTCCACAAAACCTTAGTCGGCGGTCGTCTCTAACGGTATCGCGAACAAGTCAGTCCTCGTCGCGGCGAGGTTCTCATCAGAGCACCGGCGATCTTCCAATAGATCCGAAGGAACTAGCGGCTAGGAGATATTCTATGAATTCGGACAGAGATCCAGCGTTGGATTTCGGCCCACGCACTTCGTTTGATCAATTACAACCTGGGCGTGGGGCTGGTAGGCCGTCAGATAGAGCTGCGGCTGGTACCACGAGTTCCCTCAAAATCTGGGACGTTGTTCTCCGCCGGCTTCGGAGTTGGCAAATGAGTAACGATCATCTTGCAGAGCAAGGTAGAAACGATTACTTTCAATCAAATACACGATCCTCCTCAATAGGGTCGCCCCCGTTTTCCCCAGTCGGCACACCCCTCGCGACGCCAGGAGGGACTGGTTCCTATGGCACGTCGCACTACCACTCCGACCCCTTTTCTTTCGATGATACAACGTTAGTTACCGTCATGGACGCCCATCTGAAAGCAATCGCAAACTCCTTTTCACCGATAACACTGACATTTCACGATCCGGATGTCGAAAGCACCTACGAACGATACTTTTTGGATCGGACTTTGTGCATGTGGAGGAAATCTGTCATCATCAGCATGCTGGCTACGGCTGTTTTGGAGACAATTTTGGTCGCGCTATATACGCAACCCAACGGAATGACCACACCATTAAAGGATTTCATCCTCGTTGGTGCCTTTGGGGTGTTACCCATGGCCATAATTATCGCCCTCGGGGCTTGGTTGCCACTCAGCATTCTCGCCAAACACATACATACTCTTTCGCTTCTGGTCGTTTGGATCATCGGGCCGGTCATCACCTGTGGACGCTACTTCATCACAGACGAGCCACGCTACTCGGCAGCTTTCACGGCGCCGATATATATCTTTGAGCTGGTCGCATGCGTATTTTTCTTCCGGCTACGGTTTATGCACACGCTTTTTGGAGTGTTTGTCGTCGCGGTACCGCTGTGGCTGGTGGTTGCCGCTATCAGCCTCGTCAACGACCGTGTAGCAGGTGGAGGAACGGGACGACCGGAGCGGGAATTCGCATTCGCATCGGTAGCAGTCTGTCTAGCATCGTTGGTCATCTGCTTCATCGCGTACGACACCGAGCGCAACATCCGGTTACAATACTTATCCGACCAGCGATTCCTCTCAATAAACGTGAAGCTCCGCAGGCAGCTGAAGGGTTTACAGAAGGGATTCGAGAGCCGGATAGCGGACTTGGATTCACCGTTGGAAAAGGCGATCTATGGATTGCGAGCGCTGATGGGCAATCCTAGTCTTGATGCAGAGCATTTGAAATCTCTCACCATGATCATGTCGTGTTTGAGTGTTCCAAATCTTTTTGCACCCGATTTGGACCAACAGGTGAAGCGCGGGCAGGTGGAGGTGGATGATGAACAGGAGGTTCGTAATTTTGTCGATTTGTTTTATCCGTTTCTACGTCCGTCTTGCTGACACCCTTCTTTCGAATTGTAGAAATGGTTGTTCACCCAGCTCGCACGGAGGAAAAACCTGAACGGAGAATCATCCTCAGCCGACACATCACCACGAGAACAGACCGCCGCGATCCTTATACCAACCACAACCTCGCAGCCGCTCGAAAACGCCTCACCCTCCACCTCGGGCTTTGTCCCCGAACCCATCAACATCCAGGAATACTACAGCGAAGATACCCAGGAGCTGTTAGTGAAACTAAACGAATACAACTTCCCGATATTTGCGTTCGAGGAAGCCTGCAGGAGTCGACCGCTACTTGTGATGAGCCATCATTTGGTCGTTCGGAGTGGGCTTTTGGGGCGGCTGCAGTTGCCGGTTGACAAGTTTATCAATTTCATGTCGGAGATTGAGAAGGGTTACAACCCGCACTTGACGTGTATGTACTGACACTACCGCCACGCTCTTGTGATGAGAACACTAAAATATATGTTTTACAGTTCACAACTCCATACACGCCACCGACGTCCTTCACTGCATCCACTACCTCATATCCCTCCCGCGGTTACGAACATGCTTCACGGACGTCGAAGTCCTCGCCTTCTACATCGCCGCCGCCATCCACGACTACGACCACCCGGGGGTAAACAACCACTTCCTTATCGCCACCTCCGACCCGCGCGCCTTACTCTACAACGACAAATCCGTCCTCGAGAACCACCACTGCGCATCGGCGTTCCAGGTGATGAGGAAACCCGAGTGCGATTTTGCGGCGGGAATGGTGCGGAAGGAGTACCGAGGGCTTCGGGAGGGGATTGTGGAGATGGTTTTGGCGACGGACTTGGCGCAGCATTTTTCGTTGCTGGCTATGTTTAAGAAGAAGGTTTTGACGAGTGGTGGGTTTGACCCGGTGTCGACCAGAGAAGACCGGACATTGCTGATGCAAATGTGAGTTTTACGGATATTAATTTTAAAAGCACGCTTTATGGAAAATGTTCTTAAAATTTCGTTTTCTTGTCTACAGGTTGATGAAATGCTCCGATGTTTCGAACCCAACAAAAGCATGGCCGATCTACCACACCTGGATCCAACGCATCACAGAGGAGTTCTTCTGCCAAGGCGACCGAGAAAAAGCGCTCGGCTTACCAATAAGCCCCTTCTGCAACCGCGACGGCGCAAAAGGCGCAGATCCACGGAGTTCCCAAAAGAGTTTCATAGAATTTATCGTCGCGCCACTCATAGAAGCCGTCGGAGAATGGGTAGAACTGGGCATCATCCGCGACGGGTTGGAGGATAGCCGGATACGTTTCGGCGGGGTGGGGAACCTCGCGAGTGGCGCAAACACGCCCACGAAAGGGAATAACAACACGATGCCGCCGTTGTCGCCGTTGAACGACCGGGCGGGGATAGGCGGCGTTGCGCTGCGGAGGAATAAGAGCGTACCTGAAGCGCTGGCCCACCTTACACCCGAGGCATTAGCGGCACTCAACGGCGGGCCGATATCCACCATGAACCACTCGGACCGCCGGCCGTCGCCATTACACCACCATCGCGGGCAGACCCCGCTACGGGCGCTGTTCTCCGACGTCACGCATAGACGGCGGGAGAGTTGGGCGGGCAGTCTGGTCGGCGTGGGCGAGGCTGTCGTGGCCCGGTTCGCGAGACGCGGGAGCGCGGACGCTATGGTGGGCCCACCCGCCGGGAACAGGTCCGGATCACAGTCACTGCAAACGCTCAACGAACCGGAAGCCGGCAGCGCGGAAACGAGCCCATGCACGACGACCTCGAACACCGATTCGGATGAGGATTCGAATACCTCTGAGCCGCTGGTCATCGCCCCACCGCAACCTTCTGATCGGGTGTAGAAATCTCGCCCCCTACACACCCACCCGCAAGTGTATTCCCTAGCCCCTCCCATCACCCCTGTACCATATAGATACTTCGATTTTGAGCCCTCACGACTTGTATTTAAACGTTGGCTCGCATACACCATCCAACCCCCCACCACCATTAGTGATTTTGTGCAGAATATATCGGATCGCAAAGGGACATCCCTTTTTTTGATTCTTTCTAGTTTAACTTAGTTTCGCTTTTAAGCGCTGTAATGAATGCATGCTCCTGACTTTTTTTTTTGTGAATTCCGTATATGTAGCGTTTTTTGTAAGGTTTGGAAAAGATGACACCGTCTCGACTTGTTCGGGATCTTGCCCAGGTGTGCTTCAATTAGATGAAAGCCGTCCTTCGACTGCAGACAAACCCGTCTCGGTCCAGATTGTGTCTCCAGCATGCAACACCACACGCCTTTCGATTGCAAACAATTCTCATTAAACTGAACTTAAAACGATTACCAAAAACTAGCGGAGGGAATACTACATAAGAAAACTACGTCCTTCTCGCAGGAGATGCAAATCAATACGCCGGTCATTTTATACCAAATGTCTCGTCAAACCCCAACTGTTTGCGCCTGCGTCCACCAACTGGACTCTATATGCAGTCCATTTCTACTGTACTCTCTCGACGATGCTAGCTCTCTAGCTCTAGGTCGCTCTTCTCTTGGCATGTGCGCAGGCGCTGTCCACTATTCGTCCGTCTTTCACTGTCCTATAGACTTAGATCCCCAGACCTTGGGTGTATGCGAAGTACTCGAGGACTGCTGAGATGGCCTATGGAAGAGATGAAAGTTTTTGTCAGTTACGAGTGAGATTCCACAGAATCTAACACCAAGGACTTACCCAAAGAGCACCCGACAAGAACCCCAGGAAAACCCCAAACTTCAACCCCGCAAGCCCCGCATTCGCATTCGTCCCCACAAAAAACATCTCAATCAGTCCCGCACAATCCTTCTCCTGATATTTATTATTGACCTCCAAATTCCTGCAGGTCATGCTGATCGCCTTGGCCAGGTACCCGCCCGCAAAGCACATCATGAACGCCATCACGGCCGAGAACCCGATTTCGGCGAGGATGGCGTAGCGGTTGCGCGGGATGAAGAGTTTGAGGGAGCGAACGTTGTACACGCAGATTGCGACGGCGAGGAGGAGGGAGAGGATGGATTCAGTGATGGGCGCTGTGCAGGGGGCGGTTTCGTTCATTTTTTGGTAGTTGCGGTTGTATTGGAGGAAGCATTGGGAGCCGTACCGGCCGTTTACGCCGACGGTAATGGCAAGGGCTAGAGATGTGACCTGAAGTAGTTGCGTATTGAATTTAGTGAGTTCCCAGTATTACCAGAGACACCGAAAGACAGCGAGTGGCAGCTGCAGCCGCAATACTTACGACTTGCGCGGAGTAAAGACCGACGGACTGATACATCCTTGTCTTTGTGCCTGTGACGACTTGCCACCGCCGGCCCCAAGCCGCTTGCTGGCGTGGGTTTCCGCTAGCAGCATGGCCGTCCAAGGGATGATGCCCTTCTTCTACGCTGACGGTCATCTTTCTCGAGGGTGTCGACTACAGTACGGTGAGTAAAGTATACGGCCTGTTTTTTGGCAACACGATTCGCCGTCGTCGTCGTCGGTCGTGTGCGAAAATTGCGGCTTGCTTCAAGCTGAAAGCCGAGTTGCAAAGTGCAGGGGTAAGATGTTATAGCGGCCCTTGTCATCGCCGATGTTGGAGTCATAAAACCTTTGGCCCGCGCATCTCAAGTCATGTGATGGGCGGTAATTGAATTCGACAGCGCGTAGCCATCCCGTTAAAGTTACGCGAAAGTGGAAGGGAAGTTTGGTCATGCTGCTTCTTTGTTCGCAAGTGCAAGACTTCTTATGTTTTGCCGTGCAGTGCGCTATTCGCCGCCACACAAACAAACCATCGAAACAATAACGACAGCATTTGTTACGAACTTCACGTTAGGAGTATCTGCAGTTTCCGAGCGTTTCCAGAAACAACCGTTATTCCTACCTCTGTAGTTTGAGGGTGTCTGAGAAGCATCCTTACCGTGAGAACACGGCTCGTGAGGATATCACTTCCGTGTAAGTCATCAATCGTTTGGAAATGGCAGCGCACGACGACGACGCACAATCTTTGTTCACCAGGCCATCAGAGAGGGTAAGTGAAATGGAACTGCAAAACTGCACAAGTTATTTCTCTAACGCTGGCCTTTGCGTCTAGAACGAGCTATTCCGGAAGTTTATCGACTTCCATGCCGCGCTTACACTGACCGAACGACGAGTCAGGGGCAAGTCGGTGCTCAACGCATTCACCGAGCCAGACGGCTTGACTATCCTGCACGGCCAACTTTCAGCCGCCGATGTCGCCGCGCAGACATTCCAGGTCTTCAGCAACGCCCAGCTCGTGCAGGCGATTGGTCCCGAAGATGGGACCGGACGCAATGTCGTGGCGATCACGAGAAAGGGGGAATGTGTCGCGGCTGGCGAGTTTGAGGGCTACTTGACGCAGATTGCGTGGCAGCCACAGCAACAAGCAATCGGTCTCCCTGAGATCAAGCATGTCGCGAAGACTTTCGTCCGGTTTATAGGTGCGGTGCCTAATGATGAAGCAACAGAAAAAGAGAAGAATAATCGGGTGCGGTCTTCGAACGCTAGCGCGCTGGGTCCTGTCTCTCCTACGACATCCTCGCACACGTATTCGGCTGGAGACGGGGACGATGATGAGTATGTCGCGCCCAATACGGAGAACAATGCGCCTGGTCGGGACCCGCTTGCCGGGGTATCCAACTTTGTCGTTCCGCCCGGCGTGCCTCTCAAGGAACGCACCTTGCAGAACAAGACGTACACCCATACATTCACGGGAAGCGACGCCGTTGCTCATCTTTTGACGCATACCACATGCGTGACGGTTGCAGAGGCGCTGCAGGTTGCGAACCTCTTTGTGAGCAAAGGCTGGCTTCAATTCTTGGAGGACACCGCAACCTCCAACCCGAACAGCAGCGGCTCGGTCTTCAAGGACTCCAGCAAAGTCATCTATCGAGTGACGCCCGTTGGAGCCCGGTTCGCCGGGTGGCCGGACAGCAGGGCCCCAACGATCCGGGACAATAAAGAGCACACATCTTTCCTGAAAGGAGGCCTCAAAGGACGGTTGCGCAAGATGGCTGGCCTCACGGCGTCGGCGGGAAGTTCAGCCACGAGCTCGGGTGGCGAGGAGGGCAGTCTGATCTCGAAAGAGAATCTGAACAAATTCGATGATTTCGTGAGGAAGTCGTCTGAGATGTTGAACGCCGATCGTCCAGAGGGTTCTGGCGGCAGTCGACAGGGATCTGCCCAATTCGATCAGCAAGGTGGTGCACAGCAGTTCGCCGGTTCGAAGGAAAGCACCAGACGGTCCACCTTGACTGCGGCGGGACAAGGTTTCGGCCAGGACGTTCTTGGTGCGCTGGGCGTAGGCAGTGCCGCCGCTCAAGCCAACAGCGCTGGCACAGGACGTCGCAAGCGTTCAGCTACCATCGGCACCGAAACGCCCGGCAGCCGATCCCGTCAATCCTCCGCGCAGCCGCCCTCGTTCACCGCGTCCCCATTGCAACAACAAGGATCCCAGCAAGACGCGCAACGTCCCGGCAGTGGAATCACCCGAACGGCCCCTTCGTCGTCGGCTATAAGCCAGATGGCGTCCGGCACCACCACCACCACCGGGGCCCCCTGGGAAACAGGCAAGGAGAACAACGCCCAGCGTCTCACTACCATCCTGCACATCCCTGCGCTCCGGTCCGCGTTCTACGCCTACCTGGGCACGCTGTTCTGCCAGGAAAACTACGACTTCTTGGTAGACGTGGAACGATTCCGTCTCTGCTATGATACCGCATCCACGTCGTTGAAGACGTTGGACCCACATGATCTGTTGAACCCAGACACGAAGGGGATCGCGGACAACGTGCAGAAGAGCTGTCAAGGAAATGCACAGAAATTGAACGAGACGATGTTCGCCCATGCCCTCGTGCTCTACCTTAAATACGTCGCCAAGACATCCCCGTTCGAGCTCAACATCCCGTCAAAGGTGCAGAAAGTCTTGACGGCGACTCTGAGCCCGTCGCAAACGTACTTCAACACGATCACCACCGCCTTGGATCTGAGCGTCCCGCAGCCCATCGACCCGACCGGTAGCGCCTTCAAGGCGATGGTACAGAACCTACCCGCCTCGTTTGGGACACAGGTGGCCGAGACGACCGCGGCGGCGCCCGAGAACGTCGGGTCGTGGATGTACTCGGCGGCCGAATCGCACATCTTCCAGATGGTGGCAGGCGACTCGGTGCCTAAATTCACAAAGACCGAGTCGTACAAATCGCTCATGGGCAAAGCGTACGAGGACGGGACGTTGTCGAGGATTCAGTTATCCCTTGCCGGGCAGCCTGGGATCTCGGCGGGCGCTGGGATGGCCTCCGTGCGGAGGAGCAGTGCCACTGTAGCTGCAGAGCCGCCGAAACGGGCTTCGATTGCGACGGGGGCGACGTACATCTATTCGGCGGGTGGGCAAGGAGGAGACAAGTTCGTGCCTCGGGAGGGAAGCGAGGCCGCTCAGCAGCAAAGCGAAGGGGGTGCTGGTAAGCCTGCAGGTATTCAGCCTACGCCCGCCACATTAGAAGGACAATAGAAGGAAGAGGGCGACGCCACCCTCAACCCACCCCTGAGAAGTTCCATCCTTGAGCCAAATAACAGTCGTTTTGCGATTATGAACGTTCGAAAATACAGTCGCTACTACAGCTATGATGTGGCCAGATGCATCCCTCGAAATCTTTTGTTTCCTTCGATAAAGTCCAACAAATGAGCGACGAGCCAGCCTAAGAGTCACAGAAGGTTTTCTTAAGCCAGGAAATGAAGCGAATATATGGTTGATATGATGTACAAGTGATAAATAGGCGTGTAGGGGTTTCCCAGGAAAGACCGTGGGCTTCAGCAAAGCGAATGATTGCATATACGCCTCATAGCAGGCTTGGCATGAATGAGGGACTAGGGGATGGTGATAAGGAGTTTCGTCACAACCAGCCAAGAACGTCCGTTCCCATTTCAGCGCTGTGATTCGACTCTTCAGATGGGCTCGCGATGCGTTTAGACCGTCCATTCCTTCTTAAGCACAACCGTTCGACTCTTCGCGTCGCTTTGCACATTAAATTCGACCTCCAAAAATGCCTTCAAATCGCGCAGGCATGTCACAGTTTCCTTCTCCAAAGCGCCGATGCGCAGAGCGCCCGCGGTGGGTTGCTGTTCGTTCGTGTTCGGTGACGACAAGGCCAGTAGCATCAAGACAAAGTTCTGCACAGACTTGTCGACGCAGCCACCTTGCCGAATCTCCTGCAGAAGCAAGCGGGACGCACGAATGCCGACGTTGTCGGGTGACGGGTGAGAGAAGATGCGTGTGATGTGATGGTCAGACATAACGGCGTCAGATCCGTCTTCATTGATTGTGTCGACGACGACAGTGTCGGAACTCGAGTAGAAGCGGGGCTGGAACGTGCAGGAGGTCGAGAACATCTTCGTGGAGCCGCCGAATGCGTTGAGGGTGATGCCATATCCGGCCGCCGGTATATCCGCCTTACCAGCCATTGAAGAGGTCGTCGACTCTGATGGCTGGTCTTCTGCCACGACTACAATGTCCATCTGCTGGAAGTAGCGGCCCAGTAGGCTAGTGGCTGCATCCGCTGCCTGAGTTGGAAACGACATTGGCAGGCCGTAGGAGTACGCCACGCCTGTAACGCAACTTATCGGCACATCATCGACGATATCGCACGCTAGCAGCGTTGATGGGAAGGTCTGCATCTCCACTACGCCCCCGCGCGCCATCAACGCCCCGCGGCTCTTGACTGTCACATTTGCGTTGCCGCCCATCATCCGTATCATCGGAAGGCAGACGGAGGTGATAGTGTCCACGGACAGAGACTGAGGCCCGTGGCTAGTGACACCAGTGAAGGATACGGTCAATGGCTCGCGCGCAAACATTCCCAGTACGAGTAACGGCTCGATGAACCACCCAGCAGACCTATCGAGCGGACAAACATGCTCAAATCGGCCGCCGACCACTCCATCAGGACCGGGGCGCAGGAAGACGCCAGTCCCGCCTTGCAGTACATCGAATGATGTCCCCGGGCAGACCAGCTGGACGAGCTTCAGAAATGACACTTCAGCATCGGATATGCCAAAATTGTCCCCGTTGTAGTCGTTACTTCGAATAGCGGTGATGGCAACTGACGTCTTGGAAAGCACTGCCAATGTAACCCTTTGCCTGAAGTTTTGATGACCCGTGGAGCGGAGGACGGAGACGGACGCGGCGACCATCGAGGCGGTTTCTACTGTTGGTATGGCTATGCTGATGAGCCGTTCGTTCTCCACGGTGACAAGCTCGTAACTATGATGCTCGGCAACCGACGCCTATGGCATATCCCACCCCACGTCAAACACAACGACAGCAGCTTGGAGAGATGATTGCTATGAGATTTCCATGGACGCTATGATGCAGGGCGATGTTCGATATCCTGGTATTGGCCTGATCGCACGTGGGGATGGGGCCGTCTCAGAACTGGAAATGTGAGACGCAAGCGACGACGAGAAAGTGAAAGGGGACGGAAATTGAGGAGGTGCTGCGATATCGAGGGCGAGAAGGTAGACGACGGCGGGGTCAGCGACGAAGACGGGGAGTTGTATTGAGATATGAGAGGTGTAGTTAGTGGAGGATGTCGTATGAATTGGAGGACGAAGGGAAAAAAAGAGGAGTTTGAGCCTTTATGGGGAGGGGGCGAATCCATAGTAACATGGTTGGCCAAGGGAAAGCCATGACTGCGCCACGCCCGTCTGACTCATGCGACTCGCGTTACACACATGACGTGAGCACTTGGGGAAATCCCATCAATCCACGCGTTGGACCACCCTGACGCGTCGCCGCCTCCATGGCGGACAAGGGTGTCGCCGCCACTACTCCACAGCGCCAAACATTCACTCTTGTAAGAATAGCGAATGGAAACATGAGAGGATGTGATTCGAATGACTCGGATATTTCCACGGGGTCAGTCACAGCTAACGTCCGAAGCTGAACGAGCGATGATCAACCGATTTGGCAGGATGCAAGAATTGGGCCGCACTAACGCCAGACGCTGATCTCCCATAGCCTTTTTTGCTTGCCGCCTACACTTATCAGAACGTTAAACGCTTCTGATGTCGCGTTCGCTTGTGACCCGGCAAGCGCAATGTCCCGGAAACCTGGCGCATGGGATTATCGGGCCCTATGAGACCGTCTGCAGCCACTTGGAAGCATTGGTGCACTCTTTGGCTGGCACTCTTCTTCGTAAATGCCGTTGATACCCATCTATAAGAAATCTATCCTGAAGTTACATACATAGAAAGGCACCCAAACACAGAGGAATTTCAAACTACATTCCAATCCACCGCCAGTGAAAAAAAAAGGATCAGAAGAGTCTCGAAAGAAAGAGAACCAGAAAAGATGTTGATGAAGTATGGTAAAGGCGATGAAGTGAGGTAATAAACGGGGTAAGAATCGGTAGGGTAATGAATATGCAGTGGGACGAGTACTATATGTGAATGTCTCCTATATGCGTGGTGAAAGTCTAGTGAAGTATGATACTGAAATGTCCAAATGGAGCAAATGAAAACGGCAACATAGGTATCCACAACCTTCAATACGCCGTCACAAGGACACCTAAACACTCGCCAACGCCGTAATCATATGCCGACACAACCCTTCCAACTCCCGTTCCCTCGCCGCAACCTCCTGCGCCGCAACCTCACCCTCCCTCCGCCACGCGCGGCTAACCGTCTCCCAATCCCCACTCCCAAGCCCTACCAGATCCCTCACCGTCTCCCTTGTGCCCTCTTCTCTCACCGGCAGTGCGTCCGCGACGCGGTCGAGCAAGGTAGGAATAGCGACGCGGGATATGTGAGATGTGATGTGCTCGCTTGGAGTGAAGATGGCTTCGGCGGGGTCTTGCCCCGCGGGCGTGGGGAGGGAGTCGCGGTCGGGGTCGATGAAGTCGCCGCGGAGGTGGGCGAGGAGGCGGGTGATTGTCGTGAGGTCTTTTGTGAGGGATTGCGCCAGCGCGGAGAAGGAGTCGGGGCTGAGGGGGGGTTTGGGGGTTTGGTGGTGGGGTTGGTGGTTGGCCGGAATGGCGGGGATGGGTTGCGAGGGTGTTGGGAGAGCTTTGGGAGGTGGCGGTGAAATGGCGGATGTGGGTGAGGTGGGTGGAAGCGGGGCGTTGGGGTTGTTGCGGTAAGTTGGAATGTTGGTGGTGGGCACTCGCATGAGAGCCGAGATCTCCCGTTCGAGTTCTGACGAGGCATTGTCGTAGCTTTGCATTGCAGACGGGGCTGTGCTGGTAACCGGCTTCGAATCGGTGCAGTCCCACGAAGGTGGTGACCGACTCCCGGGCTGGGATAGAGGAATGTTCTGGTTTGCAGATGGCTGTTGCTGCTGCTGGTGACTGGCAGGATATGTGTTCGCTCCCTGATCATACGCCGTAACCTCATCATCCTCATCATACTGATCCTCGTCATCCTTCTCCTCAGCTTCGGCCTCGGCGGCAACCGCCGCACTCATCCTATTGAACATCTCCGCCTCAGGCGTGCCATGCGGGTGAATCTGCATCGGCGGCACACCGGGTGGTGGCATCTCAAACTGGTCGAATCCAATCATCGATCTCGCACGCAGCGACTGGTTATCCATCTCGATGCGCCTCGACAAGGTCGCGAGGGACGACTTGCGTTGCGGGGCCACCATCGACGACCGTCTGTCGTACCTACTGCCCCGGTCCTCATCTTCGTCATCGACAAGGTCGACTTCCATCATCATGTGCCCGGCGCGCACGTCCCATTTCAGCAAGTCGTTGACGCAGCGTTCCCAACGTTCCGGGACGGCGAAATGGGAGTCGTATTCGAGTTCCTCGGACTCGACGTAGGCTTGGCTGAGGAGGAAGGTCCAGCGGCGGAAGTCGTCGGCGGAGGGGGCGCAGACGACGTAGTCGCGTTCGGAGGTGCAAATGAGGAAGGAGCGGGCGAGCTTGTTTTCGGGGTTGGCGGCGGGTTGGCGGACGATCGCTTTAACGTAGTTGATGGTCCAGATAGGAATGATCCACTGCGCAAAGGACAAAAAAAAAGGTTTCAATATGCATTCAATTCATCAAAGCTCGATTCACACATGGACACAAACCTTCGGAATGTAAAACTTGCCCGGCTTATGCGTCGTCAGCAAAGCATACGCCAAACTCCCTATTCCTTTCCCACCGGGATAGAACCTCCTGATAGCCTCCACAAACTCATCAAAGACGATCGGAAAATGTCTCTGAATATCCGCAAAGCTGGACCCAGCCGGCAACGTCACAAACTTCGCAGACATGCAAATGAGCAACGTTCCGTCACACCGGAATAGCCGTTTCTGGAAACCGGTGTGGCGATTTTGCTTTGCCATGATACCCGAAACAATCGTCCTAGAGGCCAGGCCACCGTGTGCGCCATGACGGAGGTTCGCCTTGCCGTGACTGGCATGATTCGTGAACTCGTGTGCGGTACTCGAATGCGTCGAAAAGTGACGAGGAGCTTGGTACATGTTGTTGTTGCCGAGCACTTCGGCGGAACGAGGGCCAATTTCTGCACTGCGGAACGATTGCGCATTGTCCGTCATGCCCTCGCCGGTCTGCGAGGATGCGTAGCTGCTTTCGTAAATCTTGGACGCCACTCGGCCAGCGCTTCTGTTGGCCGGTGGTATGATGGAGTTGCGGTCGACGGGTGGGCCTCTGTTGAGTGTGTCGTACAATTGATCCCGCAGAGCATCGAAATACGCTTGGGAATAGTCTTCAGTCGCGGATTCAAGCTGCGCGGTTGGGGCTGCAGCTGGCTTCATCTCTCGGCTCGCCTCCATGGTCCGTGGCGCGTTTGGCACCTCAATGTACTGTGGGCGTTGCGTCTGAGATGGAGCCAGCTCCTTCTTTGCGGCGCCTAGCCCACTGTCCTGCACAGTGTCAGCATCAGTGTCTGCTTCCCACTCGCCATCGTCGTCGTCCACTCTCCCCTCGCGTTTCTTTAATGGAACCGGCCTCTCGTCGTCGCTCCCGCCCGCCGGATCGATTTCACGAAGGGGCACATCCACATCGCTGTAAATGTCGGACGCGGCGCTAGAACGTCTCATCGCGAGATCGCTGCCATGCAGCCCCTTCACCAGCGCGAGATGACTCTCCAGCGGCGGGGTCGACATGGGCGGCAAATTCATCTCATCATCATTGTATTCGTCGTACTTCAAAGTACTCACGGCGCCTCCAACAGGAACAGACATTGGAGACGGTGGTCCCAATGCACTCAATCGGGCGGCAGCTGATCGCAACGTGGTGCGTTTTCTAGGCCCATCGACGAGAGAACTGCTATCCGTGGACGTGGACGATACAAAAGAGTCCCTGTTCGGGAATTCAAAGTCTTTCGAACTATTCCATCGTTGACCGCCAAATTCGAGTGGTGGCTGGGACTGGTTAATCGGTGCTGAGTTCGACGCCGGAGGGAGTGGTGAAGTCCGCGCTGGGTTGGAGTATGCTTGTGGGGGAACGCTCGGTACGGGTGGCGCGGACTGGGGCCCTAAGCCGTCATATTGAGCGAACGGCCGGCCTCGGCTGAGAGACGACGTGCGAGGAAGGCTATCAGCATTGAATGCAACTGAAGGCACTGGGAAGACTCGATCTGTTGACTTGAGGTCCTACATACTAAACGTTAGCCAACCGGAGTGTCACGCCCCCACTGTTCCAAGATAGAAATTGACACAAACCGTTGGAGAAATGGTGGGAGAACTCAGTCCGCCAGAGTGATCCTGTCTCGGCGTGTAGCCTCTCGCCGGCGACTCCGCAGGCGTTGGTGGCAGCTGTGCGTGGTCGTAGTAGTGTTCCTGGTATCGGTGCTGCTCGTAGGTGGCACTACCGAGCTGTGGTTGCTGTGAATGGACAGCCGCGGCGGTTCTCCGACCACTCTTTGCTGGCGCAACCGGTTGCGGCTGGGACGGCCGAGTGCGGTGGTACATATCGTTCTGTTGGCGCACGACAGTACTATGTAGGTTACGATTCCTCTTCGCCGCGAGAACTTTGGGGGTTCCCTGCTTGAAGTTGCGGCGGGGGGCACCCAAATGCCTTTCGGTGTGTGCTTGGTTACCTACTCGCACCGGAGAGCGTCCGTTTCCAAAAAAGCCGCGCCGCTCTCGCTCAGCATGCTTAAAGCGAGGTTATGTTGCTCATCTTTAATTATTTGCTCAACCGCCGTCGGATTGCCTCAACGGGTTTCATTTATGGTAGTCACATGATCCTGAGAATATTGGCTTGGGCGAGAACCGGCGGTACGCTACCTGCACAGGTGACCGAATCGCTGGCAACACTGTCAATCTATTTTGCGCGAGGCCGCCGAGGTGTGCAACAGGCTGTTGTGCCAAGTGCTTTTTCAGCAACTATACTCCCTCCACGTACTGTACTGTGCATCCATAGACGCCGCATGACGGCTTGAGGCAGTGGGCCTCATCGGAATCGATACGTATATATAGTAGGTCTAGGGTCCAGAGACTCCAGTCCTTTTGTGTAGTCCACGAAACACGACTGTTCCTCCTCAGGTTCCTCCTCGGCCAAGATGGCAGACCACGGCGTAAACACCGGCAGCAGAAGCAGCGAGGGCAATCCCAATATTCCTACCCCTACCGCCCCTGGCATGCGCTTGTATTTGTGTGGCCTCCCCCTACCCCTCGTCTGGAAGGAAGACTGGGGCGACGACTCCTCGAACGTTGGTTCCTCCAACAAGACATGTTCCACAAAAATCGACGAGGCCCTCGCAACAACCGGCACGGTCTTCGCAAAGACCGCTAAGGGTCTCACCGCTGCCCGGAAACATGTTCTTGGTGCTTTAGGTATGTACGTACAATCCCGGAGAAACGCCGAGCCGTAACGTTCCATCCGCATGAAGGAGGCAAGCCTCAGGGCCCAGCGTTTGTTGCTGCTCAGAACTTATCGTCGTGTGTATTTGTGTGTATTCTTCTACGCTAGTCTCCATCGTCGGCTTGATCCTGGTGGCTCTCGTAATCCAACCTGAATCTCGTTATGCCTTTGGCTATGAGGGTTTCGGTTATGGGTCTTACCTTGGAGGGTACGTACTCCCTGCAACCCGCATACGGACATTCTTGAAACTTCTTGACTGATACCATCTGTTCTTGTGAAATCTAGTGTTCATACGGTGACTCGTGTCGAGAGCTTCTGGAGGCAGGCTCTGCAAATCAATGGAGACCCTGGGACACGACTCACGGTCCTCGAAGACTATCCCGAAATATCGGGCAATCAGGACCTTCCCACCACTCCGCTGGCGGTCCGCATGTGGTATTCGGATGACCAGACATTGAAAAACTTCATTATTGGCCCTGGTGGGAAGGTATGAAAAGCGACAGATATGATCATCATCACTGTTGCAAGCGTCTCATTTCCTATTTTCTGTCTTTTCCTTTCCCAGGTGAACGTAACCTGGCAGGACGACGCGAGATACAAGGCTGGCCAAATTCAACTCCGAGTGAACCCAGTGTACGGAGAAGGTGACCACGGTGTCCCCGACCCTGCAGACTTTATTGACCCTATTGCCGCTGCCCGCGAAGGAATAAGTTCATACGAGTACACCATGCCCGTACAAAACAAAACGGAACAGACACACCAGCGCGTGCAAGTCAGCTTGCGCAAACCCTACGGATATGGGGGAGCCCGGCCCAGTGGCGGATCGTACTACGTCAATGTCGACGCTACCGTCGTGCAGTATGAGCGATCCAAGATAATCGACGACACCGTGATCAAAAACACATGGGCCCCCGCGACTGTTAATTTGCTGTACATGAAGAAGCAGTATGTCCTCGTCGACACCAACGCGGCCGGGTCGGACCGTTACGCCGATGGCAGATTCATCACGCGCCGATCCGTCCAAATCGCCCGGATCGTGCTGCTCGTGGTTCTGTATACCCTCTTCTCGGTCTGCCTGGCTTGGGCGGTGTTCAGCCCTTCGGCCAGACGCAGGTTTATGATTGGCTGGAAAGAAGCTGGGAGTGAGGAGAATCAGCCGTTGTTGGGTTAGCTTTCGAGAAGGCGTTTTTTGCTTCATTATACTGCGGCTTAGCTTGCTCTTATCTGTTTCTTGAGTTGGGAAGATTTCTCCTCTGCTTGTCATTTTATCTCGTTATATTGGCGTCACTTCGACCTCTTAGCTTCCCCTCCACCTCTTCATGGTCTTCCTTCAACATTCTTTCAATATCAAGTTGAGGAAATTTCCCCCCCAAATGTGTACAGGTTTCCCCGCATCATTGGTGGTCTCGACAATCCGGAAAAGAAGTAAGAGGGGGTTGCGCAACAGCCGAACTCGGCGTGGGGGTTCTGCAACAAAATCCGAAGTCACCGGCCGTTGCAACACCCAAACGGCCAACTTCGACCCTGAACACTCGCCGGCCTCAGTCTGCGCAGTCTGTTGGCGTTCAGTTAATTGGGTTTTTGTTGCGCAACCCCATATCCCACGTTAACGCGAACGCTGTTAAAGAATCTCAACAAGCCACGAAACGTGTGGTGAGCGGAGTTTCAAACGTGGCTTGCGAGATCACCATACATACATGAAAACAATTCCGAGCTAACCGAGGATAACCTTGTTTACCTTGCGCTCGTTTGAAGGGCTAACCTTAACACATCCGAGATGCGAAATCGTCATTCTGGGCGCCTTGATACGGGCTTGCCACACGTCTACGCCCAGTCAGGATTTCTGATAGGTTTTGACCAGCGCTTCTCAGGGAAAGCTCAACCTAATCTTGTGTGCGAACACTCTCAGTGATAATCAAGGGCAGTATATCTTTTTCTTGAACTACTGTACTTCTTCCGCGGCGACACCTTTTTCCGTATCATTTTTTGCATCATGACCACCAGTGTAAAGGTGTGTGAAAGGAAGAGGATCGTATATTTCCCTGAGCCAGACGTTTTCTGACCGACAACTGTCTGTGCATAAATTAGGATAAGACGTTACACGTCAAGCTGATGGAGGCGAAGAACTTGTTTCAAGAAAAATCACGTATGGAAGGGCGGATCAAAAGCATATAACATCTGCAAAAGCAACGTGCTGACCTCCATCAAACACTCTTCATTCGAATACAATCGCAAAATACAGGCCACAAAGACAGCTACTGCACGGTAACAGTCGAAGGCGGCGAAAAGCGATGGACACCTACCGTCTACCACGACTCCAACCCCTTCTTCGGCGAAGAAATCGTCTTCAGCGACCAGCTGCCCGTAGATGTATGGCGGGTCACGGTGGAGATGTGGCAGGACCAGAAGCAGCAGAGTCACGGGGGCAGCCATAATGCGCTTGGGCCGGAGGCGTCGGATAGGTTGCTGGGGAGGGTGCTGTTTCCGAGGGAGTTGTTGGAAGATGGACGGTTTGAGGAGGAGCAGGTGCGTTGTGCGGAACGTGCATTGGGGAAGTCGATCGCACAAGAAATTGGTGGATCTGTGGGAGCTGAACGTACGAAATTGCGTCCTTCCAGTGGTTCGCCCTCTCGACCGTCGACCAGGACGTAGCGACGCTAGGAGAAATCAAATTCGGGATGCGCTTCACCCCCACAGGTGCAAAGGCCGGCAAGCTCACCGTTCAGGTCCACGAAGTGCGGAACATTAGCGCTGGGAGTGGTGCGTTTTATCAGTTGGAAGTGCAACTATCTCGGGCCCCGTGCTTTGTATGTTCATTTCACCCTCGCCCGTTTTAGGGACGCGAGATATGCTGGCGGTGCTGCACGTCATCCCGGACGAAGGCGCTACAAGCACCCGAGCGACGACATGCGTGCGGGACTCGTTGAACCCGGTGTTTGATCAAGAGGTGGCGATGTACGTGTAACTTCTTTCTCGTCCTCTCGGGATCCATGCTCCGGAGTGATTTTCGCTTCGGAAAAGGGTCTGTACGACATCCATCTCACCCCACACTCCTCTCAATACTCCCGTTTGGTCATCCGCGCCAGCCAGATCCAAGACATCTCCCGCGACCTACATCTGCATGTCTCGCTCTGGGACGCGCGATCGGCGGCATCTGAGGGGTTCATGGGGCACGTCTCGATGTCATTGGAGTCGGTCATTGGGGCGGACGGGGGCAGTCTGACTGCGAGATGGATGGGGCTACTGCCGGCGCCAGGTATGGGCCGGCTTCTGGGAAACGGGAATGATTGGGGTGAAGCTGACAACGGATGTGAATCTTGGACAGACTTTTTCCACAAAATCAATCTGCAGAAAGAAAAAGGTATGTTCACTTTCGCTACGGACGATCTGTACACCCAGTATATGGCATATACTCACATCGATCAGCATATTGGGCGCTACAGCAATGCGGCCTCATGACCGGGCGACAGGATGTCGACATGGTTACAGTCAAAGCCAAAGCGCTCGTCAAGTCTCTTCAGTCTCCTGTCAAAGGTATGGTCGTTTACTGTCGTCTGCGGTCGCTCCATCTATTCCTCATAACCAGCGTGGGTCCCTCTTTGAAGGAAATATGCGCAAGAAGAAGATGCACAGACTCATTGATACCAAGTTCACCAACACGACTGCATTTTGCGCGCATTGCTACTTGGCGCTGACCCTGGGGCGTACACATATGCAGTGTTCGCAATGGTGAGAATAAGCTCAATGTGATGTCTCGCTGACGATGGCAGATCACTATTGCTGACGCGGAGTGGATGCTGTTGGGTGTCGTGCGTAGCAGAGTCAGCTGCCATGTTTCGTGTTCCAAGTTTATGGCGAACAACTGCGGGGATGTCGGTATGTTTCGCTGCAGGGGTGCTTGTTCATCCATCAACGTGCGTCGTAGCTAAGATGTACTCACAGGTGCCATCAGATTGAAGATCAAGTATTCGGTAAGATTCCACACTCATGGACAGTACAGGTCGATGTTCCGCACCACCAGACTGACATGCCCCATCACGCAGGTCTCCACAATCCTATCCTACGACAAATACGAGCCCTTTGTAGAGCTTCTGGCAATCGACAACTTCCGCATCGCCCACCTGTTTGGAAAAGTTAGCAAGGAGCGGGAAGAGGCGGCATGGCCCATGCTGGTGCTGACGGAGGCGAGGGAATGCAGACAGGAGTTCTTGATAGCCATCTCGTCGGCGGAGATTCAGGACACCAGTGAGTTGGGGGATGCGAGAGTTGACGGCGGTTGGTGTCTTCTACGGGCGACTGAAAGGGTATCCTTTATCAAGCTGATCCGAACACTCTGTTCCGGGGGAATAGTATGGCTTCAAAGGTATGGTGCAGCGTCTGACTCCCATGTACTGCTCCATGAATCTGATCTGATCATTTGGTTGGGTACACACGTACAGGCGATTGACGTCTATATGCGATACCTGGGCAAAGCGTATTTAAAGAACACACTTGGGGAGATAATCAAAATGATTGTCAGCAAGAAGATACAGCTGGAGGTCGGCACATGTTTTCGGATTCCAGAGATGTTGCATATGCTGATACCGGCCAAACCAAAACGACAGGTCGATCCTCTGAAGCTTGACAAGCCGGAAGAAATCGAGAAGAACAAGAAGATCTTACTAGACCTTAACCAACGTATTCTCAACGCTATCTACGACACGCGGTTTGCTATCCCAGCGTAAGTGGATGGCCAATGTGGGCTCGTCAGATGCATATGCTTTGTGGGCTGATGACAAACAATCTTCGTTACTTAGCCAATGGCGAGCGATTTTCTCCCATATTAAGACGCAAGTTACCCAGAAGTTCCCGGACAACCCGACAGTGCAGTATACCGCCGTCACTGGGTTCATATTCTTGCGTTTCTTTGCTCCGTCCATCTTGGGTCCGCGGTTGTTCGATCTGGTCGACGGTAAGAACCCCCATTCTCATTCTGTATGAATCTCAGTCGTACTTAAAGTGTGTGTTCACTTCCCCAGAGTACATTGAACCAAAAACAAGCCGAACACTTACGCTACTCGCCAAAAACCTGCAAGCTCTAGCCAACCTGATCTCATTCGGCGATAAGGAACCGTATATGAAGGATATGAATCAGTTTCTGGAGACAAACAAGGAGAAGATGAAGCTTTACGTGGATGGCATTGCGGTAAGGGAGTCACGAGAGCTTCCTCGGATATGAAAAGCGGATGGACGTGACTCACGGCTCTCTGATGCAGGCAAAGGAGCTGGTTACTCCGAAGGCACCGTCGATGCATCATGTGCGCTATGAGACCGCGCGGGAAGCAGGTATGTGGCTGTTGACTGTGATGGGTTGCCTCTGTCAGCATCCCTTGCTTTTAGGTCTCTGATGTCGGGCATCTTCTCACCAGCACGGCTGGTCCAGCTATTTGTACGGGCAGCTCCAAGCATGATGCAGAACATGAATGTATGCGATGCGTTTATGAGCGGTCTCCCGCGGTCTGTAGTGATGAGTGGACGGCTGACCATATGTTTGTGCTCGTCGTTTGGTGGCTGATAGGCAAAAGACGCACCCCTCATGCGCAAACTTACCACCACTCTCACGCGAGTGCTCATTGAAACATCCGCCATTGAGGGCAAAACTTTTAATCCAACTTCCGCTCGCGGGTATGTGTGCTCTCCTTTCAATTCCTGTCATTCTCGTCTCTTTCGTCGGTTAACGAAGCTCTCGTAATGACTTCCTTTTGCCTCAGATTACGGAAATCGTACGCCAGTCTCCTCAGCATCCAACCTCCGCTCGTCCACAGGGAGAGCAAGATCGAGTCGTTCGAGCTCGATCTGGAGAAAGTGTACGCTACCTCCACCGAGGCTTTGGAGACCCTCTCCCGAAGCCTTACACAATCGGGCTCTCATCTTCAGCTTTCCTCCCCGGCTGCCCTCAACACCGCTTCCAACGATGCACTCAATGACGCTGCCACGGATGCACTTAGTGACACCGTGTCCGTGGACACTCTGGTTGTGGCGATCCCAGAATCTGCTGTGTCTGCTAAGAGCCCAGAGTCGCCACAGCCCGACTCGCCAGCGACTGGTGCTCCTGCTGCCAGCGGTTCGGGAGCAGGCCAGCCTCCACTTAGGTTACAAGCACTGAAAGTATTGAGATTGGAAGGGCTTACACCGGGGAAGATGGTGAAAACCACGCCCATATCGGAAGTCAAACTCACGTCGCCGGTTCCGGGGATGTCCCCGACAACGCCAAATCTGCACACGCGTGCTTCGACGGCGGAAACGGCGGCCTCTTTGTCGACTTTAGCCTCTGCGGTAGACTCTGGAACTTCCCCGCAGTCTAGAGATGCCGCGACGGCCACGACATCCATAAACCCTCCTCAGGACCGCGCAACAACCATCACACAGATATACCCGCCCCACGATGTCGCCACATCTACGACTTCGATAAATCCACCTCAAGATGCCGCGACATCTACGACATCCATAAACCCTTTAGAAAAAAGCATGACTCCCGCGGCCACAAGTGCCTTAGCAACGCTGACTTTTGCACATGACCGCGCACATTCAGAATCGGCCAGTCCGCCGCCTATCTCACCGCTGTCTCCCGCGAGCTTCGCAAGTCGGACACAATCAGTTGGAAGGAAGCCGCCTAGGGTCTCGTCGCCCGGCGGACTGCCTGGAGGCAAAATGGACGCGGCGGCTGTGATGGCTATGCTTGCCAATGCCCGCGCTAGCGTTGTTGCCCAGGTTGAGCAGACGTTGACGACGCACGGACCTTGCGTAGCCTGTCAGAAGAACGTAATCGGGGAGCAAGTGATCAGAGTGGGCGGTCAAGTGTGGCATCCTGACCATTTTGTATGCAAGGATTGCTCACGGACGCTCAAGGCGGATGAGGCTAAGATTACTGATGGACAGGTGTTCTGCGCGCAGCATGAGGTTGGTGCAAACGCAGACCATCTATTCATCGAGCCGTATGAGTTCCTGACCCTTTACTCCCATGCGGTCGTTTCATAGCCACTTCCGTGCTCGAACTGCGGTGAGTACGTCACAGAACCGGCAACCCGTCTCAGCATAGGTGACCGGACATACCATCGCAATTGTTTCCTCTGTCACGCCTGTGGATGCACTCTTGAGAAGGGGTTCTGCACATACATGGATGCGATTGTATGCATTGATGATTTCCTACGATTCACGGGGGCCATGTGTGGAGTGTGTGGTGGTAGTATCCCGGGAGGTAAGTCATTGACTGGCTTGCAAAGTTCAAGTCACTGCTGGTGCTTGGTCTTGAAGGTCAACTGTACAATCTTCTCCAGATTACATCGACATCGCGGGCCGGAAATACCATGTGGATTGCAAGCGTTGCGATGTGGGTGCCGCGTCTTGTTTCCTGTCTCAAAAGCATCTTCCTTAACTCACTCCGTCTCCTTTACGAATGCAGAAATGTGGGGAGCAACTGGCCAACAAATCCTACTTCACCCTTGAAGACAACGCCTACTGCTCTTCGCACATGCAAGAGATGGTGACATGCCGTGGCTGCAAGCAAATCATTACTTCGCTCGGGTCGGGTGGACAGATTCTCCGGTTGGATGGAGGGAAATGCTTCCATCCGCAATGTTTCCGGTGCGCGGACTGTCGGAAGGATCTGTCGGATGGATTCTTTGAGCGGGATGGGATACCCAAGTGTGATGCATGCTTCATACAGTCATTTTGATATATGCGGGCGGGGCTTTATGGATACTGTATGCGTATGGCGAAATCTGGGTCTTTCAGCTGAAGAGGGAAATAACGAGCCGGGTCGTGGTGCTCTTCTGTCGAGGGTCGAAAGCGCGAAAGTGACGCGTGCTGCGCATTTCGTCCGAGCAAACGACAAGATCAATTCGTTGCCCTGATCCTTTGAGGGCAATTATCCTTCGTTTGCTGATTGTGGGAAACGGTGGTACGGCTTTCTCGAGGGGCAAAAGGGATGGACCGTAGTCCGCCGCCGGTGTCCGATTTCGTCCGCCTGCCGAGGTATGAAAGTTTCTCCCAAAACAAAGTCTAAAATTCAAAATCCGCACCCTTCAAAAAGCCGTCAGCGCAGCATCGCTATACTGAGGAACCCACCTCGCAATTTACCCTACGCATACCCAAATCTTGAGAGACGGGGCTGGAGCAGCGCTCCTGAAAACTAAGCGTATTTCCGAGCCGGAAGTTCGTCGCCGACTTCCTCCCAAGATGGTGGCATCATCTTCCTTTGGCCGCCTTCTCGCGTCGCTAGAAGATCGTTTCAAATTCGCGCCATTGCCAACATCCCCACCAAGCCATGCGGTAGTACATCCCTCCCCGTCCTCAACCTCACCGCCACGGACTCCGCGCCTCAGCATGTCCAGCGCCCCGTCCCTCAGTGACTCCATGTTGTCCACCGCTCCGCCCACTTTACTCGCGACGGGTATCTACCTCGGCCTCTACTTCAGCTTCAACCTCTCGCTCACGCTGTACAATAAGATAATTTTTTCGTCGTTCGCGTTTCCGTTTCCGTGGACGCTCACGGCGATACATACGCTATGTGGGACGATTGGGTGCTATATGTGTGCTGCGACGGGGATTTTCACCCCCGCGGTGCTGAGTACGAAGGAGAAGGGGGTCATGGTCGCGTTTTCCACGCTGTATACGGTGAATATTGCGATTAGCAATGTGTCGTTGAATTTGGTGACCGTCCCGGTGAGTTTCAGTTGTCCACATTTGTTAGTATACTAGTATACAAGGTATTGCATTTGCTCATCATGTATGATGACTGCTTCCGTGTCATAAGTTCCACCAAGTCGTCCGGTCCACCGTCCCACTCTTCACAATCGTACTCTCGGCGCTCTTCCTCCGCAAGCATTACTCGCGCGCCATCTACCTCTCCCTCCTGCCAACCGTATGTGGCGTCGTCCTCGCCACCTCCGCCGACTATACGTTCACAACCCTCGGTTTCATCCTCACCCTCCTCGGCACCGTCCTCGCAGCGATCAAAACCATCGCCACAAATCACGTCCAAGTAGGCCCGCTCAAGCTACATCCACTGGATCTGCTGCTGCGCATGTCCCCTTTGGCGTTTATCCAGACGGTTGCGTGGAGTTATATCACGGGTGAGGCGCCAAAGGTTGGCGCGTGGGTGGCAGAGGGCAATCTGAGGTTTGCGGTGGTCGCCGCCTTGGTGGTGAATGGAGCGCTGGCGTTTGGGTTGAATGTGGCGAGCTTTGTGGCGAATAGGAATACGGGCGCTTTGACGATGTGTGTTGCCGGTGAATATCCATTGCTGCTTTTCGGTCGCAGGCTCGCCAGTTGCGGGTGTTCGAAAATGCAGCCGTTTGACGCCATTCTCCTCTTGTGCTCTCAGGCAACGTCAAGCAAGTGCTTTCCATCGTTCTCTCGGTGGCGATCTTCAATTTGTCCATCACCACTCAGAATGCCGCAGGAATTATGATCACATTGATGGGAGGTTAGATGAAGATATGCTGTTGAGGCATCCCGAGACCTTCCTATTTCATTTTCATCGACCTCGGTACTGATCCTCACCCGCAGGCATGTTCTATACGTACACCGACTACCGCGAGAAACAGAGCAAAGCCACGTTCAGCAACAACGACAGCACTGCATCTTTCCTCCCTCTCCACACCAGCACCAAATCACCCTCCATGGCGTCGTTATCCGGCCCCTTCCCGTCGCTTTCGGCAAAGCGGGCTGAACCATCGGATTCTTCGCATACGCTTCTGGAAGGAGATGATGATATCGAGGAGGCTGTGAGGGATGTTGATGTTGTTGTTACTGAGACCTCGCCACTTTCGAAAGACTTATGATACACGGAGGGTTTCGTAAATGGGTTATGATGGAACGAACGTGTTTCAAGTTTTGTGACTACGCCATCTTGGGCGGACAGTGACGGTTCTTTTTTGGAGGTCAGGCGTTTTTTGGTGTTGTGGAATGCTCGCCAACACTCCATGTTTAGCTCGCCATGAACTGCTGTTTTATCGTTGGGCTTTATGTAGATTGCTTCTGGACGATTGGGTTTACGTAGCGGGTTGTATATGTGTATACGTTTTTGCTTATGATTATCATTTTGTGCCTCAGATCTTTTTACTTCGCTTTGTCTCTTTGTCTTTTTGCATATATCCCAGCGTGCCAGCTAATATGATAACCGTACCAGCCGCCACAGCGAGGCATATTTGAGCTACCCCCATCCGTCCGTCTTGTATATTCGGGCACCTGACCCCTTCATAGTCCAGACAGTACGTTACATAGTTGACGCATACCTCAAGGCCACCCATGGTGACCACAGGCCATGCCACAGGGGCAAACCATCTGCGGTGCGGCGGCCTGGTGTTGTTTGCTACCAGCAGCAAGATGATGCATCCGAATCCCATATTGTACACCGCCAGCAGGGTAAAACTGACTCCCTGCCCCAGCGTCCAGAACACCGCGTGCAGGAGAAACGGCACCAGGGTGATGGCGCTGAGCGAGCCGAAATCACTCAATGCACCCAAGAAGATTGCGATGGCTACTATATGGTGCACGGCCATGTTTGGGAATTCGGTGACGACATCTGAGAAGACGAGTTCCAAGATGTAGAAAGCAATGTAGATGTGGAAGTGGTAGCGGAGTTGGAGGCTGTATCGGGAAGTGAGGCGCGAGGCTGTCGGGAGGAAGCGGCGTTCCCTGAGACATTGAAGAAGTGCGAGCGAGAGTTGCAGCAGACCCAGAGTATTGTGAGCTATCTGTGCCGTTCGGGGAAACATTTCGTCCTACGGCGTTTGCCATGAAAAGGAAGACCTTGGGAGAAGGAGAACGACGCGTGAGGCGTCAAAGAGGCCGCTGTGACTCGGTGACAATTCGACCTTCCAACGAGCTCGAATTCTGGAGCAGATAATAGCAGTACGACACCCCCGTTGACCACGGACAGCCAGTCCTCAGAATGGCAGTCAAGTTCCTGCTCCTCGTCTCGCGGCAGGGTAAGTTACTCGTATATCTAGTCTGTCTTCTGCCACTCATCACGGTCATGAACTCTTCCCAGGCAAAATCCGGTTGACGAAATGGTTTACAAGCGACTGGTCGGTCAAGGAGAAAGGCAAGACCGTTAAGGATGTCAGTCAGACGGTCTTGGCGCGGAAGGCAAAGATGTGCAATGTGTTGGAATACAAAGGTAGGTTGGAGGACAGAATGGCAAAAATTATGTACATCTTTCGTCTTACAAACTCCTCTTTCCCAGATTTCAAAGTCGTCTACAGGAGGTATGGAAACCGGCATTAGCTGCTTCACCAGCGCTTCGGGTTAGCGTTGAGACTTTGCTTTTGTCAACCCAGATATGCGAGTTTGTTCTTTATTGCCGGGACAGACCTCGATGACAACGAACTGCTTACGTTGGAAATCATTCACCGCTACGTGGAGGTTCTTGACAAATGGTTTCTGAACGTGTGCGAGCTAGATATCATCTTCAACTACCAGCAAGCATATATGATAATAGGTATGTGTCAAATAGACTCCTCATTCGTGCTTCGGGAATGGCCGACTCATGAGCGAACCTTTGAATGCAAATAGACGAACTCCTGATAGGAGGGGAACTACAGGAGTCCAGCAAGCGGTCGGTCATAAATACGCTGAAACGGATGGAGGAGGTACGGTTCCGTGAAGTGAGAAATAGTAAGCGTTCCGCTCCTAACATGGTATCCGTGCGGTTCCAGACGGAGAAGCAAGAGCAAGTGGCGCTGTGAACCCCAACATGAGAACATCACGCGCTCATCGTCAACCGAAATCCTCACCTCGCTTTCTCGATACCATAGAGCCCGTGGTTAGTTATGGAGGTTACTCATCTGAGACGTGAGGGAAGTGGGGATAATGTTGCAAGACCGGGAAGGGAAGGAACCCAAACCTGGGTTAGCGTCGAATTTTGGGAGCGAGCCTGTGGATGTCCTGCTGAGTTTTGCAGGCAAAGCCAATTAGTGCTGCCAAACAGCAATGCTTACGACTCAATCAAGATCATCTACACCATCAAAGCTCTTTGCACGTGCCTGAGGATTGGCGTGGCTACTTCAGGACTTTGAAAAATGGAATGATGTTGAGGGTTAGGGACCAAAGGAATCGGAAAAAAGCGAACACTATCCTCAACAAAGGAGACCGTCCGCACACGCACATCCCAGACTCCAGATGGATACGGCCGCAGACCAGACTGCCGAAATGCCCATCGAAATCCATCGCAATTGAATATTGGATCTATCGGCCATGTACAAAACTATGACGATGAACGCGGCCAACATCTAATCAGCGGAGAGGACCCTACAGCCAGGTCTACGAAACCTGCAACTCTATCCCGAGCGAACGCCGTGGATTCCGTGCAACTCCGTCATCAGGCCTATACTAAGCAACGCTCGTCTATACTGTCCTTCCAGTTCAGTGCCAGGCCCTGATGCCCTTACCACAAAGTTGGTCTCCTGTTTCATCAACCAATCTTCATCTCAGCCATCGCTCACCTCAACCAAGCTGACCCTATCCTTCCTCAAATATTCCAATCCGAGCGCAAAATCAGCCTCATAGCTGTACACATCGATATCGTAGCGTGCTGACATGGTATATCGATATATCCCTCGCACCTAGATCCAGGGCAACATCTGATGTATCTGCTCGCAGTTCTTTCCCACCCTCTCCTCGGACGGCTCCCTCATCCCTCTCATCGTCCCCCCACAACCCTCCCAGCTCGGCCGCCACCGGCATTTCGCCCGGAATTGAAGGCATCTCATACCGTGGGGTTATTAAATGTACGCAGTGTGGCGTTTTTGTTTTCCCCAGAGTGATGCTGAGCCCGCGTGGGACGGGTTGAATGTGGGAGAGATAGTCAGTCATGTTGGTATGGTTGTCGGTGAGATTGAGCGAGATTCTTTAACCAGTCGGTTCAGTCCCTCGTGGCCGCTTGCGTTGCGGCCGCTGCCACTGTCCTTTGCCTTTTTCAGTGTTCCCTGGCTATGTAGGGGATCATCGGACTCGTGATGGCAGTTGAGGTTGAGGTCAGGGTTGAGGTCGGGTCTCGTCGCGTTCGGCCAGCTTGGAGGAATTGATCGCTCTTCTCCTGCACTCGCACACACCGGGGCACGCAGACTCAGACAAAGGGACTCAAAATGCAGCGCGCAGAAGGTCCTACATGGTAAGTTAAGGTGGGGATACGCTTCCGGTTGTTGCAACGGTTCCCCAGGATTGAGCGGCTAGACGAAATTGAGTTCTGACTTTTGCTCGATGGTCCAGGTTTGACAAGGTAAAGGACAGAAAGCAGATCACAGAGCCGCTGAACCAGGCACCCACCATTACTGACAATATCTCACCTCTCGGTTATGCACTTGGGTGTCTCCACTCCTCAGTGGAAGATGGGTACGTTTGCATCACTCTATCGCTGTTTAAATACCTTTCCGGACCGGCCCTCAACTTGACGCTCGACAGGGTTCATTATGGGTGGCTCCGCGGGGATGTGTGTCGGTTTTCTCTACGGAACGATGACGGTTCTAAGGTGCGGAAAGTGATATTGCCATGCACGCAGAGTGAAGGGAGTGTCGGGTTGAAGAAGCGTATTGCTGACCCTTTACTATGTGATATGTTTCTGGAATGGTTGTCTTAGAGTCGGACCTGATCCGGGCAGGTAATGTGGAGACGCCATGTTCCGCATCAGGAGTAAAGTGTATAACCTTTCGGATGTTTGTACAGGGGATACATGTCGACAGTAGGCAAATACATGCTCCAGCACGGCGCCATGCTCGGATTCTTCCTCTCCATCGGGGCGTTTCTGGTACGATGACCTCCTGAGAACCCAGCTCTCAGTTCTCCATCTCACACTGTTATCACCTCCGAAAATCAAACAGAGAAATGAGGAACGGAAAGCCCTGGAGTACCCCTACCCCACCTCCTACACACCCTGGGGCATCCGCCAGTCCCGATTGCCGATTGTTATTGAGAGGCAGCCGGTGTTGACATTCAGACGGGAGGCAGGCCTCGCCTGAGAGGGTGTGGTGGTGACTGTTAGGTGATGGGCGTAGAGGAGTGCGTAGATGAGAGGAATAGGCGTAACGAGGGGCGTCAGATGTTGAGTGCTGCATTGTGTGCGGGGTTGTCAGGATCCGGCCTTAGACTGCTAGTTTTCCTGTTTCACGAATAGATGTGGGGTTATGTTTTCATTAGTCGACAAGGTAGCATTGCGACTGTCGACGAGGCATTGCTTGCCGAAAAATGCCGGTCATGAACGCGAGTCCTACCAGAGCCGAGTGTCCTCACACACGACATCAACCCAACCCTCCAGTGCGCATGTGGATGATGGATAATTTTCACTTCTCTTTTCTCTTATTACGAAAGTTTATAGCGGTGTACATGCGGTTTTATATGTGCGCAAGCTATCCCGTTTCCTTTGTTCAAACCATGCCAATCTCTCTCATCCTGTATAAATCTCAACAGTTTCTGGCATCATCTCTCGATTGTCGATATTTAACGCTTCTTGATGAAGTAGAAGGCGGCAGCTCCGAGGAGGGCTGCTCCGGCAATACTTCCGATGACCGCCCCGGCGATCGCACCCTTCGAAATCTTGTCCGAGCCACCTTCGCCACCGCCCGGGGGACCGTTATCGGTAGTAGTAGGCGTAGGGGAACCCGTGCCTATACGCGTAGCGGTGCCAGTGTTCGTTGGCGGAACGGTGGAAGTGGAGGTGCCGGTGATGACGACCTGTCTGGCGACTACGGTGTAAGTACCCAGACCGAGGCACTGGCAAGAGATGGTGCTGCCGAAAGTCGCGGTGGCGGGGGTGATGCAGCCCTTTTCGTCCCAAGCCTGGATTGCGGTGTTCCACATCACGCACACGGGGACGGACGAGGTGGTGGACTGGCGAGCTTCCAATCCCCGACGGCGGCGACGAGCTGGCGCCAGCGTGGTTGGGACATCGGCGGTGATGTACTTGGTGATGGCGCCGGTGAAGGGGCTCCCGGTATCGCTCCCCGCCGGGGTAACGTACACGTTCAAGGTCAAAGCGGCAGAGCTCATGCTGGAAGAAAGAGAGATACAAACTTTAGCATGAGTCCTCAATCGGGCAACACCAAATGGCAGTCGTGAACTTACATTTGGCTGCCCTGATAAGTGACCGAAGAGTTGACGGGGTATGGGTAAGAATCGACGCAGCTGCTGCTAGTAACCACCTTCTGTCCATTGCCGGCTACAGACGCAAGATCGGTTGCCAGATCGAAGTCGCTGATTTGGCATCCGGCAACGTCACGGCGCCCCCGGTTCGCGGATTGGGTGAGGCTTCTCGGCAAGGTACCAAGAGTGTCCGCTCTGGCAATGACCACCAATGCTGCGGTGGAGACAGTGTTGGACTTCCCGGGAGTGAGAGCCACAGCCATCGCTCTTCCAACGTTCAGCAAGGTGTCCAGAACACGCTTGCCACTTGCCGCGTCACTGCTCTTGGTTGTGACCACGGCGGAGGCAGTAGCTCTGAGGACATCATCCGGAGCTCCGTTGTCCACGAACTTGGCGGACAGAAGAGCAACAGAGATGGAAGCCGATTCTTTAGCTGCATTGGTCAATGGAGCGGCGGCGACAACCGAAGCGATGGCAGCCGCTTTTGCAGAAGCCGTATCAACCGTTTCCCCGCTGACATCAGTGACTTGGAGAGCAGTGATGATCGCTGCAGTCGCTGCGCTCTTTGCTTCCTGAGTCAGATTCAAGCTTTCAAGTCTGGAAGTGAAAGAAGAAACCGCGGCGGCCGTTTGACCAGGAGCTCCTTTGCAGAGGTCGGCGTATACGCTACCAACGTCCTGGCCTGCCTGGATCACCAGTTCGGAAACAGTCAGACTGAAAGACTGCCCCGTGCTGACGTAGTTGGTGCCGGGAATGTACGACCTTGCGTAGAGGATTACCGGGTTACCGGCGGGAAGCACGAACGGCTGCTGGCTGTCACCGGGGTAGGCCAGAGTAGTATTGGGGCTAGAGTTGACATTGTACGAGTACCAGTAACGTGCGCCGTACTGCAGGGTCGATGGGCAGTTGATGTAAAACGGTTTGTCCTTGTTAAGTGCAGTACCGGTGTTTGAGCTCAGCGTACAGCCCGCAACAGATGGGAGGGTTCTGAAAACGGTAAAGAAGACACTGTCTTCGGCCACATTCTTATAGCCGATGTCACGGACTCGTATGACCGCCTGGTACTGTCCGTCAGATGGGAAAAAGGAAGTGTCGATCCTGAATGGAAGACGAAGAGACGTGAGTGACCGGACTTGTGACTGAGTGCATACGGTCTGCTACAAACTTACATCTTGCCGAAAGTACCCACGACTTGAGACTTGCCCATGCCAAGGTCCCGAGTTATGTTGCGCCCATCGGGGCCAAGAACATACCAGCTGCGCTCCAACTGATTGCTTAATGTGGGCGCATTGGTGCTCACACTTCCAGAGGTATACACCGGATCGCCTATCTGGTAGTACTGCCCACCGAAGATGGAGGCTTTCACGGACAACCAGGTGCCGCTTGTTCTTATCGTTATGTCGATATAATTTTGAACCGCGTTGTCGACAGGCACCGCAGCCAAGGCGGAGGGGCTGAATCCCGGGCGTTGAATGTAGACCGACCATCGATAGGTTCCGTCCGTCCCGGTAAGGGTGTTGGACAAGAACGTAAGTGACGGGATGTCAGTCGTGAAGTTCTGGTACGTTGCATCCGAGGTCACGACCACCGCTGTGGAGGTGTCGTTGCTCACAACGGTGCCCGCTTGCAGCTGAGCGAGAGTCGCCGTTGAGTTGACACCGAAAGTGCAAGGAGAAGGGGTCGTGGTCACGTTGGAGCAACTGAAGTAGACGAGTGTTCGCTTGAATGTTAGAGACTGTGAAGCCTGGGCGTTGTTGCCGATACACTTATTCCAAGCAGCTCCATTGAGGATGCCATTTGTGAACCTCGCAAAATAGCAAGGGTCGGTTGGATCGATAGAGTTGGCCGCGCTAAGTATCAGAGGAAGAGCGGTGGTGACCTCCGTGGTCCGGTTCGCCCAGACGGCCGTGAATGTTGGCTGCAAGAGAGTGATGCTGATGGAGGTACGGACATTGCCCACGACATTGCCCGACTCATCGAAGTATACGGCCCGAACGGCGACGACGTGAGGACCAGGCAGCAACGTGCTGAGGGGCAACTTATACTGCGTTGGCCCGGCAACTTCGGTGCCATTATCGACGGACCAGTAGGTTGCCGACGACGAGTACCCGCAGTTGGATGCGTCGACTGCCAAATTGGCCGTGGCTGATCCATACGTCACTGACAAAGTCGTTTGGTTCCATGCGGATCCGCTAATGGTCAAGTTTCCGCTGGTCGGGGGAACTGGGCAAGCCTCTGATTGACGGCAAAAACATAAGTTAGAAATGAGGCGTTCGAAAAAGACAATGAAGATGAGACGTACGAATGGGCCTCCACTGGAGAACGGGCGCGGATCCAGGGGTGAGCCACCATGCACCCTGCTGCACAGTTTTGTTGACGCTAGGTGGAGCAGGGAGGAGATACCAGGGCTGCGAGCTCTCTGCCAGCGTTTTAGCCGGAGCGCGAGGATTCGGGACGAATGACCAGTACATCAAAGCCGGGAAAGCCCTACCGTCCCTGGGCAACTTGATGCTGGGCAAGTAAGGGACGGGGACATTGGGTAGGTAGGGGAATGTGCTCCATGGAACCCTCAGACCGGTGCTCGGATCCACGACGGGTGCGGCCGGGAATGGGAAGGCGTACAGTGTGGTGTTTTGGTTGGCGGATGGAACGTCAGGCCAGTAAGGTCCGGACCAGGACCTGTTCTGCCAAATTCCGCTGTAAATCTGGAGGTTCGGCGCTCCGGCGCCGATATAATTCTGAGGGTAGACCCTTTTCCAGGCTTCGGGGTATGTAAGATCTTTTGGAGCGTCCCAAATGCTATTGGCGAAGGCGTAAAAGTCGGGGTGCTCCGTCTGGTTGAAAGCATCCAGCACGTTGGCCACCCACAACCTTCGCTCCTCGTTGCAGGGCTCGCGTGCGTACGACCTCGTTTGTCCGGCCCAGTAGTATATGCATCCTTCGGAGTCTGGGTTGGGCTTTGGGACTTTAAAGCATGTCTTGATGGTACCGAAACTGGAATCTACCGCCGTCCAGTAGTCTCGGGAGATGGTAGTACCGCCGACATAAGCACCGTTGACGAAGCTGCCATTAACGTGAACGATGGCACCACGGTTTTTCAGCTGGTCACCGCGGTGCTCCGACTGGAGTTGGTAGTTCCAGAACTTGTCGATGTTAGGACCGGCGTACGGGTAGAGGGACTCGTAGCCATTGCTGAAGGATCCGTTGTTGCTTGAGCTCTGGCGGTACTCGCGATACCAGTTAGGGTTGAACAGATTGAAAGTTACGTTGGACGTGCAGGTGCGCGTGGGGGTATCGGGGCAGGGCGTGGTGGTGATGAACGTAATGTGGGTGGAGTTGGTTTCGGTCGTGTTGTAGCTGGTGGTGGGAATCGTGGTCTTTCGTTGGTAGACAATTCGAGCCCTATAAGTTGTGCAGGTAGACGGGGTCGCGGTTGCCGTAGCAGTCGAGGCACCCGATGAAGTTGTCGCAGTCAAGCTACCCGAGGTGGTCGTCGTGGTAGGGGTACCCGTCGATGTGGTAGTTGCATCGACATCGATACGCTTCCTCAGACGCATGGGTCGGACTGGAGGTTCAGTTGTCGTCGTCTCAGTGGACGTTTCGGTGGAGCTCTCAGATGGGGTATCGGTGGCCGAAGTGATGTCGCTCGATGAGGTATCGGTGGCCGAAGTGATGTCGCTCGATGAGGTATCGGCGGCCGAAGTGATGTCGCTCGATGAGGTACCGGTGGCCGAAGTGATGTCACTCGATGAGGTATCGGTGGAAGAAGTGATGTCGCTCGATGAGGTAGTCACATCTGCCGTAGACGTTGATGAAGCTGCATCTGTCACCGAAGACGACGTGCTGCCCGCTGCCGTAGAAGTTGATGAAGAAGCTGTATCTATCACAGAAGACGACGTGCTGTCCGCTGCCGTAGACGTTGACGAAGAAGCTGCATCTGTCACAGAAGACGACGTGCTGCCCGCCGCCGTAGACGTTGATGAAGAAGCTGCATCTGTCACAGAAGACGAAGTGCTGCCCGCTGCGGTAGATGTTGTTGAAGAAGCTGTATCTGTCACAGAAGACGAAATGGTACCCGCTGCCGTAGACGCTGATGAAGAAGCTGCAGCTGTCACAGAAGACGACGTGCTGCCCGCCGCCGTAGACGTTGATGAAGAAGCTGCATCTGTCACAGAAGACGACGTGCTGCCCGCCGCCGTAGACGTTGATGAAGAAGCTGCATCTGTCACAGAAGACGAAGTGCTGCCCGCTGCGGTAGATGTTGTTGAAGAAGCTGTAACTTTCACAGAAGACGAAATGGTACCCGCTGCCGTAGACGCTGATGAAGAAGCTGCATCTGTCACAGAAGACGACGTGCTGCCCGCTGCCGACGTTGATGAAGAAGCTGCATCTGTCACAGAAGACGAAATGGTACCCGCTGCCGTAGAGGTGGACGAAGCGCTGGCCGATGCGGTAGACGCAGAGGAGGAGCTACGAGCTGAAGTGGAGGAGATGCTAGCTGTGTCGCTGGACGCGGACGAGGAGGTACCCGCTGTAGTAGATGAGATGCTAGCCGTGTTGCTGGACGCACTGGTGCCAGCCGACGCTGAGCCACTCACAGACGACGTACCGCTGGTGGACGCCGAGTAAACGGTGCCGGACGAGGTGAGGAGAGTAGTGCCGGATGCGCTGCTCGTGGGTGTGACGGTAGCAGAGATGCCGCTGCTTGTAGTCCCGCCGATGAACCCGCGCGAAGGTTCTCCAGGTTGGGAACCACACTGTGCGACATACTGATCGATAACCGTCACCCAAACGTAATCACTTGAGGGCATATTGTTTTTGTCGCATGGCACTTGCGTGTTTGGATTGGCTTTGTTATCACCGAGGCACGAGGGCGTTAGCTCAACGATTTCCAAAGGAGGGGCTTCGGGGAACGGCGTTTGGGACAACGAGCGGTAGGATTTGGTGCAGGTTGCGTTGGTTCCGTTAGTTCCGCACGCGTACGTGAAATTGTGCTGATAACCGAATGTGTCCGTGGGCAACACGTAGTCAGTTCCGAAGTACTGGTTTGGAAGGCCGGTGATGTTGTAGTTTGTAGCGCTGGCTGGGTAGGTTACGTTGTTAGCCGTCAAGTTGAAATACAACGGGTTTGATGGCGGGTAGAGGTTCGGGTTCACCATATCGAATGGCTTCGGAGACTGGGAGGTGTAGGTGCCGTTGCACATGGTCGAAGAGTTTGAGGTGCACGGGTACTGGTACTTGTGCTCGTAGAGGTTCACGGTGCCATTGTTGTAGCTGCACTCGTCTTCTGGATGGGTTCCATTATCCGTGAACGATGTTGTGTAGTTGTACACCATCGGACGGTCGACTTGACATTGGCCCTTGGTTGGTAAACCATTGAAGTTGACGAAGCACGGGTAGGGTTCGCGGATGACGTCCTGGTTGTAGTTGGCAGGCTGCCACCCTTCGTCCGGCTTGTCGACGTTGGTAAAGTAAGGGAACGGGTACGGAGCGGCCGGGTAGATCCAACCTGCGTCTTTACCGTAACTGGGGATCCACGTAACGTTGGCAAAACTGCGTTTGCCGTCCCACTCTGTCTCTTCAATCTTGTAGATGGGATAGACAATGCGTGGGACGATGATCGGTGCTGTGGGTGTGCTTGACGCTACTGAGCTGATGGTAGACGAAGCCGTGGCAGTCTGGCTGCTGCTAGCAGTAACGGTGCCGGTTGCGCGGCCCGCGGCGGTAGTAGACGAGGTCGTGGTAACTACGTTGCTGCCAGTGGCGGTAGAAGATGCAGAGCTAGTGACGGTGGTAGACGCGGAACCGGCGCTGATGCTAGTCGATGCGGTGGTGGCTGCTGCGTTGGTATTGGATGACGTAGATGTAGAGGCGGTTGTGGCAGCAGCACTGACGCTGGTAGAAGTGGTCGGAGTAGCTGTGTTGGTATTGGTAGATGTGGCAGCCGTGGCAGCAGACGTTGAATCAGACGTTGCAGCAGACGTGGAAGCAGACGTGGAAGCAGACGTGGACGCAGATGTGGAAGCAGACTTTGATGACTGAGCCGCCGTATCGGTGGAGGAGGTGGTATCAGTCGTAGTGGTTGTGGTTTGAGCGACGACGATGGCCGCCCAGAGGGCCAGAGAGGCTACCAGCCAGAAGATGTTAATCTTCATCTTGGCAACCGTTCAGGCGCAGTTGGGAATGAAATCGGTGTGCTGTTCTTCGCAACGATTCCGATGAGGATTTCGCAGGAGATGTTCTTGAAAAATCGCAGATGTCGCACAGATGAAGACTCGAGACTGGCTGCGGGAGATTGTCCGCACTCTCTACAGCGTTTCCAACTATTCGTTGCTGAAAGCTTTCTCTGCCACAGGAGCTTCGCAAGCGAGATCGAAAGTGGGAAACGGAAGAAAACGAAGGGAAATGTCCTTCGCGGCCAGGACCCTGTATTTATACTAGACTCGAAGCGGGCCTCCGTAGCCGTCCACCCCATCCACTGCGAGGCGCACGCTCTAATGCCCTGCCTGGGCCTCAGACTCCGCCCGTATTCTTAGTACATTGCATATGAACGGATGCTTTCTTGGTCCATCGATGGTATGCGAACCCGTGTCATTCCGTCGGTCGGAGTTCAAACGCGTAAGCAGTCGTTGACAGTATTTTTGGAGGCCCTGTCGTAATACGGGATGGTTCTGAACCCATATGGAAACTTTGTTGAGCCTTGTAGTATGGCCCGGATGGTAAATCGCAAACCAAACTTTCAGCGATTCTGGATGGCGACACAAAGTCGATACAGCTTTCTGCACTTGATCTAGAACAATGCTAGCGTCGAATCCAGGGTTTAGGGTTTTGTTCTTCCGGCGTCTAGCTCATCTGGAATGTTCTCCTCAAGCAGATTGCTGTCGAGGAGGGACTGACACGACTTTGATACTTTCCAGAGCCAAGCCCGAGGATGTCGTGTCCGTGGAAGCGAACCCTCGACACCCAGTATACACCAAGCCACGACATGTAGCAGCGGGATGAGACACATATTAAATCATGATCCTATGTACATGGACAGTACTCTTATAATGAATCCATGAACGATATCTGAAAACGCACACATGGCACTGTCAGTGTCCGGTGCAACCAACTGTCGAGGCTCCAGAAACATCCAGAGCGCGGGAAACCGTGGACAAGCGATTGGAAATTGCCAACAAAGATACGCTTCCTCAGATTTGCCTGGACATTTTCGACATTTTTCCACAAATCAGTTTTTTTTTCGCCCTTCTTTGAAATGCTGGATAGGCATAGCTTATTACCGCGGAAAAGTGGCGGCGCAATGTGGTCAATGGTGGCGAAAGGTCCAGTTCGACGCTCCTGTGCACTGGAGTCATGGTTGTCACTTAGAAGTGTGCAATGTATCCATGCCCCGTGGGCTGAGGCTTGAAGGACCTACTCTCCTCAGCACACGACCCCTGCCATCTTTGAGTTTTTCAAATTGCAAAGAGTTCTTCCCTTAGAGATGCCGTGGCAACGATACAGACACATGTCCCGAATCTGGGGTGGGTGTCTGCTTTTAACGCGAACGGGGCCCGGCGCAAACCCTGGAGGAAAAACTTTCATTACTCAACCCTTGCGCTGACGTCTCCTGAGCATGGATAGAGGCGCCAAAACCGTACGTCCATTGCGCAACTGAACTAAGGGCATTTCGGAGTTCGCAAAATTGACAGTGCCGTCAATGTGGAAAGGTCTATTTCTTCAGATTTGTGGTATGCATATGAGTGTCCAGCGTATCCCAAGTCAAATTTCCCCAAGCTTCGTGCGGATGTCAAAGACTTCATCTTCTGCGAGATATTGGTGGTGATCGGGCGAAGCGTGAGTGGCATTACCATCGAGATGTTCGATTCGTCATCAACCCCTGTGCTGTGGGGGGTGCTAAACGATTGCTGCTCGAACTGTGGCGATCGCAAAGCACACAAGATATCCAGAGACCATGGCTTCCCTTCTCGAGTGTAATGTATCCTGGGAGATCTGACTCCCGCACCGAGGCACGTCGAGTCCGGACAAGGACAAGAGGGTGTTGGGCCAAGGTTCGTCGAGTACCGTAAAATCGAAGACGGCCCGCACAAGTAGTCGATTGCTGTTATGATAACTGCGCAATACGTCCTATCATTAAAACGTTGGCTATTTGTTCTACTTTTCTTGCGAAAGAATGATGATTGAAAAGATATTAGGAATGGCAGAGACGTCAACCCATCACTTATGTTTGCGGCTTTCTGGGCTTCGACTGCGCCTTCTTCCCGCATCGCGACTCCTACTTCGGCTCCTGCTTCGCCGGTCACCCCTGATCGACTTGATCGACCGACTGTATTTGTCGTCAAGGGCACCAGCAGTGGGTGGGGACGGTGAGCGAGAGCGACGCCGGCCGCGATCAAGTGGCGCGGGAAGTCGCCACGTTCCTCTTCCCCCTGGCGCGCGTGAGGATCTTGAAGGGGAATCGGGCGGAGCTCGCCAAGGTGGACTGTACGACTCCGGTGAGTCTTTGTTGGTTACTTTTCTTCTCCGTTGGCGAGGTGGAGATGGCGAGCGAAGCACCCAAGTTCCCCTCGGTTTCGTGACTTTCGCTTTCTCCTTTTTGTCCTTCTTCTCCTTCTTTTTCAGTTCCTTTTCCTTCTTCTTATCCTCCTTTTCTTTTTCCCTTTCTCTTTTCTTCTCCTTCTTTTCTTTTTCTTTATGCGCTTTCTTGGCCGATTTGTCCGTGCCATATTCTGTCGATTCGCTATGCGCTCCCGACAATTTCTTAGGTATCGATTCACTGGTGCCGGTCGCTTTCGTGGCCTCGGCAGGGCCAGGGCGGGCCGAAGAGAAGTACGCAGCCGCCGAATCATCGTCCTCATTTGCGCCGTTGAAGCCGACTCCTGCTGCTGCCATCTTTGACTTTGTGCTGTAATGAATAGTGATTTTTCGATTGGTAAACCAGAACGAGTCTCAAGCCACATGCTCAATCTTCGCGGCATACCTATTAAAGCCCAATCCCAACACCTCCTCCTCAGGCGGCCGCGGTACCTCCCTCTCAACGTCATCGTCCTCGATATCCATCTTCACGAGTCGCTTGATTTCGGATCGACTAACAGCGTTCGGATCCCGCCGCTTGGCGCCTGAAGAATAACCTAGCGCTTCGGCAAGAGCCTCCGTCTCATTTCGCTTGATTTCAGCAAGTTCGGCAGCCAAGGCTTCGTCCGAATTGGCTGGGTTGACGTCCCCTTCTTCTTTGGCGTACCAAGTAAGATCTGCGAAGGAGACAACGACGAATACCCCGAAATTAGTACTATGCAAGGAATATAAACAATCAGGAAACATGACTCAAGTCTTACCTTTATTCTTCTGCCAGCGGCCGACTGGAGCGTTCAGAGAATGCCCAAGGTAATTCTCCCGATACTGTGTGGAGGAAGAGCGGCCCATTAGTACGTTGCGCTGGCAAAGTGTCCGCCACCTCCAAACTCGCCCCAAAGGGTCCACAGCCAGCATGGGTGCCCTGTGCATATGGATGGAGCTGATGCCTTCAGCGCCTTGCTTCTCACCTTATCGTCCTTGACGTCCTCCCATTTAAAGAGACCCTGCCCACCGCGGTTTCCCGCACGGGTTGGAGCGTAGAACATCTCAAACCCAACGATGCTGAGAATATACGACTGTTTAACGACAGTCCACTGATTGCGGGTGATGACCGTGTCACGGTGGGACTCGGTGTTTTCGGACTGGGACTCGCAGCCACGCCTTCGAAAATTCTGAAGTCCCACTGAAGTCCCACCAGCATCAAAACATTTGAGCTCATTGGGGACATTTCGAGACTTCCCATAGAAGACCACCTTCAAGCGCGAGCCCCTGGCGAGCCCTGTTCGACGATCCAGATTCCGGCTCGTGGAGTGTCTTCGGCTTGTACTTTTGGCGATATCGTTGGATTCCTCAAAAGAAATACATGCACGACTTTCCCACGACAACCTTGTCGATAGCATGCCCCTTCTGACACCCTGGCTTCTGCCCTATCTTCTCGGCGAGCTAGAACAGGCCACCGCCCGTGTACAGCACGCCGCGTTGGAGTGCAGTCAGGAAGGAGCATCTCGAGATCCACGCGTCCGGCGTGAGCGAATGCAGCAAGCCTTGAAGTGCGAGGGACGGGGTTTGAGCAAGCGGGTGCAGATTAGTAAGGTGCAGTGGGATATCCTTGCCTCTTGCTCGTCTCGGCTGCGGAGAGGATTGGATACGGCTTGTAGCGCTCTTGATATTGCTCTGACGATTTTCTTGTTTCCACGTTTGACATAACTCTCCCTTGTATGTACATGAACTTTACTCTTCCTGAAATACGAAGATCACATCTTATGATGAAAACGGCGAAGTTCCTATTACGATGGAGGTTTCTGACGCTCATCACCGAATCGACTGTTTCTTCACGAAGCACTGCGTCAACAAATACAACGAGTAATGCTTGAACGAAGTCCAGGCAAATCTCCGCTCCGCAGGATTACTTATTCCTTGCTTTCACATACAGGAGCCGTCAAACCCCAATGTCATCCATTCCGCCCATAACTACTCTTCGCGGCGCATACATTATCCTTCGGGCGGCACGACTCGCCATCAATCGCACCCAGCGAACGCCCCGGCTGGCCGTGTGCATAGCGGTCGATGAACTGGTTTTTATGGGCACGAATGGATGTGAGCCGACGAATGAGGTACGGTTCGTGGAAGAGGAGAGGAAGGTTTTTGAGGCCCTGGTGAGATGTGCTGGGTGGTGAGTACTACGCTTTCGAATCTGTAAACTCGCTGCCTGGGTACTATTGGCTGTTGTGCTCATTATCGAACAGGTTGGAGCCTCTCGGCAGCGGTACTCTTCATCCTCCAACAAAACCAAGGAATGATTGCCATGAACCGGCTCCTGCGACTTTTCGCCGCCACGTCTCCGCCCCAATCACGACAACATCTCATTTCCACCCGTACAGTCGCACCCACAATCCCACACTCGCTGATTTCGAAGAAGCGCAATCCCTTCCTCCACTGCCAGCATCAGCGCTACCGTCAGCAGAGGAGCCGTCAGAATCATCACAGGAGCTGACTGTGAGCACGAGACCGGAAACAGCCGGACTGGGAACGCAGGCTGATACCCAGGTTGACGGTCGCATGTATGTAGGGGAGTGGGACCTACTGTTTCTGTCGGACGATGAGAATGACGGGGAGGATGGAGAAGATGATGGAAAGGCACGGGATGATGCTACGCAGAAGCGGCGATGTGCCAAGTGTTGACGGCTGGGGTGGTCAACGACGCCTGGGTGGTGTGCGAGGCAAGCCAATGTGGACTTATCGGTAAACAAGCGGAATGGTTGTCGCTGATGCGTCTCGGCAATATGAAGATGCGGATCTCGCCCACCGCAGTCCAAGGTGAAAATCGCCGAGGTGCTCGAACCTCAAGGAACCGGCGATACGCTGCCGGACGAGATCGCCCGCAGGACTTCAAAACGTCATTGAGGCCTTGGAGAAGATGAACCTAACGGTATCAGCGCGCCTGGTCGAACACGTACACGGGACGTCGCTATCATGGGAGCTTGGTGGAGACTGTCACCGTGCGTGAAATGAATGTGTCACGGCGGGTTCGAGCGGTAAGAAGCCCCGCTTGCCTGCCAAAGCTGAAAGCCCGATCGAACCCAATGACCGCCGTCCCCACAGGAAGAGGCTGCACTTTCGGATGTCGGCGCGGGGAACCTCTTACATGCTGTAAAGTCTCCACGCTCGCTTCTCGGTCCTTGGGGCTGGTGCGGGACCACGATGCCGCAGAAATATGCGGAACAGGAGAATCCAAACGAGGCAGCAGCCAAATGAGGGAGCGGGGGTCCGACGAATTACATCTCGCACGCATAGTGAACAACCCGACGCCGAATGGAAAATGTCTGACGGAATGATATGCAAATGTTCAAGCAGCATATATTGAACTTGTAGGAGGTTGTGTGGGATGGAGATGGGGGTCCTGCATGGGAGGACATCTTTTCTCCATCGCACTGGGCAGAAATCACATTGCGTCAACACCACTTTCTGGCCATCGCAATGGGGCAATGGGGCATACGGCGTAAATGGGGTTTTCGAGGTACATGTTCGCTCATTCACTGGGACTTCAAGGCCCATAGCATGTAGCCATTCATAGAACTTCTTGTTTCTCTCCTTGCATTAGAACGCGTTGTAGACCAGATTCCGCCATGACCAGTAAAGTGTCTCAGGCCGATCTTTCAATAAACGCAACTGCCACGCGCTACGCCGCACCAAACATAACCCCCTCCTTCCCTTTCAACTGATACCCATTCACAAAAGCATCAATCTTCACCGCCTGTTTGTCCTGCATCTTCACAGTCCTAACCGGAAGGTACGACGTGCCCGAAGATGTTGGCGACCCGCACGCCACGAAGAGAACGCTATGTGAAGGATTGAAGTGCAGTGTTCCTGGCGCGCTATTTGCGGTGTTGTGGGTCGCTGGTGGGTTGGATGATGGGTCGATGATTTCCAGGAGTTGGATTCGACGTCCTAAGAACGTTGTGTGAAGGGGAATCTGGGGTGGAGATCACAAGGGTTAGCCCAAACATATTTGATACGAAATCAAGCGTGCAAACCTTCTTCCCGATTGCCCGATGTAAACGATAGATCTCGTCAGCGGGTCGGGTCCAATCAATAATGGCCATCTCTTTGGTAATTTTCGGGGCGTGAGATGCTTTTGAATCGTCTTGAATCTGTGCGTTTGCCTGCAATCGGACATGTCTTCTTAGGAACAACCATTGATGAGCTTACGGGTTGTTTGGATTACCTTGTATGTTTCCAGATCTTCCACCACAGTCAGCAGGTCTTCCGCCCCCAGGTTCCCAAGACGATCGTGCAAGTCCATCAGAAACGTGTTGGGTGGAACATCCTATGCGCGAGCAAATGATACGGCATCAACACCGCGGGGCACCGTCTTCCTCGTTTATAATTACCAGACCCTGATAGTGGAACTACTCACGATCCTGCTTTGCTTCACGATCCGGCCCACATCGAATTTTTTCTCATCGAGCTCGATGATGGACACACCGGACTCCCGATCATCATTAAGGATGGTATACTGCAATGGCGCGGCTCCACGATATTTTGGTAAAAGCGATGGATGGACATTGAGAGCTCCGCCACTGAATTGGCGGATGATGCGGCGGGGTATAAAGTATCCGAAAGAAACCACAACTGCGAGAGAAAATGGGAGTGGGCCGCTTGGTGTGGGGAGCTGCTCCGTGTCAGTGGGAACTAGATGCCGAAGAGTCTCAAAGAGATGCGGCCGAGTCTCACATTCCAATCTTTCAAGGATTTTGGTGGCGCCGAATGAATAGGGATTCCGAGAGATTTTGCAAACTTTCTAATTGGGACTGAAGAGTTCGAACGAGGTGAGGTTCACCGACGTATATAGGTTAGGCGAGAGGCTTTCCGCTCCTTAACATTACCTTTGAATCCCTTCTTGTTCGTGCTCTCTGGAGGTGTCACCACCTCTATATGTGCTATTGACCCTCTACCCTCTGCCGCTGCTACGTCGATAGACGACAGTCCGACCTTGAGTCAGACTAACCCAACAAGTATGGCCCTATTCTACAGGACTGACCTGAAGCCTCCCACAGCTTCTTCAAACATATGATAGAAAACTCATCGGCCCCAAAGAACAGGATGCTGTGCTGCGTTTTTGCGACGGTCGCAGTGGTCGGTGTGTTGTATTGCTGGCTTGCCAGTTGAGATACGAAACGTGGCTGAATGCTTGGTCTTGCCGGTATCCACGAAAAAGGTGGAACGACGAGCGGGCGGATTGAAACCGTAGAGCGAAGGAGAAAACGAGGGCGCACGGCTAAGCAGGACATGGCACGACCTGAAGCGCCGCTGAAACAGAACAATATCGAAGCGGATGTCAAAGCCAGCGGACACCGGGAAGCTGGCCGGGAAGTGGGAGGACCTGCGACGACAGGCGACGCTGAGGCGACGACCTCACGTCTCTCACGCGTTTGAGCCTTTTGAGCGTTGCACGATGAGATATGCCTGGGAAAATTGACCCAAGATAGCTGAGCTTCGAAACTCGAGATTGAGGAGCACTACTGGGCATCCACTTCGTCCTCCGTTTACGACGGGTCGTCAGCGGTATACGGAGACCGCGCGGGAGGTTACTCGGGTGCCTTAGGGACAGATTTACGGGGGTCGTCAGGAGTGGTGCATTGTTGCACTTGCAACGCGCAGGAAGCTAGATCACGCACAGTGTGCCCAGTAACTTAGCTATGACCACGGAAAACAGGAGCAAGTCTGTGTCACCTTTTCTTCTTCTGTGTGTCTTTACGTCGGTCTTGTCTCCATTTCAGTTCGGCTATCATGCAGGCATGTCAAAGTTCTGTCTCGGGTTCCCTCCAGCTTTTGGATAGCTAACCACCATGTTGGTGTTGTCTACTTATAGGGGTCATTAACCAGCCGAGGGAGGCTATGGTATGTTGACAACGCTGTGGAGAAAAGCTTTGGCTTCGATAGTCGGGATGAGCATCAGTGGGAGAAGAGCGATAGGAGGAACAGAAAGCAACGGGTCCACGTTCATAAGGCTCATAAACATCATGCTCAATAGCACACAGCCATACCCATGGACGACTGGCAGTGGGGCTTCTTCGTCTCGGCATTTCTTCTTGGTGAGTACTGCAGATACTGTGCATATGCTGATGGTGCAGCATCGCCCGAAGTGTTCCTCATGATTATACACCAGGCGGGACGATCGGAGGTCTGACTGGCGGACACCTTTCGTCGGCGTTCGGCCGCCGCCGCTCCATGGTATACGGCAACATCCTGTTTGCGCTGGGAACTCTCAGCATCTCCTTTGCCCAAACCGTTCTGGCGCTGTATGCTGGTCGGGTACTTGCCGGTGTTGCCTCCGGGTGGGCGACGGCCATTGTACCCATTTACATCAACGAAATCAGCCCGAAGGCCCAAAAGGGAATCCTTGGGAGCATGAACCAACTTGGCATCGTTTTGGGGATTTTGGTCAGCGTCCTCGTCGGATTGGGATTAGCGACCATTGACGGCTGGCGGTACATGTTTGGCCTAGCACTTCGTAAGTAGAGCTCCTTGACAATTCAGTCCGCCAAAAGAGGTTTACTCATCCGTGTTGCAGTTCCTTGCGTTTTGCAGTGGGTATTGCTACCCATGTGTGTCGAATCTCCAGCCTGGCTTGCATCTCGACGACTGAGCCGCGATAGCCGTGAAGCACTCGAGCGTCTCTACGGAGTCTCTCGCACCTCTACCGACGACGATTCAACAACCAGTCTGAACCAACGTCGACAGTCCGACGAGAGCATTGAAGTTGGGGGAGACCAAGATTTCTATGATGACGAGGACGCTAACGCGCAGTCACCCGATTCTTTGCTTGCACCGCCGCTCACCAGTACCACCTCCTCGAGTCAGCTTCATTCTCCGCCGAGCATGTCCTTTATCCAAATGGTGACGGCGCCGGAATTGAGGAGGCCACTCCTCTGTGCAGTTGGGATTCACGTCACGCAGCAGTTCAGTGGGATCAATGCCGCGATGTTCTATTCGGTAAGTCGGAACCCGAGATCAATACAGGCCCCGCCCATCTGTAGATCCGCCCATCTGAACCCGCATGCTCAACATCACTCGCCCAGACAACGATTTTCATTCAAAACTACAAGCGCGAAACCGCGATCTATCTTACTGTCCTCATTTCCGTCGTCAACACCATAATGACCCTCCTCTCGACGGCCCTCATTGACAAACTCGGTAGAAGGCCATTGTTACTTGTATCAGAATTGGGGATGGGCTTGTGCTCTGTCGGCATCTTCGCCGCAGCGAGTGTCGAAGGTGTCAACCCCGCCGCTATTGTCGCGCTGTTGATGGCGTTCGTTGGCATGTTTGCGGTCGGATTGGGCGGGATCCCTTGGTGAGTGATTTTGGAGGAGTATGAAAGTTCTGGTTTTAGGCAAGCTCACCAATCTTCCTCACTTCTCCAGGATTATCCTTCCGGAACTTATTCCATCTCACGCTCTCAGCCTGGCGGCCTCGTTGGGAACTGGAGTAAACTGGGGATGTGCCTTCTTGTTGGCTTTCATCTTCCCCGCTGCCGTGGATGCATGTAAGTGTGGTTATTGCTATGCTAAGGCCGGGTTGCACGCAATGACCTCACTCGGTCTTTATCTTGTCCCTATTCCAAAACCAGTGGGCTACTCTGTTTTCCTCGTCTTTGCGACCTTCCTCGCTCTGGCATTTACGTTGACGTACACATTCATTCCGGAAACTTCTCGAGGCCGCGCAACCCACTCAGTACGCCTTTGAGATGGGTGTTTAAATATGTGGGTCCAGTTGCTCCTTCTCTCTAAGGATCGCATTGCGTCGTGAGCTTTCTTTTTGGCAGTTCGTGACGGTCAAATGCTTTTGGTTTGCTGCGATAGTTTTTGAATTTATCTTGTATGTACAGTACTTGTGTAGCTTGACATGAGCTGGTATCTTTCTCAGAAACATGTGCAGGACTCGGCTGTGCTCGCAGGCGGCTACGTCGCGCTGTCGAAATCCGTTAAAACGTAACTCCGATGCAGCCGGAACAAGAAAATTCGCACGCACACTGCCGGACAAGATTCAGATCGGCTCATGTAGGTCCTGCATACACGGCTATGCCATTATGTTCTCCGGGAAGAAATCTCGTAGGAATACTCTTTACCCGACCCTGGTATATCGGATGCCTCTCTGTACATCTATGCCCAGAAAGAATCGCAGACGAAGGTTGAACACATCGGAATAAGACACAGCTTCATCAAGCTTCGACTTGCCAGCATGACAACAAGTGGTCACTACTGCTCCTTCCTATAGCAATCGTTGATTTGCGAGTACTGCCTGTTAACACTTTCCAAGTTAAGCTTAAATCGTTGGAGGGTTTCTTGAGCAATAGCACCTTACCCCTCGGCTCGACGTCCTCCACCAATTCTGCAAAGTGGCCATATCCGCTCTTAAGGCGGCGTTCACTTTCATCTCTCATGACCAACCCAGAGCGACTAGCTTCAAGTGGTTACTGGCAACAATGCAACATCGCATCGAAAGAAAGACACAGCCGATATTCTCCTTGCAAAAAAATCACTTCGGGATGATGACCCCTAGATCCTTTCAGTCAAGGCGCTACTCTTGTCAAGTTTCCTGGAAGCATCTCTTGTCGGTAGTAACCGACGAGTAATCCGACACGTTTCCCAACAAAGTAGCTCCAACAAGTGCTCCAAGCACGTATCTCCCACGAGAAATCGAGAGCGGCCCTTAGTGGAGCTGAACCATATGCGAGACATACTGGAAGACCATCAAAACGTCGACAGAATTAACCGCCATCGCCACAACTACCTCCGACCACAAAATAAAACCAGCAGGACCCTCGAGACGAGTTCCTGCGACAAGGACCTCTATTTGATCCCTCCAACAAGTACCTACAGCAGATTTGCGCGAAACAGATGGACCGATCAACTTGCCATTAGGCGTCTTTCTTCAAAAACTTCACCAGTCCACATACGGCTGCCTCGTTCGCTGACGCCAGATGCTTGCTGCACGTACGAAAACCCCTTCGATATTCCTTAACAACGACAATACACAACCGACCCTTCGATAGAACGTTTTTGACGTCCTGGCAAGCGACCTACCTCATCACAAAAACCGCGATCCCATCAGCTTTTACTAGACGCCCAATCCGACCGCAATGACACTTGCACCTGGGTCAGCCAAGTAACCGGAAGCAACACCACTTGCACCGACGGAATAGACCGCTACAACACAAATCCAAATTTAGACATGTGCGATGACTTGTACTACGAACTCAAGTGTAATTCGGGGTTACCTGCGCCCGAGGGCCATTGCAGAGAAAGATGAAAGCGGATTCTTATAGGGAAATGCTACAACGACACCGGGTGTCGCCAGTTTAAAACGACACCCCTTCTGAGGCCTAATTGTTAAGTGCCCCGGTTAGGTTAGGGTTAGGATTAGGGTTAGTAACACCCAGCCCTAACCGGCCGAAGGCCGTCCCGAAGCGGAGCGTGTTGTTATGGTAGGTTAGTTATCCAGAAAGTCGTGCATATGGGTGTCGTTTTAGTCAAAAAAAAAAGGGTGTCGTCTTAGCAATTCCCTTCTTATACTCCACTTTATAACTTTGCCAGGGCCCGACATGATTGTCGCGCTGTCGAAATATAAAATATCAGGCACGTGACCTGTCAATCGTCTTCCGCTTCCGTACCAGCCCACATATCTGGAATTGAATCCTTCTCCATATGGTTCTCGCTCTCATATCTTGCGGTCTATATACCCTCGAAACTGGTTTAAGTGCCGGATTATGTCATCTACCAGGCCTGCAAGAGATTCCATAAAATGCAAATCAATCGGTTTCGTTCAACGGCCGTTATGTTCCTGGTGCACGTGTAGCACCAAACACCGCCGTGCGTATCAATAACCGTGCAATGACCTTACCATCTATATATGAGCGGCCGACATGTCGTGCATGTCAGGCGGAAGTTGAGCTTGAATCACCCCAGAAAAGTGTCAAAGTGCTCCTCTTTCATTGTGACGCCTGAGGAAGACAGCCCAAAGAGGTGTGCGAGCAAAGCGAGCGCATCGAGGGCTTCCATATTAGCTTCATCAAGGTGGTACTGAGCAGGAGAGAGATGTCATAGCGAGTGAAGAGAGCGCTCCCGGCCAGTTGTTATATATACCCCCAAGAGTACGGTTTGTGGCCTCCGCATCCGTGTGATGTAAGCATTCGAGAGAATGTTATGAATCTTAACTTTGCTCAGCCACTAAAATACGGGCTTTGTTCATATGAGTTACATCAGCGCATCCTCCTGACCGACTCCGCTCAACGAGGACCATCTCGTCCCCTCCCTTCCAATCCCTCTTTTCCGTTCCCTTCTGTATCCCGATGACCCAGAGCCGGCAAATCTGGAGACAGTTAGAGCTGAAAGACATCCTTTTTGTCGCAGGTGAGTGTTAGGCTGGGAAGGAAAGGAGGAGGGGCGGGCAGAGCATTCCGAGAATGACGGCGACCCTAACGCCTATGCTCTTTTGTCTCTTTCGTGCCCACTCCTTCCCGCCCACTTGGTCTCCGATCCGCCGCTGCTTGCCGACTCTCAACCTCATCAATCCGTTAGAAACCCCGGAGGTAAGTTTTCTGGGTAATGTTTTAACAACCCGATTCAGATGTATCAACGACAATAGTTTCCGATTGTGCAGATTTGGGAGGAGTTGCTAGTATCGGAAGCCCGTTCGACAGTGCATTCTTTTGCGTGTTCTCTCTCTTTGGGGTAAGTGATAGAAAGTGATTAGGGGCGCCAAACTCACACACGGTGGTGACCTTACTGTCTCTTACTTCTGTACCTTGTATAGACAAGACAGGAAAGAAACAACAACTGGTAATAACTGTACCCACTGTCAACTCCACCTGAGTCCGCACCACTCTCCCTACCCTCCTCAACTGTTGTTTACGGGGTGTCGTTGCTACGGACCAAAGCGCCCGAGTGCCAGTGTGTGCCAGTAGGGCTGTGCGTCACGGACTTCGGTACGACTTCGAATTCCCTGAGTGCTATCATTATACCAGGATGGCTACCGGAATCATCGCTGGTACGTTCGGTTCCCATTTCCTTCCGGTCATCATCCCCTGGAGTGTCATGGGTCGAGTCTTTGACTCGGTGCGGATGTTCTGCAATGCAAACTGGCATGTAATCATCGTCTGGAGCGAGTGTCGACGGTGGCGCACATGCTGCAGGCCTTCATTGGGCTGCCCTTCATCGTCTCTGTCAGAGGTACATGACTGCATTGGCTGCTGGTAGTTGCAAAGCCTTAGGCTTCTCTTCTGAAGGCTTCAGTGTTCACCTTCCCTATATCGGCGGCGCACAAAGACTTGAACCGACGTCGTGGCCTATGTATACTCACGCTGAGACGTTCGCCGATCACCCAAGTGTCATCGACCACTTTGTCGTCGCAGCTGCTTTTGCAGCACTTTTACTGAAGGGCAACCGCACAGTATCATTGGGCGGCTGCTCCACTCCAGCTTACGTATCGATGGCTATATTTTGCAACATAGCGAAGTTGTTCATCCAAAAATGCTCTTTCCTTCTGTCCTTACTACAGCTCGCGTGGAGGACAGCGACTCGGAACTAGACCACATCTTCGATTCGGATGATGAAGATGTCGGCGTTCAACCTGCGCCGCAATCCGTCCGGGTCCCCAGCGAGCATTCCGACTCCGAAATCGATTTAAGCGACAGCAGCGCTGATGACGTAGCAGGCGACAAAGACTTTGCCTTGGAGGCTGATGAGCTGGTGGAAGAAGACCGGCTCAGCGAAGATAGTTTTGGAACTGAACAAAGTTTCCGGGCTCCTGCAAGGAAAGGACTGGCGGCTCGCAAAGGCCAGGCCGTCGCCAAACCCAAGAGAGGTTCCTCCAGAAGTGAGTTTGCCTTAGCTGAAGAGAATCCAGATCTCTACCTTCTGAGGAGATCAGGTCGGGCTCGAGCAGCGCCTGAGCGCTTGAACACCTTTGGATCGAACGATTCATCTGCGGATGACGATGGAAACGATGATAGTTATGGTCGCAGGCGGAAGAAGCGGATTGGAAAGGGCCGGGCGACGGCTAAGGCACCTATGCGTCAGCGGAAAGGTTAGTACCTCGTTGGCATCTTCGATTTGTTTGCAGCAACTGATCGCTCAAGGTCACTCGTAGTTGCGCATCGTGATGACTTCGTGGACGATTCTCCCGTCAATAGCGAAGATTCTTCGGAATCTGACTTCGAATCTCCGAGTGCCGCTAAACGTCGCCGGCAGAAGAATGCGATGATGTGGGAAGACGAACCAAGATACTCAACCAGACGACGGAACCCAGGACTCGATTATAATGAGAACGATGCTGGCTTGGGCTCCGGTGATGAGGATCCCTTCGAGGACGATGTCGTTCTGGCACACGCAGAAGGTTGGTCATATGAAGACTTTCTTCCTATATAGATGGGTCCTAATCCCCTTTGTAGTCACAGGACCAGTAATTGATGGCTTCTTTGATGCGCGCACCGTTGCTGTGACTACCGAAGGTACCATCTCTCACACTCTTCGTCTCCGGCGAGTCATTGCGAAGAGCCACTTCTGACTCCTTCATCCCCAGATGGGCGTACTGAGGAACAAACACAGTACCTTGTGAAGTGGCTAGGGAAATCCTTCCGCGAGCTTGATTGGTGTGATGCGGCTTTTCTGGAGCCGCTCAAAGGATTTAGGAAGATTGAAAAATTCCAGAAAGAGCGAGAAGAAACAGAGTTTCTTTTGTCGGACCCTGACACTACTGACGAGGATCGGGAGCGGCTCCTGATGGAGCTTAACGATAAGAAGGACATACTAGAAGACCACAAAAAAGTGGACCGAGTGATTTGCCATCGAGCTGCTTCGGAGCCAACCGACGGTGACTTCGCCGGAACAATGTATCTGACGAAGTGGCGCGGTCTCGGTTACGAGGAGTGTACCTGGGAGACGGCGGCATCACTTGCCGAGGATCAGTTGGAGATCGACCGGTACCTCGCAAGGGCGACAAGCAGCCGGATCCCGTCGAAAAGCGCGACCTACCGGGCCGGCGCAAGGCCCGAGTACAAGGCCTTCAAATCAGCGAACTTCTTAACGGGCGGTGAGCTCCGAGACTTCCAAGTCATTGGAGTCAACTGGATGGCTGATTTATGGCATCACGACAAAAACGGCATCCTTGCTGATGAGATGGGCCTTGGCAAGACGATTCAAACAGTCTCCTTCGTCGGCTACTTGTTCCACAAGATGAAACTCTTTGGTCCGCATTTGATTGTCGTGCCCTTGGGAACAATCACTGCTTGGCAGCGAGAATTTGCTAAATGGGTTCCAGACGTGAACGTTGTGCTCTATCAGGGTACCGGGAAAGGGCGAGCGATCATCCGCGAGAACGAATTCTATCATGACCCGGAGAAGAGGAACATACGCTTCAACGTGTTGCTCACTACCTACGAAATGATCATCACAGACAAAGCCCACCTCGGCCGGATCAAGTGGGCTTTCCTTGCGGTTGATGAGGCTCATCGGCTCAAGAATGAAACTTCGAAGTTACACCAAACCCTCTCCAAGGAATATAAGATTGCGAACCGGCTCCTGATCACTGGCACGCCCCTGCAAAACAACGTACAGGAACTGATGGCTCTCATACAGTTCCTGATGCCTGGAGCTCATATTGATATGAACTTGGAAATCGATCTCGATGCTAGCGATGATCAGGAGCAGAAAGCAAAAATCGAGTATCTTCACGGCCTTCTGAAACCCATAATGCTTCGGCGTTTGAAGAAAGATGTAGAGACATCTTTACCGGGCAAAACGGAGCGCATCCTGCGAGTGCCGATGAGCGACATGCAAAGTACGTACTACAAGGCTATCTTTACGAAGAACTTCGCTGGGATGAAGAATGACGTGAAGATCAGTCTTCAAAACGTCGTCATGGAGCTCAAAAAGGCGAGCAACACGCCGTTCCTCTTTAAGAACACTCGGAACATGGATCTTGATCGCAATGAAGCGTGCCGTGAGCTCGTCAGAAGTTCCGGAAAATTCATGGTCTTCGATCAGCTTTTGACCCGATGCAAAGCTCAGGGACGTCGCGTTCTTGTCTTTTCCCAAATGGTGATGATGCTTGATCTCTTGGCCGATTACATGACCTATCGCGGTCATCAATTTCAACGGTTGGACGGTACGGTGAATTCGGAATCGCGGAAGAGAGCGATGGATCATTTCAACGCTCCTGGCAGTACGGACTTTGCTTTCCTTCTGAGTACCCGAGCTGGGGGGCTCGGTCTCAATTTGGAAACGGCAGATACCGTTATCTTGTTTGACCTGGACTGGAATCCTCAGAATGGTAAGTGAAAGCTTGCCAACAGTTTACGGCGGTGTCGTTTTGACAAACCTTTGTTCGTGTAGATCTCCAAGCTATTGCCAGAGCGCATCGAATTGGTCAGAAAAATCATGTGCAAGTTTACCGACTTATATCCGCGAACTCCATCGAGGAACAAATTGTAGAACGCGCCAAACGAAAGATGGTTCTAGAGTACGCCATCATTCAACAGATGGAGAATGGAGGACCTGTTGATGACCGGAAGCTTACTGAAGAGCTTGCAAAGCCCTCGGGCGATGAACTGTCAACCATCCTGAAATTCGGAGCCAAGAAGCTTTTTGAGCAAGCCGAAACCGCAGAAGCTAGGGCGGATGAGAATGGGGGAGCCACTGCAGGCAGGCTAGACTTGGACGAGATTCTAGCTACAGCTGAGGAAACTGAGTTGGGACATGCACAAAGCGCCTCTGGAGGCAGTGAGGAATTTATGAAAAGATGGGAGTCGATGACGGTAGAAGTGAACCAGCTCGCTTGGGACAGCTTGGTCCCTACCGGAGAAGACGAGCGTAATCAAGCCGATAAGCTGTTCCCTGACGCCATCCCGCCACCGGTCAAACCTACACCTGCCAAAAAGGGGAAAAGTAAGGCCGCAGATGCAGAGAAGCCGGTACCAGCCAAGAACGGGAAATCTCGCAAGAAGAATGCAGCCGCGCAGGCCACCACTCTGGACCGAAAGGCAGTGGAAAATTTAGTCAGTGCTCTGATGATGTGGGGGAATGTGGACTTGAAGTTCCCTGATCTCGTTGCCGCTGCTGGCTTAGAGGACAAGGACCCTCAGGTCGTGAAGGAGCACGCGCAGGGGATATTGGCAGCCTGCGAAGATGCAATTCGATCTCATGAGAAGTCATTGGAGGGGCGCGGCCCTACGAAAGCCGAGAAAGAGAAGGCGATACATGTGGAGTACAAAGGCGCGAAGGAAATAAACGCCCGAAAGATGTTGGAACGGGCGCCTTTGATGGAGTCGCTTATCGAGGAGATGAGTGGTCATCCCCGACTGTCAGCGTTCCGTCTGGACAACACCGACCTTGGCGCAACTACCAAGTGGAATTCCACACCGTCGTGGGATATCAAAGACGACTCGATGATGCTCGTGGGCATGTACAAGCATGGATTTGGGAACTGGCGAGCAATGCAGGAGGACGAGGAGCTGGGACTCAGTGGGAAGTTCCATCTTGGTGGCGAACGCAGCACGGATCAAAAGGACAAGCTTCTTCCGAAGAAGTTGCATCTTGATCGGCGCGCTCTCTACTTGCTCAAGGAGCTGAAAGCGCGCAAGGACCAAATGCGAGCAGTGAAGAAGGAACGAAAGGCGGGGAAACAACCCAGCGGCAAGATACCCAGCAAGATCAACTTAAAAATTGGCAGACGACAGGAAGGGGGAGACGTCACGAACACACCACGAACAGCTGGCAACGGGCGTGCCAAGAGGGAGCGAGAGCCTAGCAATTCAACACCGCAGACGCTCCCAGAACCACAAAAGCGAACGAACGGAGAAGAAAAGGATCTCTCTGCTGGCTTCGAAAAATATGCGGAAAAGTTCAAGTCGATGTTGCGTAGCATGGGAAAACAACTGAGGGCATTAAAGCAGCAACCTCCTCAAGACGACGTGCGGAAAGCAGAATGGATCCAAGCCAGATTCCTTGGAGAGTTCATCCCGGTCGCTGACCATATCAGTGATGAATTAAAAACATGGGATCTGACCCCACGCGCACAGAAAGGGCGCGAAGCACAAATACTGCGGTATATTGCGGAGAACCATCTGTTCCTGAGCGACGCAGGCAAAGTAATGGATTGGAGAATTCTCCGTCAGTTTTACGAATCGAGACTTGTCGACCGAGAGGCCAAGCCAAAAGCAGCACAGGAAGCGCAGCCACCTTCGCCTGTCGAAGGCGAGAAAGGCAGGCGTAAACGCCCCGCATCTTCCTCACCCAATCGAAACGACATAAAGGCTCGACCTCACAAGTTACGCCGTGACGGAGGGGAAACCCCTCCGCACACCCCTACTGAGGAGCCCGATTCTCCCCCAGCATCACAACGGCGCCGGTCGTCGGACGGAGATGAGGGAAAATCACATGATGAAGACGGTGGGGATCGTATGGTGGGAGTTGCTAAGCGCAAATTGGAAGAGATTCCTGACAACCTATCTCGACCCACGAAGCGACATAGCGGCATATTAGCGGGGTTGGGCGAAGGTTACCGCATCCCTAAGAAGGTCGAGGTGAAGGTGAAGGAAAGGAGCCCTGTGCGCGGGCCGCCTCCAAGATCCAGCAGCCCGCCGCCGCGAAAATCTCGTAGCCCATCGCCGCCACGAGGACGACGGGGTAGTGATGCTCACCGCGACGTCCGTGAAAGTGCGCGAGGGCGCTCGCGGTCGCGGGACCGATCCCGGTCAAGAGATCGCGGACGGGATCGAACCGTGCGGGAGAGAGACGGAAGCCGCGAACGAAGTCGTAGCCGTAGTCGGAACCGCGATCATCGATACGACGACGACCGGTACGACCGCCGCGACCGGCACCGCGACTTGGATCGTGAGCGGGAGCAGGACCGGGAACGGGACCGGCGGCGGGACCGAGAGCGCGAGCGCGAGCGTGGTGGGCGCGATCGGGAGAGAGACCGGGACCGCGACTGGGACAGGGACCGTGACCGTGATCGTGATATCGATCGCCGGCGGGGGTCTCGAGGGGGCGGCGGCGGGAGCGGCGGTGGAGGGCGCGACCGGGATAGAAGTCGGGACCGCCGAGGTGGGCGGCATTACAGCCCGCACTCGCGGCGGTAGTCGAGTGCGGAGATGTTGGTGTGGGGTGATATCCTGATCCTGATGGGACTCTTACAAGCTGGTGGGGCTGACTAAGCCGCGTAACTTTTCAGGAGCATATTATACTGTTTCACGAAATACATGAGCCTTTGTCATTAGCGATCTCTGTGGTGGTGTGAAGGCTGGATATGTTTGGTCTCCGGAGAAGGAAGTTGTCGTTGGCAAATGCGCAAGTAGGAAGGCAGTCCCTTGGTGACGGTGCTGTCAATCCTCAGAAACGTCACCCTCCCGTCAATGTGGCCCCTACCCCACAGCCGCTTCCTTGGCTTTCTTTCCCCTCGAAGAGTCGCAACCACCGAAAGACACCGGCATCGGCGAAACCCGAACAGGCAACTGATACCACATATACACAATTCTCTACTGTAGACACTTCCCACCGGAATACACCCTGAAAGGACCAGGTCCATAGAGCTGGAACGCCGACAACGCAAACGTGACACGATTTGGCCTGTGGATACCTAAACCGATACTGGACCATGGCGGCGGAGACGGAGAGTGCTGCAACCGCTCTGGCGTTCGTAGCTTCCACAGATGGGGCGACCGGCCATAGAACCTACGCGCCTCACCTCTCCAGGCCCAAAGTCATGCTCCTGTTTGTGCACGGGTTTCTCGGCAGCGAACACTCGTTTGAAAACTTCCCGCTGGACTTGACCCAGAGCGTGAGGACGAAGCACCATGTTTGGGACATGGAGGCGAGGATTTTTCCTCGATTTGACACCGTGAGTTGTGGTAGCATGGCTGGAGGGTGGAAGCACATAGTATGACACATCGCCTAACGGAACTCTTGTTTTCGGGCGGATCGCAGAAAGGGGATCCAACGCGTGCAGTTAATCAACTATGCAACTGGCTTCTGCTGAATGCCACGCAGCCAGAGTATGTGATCCACATTCATCAAAGTCTTCGCCTGGGGCAGTTCCATTGTCTGATTCGTTTTGCCCCTGCAGGTACTCTGGCGTTGTGATCCTAGCACACTCTATGGGTGGCCTAATGGTAGTGGATGCTTTTCGAAAGATGTATGGCTTAGGAGACCCGGAACCTCCCTCAGATAAGACGCTGAAAACAGGTGAAAGAAAGGATAAAGGGGTCCCTAGCAAAGCCGCTCCGAGCTCGTGGTTTCGGGCAGCGGGTTCTTGGTGGGCAAAGAAGCACCCAAAGGATACCAACAAGGTGGATCTCAAGACGGCAACGGAGCAGGTGGAGATTGAACAAACGTCGCCTACGCGGCCAGCGACGGCAGCCGGTCCTGTTCCGAACGAGGGGATCGTCGGAGACGCGCTGGCCGAGGCACCATCACTGCCAGCGCAAACTCCAGGCATATCGAAGCGACCACCGGTGAACATTATTGGCCTCATCGCGTTTGATGCGCCGTTCTTCGGACTCCAGTCGCGCGTCTACACCACAGCTGCAGGCACAAGGGCTGCGAAAGTGATTTCCGATTATGTCCCGCCATTACCACCGATGCCTGCCATTCCAACCCCTGGTTTGCCATTCAGCAACGCCTTGCAATCTATTCCGCAGGTCGTCGGAGCTGGCGTGCAAGCAAGCACAAACGTCGTTGGAGCACTACCGCACGCCGCGTCGGAGGCTCTGCGGTATAGCACCCGTGCTGTCGGTTCCATACCCGAAGCGGCGCAAGGCGTCGTTGGCGCGCTTCCAGGAGCTGCATCGCAGGGATTTCATATGGGATTCAATGCCGTCACCGCGCTTCCTGGGGCGACTGCATCTCTAGGAAGTATGGGATATACTGCAGTCACGTCGCTTCCAGGGGCTACTGTTTCTTTAGGGAGTACTGCGTTACAGTCAGTCGCGCTGCTTCCTTCAATGTTGACTTCACGAATGAGGGGAGCATCGCCGAAGCCGGACGAAGCTGCTTCTACAAACACGACGGACGCGGCAGCGCCGACATCGGCGGATCCAATGAATGTGGTGGCGGACGTAGACAGCTTACCCGTCGTCGTACCAGAGGCAGTTCAGATGGAGGAAGTTTCTGCCGTGCCCGATAATGCGCAATCTCCGGCAACACTTGCGCCCGAAATGATGCAAGATGAAGCGGTGATATTCGCAGCCGCTGTAGCGGCCGCAAATGCTGAAGTCAACCATAGCCAGGAAACGATCGCGAGGGACTCCTCGAACGAAGCTACCGATGCTGTAGATCCGTCCACGGTAGGAAGCGAACTAGCACCGTTAATCCCATTCCCGAATGACCCAACCGATACCCCATCCGACGCAGCTGCCAGCGCAATGGGCCTGCATCCCATCCCCAAAGAGTCGAATTGGGCGCCTTGGGTCCGCTTAGGCTTGGCGGGCGCGGCAATGGCTGCCGGCGCCTACTATTCCGGCGGCCTGATCTACGCAGGACCCGTCGTCCGCCGCGTTGCCGTCGCGTATGCGCTGTCGCATGCGGAGGAAGCTCGACAGCATTTGCAGTTCTTGTACCCGTTGTGGGGAACGGGGACCAAGCAGCTGAATGATCGGTTGGGTGATGTGATGGCGGAGATGGAAGCGGGGAGGCTGCGGTTTAAGTGTTTTTATGTTATGGTATGTTTCGAGTCGAAATCCTCTGAGTTTGTTGGGAGGTGGCGCGGATGCTTACATTCTACTTCTATGCGTTACATAGCTACCGCCTGCTCCGCTCAAAATCACGGCGCCGCCAGACACGACCGCTGAGAAGGCCGACGGAAGTAAGGGCGATGATGTGCAAAATTTTGGCAAGCGTGAGCCTGAGACTACCACGGAAGGCACGGCGGGTTCGCAAACAGCAAGCCAGTTGCCGGATTCGGTGTTCACCGACGCGAAGGCACATGTGTCGAGCGCAAGTAAGGACCGCCTCAAAGCCCGTCTCGCGACAGTGGTTGGCGCATCCCCCATCCCAACCCCATCCCCGACTACGGAAAGCGAGAAACAGGCAGAAACGGCGCCGGCCACACCTTCAAATTGGGATGCACTTTCCAGTCTTACGACACCCTCAATCCTCAAACCTGCCGAACCACCCACCATCGTACATCCACAACCGCTCAGATCACCCGTCGCAGCCGCTTTTGCAGCAAAACTGGCCGCCTCGCGCCAGTCCCCTGCGGGATCTGCGGCATCATCACTCGCCGCTTCTCCATCCATATCTCCTTCCGGCACCCCGCCCGCCCCACCGCCCAGACCTCCCGCCGCCGTCGAGGACAGCCTCAACGACGACGACGTGTTTGAATCCTCCTCCACCGACCGCATCCGCCGAGCAAAGTCCGCCCCACTCCTAACCCGCCACCCAACCGACCCCACCCCCGAACCCGGCACATCCTCCTCCACCACGAACCCCTCCCAAGACCCACCCACCACCCAAACCCCGACCGGCAAAAAGTTCGCAGAATACCTCAAATCCGCCCGCCCATCCCCCGGTTCCCACCCGGCCCCGCCACCACGCACATTCATCGCCCTGCCCCCGCAGGATTTCGCACACATGTTCCTGTCGGTGCATAGCGATTGTGGGGATGAGATTGCGGCGCATATGAATATGTTTGCGAGGGAGGAGAACGCGAGCTCGTACTGGGGGTTGGTGGATGCGGTGGCGAAGGAGGTTGTGGAGGCTGTGCGGACGGTGGAGAGTTTGCCCAGGCGGGAGTAGGGGCCGTTGTTGACGTGATGTAGCTTTGTACGGCGTGGGAACCTTGCATAGTCGTACATAGTTTTTTTTTGGGCAAGGTTGTTCTAGTGCACATTCTTTCAAAGTAATACATATCTCAACTGCTTCACAAAACGATTGGCTCGCCTCGGCGATACCCGGGGCCTTATATTCAGTAGTCCGTCGCTCAAAAGCGCAGCCTGTACATCTACACACTTCCACAGCCTTATTCATATGCAAAACCACCTCCTGCTCCACGCCACGGGAGGCGACGCACTACACTTTTCACACCTTATTCATAAACAAAACCACCTTCTGCTCCACGAACCCCACCGGCGGCTGCAGGACATAACCCCCCGTCTGCGCCCCCTGACCCGCCAACGCGCCCACCACATAAAACTCAAACACATTAACCCCCTCCTCCACCGACACCAAACAATCCCACACCGTCGCTCCCGCCGTCTTGAACACTAAATCCTTCCTCCGTGGATTTGCGGGCGGTAACTGCCTAGGCCCAGCGGGGAGGAGTTGGGAGTCCTGGCGGTAGAGATGGGTCCCGGAGATGGTGTAGTTGAGTGTGGGGGAAGGGAGGAGGAGGAGACGGAGGTTGAGGGATTTGACTTTGCGGGGGCACGTGAGGGCGTGGTGGGTTTTTGAGGTGGGGATGGGGAGGATGGTGCGGATGTGGTCATCGTTGGAGACGAGGCCGAGGGAGGTTACTAGAGAGGGTTCTGTTGGAGGAACAGATAGGGTTTAGTTGATACGACTCTTTTTGGATGGGGAGGAACTGGAAGGACTTACGTGGCGGTGGCACATCAACCGGCGCCCGGAAAAGCGGCGAGCCACCCCCGATACCCGACGCGGCTACGTTCCGATCTACTAAACCTCTCGTCGGCGGCAGCGTGCCGGTATACGGTACTCCATGCGTATGTACCGCCGGCGCGGATCCAAACTGGCCGGGTACGGCAGGTTGTGACGGTGGCATGTGAGGTTGTTGCGGCGGTACCGACTTCTGGTCCTGTTGTACCTCCGCTGCTGGGTTGTCGTCGTCGTCTTCGGAGACATCTTCGATGTCTATGAACATGTCGGATGGACCCGCGGTGGGTTTTGAGACCGCTGGAACAGTATGTGGGGCGTTTGTTTCGGACTTCAGGGCCTCCACTATGGCCATCGCAGGCACAGTTGGGCCGGAGACAGCATCCTTCGAATTGTTGGTAGGCGAAGACGACCTTCCCGGACTTGGCGCTCCACTCACTTTAGGGAGTGGGATCTTTATCTTGACCGTAGACGGTCCGTGCCTATCGGGCGATACGGGCGCTGACGAAGACGCGGAATGCGGCGAGCGATCGTCTGAGACGGTATGGGGGTTCTTGAAGACTATTTTGAGGGCCGGGTTACTCTGCCCGGCTGAGGCAGGGCCGGTTGATGCTAATGGCGTTGCATCACCGTGACGGGTGCGCTTTCTGGCACCTCCTGTGCCTGCCTCATCTAGTTCATCTTCATTGGCGCTCTTGCGTTTGTGACTGACGATTTTGATTGTCGGTTTCGCGTTCTCGGCCTGGGAACAGAGCGTAGCTTGAGAGGCTGGTTCCGTCCCCGTGGTATCATTCAAGTGTCAGCTTACCTTGTGGAACAGCTCCTTCCAACCTGGTTCTCCCGAATCAGCTGCCATATCGAACGCTGTCTGCCCTCCGATGTTTGCAAAAGTCACGTCCGCATGGTACTTTTCGATCAAGAGAGTGCATATGGCCAGATTTCCAGCGTATGCAGCCCAACCCAATGGCCTCTGTGACGCGGGACGGGATTTCATTCAGCATGCCGGTCCCCTATTGCGTTTCCCAATTGGGAGAGCGGTCAACATACCGAATGATACCACGTATCCGACAACTCCACATTTGCCCCGCGCTCAATCAGCAGCTCCACCATCTCTGGGTTTCCATAATACGCTGCTGCATGTAGCGGTGCCCAAGTGAACGCCTTCCCGAAGAGATTCGTTTCGCCCAATGCATTTATGTCGTGGAGCTTCGGTAAGAAGGCGAGGAGCAGGTCCATATCATTCGCTTCAATGGCACCCAACACGCGGTCCAAGGCTTTCGTGGATTGCTGGGATGGTTGAGCGGGCTGCTCTTTCTTTACAGACTTTGCCGGGGCTGGCGCGGTCTTGTTCCCTGTTGTACTTTTGCCCTCGATCGCATCCGCCCCTTGTCGAAACCGTTGCTGATGTCGTGGAAAGCATCAGCAAGAGGGGCCAGATCGATAAAATGGCATAATGTGGGCCTACCAACAGAAACAGCGCATCCCTATATATCCTCGATTGTGGAGCGTTGTATTTTCTGGCGTTTTCGAATACGAGCTCGACATCTGCTTTTAATGCGCTTAGATTTCGATATTTGTTCCGATCTAGGCGCGCCTGTATACTGTTCAGTGCCATCGGTTTCGCTATGATGTCGTCGTAGTCCGGGTAAGCGCTCCGAGGGGGGAGCGTGAGAAAATGCTCGGCGAGTAGACGACCCCTGAAATTGGGTGTGGGAAAGCGATGGGGAAAGTCAGTTCCAGAGGTTGCCAAACAGAGGTCTCAGCCTAGGATTGCGCAAAGGCTTCGCAAGTCCCCCAGCAGAGCCGGGAGAAACCCCGATGGCGACCCGTCTGACTCTCCCCGACTATATCGAAGGCCGGCCTCTAACACGCACCCGTCGTCCTTGTAGTGGCGGATGTCGGCAAACAACCTTTTGAGAGCAGCATAGTCGCCTTCAGCCATATCTCGTGCTCGTGGGAGTATTGCAGTACATATACAGTATGTAGTGCGCCGTGGCCTGCAGGCTTCTCGGTGTTGCTGGGCGCGAGAGAGAGACAGCGAGCGCGTGTTAAGTAACGCCGTGCGGACACAGTGAGTAACGCGTTGCATTCGCCGGCTTCTCTCCCCTCGAAAGTCGCCCCTCTTCTCCTCGTTTTTGTCGGGTTCAAACTTCGCACGACCAACAGCATGATATCTGCCGCAGACTTGGACCTGCTGTACGGCATTCTGGCTCGCACAGACTCCTCTCTGGAAGCCGCTCATCAGGCTCTGCGTGCTGCCGCCCCTTCCTCGCTCCGCCGCTTCGACTATGCCTGCGCAATAGCTATTGTCCTCGGAGACCCTATTTTCTTACCCGACCCTGCACTACGCATAACCGCCATATTCGTCCTGCACGCTCTTTACGCCGCCAAAGGGCTTCCGCCACAGTCTCACCCGTTTCTATCGACGCTGCTGAGCTATGCAAAGGGCGAGGTGGATGCCCGTCAGGACTCCCACTTTCCCTCGCCACTCGCCATTTCCGTGTGTGAGAGGCACCTTTCTTTGCGGCTGCTTATGGGTGGGAAGCTGGACGTCGGGCACTTGTCGGCGAGGTCGATAATAGCCGTCACAAGCAATTCACTAAATGAGAATAGGCGGATGGCGGCCGAGCTGAACTCGCCCAACGCACGGAACCTGCTGGCGAAGTTGACGCACGTGGCCGACGCTCCACCCGCGTCCAGGCCTGCTCTCACATCAACGTCGAGCCCTACATTTTTTGCATTCGCCAAAATGGCGCGGGATGGGCAGGCTCCTACGATTCACCAGGCGCTCGGAGCTGCGAAGGAGTTCTTTCAAGGGACACGAAATGAAAACGAGCAGATGGATTTACTCGGCATCTTCAAGTCGCCTGCCATGATCCCGCCTGCATCTCCTAGCTATCAACGCCATTTCGACAACAGTGCGTCCCCGCCAAACTCGAATACAGATGACATGCCGTGGTCGGGGCAACTTCCGTCAGATTGGAGTAGCGGCATGGGGGATTTTGGCGAACAGGGCGCTTTCGGTGGGAGCGGTAGCAGAAAAGACGGCAATGGGCCACCGGGGGATCTTCTACGTTTCCTTGGAGCCGCGTTTGCATCCGGAGAGAGTGAATCTTCTTTTGGGTCAAGGCATGAGTGGAGTCCGGCGGCGTTGGGCGAACCACAGCGACTTTCGCCGCAATCGTTTCCGACTAGCATTCCGTCAGTCACGTCTATGCCGCATCATCCGACCTTTCAGACGTCGCCTCCCTTCTCGCCCATGGTGCCAGCGACGTATCCAGCTTCAATAGGGCGTGACCCTTTCCTAAGCGTGCCTTCCGGTACGCATGCAAAGGTACCTGGATCATCCGCTGACAGCAAAGCGGTCATCGCTTCCAGCACCGTATCTCCTGCCAGCAAGAGCCCAGCGACGACAGTACAAAAGGACACCCGCTCAGAGCTCAAAATACCCGTAAACCTCGTTGCGCAGGTCGCATCCGCACTATCTGCCCCACTCCCCCTCAGCCAAGAGCCCAGTCTCATGGCCGGGATCGACGCGATCATCCCGATCGTGCCCGGTACATCCTCGCCATTGCTCGAAGAGAGGATCCTCGACGCGCTGACAAAGGCAGGACTGACTCCCGCCGCCTTGCCCGATCTCGTGGAGAACAACCCAAAGATGGCCACACACCTCCTGAGTCGGCTTCTGGCTCGCGCGGCTGCTACCGGCGGTGCTGATCTCTCCTCTGAAACCACGGGCAAACTATCGACTTCCCCATCACCATCACCACCCCCACCACCATCAACCACCCCTAAACAACCCCCATCACCACCCACCTCCACCACCCCACCCCTCTCCAACCCCGCCCCCTCAATCTCCATCGCAACCCCGCACCTTCAAGTCCTCGCAACAATGCCCATGTCGCTCCATTCCCTGGAAGTCGTCAACCGCCTCGCCAACACGACCCATCTCCCGACCGATTTTCTGCGATTGTATATCGTGCATTGTATCGAGACGTGTAACCGCACGACGGACCGGTTTATTCAGAATCGCCAGGTCCGGTTGGTGAGTAGTTGCGGCGTGCATGTTCATTACCTCTCTCCTTTCGTTCAACAAGAATGGAAACGGAAAAAACAAACTGACATTGGATTTGATTGATTGATTGTTTTGATGGTATTTTTTTTTCGCAGGTCTGCGTCTTCCTCCAATCCCTCGACCGCAACAAAACGATCGCCATCCGCGATTTCTTTGTCGAGATTCAGGCGTTCTGTATCCAGTTTTCGAGGATACGTGAGGCCGCGGCGTTGTTTAGGTTGCTCAAGAAGGAGTTTCGGTAGTTGAGGGGGGGGAGGGGGGGTGGGGGGGGGCAGGCGGGTATGGGTTGATACGGGCCGACACTGCATGCGGTGGGAGTGTAAGGGTAGGGGCGTCTGATCACAGCGGGACGGGACGACTGTGACACCGCATGGGGGAGGCAACAAGATTGGGGCAGCGTCGTGTGTGCCTGGCCGTTCATGCGATCTACCTATGCCTCCACCTCAGGAGACGGATGCCCACCGAAGGAACGCATCCTCTGCCTTGCAACCCCCCGGTCAGTCCATCATGCCCCTAGTCAAGTTTTTGGGAGGTCCTTTCGGCGTATTCTTTTTTTTTTTTTTGTTTGCCTGGGGATGGATGGGACGCGCGGATGGAGGGCGGCATCATCGTATGTATGTATAGGCCTGTCACGGATGAAATCACACACCACAGTCGACTTCGGCAGCCTTCGTGGTCTTTTAGCGCTTTGGAGAAAGAACGGAAATCTTATTTTTCGGTCAAGAGATTCCAACCCAACCTTCTTGACCGTAGCATTCCGCTCTCTCCAATCTTGGCTTTGCACGGCGCGGAGCGAGGCGGGTGAAGCGCGAAGCAGCGCCGAGCAGGACGGAACAGAGGGGGGCAGGTCTGATGGAGCAGAGCAGATGAGTTGGGCAGAGCAGAGCAGAGCAGAGCGGGGCAGAGCAGATTCGGCGGCCAACCAGAATATATTGACGTAAAGAACAGACAATTTGAAAGCAAGAGAAAGAAAAAATAAGAAAGGAACAAAGGGGGAAATACCAACGTCTCATGTCGGCCGGTAACGCAGCATGATTTCCACCAGGAATGCCGGATGTGAACGAATATATTGTTCGAACGCATCAGAGCTCCATCGTCCAAAGCGCTGAATCACTTGAAACGGATACCCCTCGAAGGCATACTCGGTTGCGCCGCCCGACCTGAGCAAAGACGTTCCAATCTGCACTGCCGCGGCGGTGACCCAGATCCCGATGAACCAAACGGAGGTGGCATATGACCCGTCTGAAAGTGTCCACAGAGGTTGGTTTGCGGGATGATGATGAGCTGCGTGCCACGCGAGGAGACGAGACATGGCGGCTGCGGGGCAGAGTGGGTCGGAGCGTGGGTAGAAAACGAGATGCTGCATATGGGCGGTCCTAACTTTCGGGCGTCTGATCCGTATTGCATAGCCAGTAGATTCGCCGGACCGGGTGGGCACAGCTGAGACGTCTGATAATGATATAATGTCGGGTATCGTTTGGGCGGTGCCATCAGTTACGAGTTCGCGCCTCCTTGCCAATCCCCAGAAGCCAGTGAGAGACATTGTCCAGTGGACCGCGTGGTTGTGATTATTGTGAATATCCAGAGCGAGTGCCAACGTCTCCAGATGTCCTACAGTAAGCGGTTCCGATTGGCGGGTAGTGGGCGGGATGGATGCTTGGGAGGCGGCAACCGATAAGCGATGGCGTATTATTTCGTTTTTGTAGAAATGTTCGAACGGAAAACCCATGGAATTGTGAAGGTCCTTGAGTGCAGAAAGAATTTATGAGACAGAAGAAACAAGGATTGGCCGCCCGGTTTGTCCCTTGATGCGTAGGATCTGAAGACGGATGTACGCTTCAAAGTGAACTGCTGAAATGGGGAAGACCCCGCCGTCCGGATTGAGCCAGTGGTTAGCTCTGGTGATCTTCTCGTATGCGCGAACGGCAGCAGCATACGAGGCGTTACGAGATATCATTGCGGTCGGCGCTCGCCACTAGCGTGGAGAGCGCGGATCTGAATGCCGGTCGGCGGCTCTTGTAGGTAGGGAGGCACCAAGTAGGGGGGGTGGGGAACCTTGGCGGGGAACCGTCGTTGAAATTCCTCGATGCGCCGACGGGTTAGGATATCGCACCCGTCGAGATATTGCTGGGGCGTGTGCACCAGCCTGATGTCGAACTGGGTTCTGACGGCGCATTATCGGTTTTGGCGCAGAGGACTCAGCGCTCACATACGTTCGCGCAGTCGCGTCGCGAGGCAGGAAACAACTACGCCGGCGCTTTCTCCACAGCTCCTTTTTCTTGCCCGTTCACTCCCATTAAAACAACCAACCCCAACCCACAATCCTGAGAATATTAGACATCACTAAACAGGGTATGAGGAATCGCTTGAGCTACTTTATTTGACTTGATAATCAGTAAAGTGTGGACTTTTATTAATTAAAAGTGCTGGAAGCGAAATCCTTCAAACACACGTCCAATCAGTAGAAGTTTTGCCCATCCGTGTTCTGGAAGGTCTATCCACTGTGGCTCACTCCAATAGGTATGCTTGGTCCGTTGTGAAAGTTTCAGGTGGGGGAGCCTCAAACTGATTGGTGGAGCGTTGATTTTATTGTATGCAGCGCTTAGGGCTTCAAACTGGACCAATGCGCTTTCCCTGCACACTCTAACTAAATTCGAAATGACCAGATCGATGCAGCGAGCTTAGGGGAACCATTCCATATTCACGGATTTCAAATCGCGCAAAAACTGAGGGACTTTTCCTAGTTAGACGTTGCCGAAACGCGTTTTTTTAACGTTGGTAGGTCTATGCTTTGGCGGGTTCTGGCGCATTCAATAGAGACACGATCTAAAATTTGAATCGACAGATCTACGCGGTGGGGGCTTCCGCACCATTCTATATCCACGGATTTCAAATTGCTTGAAAACTGAGGGACTTTTTCATGTCGCCCGTCTTTGCAAAAAATCGTTTTTCATCGCCCAGGTAGACATGACCTTCTGTGGGGCCTGGTGCATTTAATACACCCGCGATCTTACATCTGACCCGACAGATCGACGCAGTGGGCTCCGAAGAACGATTCCATATTCACGGATTTCACATTGCTCGAAAACTGAGGGACTTTTCCTTGTTTGCCCGTCTTTGCAAAAAACGCTTTTTTCGTTGCGGTGGTATGTCCCTGAGACCATTTGCTATTGGACGCAAGCCGCTAATGTCTGAACCTCCTTGTAGTGTTATTTTGGTCCTCACCAACATCGAGGTTGACAGGGGGAGAGGTCGCAGCGGTCATTGCTTTACAGGTTACGGTCAGCTCGACAACCGACGACAGCGCAAGATGTAACGTCAGAGGAAACGTAGATAATATTGGGCCCTTCTGAGAGGGCTGGGAGCAGTGTATTGTAGTGAAGAAAAAAGTAAGAAGCTCTTCGCAGCGGCCGCTCGACTGACAGCTTTATATATTGGCTGCCAGTGGGGCTTGCGTGGCTTTAGTGAGGCTTGGCGCCTTATGTAATGTATCACCAAGAGCTCGGGTGGCCAGCCCGGGTCTCGGATCAAATAGAAGTAAAGAGATATAATAAGAAATACAAGTGAAGATGAGATATCCCCGACACAAGAGGCATCCAACACCGTGAGGTGTCCCGACGTGGCTTCGTACACCACGCTTGGGAGTCCTGGCGCGCAACAAGTACGCTTCCATGCTGAGGGAATTCTTCACGGTCTCACGCAGTCCCCAATTTGCATCGCAAGGAGGGGGTCAGCCCTGCGTGAAAACCAGAATGTATCGATTCACTGCGGGCGATGATGGGCTGCTTCTTGGGGAGGCTGTTATTCCTCTAGCGCAGCGGGGACGCACCGCACCGGGCCAGCTCAAAGTCAAGCTTGGACCTCACATCGACATTACAAAGTATGCCTTCCCGTGTGGCCCTCGACTGTGCATTGCTCTTCCATGTGGATGCTGCATGCACCGCGGCGGGATGGCCGCACTTGGAGCAAAGGGCCTATGCCGCAACTGCCCCAAAATCACCGAGGAGGTCATGAAGGTCATCATTAACCATTGTAACACCTCCGTACAGGAATGGAGCCGTACTGGGACCCCTGGGGAGGAGAGTGATGAGGAGTTTGCGGGATTCAACAAAAACGATGCTCAGGTTTCCTTAGATTAGTGTTTTCTTTTGTTTTTGTTGTAACAATAAACAAAGTAATGAGACAGTTTTGGAGAGCAGCCTCTTGTGCACATTATGTACTACAATACTTTGGGTGGCCGTTGCCTGTATGCAGAGGCCGTGGGGTTCAAAGAGGGGGGATGGTAGTTGAGCAGCTGCCTGGCGACGGTAGCGATGGTCGGCGACGCGACTGCGCAAACGTATGTGAGCGCTGAGGCAGAGGATCTTCTGCCGCGTGAACGAGGGCCCGGATGTGTCACCGCAGGTTTCAACGCCGCGTTTTTCTTGTTCCGCCCATATATATACCGTGCGACCAGACCTCTCCCCGCTCATTCACCCACCACTTCCGCTCTCGCTTGCAGACCATGACCGACACAGCCCCTGTACCCGGCCGACTCTACGCTATGAGGCTGTCTTCTGACGCCGTAGAAACCGTAGTCACTCCAGCACAGTCTCCATCCACCAGCGTTCCCGGCAGCCCCACGCTGTCGATCCATCCGGTCCCGAGCATTCCGCGGCCTGCGGCATGGACCGTGATGTTCCACACGGGCGGCCCCAACGCAACCGTCTTGCTGATCACATCCTTTCATAACCGTCCATACGACCATCCCGACGTTCTGAAACGCACGCATCTTTCGCAGGCCCAACTAGCAGACCTGCTCATACCCGTCAACAGAGAGAGCCACCATTCGACCCGACGCTCCATCAAAATACAAGGACTGGAGGAGCGCGGTGGTGGCTACTTGGTCATCGAACCCGTCCGCGTTGCGGTTCAAGATGTTTACCGTCAGTGGACGCAAACCCCAATCGACGTAGACAGGAAGGACATGGAATATATCTTGGACGTCCGAGCCGCTCGGGAGCGGGCCTTGTTCTTGGGGCCCCCACCGAGGCCCGAGAGTTCCCAGGCTGACGTGGCGCTCAAGCGGGAGCGACCCGAAAGCAAAGATTCCGCTTCGAGCCAGCGCGGCCCGCCAACAAAAAGAGTGGCCCCTGACTCTGCGGCCGAGCGGCAGAGGGACGGGGGATCAGAAGGAAACGGGACGGGGACGGGGACAGAGCCGGGGACAGGGACAGGGACGCAGCACTGTGGGGGAAACGACGTCCCTTGGGACGAGGACAGTGGGTGGCCGAGTGACGACGAGGAGGAAGTCGTTCCCTTGGCGGCTCTCGAGGTGGACCTTTTTGAGCAACTCCCCGAGGAAGAAGGGGAATTTGCCGACAACTGGCCGGTCGACATGATGGGAGGATTGGGAAAGATGATGGTGGCCCTGTAAACAGCCAACGCGTTGTCACACAAGCCAACCAATCCGCTCTTCTCCGCCCGCGTAGTTGCCTTCTTCTTCACCAGGCTGAAATTCCACGTCTCGTGTCAACGTCGAGCCTGTGGTTTCGTCGGCTTGGGCTTCGAGACCTGTGACGCGGATGGTGGCCGGGCCGATGGTCGCTTCTCCTCGACGCTGTTCTTCAGGCTTGTCCAACGTCTTCCTTCTCGTTCGAGTGTCGATAGGTACAGTCACCTCGCAAAACGCTGTGCCCCCCCCCCCCTCTAATTGAAATCAATATTGGTCACTGACGTGAATTTGGCGTCGCGGTAGTCGCTGATATATTTCAGGGAGGGGGCGGCGGGGGGCGGGAGCGCGGGGGGCACAGCGTTTTGCGAGGTGACTGTACATCTCTGGCGTTTCGTACAGTAGCCTTGGGCGAGCGGATGGCTCGGCGCTTGTTTCCAGTTCCCTTTACTCTGGCGTTGAATACTCTATGGATCGGAGGGGGGGAGTCGGAGACGATGTTTGGGTCGTGGGGTGCCTTGGAACGGACGGGGGAGGGAGGGGACGGGCGAGTCCGAGCGCTGGTTCTTTCCTCTGGCTGTAGTACCCTTTGTCGGGGGTTTTGTCTTTGGCTGTTGCGAGCTGGCCTGTCAATGGCTTACATAACCACCACGTCGCGTAATTCTCAGCGGACTTTTGCGTCTGCAGCTCCCATCTTCTTTGAGGTGGCAGCTGAGCGGCCTCGCTATAAGTTCAGTTCCGATCGTACGGGGGGCCGGGAGTGAAGGATTGGAGGGCCCGGGCTGTTGGGGAAGATGGGTGAAGGAGGTGAGGAGGGGTGAGAAGTACAGTATGTGGTGGGTATCCGCCCTTTGTCGGCCGGGGATCCGGCGCAAGCTGTGTGTTATTCAACCGCAAGTTTACGCTGGACTCCGTTGGATATCTGGACTGGCCGTCGACAATAGGAAGTGGATCACCAGCCGTTTGGGCTGTGATGCGCGGAAAAACAGGCGTTGTAGGGAGAGAACCGAGGGTTCAGGATGGCATGCGAGGCCGCGCTCGTATATTCGAAGACGGGTATCCTTTTTTCGAGGGAAGAATCATGACCCAAAAAAACATTGAGCGGAACCCTCCTTCACACGATTGGCTTTCGCCAAGTTTTCGATGCAAGTTCAGAGGGGGAGGGGGAGAAGAAAACCTCAGCCCTTCTTCAGCGCCTTCTTGAACACCTGCAAACAGCGGTCACGCGCAAACTTATGGTCAACTATAGGTGCCGGGTACCTGCGAGTGATGGGGCAAGACGGGACGTCAGCTTTTCCCAAACACCCAACCCCTTCGCTAAACAATCCCCCAACACCTTACCCCAACTTCATAAAAGCGTCCCTCGGCATCTCCCCATACGGATCATGCACGGCCTTCCCCCTCAACCTCCCCAACTCGGGCACCCACGTCCTGATATAGCTCCCGTCGGGGTCGCATTTCACGCTCTGCAGCCGCGGGTTGAAGATGCGGAAATACGGCTGCGGGTCGACCCCCGTGGACGCCGACCACTGCCACCCGCCGTTGTTGTTGGCGAGGTCGCCGTCGATGAGGTGCTGCATGAAGAAGCGCTCGCCGTGTTGCCAGTTGATGAGCAGGTCTTTTGTGAGGAACATCGCGGTGATCATCCGCGTGCGATTGTGCATCCAGCCGACGGTGCTTAGCTGCCGCATGCCTGTGCGGAGCGAGGGTCACGGGGGTGTGAGCTGCACATTGTAACCCGCGCTACTTCCCCGAACTCACCAGCATCCACGATCGGATACCCCGTCCTTCCCTCACACCACCGCCGAAACACCTCCTCATCATACAGCCACGGTATCGCCTCCGTCTCCAGCTTGAACGGGCGACTCATCGACACTCTTGGAAACTCCACCAGGATATGTCTGTAGAACTCCCGCCACACCAGCTCGTCCACCCACTTCGTCAGCCCCTTGTCTCCCGAATCCAACCGGCCTTTGTTGGCGTTCACGGCGGCGGCCACGCATTGCCGGATGGTGAGGACGCCGTTGGAGAGGTAGGGGGAGAGCGAGGACGTGCCGTCGGCGGTGAGGTTGTCGCGGGTGGTGTGGTATACTTTCGATTTGTGGTCGATGAAGTGTTGCAAGCGCGACTGGGCGTGGTGCTCGCCCGCGGGGAAGTTGGAGGCGGCGCGGGCGCGTTTTTCGGGGTCGTAAGGGAGGTTGGCGAGGTCTTTGGGTGGGGTGCTGTGCTGGTCTGCGTAGGTCAGGATGGATTGTTGGAGGGCGCCCTTTTGGTTCGGGGTGGGGTCGGGGAAACTTTGGAGGAGGTGCGGGTTGTCGTGCACGATGGAGTACCATTTTCGCTTGAAGGGCGAGAAGACGGTGTACACTCTGCCTTCGTTTGTCCGCACTGTGCCGGGGTCGACGATGCACTGGTCCTGGAAGGGGTGCACCTCGATGTTCATCCCTTCCAGTATTTTCCGTGTCTTTGCATCTCGTCTTTTCTCGTTCACCTCAAACTCGATGTTGAAAAACACCTTTTTGGCCCCGATGGTTTGCGCGACGGTGACTACCATGTCGCAAGCGTCGTCGGCTTTGCCTGCGACGTTTTGAATGATGAGCGGGATGTTCAGCGCGGCTAGATCGCCTTTCAGCACGTCGAGGTTGCGCATGATAAACTCTGCGCGGATGGGGGCCATGTCATGCCCGACCCATTCGGGGACGTTGACGAGGAACATGGCGACTACGGGAAGGCCGCATTGTGTTGCGGCGGATAGTGCTGGGTTGTCCTGATCACCGTACATTGAGAAGGGTGAGCTTTTTTCCGTCATGTCTTCGAACGCAGAAGAAGAGCCCATACCTTTGTCCTTAAGTCCATTTTGAACCAGACCAGAGAGACCCCTTCACCACCGGCTTCCATTTTCGCATGGTTGACGAACGCCGGCACTGTTGCGGTAGTCGCTACTTGTGTATCGGCGGCCGCTTCTTCCTTGACCTTTTTCTTCACAGGGGACACCTTCTCTTGCTTTACTAGATCATTTGCTGCCGCGCCGACCACAGCATCGACCTCGGCATCCAGCTTGCGTTTCATGGCCGGTGGGACCATAGCGAAAGACGGTATGGAGCAGGGACGTCGGGGCAATACTTATGAGCTGTTGTTTCTGTTTTTCGCAGCAGTTATCGCCGGCAGTGAAAGTGGTAGATACTGTACGACGAAAGCTTGGACATTTCATCGATTGTGCAGGCGGTGCTACGTCTGAGAGGGTTCTTATTGCTGCAGTAGCGGAAAATCCACCGGTCGAACGAAGAAAGGGTTTGTCCACCGCCGGCCGGATTGCCCATGACCTCACGCGTGGGCGTGGCTTCTCGTGGCTTGCGGGGGGGCAATAAGATCGGACGCCATCGGGAGCGCAGGAGTCAAGGACAGACGGATCGGCGCGCGTCCGAAAGACTCCGACTGCGCTGTGAGTGTCCGACACGCGAGATGAACTGCGCACTCCATCCATGGCATGCCATTCCCACTGTTCGCCCCCCGCTTTCCCACCGCCCTTTTTTTCAGTTCGCCCCAAACGACCTCCTCGCGTGGACATCCACCTCCTTTGGCAGAGACACCGTACAGTGCTGTATCTTATCCCCGCCGCCGCAGCTCACCCGGCACTGCTCGCAAGAATGCTCGCCGCAGACCCACCTCCTCATGTCCTCCACGGTATCCTGCGAACTGCTGAGCCTTCTCCTTCGCATACCCTCTCTAACCTCCCTTCCGCCCTCGTTACACCCCCAGTCGAAGCATGTCTCCTCCCAACAGCAACTGCTCGCTACGACCATACTCGCAAGCACATTGAAAGCTTCCTCAGGGACACTCACCCTTCGGTCGTCTTACACACCAAACTTGCACAGGAGGATTTTGCTGATGTGCCGTTTTTGAGGGAGAATGTCGAGTTTATTAGGGTTTGTGAGGTTAGAGGTAGGGGATGCCGAGCGGAGGGATTGCGAGGAGAGTGCTTGAGGGGCGCGTGCGCAAGCGAGCGGTTGCTTGAGGCTTCCGAGCGGAGCAAGGAGAACGCGTGCAACGGCGAAGCCGAGCGAAGCGAGGCCGAGCCTACTGGGCCTCCGGCCCAGGATTGCGGATCACACACCATCCCAACATCCTCGTCGCGAGCGGAGCGAGCAGGGTATCGGTCATCCATCGGGTATCATTCAACCATCGGGTGTCGTGGGTCCACCCATCAACCATGACATGTTCGTCAATCATTTGTAGGAGCAAACGACGCTGCGGAGGTGTATACGCTCTCAGACACAGTACTATGCATCCACGTGTTCCAGTTGAATGAAGAGGAAGGAGTCGACCAGACGAGCGGCGATTCGGAGGACGATAATGTGATTGCTGCCAACCACTGGGTGTTGCCGGCGCGCGGACTGTTGGGCGTTTGGGATAGGTAAGGGTGATGACAGCATCCATATCTGCATGAACTCTCATCGCCAATCCCTCGTGCAAACCGTCATTTACGATCGGACAGTCTGATATACGACAACAACCTCCAACTGAAACTCCTCGACTACGTCTACACGAGCATGCTGTTCGGCGACCGATTAGTAGATCCGAACATCATCAGTGTCAACCGGGTGGCGCTGCTGCACGGGCCGCCTGGAACTGGGAAGACATCTTTGTGTAGAGCTTTGGCACAGGTGAGAATGTTTCAATGAGGAGGGCGGCAGAGACGAGATTCACTTCACTCATGCAGCGTTTCTACTTGACTTGATAGAAACTGGCCATCAGGTTGGCTGATCGCTACTCATATGGGAAACTCGTCGAGATCAACTCCCACAGGTATGTCGTCCGACCCCATCCCCAACGACACCCGCGCCCATCGCCTGCGAGAAAACTAACACCCCCCCCCCCCCCCCCCACCCCACCCCCAGCCTATTCTCCAAATTCTTCTCAGAATCCGGCAAACTCGTCATGCGCATGTTTCAACAAATCCACCAAATCCTCAACGACCAGGACGTGTTCGTCGTCGTGCTCATCGACGAGGTCGAGTCGTTATCCGCGGCGCGTAAAGCGGCGTTGTCGGGGATGGAGCCCAGCGATGCGATTAGGGTTGTTAATGCCCTGTTGACGCAGTTGGATCAGTTGAGGAGGAGGAGTAATGTAAGGCGGGGGTTTGAGGGGGAGCATGAGGCGCGGACTTTTGATTTGACCTTTTTCTTGTGGGATAGGTGTTGATTATGACTACGTCGAATATCACGGAAGCGATAGGTAGGTACCCGTCCATCTCCTCGAGCACCGACGCACTCACTCAAGCCCAGAAGCAAACTGACATCACTACGTAAATGTGGGATTTCTACCACAACAGACGTGGCATTCATAGACCGCGCCGACATCAAACAATACATCGGCCCACCCTCCCAACGCGCACGCTACGCTATCCTCGCAACATGCCTCAACGAGCTGGTCAAAAAGGGGTTGATTGCGGATCCCGTACGTCTAACCCCCCGTCTTGCCCAACGAACGGTGTTACATGATCCTAATACTATCTACAGGACACGCCGCTGGTTGATTTTAGGGAGATCCAGATATGGGCGTCGAGTCAAGTAACCGTGATGGATAAGCCGGAGGAGAGGGAGGTGTCGTTGATGCTCTGGGACTTGGCTGGTCAATGCGAGGTAATAGACAAAATCGCTTGTGCTCGAAGTACCAGATATGGAGCTGAAATGAACGGGACAAATTGTGCAATCACAGGGCTTCAGCGGTCGAACCCTCCGCAAGCTCCCTTTCCTCGCGCACGCCTTCCACCTCTCCGCGACACCCACGCACCGGTCCGTGTCGCTGAAGGAGTATGTGGTTGCGTTGAGGGAGACGGTAAGGACGGAGAAGGTGGCGAGGTTGAGTGTGGCGGGGGTGAAACCGGCGGTTGCGACTTTGGGGAGTGGGATGGAGGCTTTGGGGGTGTGATAGACGTGAGGCACAGAGGTGATGATTTGTGATGAATTGAACGTAAATCTGTAGGTGTTTATATAGAAGGGGATTGTGAGTTGTCTGATGGTTCACTCGGTATGCGATATGTAGAATACCTACGTACAATATATATGAAAATGATGCTGATGATGATAACCTCCCAGTGTGAGCTCAATTCCGTCTCCTCCCCTTCCTCGTATTCTGCACCAACTCAAACCCATCCTCATCCACCACCGGCTCCGGTCTCCTCGCAGCGGGTTCCTCATCAACCTCCATCGGTGCCGCACCTCCATCATCTCTATTTATCGATCCCGTGGCCCCCGCCTCGGCCACAACCTCCGCGTCCCCATCACTCTCCTCGTCACTACTACTACTGTCCTCGTTACTGGGATGCCTCTGACTCTGACTCTGCCTCCCCGCATTCCTCGTCCTCGCCTGCTCCGCCTTCCGCCTCATCTCCTCCACGCCCGTCGCGTCACCCTCCTCCACCACCTCCCTCCAACACCTCACCAGCGTCCGACCAATCTGCTCGGGACTCCCATCATCCAACTCCGCGTTGAAGATCTCGTTGAAGAACGCCTTCAGGTTCTCGGCGATCTCGTGCGCCTCCACGTCGGACTTGTACTGCGTGAAGAAATCGAGCGTGTGTTCGAGGAGCTCGGTGGCTCGTTGCGGCGTGGATGTGCCGGCCATTTGGTGGTCGAGGGCGAGTTGCAGGGCGGTCCAGCGGTCGAAGACGAGGCGGACGGCGGTCGTGAAGAGGGTGAGGCGGGCGGGGAGCGGGAGCGGGGTTGGTGGTGGGGTTGTCATTTTGTGAAAAAGGTGACGGGAGTGCAAACGGTAGAAAATGGGGATACAAGGGGCTGGGCTAAGTGTGATGATGACCACTATGACTTGGAGGATACCAGAGCTCAGCAAGTATAGGTAGGAGACAGCGTTTGCCGTTTTTCCAAAGAGATTGCACTGATTCGGGTTGAGCCGTGAGAAATCGAGAAAAAAAGCCGTCGAAATGTGGACGAGAAGGCGAAGAAGGCAGGAGGAAGAAAGGCGACGCTCTTGTTGTTTTTGTGGCTTGCACGCCTGTTACTAACGCTTGTTCCTAACGCGCTGTTAAGTCCCCGTTGCTTTCCACCCCTCTCTCTCTCTCTCTCACTCTCTCTCTAGGAAAAAAGGCGCAAGCTCCCGGCCCACTGCAGCTCGGTAAGTGCTTCTATCGACCATAGAGCAAACCCTCATAGGCGAGGGGAAGATAGTCCACCGACGGAGGCCTAGCACCCGGTCGCTTTACCTGTGTTGCTCGTCTGACTATCCCGTCTTCCCCAGCAGACCACTCCAAACTTTCCCGATCCCACCCTCATCCCATCCCAAACATGTCCCTGCGCAACCGCAAAACCACCACCGACCCTCTCTCCCCGCACGAATCCACCCTCCTGCAACACATCAACTCCCAACCCGACACCCTTGTCCTCTTCGCGCAATACTTTGCCAACTCGCGCCTCGCCGCACGCGCAACCGTCACCGAGGTCGATTCTGCAGGCTTGACGCTGCAGTATGTCGACAAGAATATGGAGGGGCAGTTGGCCCAGAAGGAGATTAGGATCCAGTTTGATGGGCCTGTGAGGGATGTGGAGAGTGCGAAGAGGAAGATCGACGCGTTGGGGAAGGAGGCTAAGGATGCAATGGGGATGGTATGTGAGCGAGCCATGCGAGACGCGAGCGCTTGATTCTCGCAAGGGAGCCTGCGACCTGGACCGAATACGAATTGCGCCGAGCGAAGCGAGGAGCAGGGATGCTTGAGGCAGGCGAGCTCTAGGCGAGCCACATTGCAGAATGCTTCCCCTAACCTCGGTTCTTAGCGAGCCTCAGCGAGCCCCAGATCTTCTAGCGAGCGAAGCGAGCTACGCTCCTGCATCGCCCCCCAATATCCTCGTCGCGAGCGGAGCGAGCAGGGCATCGTTAATCCATCGCTCTTCGGGTTCCCCCTCGTTTCGCTTCGCTTGATGGATGACGGTTGCTTTTTGATGGTTGCTCACCGCATCCCTCTCTTCGTCCCCCCACCAGAAAGCAGACAAGACCTACAAACCCCCCCGCGCCAACACCGACCCCCGCCTCACCTCACCCGGCGTCGCGCCCTACGCGGTCGCCATCATGGTCGTTGGCTGGACGCTCCTCTTCATCGGCGCCTTCGTGGACGAGATCCCCGCCTCGCTCGAGAACATCCGGCAGGAACTCGGCGGGGCCGTGCTGTTTGAAAGAGCGGCGATGGGGATTGTGATTTTGCATGGGTTGGAAACGCTTGTTGCGGTCGGCTTTGCGGTGTATGGACGGTTCCCGGCGGTGGATTATCTGGTCGCGATTGTTTACGTGATGGTGTTTGGGATAAAGTCGTTGGGGGCGACGATTAATGTGGCGACGAGGAGGAGGGCTTTGCTGGCATAGCGTCGGTCTCGTGGCCGCCGAGAATAGATATGCATCATCCTTGCACTCATCAATCTCACAAACAACATTCCATAACAACATGTGCTTTGCCTACTCGCGGATCTCAGAATGGGAGATGGAATTCCTATTCTACAAATGATGACCTATACCAATGGATGAAAATCAGATGAGGTACACAAAAAATGATCTATATATATGTGGGGGAAGGGAAGGATGGGGGGATAAAATAGATAAAAGAAGTTCGGAACCCCGACGCCGAACACTGCATACTTTCGCCCTCAGTATACATGTACATAGACAGCCCCACGCATCCCCCTCTATTGCTTCTGCAACTCCGCGGCAGCCTTCTCCGCCTCCTTCGTCCTAAAATCCGCAGCCCGGGTCACGATATCCTGCACCAGTCCCTGCGCCCCCGCCACGCCCTGCTGCAACAACGCGGCCGTATCCGCCCGATTCGCCAACCGCTGCATCGTGCCCTCAAACGCCACATACGCGTCAATCTTATCCAGCGGGGTCTCTAGGAATATATCCTCGTCCAGATCATCCAAATCCCATTCATCCTCATCCTCGTCGTCGTCGTCCGCACCGTCGCCGACGTAAGGTTGCCCTGCGAGATGCGTGTCGGTCGCGCTGGGGGTGTAGTCTGGGTTCTTTTCGGCGTTCTTTTGGTCGAGGAGGTCGAGGTACTCGTCGTCCTCGTCGAAGGCGTCGGCGTCGTCGGCGGTGTGGCGGAAGAGAGGGTCTTCGTCCTCGTCGTCGCTGGCGAGCTCGTCGTCTTCGTCTTCTGAGTCGAGGCCGTCTTCGTATAGGGCCTTTTCGTCTTCGCGAGCTACATGCGGGAGCAACATGGTTAGATGATGAGACACCTTGCGTGGAAGGGGGCCGGGTAATCGACCAAGACTCGCATCCCATACCTTTCAACGCAACAGGCAAAGTCTCAAAAACCTTGAAAACACCATTCAACATCTCCGTCCACGCCTGCCCCTGCAACGACGCCGGCAACTGCTGCACAGGCAGCTCCAACACCGCCGAAAGCGCCAATACGCACAGCTTCTTATCATGCACACGGCGGAACTCAGGGAGGTCCGTGAACCACTTCATGAAAAAGGCGGTGGTGGCGTTGCGCTGCTCGAGCAGCTCGAGTGTCGCGCCGGGGTTGTAGTAGAGCGCGTTGATGATGACTTCGAGGCAGCGGACTCGGTAAGGCGCTTTTTTGGCTTTGTTGGGGGCGAGGTAGGGAAGGATGAGGTCGATGAATTGAGGTACCATCTGGTTTAAGGAGAGCGGAGGAGTAAGCATCGCCTTCTGCGTCGCCTGATTGGAGCATGACACCTACCGCATCAACGTGACCAGGCAAATGCAACAACAGCAGCTCAATCAAATCACAAGCCCTCGCCCTAGTCGTATTCGAGTAATTCAAATCATTCGCACCCAAAGTGTTGTGGATAATCTCAAATATCTGCGCCTGGAGCTCCTGGCTGGTTGCAAACACCTCGGACCCGAACGCAATGTAGTTCTCGAGGGTGTTGGCCATCTCCTCGAGGTAGTCGGACGCGTCGGCTTTGTAGGCACCATAGAGGACAGTCCAGATTTGCCACATTGTTGGGGAAATCTTTTTGGCGCAATAGGTGAGGGTTTCGATTACTTCGAATACTTCTTGATATAAGTCTGCGAAAGCCATAAAGTTAGATTGAATCCCAAGTTCGACAGCCAGCATTTCCGGACATACCAGCAAGGTGATTACTCAGCACAAACGACAACGACGGCGCAATGATAACCTCCAACTCGCTCAAAATCTGCTGCGACGCCTCCATTGCAAGCACCAAAGTGCACAGCGTGCGCATCACACCCTGCGCAGCAGCCGTCTTCTCATCAAACGCCTCAGCCATATCATAGGAATCGCCCTCGTCGGCAACTTCCCGGGCCTCCGCCAACATCCTGAGGAACGTCTCGCTCAACTGCGATGCGAGCTGGACGGCGAAGGGCGTCAATTCGGAGGAAAAGTCGCCGACCAGGCTCTCGAGGACTTCGGTCAGGCTCTCCATGTCCACCTCGTTGTTGAGGGACATCATTGCTTGGATGATGTCCTGCACGTGGGGCTTCATGGCTTCGTGGATGGTGGGGACGCGGAGGTAAGGTCGGAGCGCCAATGCACCGCTGACACGGACGGGAAGCTCCGAGTCTCGGAGACAGTCGAGGACGCCGCGGAAGGCCAGTTGCTGGTGTTCCACGTTTTCAAAGTCCACGTCTTCGTACGTCAGCAGTGTGTTGCATGCTCGCGCACGGAGGAACCCGTACGGGCTCTTCAGCTCCGGAATCACATTGTGCACCAAGAAGGTCTCGATGTGATCTTTGATGGGCGATTTTGGGCTCAGAGCCAACGGGGCGAGGCAAGCCATCATGTGCAATGCGCCGTCTTTGTGGCGGGGGTTTCTCGTCTCAACGGGGCTCTCATTGTACCGCTGGATAATCCCGTTGATCAAGGTAACGGTGGGAACGAACGTTTGCTGGTTCCTGAGTTTTGTGACTTCGAAGAGGAGGGCTTCCGCGGCAGAGACAGGGCTGCGGAAATCGTCCATGGGGTTGTCCACCTTCTTCTGCAAGTACTCGACCGGATCATCCTCCCACAGCTCCTGATCTTCGTCGCTGAATGATAACAAGGGGAAAATGAAGTGCATGATGATGGTTTCGAGGTGGGGCTTGAGGATAGCCCACGTGCTCCTGGGCTTTATGCTGTAGGTAAAATGTCACGTTTTAGAGACGTTACTGACCAGGGCATGGAGCTCAACACACTCAACCAACCTGCTCTGCAGAAAGTTTGCGATCAACTGCTTCACTCTGGGCGAAAGCCAGACACCTCCAATAAGGAGCTCGATTTGGTGGAGGTACGCCGTCAAGATGTTTGGGGCGAAATGCTCCATAAACACGGCTGAGAACTGCTGGTATTTCTTTTCGGGTTTCCTAGCGTATCTGTTGGAATGCATTCGGGGTCAACAATCGACAGAAACCCCGAAACTAAACAATTCGAAATCTAACCTCTCGAACAGTAGGTTGAGGATGTGGTATGCCCACTTCTTGGCTTTCCACCAAGGGTGACGCTCCCGCTCGCTCTCGTCCTCAGGCATTCCTGGAAAGTCCGCGGTGATGGGCTTCTGAACCAATTGAACGAACAGGGTGCCCCAGGGAACAAGGGAGGCGGAGCTTTGCTGTGTTGGCGACAAGTTGAGGCGGATGGTCGACATGTAGATTCTCAGGATCGTCTTCAGGTTGAATCCAGCTGCCTCGGTGTTCAGAGTGATAAGGTGCGTCGCAACCGTGTACAGGATGGGGAGCCCCTCCTGGATAATAGGCTGAATGGGCGCGCGCTTCTCTTCGTCGCCCCATTGATAGGACTTTACAAACTCAAAGACAGCAGCGACACCGGCGGACACTGCTCCCTCGTCCGACGATTTGACCAGCGTCATGGCCTGTGTCAGGTATTCCGGCCACCTGTTCGCCTTGTTGTCATGTTGAAGCATGGAGCCCAGACAAGCGACCAATTGCACTCGGAGCCTGTGCGGCAAGTGGACGATCGCAGGGAGAATGTTTTGGCGAATCGACACCTTGTCTTCCTCTCCCAACGCCAGCTTTCCACTTGGATCCCATCCTCGTTGACACCTGTTCTTGAAAAAGACGGCCGCTGGGAGAGAGTGCGGAATGTCAGTAACGTACCGCCCACCTGTAGTTGCTCGTCAGGCTTACCAGCTTGTCGAACGGATTCGTTGGCCTCGGACGACCCAAGGATTTGCAGTACGGCCGGCAAGAACCCAGGAGCTATTTCGACCTAGCAAGTTTAGGAGTATTGAGGACGGGTGTTTTGAGGGTAAGATCAAATTACCGCAGCCTTCGAAGCCTTACCTTCTTCAGCTGCTCTTCGGCTGGCTTGCGGACAGCGTCGTCAGCCACGACGGTCGCGGAGAACAGTTGATACAGAGTTCCGGCGTCCATATTGGGCGAACGTCGGTGGTTCTGTTTGCGCTGGTGAGAAGAGGGTGTTTTGCGAGCCCCAAGCCTCGATTGAGTCTGAAGGACCGACAGCGGAGGGTTCTCAAAAAAAAGAGAACAAGCGACGCCCTTCACAGCGGGCACTGTCATTTTTTGCGCAACTGCTTTTTATCCGCTTTTCACCGAGTGTGTGATAACCGTGCAGGTTGCGATAGTTACCAAGTGCGGACGCAAAGGGAGAGGGCGTTCGATACCGGAGGAGAGGCTCGGGAGGAGGCGCGCCGCTCTCTCTCTCGATCACAAACCACTCGCCATCGGCCCCGCGGAGCGGCCTCGTTGATCGCCCCCGTTTTGATTAGGCCGTGTTTAGCTGCGCCCAGAATCAGACACTTTCGCTGCTAAACATACGTACTTGGAATAGCCTCAGGATTGCGTTCTTCATCAACACCACCGGCAGTTGCTCATAGCGAGCCAAGTGTGGTCCGCCCGCAAGGCACTTCGGGACGTTGTCGGAACACCTCGCAGGCCAATCAACGACGACGACGACTTGGAGTACTTTCGCTCGCAACGGCAGCCGCTACTACGTTGTCAAGTGCATCATCGGTTCTTCTGCTTCATTTGTGTATCACTTGTGTCAAAACCTCTGTCAACAGCAAAAGCTCTGTCAACAACAAAAGGTTCTCCTCCTATTACCGCTTGTAAAGCGGCGGTTGGCATTCCGACTTCCTCGCCGGGCTACTTTTCAGGTTCTTTCAACTAATGTCGTCGCAAACTCCTCCGAGCCCGAGGGCATATCGGTCCCTGCCTCGGCCGCCACGGTCGTCCCCGTCGATCAGCCTAAGATCAGAAGGCGCAGACGACACCTTTCGGCTTCCACGCCGACCTGTGGAAACAAAGTTCCGCAGGAGGTGGGTCTTCTTGTGTTCCAAGCAGCTGCCGGAAGCAGTATGACTGACAATCAAAAAATGAAATGGATCACTCACAGCGACGAAACACCAAACCGAGATACTCAGTCTGAGTCAAACGTTGCAAGATCCGGGACCAATATCGAAGGTTCACCGTCCCCATCAGGGGATTGGTGGGGAGGCATTTCGAAATGGACGTTGGGAAGGTTGAAAGGGAGACGAGACGGGAAGACGAACGGGGGCGCGGTTTCGTCGGAGGATGTTAGTGAACATAGCGCAGACGACAGGTATAAATGATGTCTTACTTTGCGTTTGGCGGTGTTTGCCGAGATGCTCACTCGATAATGACACCTCGAACAGCACCGGCAGCACCCCCGAAAACAGGCCCACGCACCTTGCACCTCCATCACAAAACTCCTACGGGCCGAGATCCGCATCGTTAGAACTCATCCGAGTGTTTGGAGTGCCACTGCCTTTGGTGTTGGAGCGGGAATCGGAACGGACTGCGCGGGCGCATCTCCAATCCGAGTTCGTGATACCAAGACGAGAACGGGATCCGTACGCTCACGCTGTTCCGTTGGTTGTGAGGGCGTGCGCGGCATGGCTGGAAAACACATGTACGTTCGGTTTGTGTCATCCTTTAATTCCTTTCAACTGTGCTAACCTTCTCTCCCACACAACAGCAATAACAAAAGAAGGCCTGTACCGTGTCCCAGGCTCCCTCCGGCGCGTCGCAGCATACCAAGAACAAATCGACACTGGAACCTTCGATTACATCTTCCCAGCGCACGAGTCGCCACATACCGTCGCCTCTCTCCTCAAAAAGTTCATCTCGTCTATACCCGGTGGGATATGGGGCGGTGGCGACGTGCAGATACGTCTGAAGGACGCTGTCAAACGTATGTTGCAGAGACGCCCTGCCCTGTCTGGACATTTGACTGGCTAACGGAAACTCACATTTATGTCTCTCCCAAACAGGCCTAACACCATCAGAATACCTAATCTGCCTCACCCACACCCTCCCCACCCCCTTCCACTTCTCCCTCCTCCGCTACATCACCCGTCACTTCAACCGCATCCAACGCCACGCCGACGAAAACAAAATGACGGCCGAAAACCTCGCCATCTCTATCTTCCCCGGCATGGACTCGGTCGCTGAGTTTTTGATTACGAATTGGGATAGCATCTTTTCCGATCAGCCGCTTCCGCAGCAGCAGAGGACGAGGAGCGATACGGGGATGGAAGCGGCGGGGTCGGTGGCAGCACGTGGAAGTGATGGGGAAGAACGGCCGACTAGCATCAAAAAGGCAGAAAGCGTCGCCGCATTGGCTGCTGAATGAAGATACCGGATTTAAGATTGTGGAAAAGTGCAGATACGCGGCGCAGTTAGATGGGACAGCACACTCCCCCACGCCTGGCGTGCTCTGTTTTTCTTGGGTCTCCCTGCCTACCTACTTCCTATCACTGCTCCTCGCAACCGTTTTTTGGACGTCTTTCTGTATTCTGTTCTGCCGCAACCGACCCCGGGGTTATCACACCCCCGCTCCCCCCCACTTTGCACGTAGCCATTACATACTCGCCCGTTTACGCCATACCCGCCACCGCACACGGGGGGATTGAAGTAAAAAGGTGGGGTCGCAAACCCCCCTTGGGAGCGCTTGGCCACCTCATTCTTGTCATAGTTTTGTTCTGTGTTTTCCCGGAATGTACATAGTTTTGTGTTCCATCGTATAAGCGTATAGTCGGGGGCGCGGGCGGGGCGGCGCATGCGCACATACAGAAAATGTACATATCGGGGGTTGGCACCGGCGTCAGTTGATTTAGTCAGTTATCGCGTGTCACCGTTCTATTATCATCTCCGCGTTTTCACAATCGGTAAACTGAAGTGGTGCTCTTTATCCCGTTCAAAATGACGGTGTTGTCCAGCGGCACGTATTGATGCGTGAGCAGCTTGATGATCTCCTGCGCGACGATGCCGCCGTGGAGGGAGGCTATGGAGTGGAGAGAGGAGGTTCCTGCGCGTGTGCTGTAGGGGATTGGATTGGAATATTAGCCACGGTATAGGAAGGAGTTGGAGAGGTGTACGTACAATTCTTCGATGAACTCGTTGCCTACAACCGTCGTCTCGAGCCCGCTTTGGTTTAGAAAGGCGTTTAGAGACTCTCGTAGGCCCGCGATATCCGCTTCGACGTCGCTATTTGACTCTCCTGCAACAGAAGACTGGTGAGAATACTGCATCTTTGACTTTTTGCTGAAGTGGGCGTCGAAAGTTCACCTGGATATCGTCCGTTCACTGCTCGAAACCGTTCCGCGGCCCTGAAGAGGACATACCAGACGATGTTGTCGTCTGGATCTGACAGCCAGTTGCCTAATACCCATCACCATCATCAGTAACTCAGCACTGCCCCATCACCTACTTCTCCTAGCTATACCCAGCTGTTTGAGCCCAGGACTCGTATGCGCATACTCCTCATGTATAGACGAATACCGGATAAGTCTGAGATGCGCGGCGTTCTTGCAGAAGCGGTCGATATCGGGGGTGGAGATCGGGTTGGAGCGCTTGGAGAGCTCGACTAGGGATTTGACGCGGGTGGCGACTGCGGCGGCGTCTTCGCGGGCTTTTGCTTTGTATCTGTGAGAGTGAGAGATTGTTAGATCGACTGTTACATCGCCCTCTCCGATGCGACGGTGTGCTTACATCGTTTGCAGTTTGACATAGGAGTCGGTGTCGGCATGCATGTCAGGGACGGTGCCTGCGAGAGGGAGGTGGCCTTTACCCTCGTGAGCAACGAAATCCCGCACGGCCCTCGCTATGATCCAAAAGTCTGGCGTCTGGAACATATGATATGTGAGTGGTCCTGAGGTCGAATGACATATAGGACCGAAAGACTTACGTTCGGCGTGATGACATCGGCGGCAGAGTCGTTCAGGATGGCGCTGATAGAGGATGGTATCTAGATGCTTGGCGTATCAGACAGACGTCAGGACGCCAATAGATCACGGCATGGCTTTTACCGTGGTAGGCGCCCATGCACGATATGCAGCAGCCAGGGCCTCCTCAAAGTTCTGCTCTTCCGCGAGACCCGCGCGTTGTTTACTCCGGATCAGATCTTTGAATGCCGCTCTTTCGGTGCTGTTCAGCGGGAGATGCCCTTCATGCTGGTATGTGTGAGCCCACGTGGTCGTCTTGTAGTATCGACGTGAAGTGAATTACCCACCGATGCTTTCCATTCTTCCAGGCATCTCAGAAGGATGATGACATATGGGATGTGCCCGTACGCCATGGAATCCAGTTGTTCAAAGTCGATGGACGATGCGAACGCTTGCAGGCTCTCGAATGGGCAGTCCAGCCGCAGATCGACGATTTGCTCCGGATGTGATTCGACCACTGCCAACAGGATCTCAGCGTCCATGTCTCAAAACGCCCCTACCTTACACGACTAACCTGTATGTTCACGGCACTGAATCCTCGCATACGCAATGAACCCATGCACCTTCACCGTAACGAACGGCACATTGAACTCCCAACAAAGGTCGGCAAGTTTGAGCGTGTACTCCTCGGTCAACTCACTAGCGACTACCAGCGTGAATTGTTCAAAGAAGTGGCGAGACTGGTCTATTAGGTTTTGCGGGTTCTGCGATCGGTTAGTGACTACACTGGAAAGAGCGTCCTTCAATCCAGCCTCACCTCTTCGATGGCTTCCCCCTGCACTTCCTCGTTGAGCTCTTTTAGGAGGTCGGTCACCACTCGCGCTCGTGATTGCCCGACACTTTCCGGAAGAAGGAAGAAGTTGTTCCCGAGGTCGGTTTGGGTCACCAGCTTGTCATCGACGACTGTAAACGATCCGATAGCTGGCGGCGGAGGGTCACTGAACTGAAGAGTCCTTGGGCTTTATCACGGCGTATTGGTACTTACCAGGCAAGATGAGGTTCTTGAGAATTTCGCTCCCGACCGCTGTCGCATTCAAAAGACATATTTTGGAACTCTCCAGGGCAGCTTGGCCGTGCGCTTGCCAAAGTCTATGAAGCCAACAGTGATACCGGCTTTAGTGATTTGCAGGCAGCCTGGCTGGGAACAACCGTTTCACACAGAGGAAACCCTGGGACAGTGGGGTTATTTTGTCCTTACGACTGAGCTTCACTCACCGCAATTGCCTGTCATATTTTTGCGTTCTGCTGTCCAACATGTTGCACAACCAGACTTTCTTGTGGGATACTTTCCTTGGAGTTGAACGAAGTGATACGGAGCTTGTCAACCTCGGCTGTGAACCTCGCAGACGGCGTCAGTTGATCTTCGCTTTGGGAGTGGACATGGAACAAGCCAGGCCGTTTTGCTTTGCCAGTTGGTGATGACGGTGCGAGAAACGCGTCGGACTCTCGTCCACCGAGTCCACTCGCTTCCTCCTTTTTCCTCGGTTTCACAACACTTCGCCATAGACGGCAGGTCCTATTCGAGTACCCGCTTTCCGTGCTACGCAAGAGTCCAGCTTTCTAGATAAACATGAGTACAGGTGCATTACCCTCCCAGTCGGCACATACGAGTCAGTCCCGCTTGCACGACGATAGCCGTCGGGAGGTGTCTGGTAAGCTGCCTTGCGCAAAAATCATGTATTGCGTCAGTACCTAACTCCCGTCAGCATCCCTCAGAACCATCTGCACCATCCTCGTCGATGCCATCCCTTCATGGAGCATCTGCAAGTCAACTTGACACACAATCACAAGGAAGCCCACATCAACTAGGTGAACATCCCGCGTCCACACAATCATCGCGCGTCCAACTGCATATATCCGATGAACAGCAAGGCCCCGGTGCTGCAGCAGGAAATTTGGCGAAAACAAAGGAGGAAGAAGATGATATGGAGCAGCGGTCAGAGTTCCTTTTGCGGAAGGTATGCACACCATTATAGGAAGGGTAGCGTTGAGCGTTCTATGTATCCCTGACACCTTCTTCCATATTTTTGCACTTGCTCGTCGCTTGTGGATATCAGCAAGAAGTAAAGGAGGCGCAGAAAGCGTACATGCTGCGTCACCCGGAACTGGGCGACATCATGGCGGACTACCTGCAGTTGATTCTACATAGGTATGTCACATCATTACACGAAGAGCAACGGTAAGCGTCCTATGTGTCGCTAACGCCTACTTCCCATATTTTTGCACTTGCTCGTCTTCTGGAAATAAGGAAGCCGGAGGACGTGTATGCATTCACCGCTGAATACTTTTCGCTGTGAGGCGGAGTTGGCAGGGCATTGGCAGGGTCCCCATAATGAATGGTGTTCACTCGTGTCGAAGAGGAATTGTAGGGCGTAAAATCCGCAAGGGACGCTGGGCAGTTGCGGTACATAAGCCCAGACCGCCCAATCATGGCAGGCACGTCTGACTGTTACCATTCGGACAACCTGCGCATGAACCTCGTCAAACTAGGAGGCGGGAGCGTAGCGCTATGCCTGGCCACGAAGCAGTCGGTACGTTTCCGGCTTCCGGTCCGTGTTTTGAACAAGTATGATCCTTCGGAAAGCAGAGAGAGTCGGAGCATACAGGATGCATTCAATTTTCAAGATTTTATACATAATAGAATGTCAATTGCTGTCACCAAATGGTGTGTAGTCCACTTAACTTGCGAGTCGGACACCAATGGCGATAGCGCATCACCTCACATATGAACATACATCCACACATTCATTCTTCAAACCTTCACTTCTTCTTCCCCTTCGCACCACCCGCACCTCCACCTAAACTTGCTGTCGCCGCGTTCGTCAGACTCTTTTCCTTAACCGGCCTCCTCGATGCACCCGTCCCGCCCGCTCCCGAGGTGTTCGGAGCCTCATACAGGCTCGTCGTGCTCGATAATGCCGAGCCAGCGTTTTTGCTACCCTTCGACCCACCCGTCCCACCCGCACCACCCGCACCCGCTGCACCAGCCCCGCCGCCACCTCTCCGATTGGAAGCTCCACCGCCGCCAGCGCCATCTTTGGAATTGGAAGTTGAAAGCCCGGAACTGCCTGCTACTGACGCGTTGGATGCGGGTGTGTCGTCGTCGTTGTTGCCTCCGCGGCGCGAAGTGCCATCTGCGCGGCCACCTTTGCCTTTGTTCTTCGCGCGGACTACTGTTCGATTGAAGAGTGTGAGAAAAATTGAAGATGACACGGTGACGGACATGACATCGTACCTGAGAACTTGAGCTTCTCGGTGCCGACCTGGTCAAGCAGACTGGAATATGTTGCGGTCGAATCATCACCGTCATCTACAACATTTGTGATTAACTATTTCTCTCCAATGCCAACCCACACATCAACCCAACTCACCCCCCAAAACCTTAACCAAAATATAAGACCCCCTAGCATCCACATATCGCTTCGCATAATCCTTCTGCTTATTGATCAGATCAATGACCTCGCCCGTCTCGGATGCCAGGTCGACGTTCTCGGGCATGTCGCCGAACCCGCATGCTGTTTTTAGGTGGTTTAGGAGGACGGAGGAGAGGACGTTGGGGTTTGCGAGTCGTTCTTCGTTGGCTGGTTTGGAGAGAGGAACCGGTCCGATGTTGAGATAATGGAAGGAGGGATGAGGGTGAGGGCATTGGACAGATGCTTTTACCTCCATATTTGACGGTTATGAAACTCATTGGGCTGTATGATGGCGAAGAGAGGTTTGTGTTTGTATAGGAGGACAACGTGGGATGTGAGTTTCGAGCAAAGCGCCAGAGCGGAAGTTGTTGAGGGAAACGCGTGAGAGGCCTGACGAAGTTTGGAAGTCCTCGCAAGCCACGAAAGCGCTTCCTGCTCGTTGGAAGAGGACGCAATTTGAAGGCCCCAACCGACTTTCCAATGCTCTCTTGGAGCAGGACCTTTGTAGGCATACACTGCAAGAAGGTTGGGCGACCGCCACATGTCGCCCGGACCTCGGCCGCGTCCAAATCGCGATGGTCCTCGACCCGATCAGCAAGCGAATTACCTGGGAAGGTGCCCGTTCAAGGTGCGGAGGCAGCAGACTATTACATACATTGTATGCCGACCCTACAAAGAGTCACTGAGACAGAAGCGCATATGTTTCACGGCAGGCCTGGACCTTCAGGAGAACTTCTCTAAGTCTTTACACGCGGCACAAAGTACCGCGAAAGGGTATGCCGCGTCGTTAAGGAACTGAAAGCGGTCCTTCAGCAAGGCCAGCATATAACTCCCGCTTATGTATTCAGACCAAAGACCCTAAACTGGTCTCGCCAGCCTCGAAATATTCTGATAGTGAGAAAGCCGAAAGACGATCGGACGAGAAGTGCTTTCCTGGAAGTTACAAGGTAAGCTACGGTGCAGTACAGCGAAGGGCAGGACTATATCGCCTTATCAACCTCAAGTTGGCTCCGCAAACAGTACCCAGACGTGAACATCGTTGTGGAGCAAAGTGTGGCTGATGAAGTGCCGCATATGATGGATCTGTGTGTGATGCGGCCGAAGGAGGATCTTTCAGGTGTCATCGACTTCGTCATAACGCTGGTAGGACCTTCCAGGCTTCCACACAGTCGACTGGAACGACCCTAACACGCTCATGCAGGGCGGTGACGGAACAGTTCTACATACGTCGCAGCTGTTTCCAAAGCGTGCACCGCCAATAATCCCATTCTCGTTGGGAACATTGGGGTTCCTATTACCTTTCGGTTAGAGCCAAACTCACGAATGTGGGCGCATTCAGGAGTGATCTGATAGTTTGTCATCATAGGGTTCGTCAACTTTGCGGAGGCATTGAAACAGGTCATTGAGGGGTCCGTGCCGCTTCTGCAGAGAATGCGATTGGACTGCGTGATCCGGCGGGATGATGGAACAATTGCGCAGATCGAAGGGAGGGAGTTGGGTCAGTTCCGCAACGCATTGGAAACCAGAGTTTAATCCTGCTGATGATTGATCTGCCCGCTCAAAAACATTAGAGTTTCAAGCTCTGAACGACATCGTACTTCATCGGGGTCGATATCCGCACATGATCACGACCGAATGTTCAGTCGACGGCGAGTTCCTGACGGGCGCCATCGCCGATGGGTAAGTACGCGTGTCGCTTGCCAGCGTACGGGCAGAACTTCCTTTGACGTGCCTCCCCTTCAGCCTGATTGTGTCAACCCCAACGGGTTCCACGGCGTATAGTCTATCTGCTGGAGGTTCACTCGTGCACCCCTCAGTGCAAAGCATTCTATTGACACCCATTTGTCCGCGATCGCTGTCCTTCCGACCAGCGCTGTTACCTCCCGATGTTAGGGTAAATCTACGAGTATGTGAGGCGTTCTGTTTCGCCTTCAGTCGCAATCTGAGTACTCATTCCATTCGTAGCTTTCTAAGAATAGCCGGGCTACTGCGGAGGTGAGCGTTGATGGGAGGGATGTCTATCTTCTTGGAATTGCAGAGCACGTGGAGGTAAGCATTCGCATTCGAGAGCTCTCAAAATCATGGCCCAGATTGCCATTATCCTGATCGTAGACATCAGATCAAAATGTCGGACTACCCCTTGTATACGATCGCCCGAACTGTCAATGGTCGTGACTGGGTGCGGGATATCAATCATACCCTGAAATGGAACCAGGGATTTGTTAACACGCACCGTTAGAAATAGTTATATACTGGCATAGTATTAGCTTTACAAGTCGAAAATCCGTCCGAGAATTGCTCGTCGTATGGAAAGCTGTCAAAATCAGGAGGAACGCGTGGTTACGCGCTGTCGTAACTGCGCTTTATTTCGCGTCCGACAATATCAGGTAAACCGGTGTCGGGATTTTTTTCCCCGGAAAGCCTCGACTTTCGTGTCCCGAGGAGCCCATCAAGTGACGATACTGCTCAGAGCGCGAGAAAATCCAATATAACCATACGAAAGTCCTACAGATACAATGATATCATCCGGGGGTCCAGACGTTGAGGTTGGCCCGCCTCAAAAGTCGATCGTCGATTTTGCGAACCTGAAGGATGGCCACTCGCCGCTACCTAGCATGCCTGCCGTCCCACCGCTGCCAAGGCAGCAAGGGAAAGCGAAAGACACGGATATAATTACAACACCGAATCGTCAAGACCGGCGGCTGCAGTTTGGAATAGATTGCGCTGAAATGGTGCATTTTACCCATTGGTGGGTTATGCTGGCCCTCTGTGAAACTGAGCATGGACGAAGACGACGCTGACCGTGACTTCCCTTCAAACAGGGAGCCTGGAGGCGAGCATATCAAGCAGCTGGTCGTGAAGAACGTAGTAATGAAGACGCAGAAGATAAAGTACAAGCTCCCGCAAACGCGCTATTTCTCGATGGAGTTCCCGGAGACTATGACCTTGAGTGCGGGGATGAGCTGGACGATTCCAATTACATTCCGTCCTGTGGCCAAGGTATGTAGGCTGAAGTCGCATAGCCTCCATCCCTGCCCCCATACCAACGCTCCTGTATAGGAGAACTACCACGATGTCCTGGAATTCGCGACCTCGTTCGGCAAGTTCTATGTTCCCGTAAAAGCGACATTACCGGAACATGTTCTTGACTTCCCAAGTACCACGGACTTCTCCCTCTGTCCAATCCGCGAGACTGCAAAGAAGACGTTCTTACTGACGAACACGGGAGAACTTGGAAGTGATTTCGAGTGGAGCATCCCAAGACCATTTGCGATATCGCCCCGAAGCGGGACGATGGCGCCCAATGCGGAGATTTCGGTGACAATAGATTTCAAGCCGGAAGATGCATCTGTGTTCAATGCTACAGCTGTCTGTACGTTTGGAGATAGGCGGCACTGGGAGTCGTCCAAAACAGCAAAGGCGATGGGGATACATGGGATCGGGAAATACTCGTTTCTGGCGATCGAGGGCGGACAACACACGTTTGATTTCGGCGAGGTGTTTGTTGGGAAGACTGTGGAAAGGAGGTTTGTGATATGGAACTACTCTGCGGTAGGGCATTCTGGGGTAGCGAGGTGGAATCGTCGATCCGATTCTAAACCGGGGCTTGTCGACTAGGTGGCAGCGAACTTCCGAATAAAGCAGCCTGAGGACGATGCGGATCCATATTTCGACTTTTCGACTCTGAGCGGCACGATTCCGCCTCATAAGAGCTTCCCCGTAACGGTATGCCACTCTCGACTATTGTACCCTGGCGAGGATTTCTAACAAACTCTTCAGATAAGTTTCACGCCAGCAGCTGCCTCGATGCGATCTACCGATTACTTCGATATCAAGACACTTTCGGGCAATACGATTAGAATCACATGTACGGGACGAGGGATCGGGCCGAAAGTGACTTTGAGTACCGAGGTGGTCAATTTCAATGATGTGCCGGCCGGGACGACAGTGACTCGCGCGCTGCATTTGGCAAACGATTCGGGAACATCCGCATTCTACCAGGTACGATGCTACCGCTCAGGCAGCTCTCGTTTATGGTGTTCTCACATTTGGTATGCAGTTTCTCGTCGAGCCGAACAGCATCTTTCGCATAGACAAGCCATATGGAACGATCAATCCCCATTCCTCTGTAGCGCTTACGATCAAGTTCTCGGCATCAGAACCGATCAACTATTATCGACGGGTGTATTGTCTAGTGGAGCATCATGATGGACTGGTGCTGGACATCCTGGCCACATGCTATAATGACAAGCGTCGACCAGCGACGTTCTTGTACAAGCACGTCGAGAACTATGAGAGCAGGAGGAAGAACGGGCTATGGAATTATGGACCAGAGCAGTTGGAAGAGATGATGAAGAACGGTATCATCACTTGCAATGGTGGTCCTTTGCAATGGAGTGACCCGGCACAAGCGGAAGCAAACCGCTCGAATCACATCAGCGATTCCACTTATCCGGATTGTACTGTGGCCAGCGACTACTTTTACGAGGGTACTACTGACTGCGAGCCGGTGACACTCGTTGATACGCACGTCGAGTTTGGATCTTGCTCTCGATACAAGGTCATCGACAGTCGGACCATTCGGATCTCGAATAACACGTCAGGCAAAATGTCGTGCGTATGGATCATGCCGGGAGAAACTAGCGGCCAGGACTCGGTGTTCAGCGTCACGCCAACGATTACGGATATCTTACCTCGAAGCACGGCAGAGTTCCGAATCAACTTCCGGCCGAAAATCGACAATTCGATCTTTGGAGCTCATTTGGAATGCTTTGTGTACTTCAAAAGCATGCGCAACTTCAGGCTTGTAAATGAGGATACGTTTACGCCGCCTTGGTGTGTAACGCCTCTGGTTACTGGGTAAGTCAAGTGCGCAACATTTACTACTGCCAAATCACATTGCTCATCAGTAAACACATCTAGCAACACTTTCATGCCTGGAACGGATTCATTCATACCGAAGATAAATTTTGGTGCCATGCCACTGGATTTTCCGCCATGCCACGTTGACAAATCCATGTACCGCACCATTCGCGTCACAAACGACGGCGACACCCCTGCTCACTATGCAGTAATCGACGGTAGTTTGAGAGGGATAGGAGGAGGCACGCCTTTGGCCAGCATGGGAGGAGCCGCGTTCACCGTGAAGCCGCGTGCTGGCATCCTGCATAAAGGCGAGTCCCGCCTGCTGGTGTTCAGGTTCTCGCCAAGCGAACAGCGCATTTTTGAGCAGGCCCTCAAATGCGCGTTCAACTCGTCAGCGGCAAATACATATGTAGGTACGCTGGCCAGCGTGATCGATTGATGGTGTGATATCCGTGAACTGACTTCTTTCGTGCGGCTACAAGGACATACACGTCAAGGGAGTCGGGTACTTCCCACATCTGACGTTTGGATCAGATAACGCAGTTTGCTTCAAGCCGACGTGCGTAGGCGCGATAGCGAGAAGAGGGTTCGTGGCACGGAATACTTCCAAAATCTCCGTCAAGTTCGAGGTAGGGGCACGTTCTGAGATTTCGCAATCGACGACCATCAGAGTCTAAGCTTTCGTATTCTAGTGGCACATACCACACCAATATGGAAACCTTGTAGCGGTTCAGCCTGTTAGCGGTACCCTTCTGCCCAATGAGTCCATGGAGTTCGAATGCAGCTTCGCGCCGAATGCTGTGAGGAACTGGGTGATGAAGCTGCCGTGCTATTTCTGCCATGAACCTGATGGTAAGCACTCGCGGCCTCGAACAAGCCTTTATATGAGCTCACTCTCGTTTGGTTATGCGCTTGCAGAATCATCCGACGGCAGACCGCAGGATATGACTAAGCGACGATCGACGTTGACTGTCATCGGCCAAGGGATCAACGGAAGCATGGAAGCGAGCCCAGACGTGTTGGATCTCGGCGCCGTGCTAGTGAACTCCATCATCGAGCGAGATGTCCTCTTATCCAACCCCACTGCATGCGATGCACTATACGAATTGGAGATTACACGCAAAACACGGAAACCCCAGCAGCGATCCGAAAACCGCTCCAAGGACAATCTCAGCAGACGCTCCAAAGACGATCTTAGCAGACGCGGCGATGCTGCGGAAAGCTTAGAGCACACTGTGTCCGGCCCCTTCGAGGAATGCGGCATCGAGATCAAGCAGCTGTACCCGATCCTTCCTGCGCGATCACATCAGGCATTGCGGGTGAAGCTTTGCTTGCGCGAGCAGCAAAAACATGAGTTTACTGTTTACTACAGACTCAAGCTGCAGAGCCTTGATTCACGGCAAGGATTGGTCCCATCACAGCACAACGATGGGTTATCGGAACGACAACATCTATTCGACATCACCGCATTGGGGGTCCACCCACTTGTCCAGGTAACCGACATCCGATGCGAAGGCTACTCAAAATCGTACCTCTGGGAACTCTTCTCCCTCGAAAAGTTCAACAACGTAATGGCAAGCGTCGACCCCTCGCCAACCGTCACTCCCATCAACGAGTCATCCTTCCCAACCGACCAGCAGCCAGCGTACAGGTACAGCTCCAGCGCCAACATCCAAGGCCCCTCGGTCGACTTCGATTTCGGCGCGGCACCCCTGCGAAGCAAAGAGACGGTTTACCACGTCAATCTGCACAACTCGGGCGTGGTCCCCGTCGAATGGGTGTATTATTTCCCTAACGACCTACAGATTGAGGTGGAGCAGTGGGCTGATCCGGGAGACTACAGCGAGGAGCAGCTGCATTATAACTTCATCATGGACAATGAGCTGTTTTCGATTCAGCCGAAGAACGGGTGGCTGGACCCGCAGGAGAGCGTGCATGTGACCGTAACGTACAGCCATGAACATCCGGGGCACCATAAGATCCCCGTCGTATTCAAGCTGCGGAACGGGACAACGCAGTCTAGTAAGGAGGTTGTTATCAACTTCCTGGGGTATACAGCGAACCCAGACGCCAAATGCCTCCATTTCCATGAAACCGTCCACGAGTTCCATCCGGTCGAGGTGGGCGTGCTAGATCCACCGGTGCAGAAATACCATATCGTCAACCGCGGCCTCGTGTCGGTCGAATACACTTTGGACCTGACGCCGCTGGAGCAGATCAAACGGGAAAACCACAACGTAGACATCTTCGAATGCCGCAGAACATCGGGATACATCGCGCCTGGCGAGTCCGAGTCGTTCGATTGGGTGTTCCGCCCGATCGAAGCAAAGGAGTACGAGGTCGATATTCCCATCACTGTGACGGACGGTCAGACGCAGATCATCACGTTTCGCGGGCGCGGGGTCGATTTCCCGACCGTTGAAGATCCAGAGGACCGAACGGATCCGCAGGAGTACGGGGATATCATCCCGCCCATTCAGCTGCTTGAGATGCCAGAACAGCTGGCGAAACTCTCGAAGGAGCGCATCAATTTCGGACATATGCCAACTGGAGCGACGGTTCGGAATATCGTCGTCGTGACCAATCTGCATGAATCGTCCGAAGTGTCGTTCAAGTGGATCGTACCTGAGACGGTGACCGGGGGTAAACCTCTAAGTTCAAATCATGGAGGTCTCTCAACCCGCGCATTGCTAATGGCTGGCTTCTCTTTCCTCTCAGTTCTGTCCTTCACACCCCAATCCGGCATCCTCCACCCCTCCGAAACCCAAGTCTGCAAAGTCTCCCTAACCCCCTCCTTCTTCCCCGAAATGTTCCTCGTTGACGTCGTCTGCGAGATCATGGACGAGACCGCCCTCCACGAATACAACACCGCACGGGATACCATTGAGACCGCCCGACGGGAAGGGCGGCCGTTGAGTGTTGTGGAGCCGTTGTTGAGGAGGGACTCGGTTGCGGTGGGGAGTGGAGGGAGTTTGCATGATTTGACGAAGATGAAGTATAGGACTTTGCCGCCGATTTCGCCGCCGCCTGTGGCGTCGGGGACGAAGGTGGAGGCGGCGACGGCGGCTGGGCAGGGTGGAAGGAGACCGTCTTCAGCTCTCTCAGGTAGATGTCGCTACGCATGACCCCACTATGTAAACTCCATCCTAAATCGTGACCTCTAATCTTATCCTTCCTCGCAGTCGGCAGCGACATCGGCCTGCTAGGCCTCCCACCACCCCCCGAACCCTCGCTCCTCTTCCTAGCCATTGTCGGCCGCTCACATCCCGTCGAAGAGTGTCGCGCGCTGTACAGCGGGTACGAGGGATTCTTCTACAACCGACGGAGCGAGAGGCTCATCGCTGATGTGCAGAGTCCGGTATGTATCTCAGCCTGCGGTTCAGACCTTCTGGCGTCATAAGCACTCCGACTCATCCCTGCCATGAATGCCCCAGGTATTCACATCCCCAACCGCCCGCGCCACAATCCACGCCGCCCTCTCCTCCATCCTCGACGACGTCTTCCAAGACCCCACCATCCAAAACCTGCCCGGCGAACTCCGCCAGGACCCGCCGCCGTACTATGCGCAGATGGTCACGGGAAGGAAGATCAACGGGATCGAGCTGCAGAGGCCCGTGGACAGTGGGAGTAGTGAGGAGGAGTCGCTGGAGAGGACGTCGAGGGTCGCGGAGAGGATAGACGGGGTTCTGAGGTGGGTTATATCGTTGGTTCTTTTCTCGCTTTACTTTTATTATGGGACGACGTACTGACGTTTGGACCTTTGAAGGGAGTCTGAGTTCCAGAATCTGGTTGCTAGCGTCCTGGAAGGGACTCTGTACAATTTGATGCAGGAAGCCAATCTTGAAGAGTTTGATCTCACGAAGGAACAGATGGCTGTGGTGTTGCCGTAGATGTTGTTTTTTTGTACCATGTACCATAAACACGAGTCTTTCGGCGTGGCATCTCTTCCGTCGCTGCTTTCTCTCCCTTGTCAGAAACCTTCCGACTAAATGCTGTTATTCCGAAGGCCTGCAAGACCACTACCAGCAGCTGCAAGACAACTACTACTCAGACCCCTTCCCACCATCTCAATACCTTCCCGCAAAATGGCGCACCTACCCGGAAACCCAATCGAAGGCCCCCTAGTCTGGATCGACCTTGAGGTGCGCAAAACCCCCCCGCCCATCACAAGATGACGCTCCCTCACCCACCCCCCAGATGACAGGCCTCAACACGACAAAAGACCACATCATCGAAATCGCCACAATCATAACCGACGCCCACCTCCACATCATCGCCGAAATGCCCTCCCTCATAATCCACCAACCGCGCGCCGTCATGTCCGCCATGGACGACTGGTGCACGACCCATCACCGGGATTCCGGTCTCACATCCGCCGTTCTCGCCTCCACACTCAGCATCACCGACGCGGAGCGCCAGACACTCGCCTTCATCAAGAAATGGATACCAACGAAGGGTGAGGGGGTGCTCGCAGGCAACTCGGTCCACGTGGACAGGATGTTTCTGTGCAAGGAGTGTCCACAGTTGGTGGAGTGGTTGCATTATCGGATTGTGGACGTGAGTACTGTGAAGGAGCTTGTGAGGAGGTGGATGCCGGGGGTGGCGGATGGGGTGCCGCCAAAGGGGTTGAAGCATCGGTGAGTTGTGAGATTGCGGGTGGGGTGTTTTTGGAGTTGGGACTGATCTGTGAAAACAGAGCGTTGGATGATATTAGGGAGAGTATTGAGGAGCTTTGGTATTATCGGAAGGCGGCGTTTAGAAGTCCTTAGGGCTTTGGATGGGCGCTTGACGGGTTGCCAATTGGAGCATAGTAACCGGGAGGCAAACGGCGTAAGAAGCAAAATGCAAGGCGACATGTCTCAGACAATCATCAGGGGAAACTATACGTGGAGATGCAGGAACCTCCTCTAGTCTGTCTCATGCGTCCAGTCTTCCGCTTGGATATCTACGGCTGTTGAGTCCTCGTAGAGCAGATTGAGCAGGTGCCATCAGGTGCCATCAGGGCGGGGGGAGGGGGGCTCCGGTCGACGACACAAGTCACAACTCCCAAAACGCAAAATCTCTATCAATCTCCCCATATCAAAACCGGAGCGTAAACCTACTTACACTATGTACGGTGTGATTCGAATGCTAGGTACAGGTGGGGAGCTAATATGTCCACAGTATATGCTGGTGGAAGGACACTCGCCGGCGGTGGTATGCTCTCCCCTCTTTCCCAAACGCTTTGCAATAGAGAAAGTCCTTCATCCCTGTAACTCCGTCCTTTAGCCGGCTTTGGCAGGATCAATCAAGTCCGCCAAGGAGCTCCCCTCCGGAATCTAAAATAGGGGAAACCCTGCTCAGTAACTTCATACGTCGGCAAAGGAGTTCCCACTAATGACGTCGCGGTGATGCTCAATGTCGTAATGCTTGTGATTGATAAAAAAAAACCATTCTCATAATTTACAAATGTGCTCTAAACCCTACTCTCAAAACAGACCCCGCATGCGCCTTAATGCTGCTTCTTCTGCTTCGTGATATGCTGCCTCAGCACCTTCTGCTTCTCCCTCAGCGACCGCTTCGCCTTCCCCACTACACTCCGCTTATGCACCACCATCATGAACGCTTTGGTGGTCTTGGCCTTTTCGCGGTTGGTCTTGCTGCTCCGCTCTTCTTTGCCTTTACGAGAACCGTAGGTTTTGTCTTCGCGCCCGGACTTGATGGACGCGAGACGCGCTTCGTAGTCGTCTTTCCGGCGGATGCCGCGCATGATGCGGGAGACGTCGACCACGTCACTGAGGGGAGGGATTGGGGTTAGCTGTCATGTAGAGATATGCAGTTATCAAAAGCACTAATATGTCAAGCTTACCCATTGGTGTCCGAGTCCTCGTCGCCTTCCTCATCATCCGAGCTCACATCGATGTCTTCGGGGGTGAAGCTCAGACCGGCCATCTTGTTGGCAGCCTTGAGTTGCTGAATCTTGCGGAGTTTTCGGTGGTCCGCGTCGGTGAGAATCTGGCAAAGCGTTAGGACGTTAGCATCTCATTGCCCCCAGTTGCTGCCAATCGCAGACGTGGAATGCAGAAAAAAAAATACCTTTTCAGCTGCCAAGCCGAGCTTTTGCTTCTTGGGTGGGGAGGGTTCCGCATCCTTAGCAGCCCCCTCCGTGGTTTCTACAACTGTGATCTCTTCTGTCTCTTCAACTACAACCTCTTCCGCCTCCTCTTCCTCTTCCTCCGCATCGGAGTCAGCCTCGGCATCAGAGTCCTTTTCGTCCCCACCATCCAGACTGGCTTCTTCCCAACCTTCCCAACCATCTTCTCCCGTAGGCTTTTCGCCTTCGCTCGAGACGTCCTCCCAGCCTTCCTTGTCCTCATCGTCTTCGCCGTCAACAACTTCCTCGTCACTAGCCTCTTCCCAGCCTTCCCATCCGTCCTCCTGCTTGTCAGCGGTGGCCTCCTTAGCCGCAGCCTTCGCTCTCCGAGGATCCAGCATATCAGCGACCTCCAGAACGTCGTCGTTCAGGACTTCTCCGTATCGTGCGGGCTTGAAGTCCTTCAGGTTAACGGCGGCGGACCTTCCACGGTCCTTCTTCTTCAGCATCTCCGGGTTCACTTCCCGGTAGAGTCCGAGGAGAGATCGGGCCGCGTTCATGGGGCCTTTCTCCCTGGTGTTCTTGTAGTCCTCGATCAAGCTTTGCAGGAGACTCTCCGACATGGCGAGAGGACAACGTGCGCAGATCTCACGTAAGCCGTTCAGACCAGCCGTAACGACTTCAGAAGAGACGTTGTTCCATACAAAGTTGTCGGCGATCGCTTGGACCACAGGCGCGAGCGCGTCTGGAGGCACGAGATCGTGCGAACTTTGCGCTACGTACGCCAATATGGCGGTCACCTCGCGCTGGTGTGGCTTCAGGAACGAGACTACGTACTCGTAGAATCCGAACAATATCAACTTGTGCACACCAATCAGCCGGGACACCAAGTTCATCATCTGCAACCGAAGCTCGAAGCGGAACGCATTGGTTGATGTCGTGTGCTTCAAGCGAGAGAAGAGCTTTTCGGCAAATCCCTGAGGATCGTTCACCAGATGCAGAGCGGAGAAGTTGAAGATCTCCGCTCTCGCCCTGGCACGATCTTTCCGCTTGACGGTCGCCATGGCCTTGTCGAGCGCGGTCTTTTTCGACTTTTTCTTTTTATTGACGTGCATCATGTGCTTAATCGACTCGATGTTCGGGGCTTCCGTGTCCGAATCCTCATCCTCATCCTTCTTTTCGTTCGTTCCCAAGAAAAAGTGCAGGGCCGGTGCACAGAGTTTGGGCGACGGTGAGAAACAGGCTTCAACGATGACGTTGACGGTCTTGGCATCGTTCCACACGTTCTTTCCATACAAATCGATCATGACCTCCAGAGACTTTTTCGCAGCAACTTCGTTTGAGTCCTTCAACATGTTGTACATGAAGTTTTGGAGCGTTTTGTTGAGCTTATTGTTCTTCGACTTTGCATTAGCGTTCTTAATGTCGTTTACGATATGGTTGTGCAGCAGCGCACGAAGCTGCTTATCCTTCGCGCGGAACAGCGTAAAGAAGAGCGACAGTAAGCTTGTGGCGGAGATCAAATCCTTGTTCCTTAACAGAACTAAGGCTTGCACCATAGTCTTCCTCAAGTCCGGCTCGAGAATTTGGTAGTGGGTGGACAGCAGGTCCATTATTTGTTGGGGAAACTCTGCACATTGCTGGGTATAACACTGCGAGACGTGAGATATGAAGGTGATGAGGTCGGCGAACTCCTTGGCCTCCGAGTCGGGTTTGAGACGGAAGATGGCGAGCTCGCTCTCGTAGTGCCTCCATTGCTGGGAGAATTCTTCTTCGTAGGAGCGAGGGTCCCTCTTCATGAGGTTCTGCAGCTGCGGCAGGTTTGAGGCCAGGAACTCGGCCCTGCTTCGCTTGACCATGGGGGCGGTCTGGAGCGTTCTAAGCGGGTGGGGCGGTTGTGTTGGTTGTTGCAAACAGGGCGTTCAGCAATTGCAAGCCTGGGAGCGGATTGAACGAAAGGAAGAAAACCGAGAAATCCGTTGGAGGTCTTTGGGATCGACGGGCTTTTGCAGATCACGATTCACAGCAACTGGAGAACACGCGACCCTGCGCCACTTCTGCAGAAATCGACACCGCGAAACCCCGCCTATTTACTGTGCTATCTGCACGAACGACATGTGGGACTGGAGGACGTCGATGTAAGGGGCTTGCATTCGAAGAGGAAGAGGGAATAGGGACTAGCTGGCAGGAGTGCGCTACGATTGAAAGGCGTGAAGCAATGTCTGTGAATTTTGATACGTGATGAACCGGAAATATGCCCCAACGCACATGCAAAAACTAAAAAGGTTTGTTTAAACGACTTCTCCACTTGCTACAACAGAAACGACTAGGAAAAGCTACAGCAACCTGAACTGATCTAGAGCTCAAAGCCAGTCGTTAGTTTCTCTCAGTCTCTATGGACCGTACGAAGGTAGAATCCCACTCTGCGTCCTATCAATGTTCTTCGGTCCCGCATTCCAGCCCGCATTTCGCGGAATAAACCTCTTATCCACGCCGACCGCCTCCTGTGAGGTCGTGCGATATGCACGGAGTCCGCCGGGGAAATGGACCTGGTCTGGTTGCTGCGAAAGTCCGCCGCGGCTGTCGGATGGCTCGCCTGCTCCAGACTCCTCGTCGTACGCGGCGTATGTTGATCCTGATGCCTCCTCTGTTTCGCTTTTGGGTTGGGCTGGATGTGCGTTTAGGAACGCACTTGCCGCTTGGACCTGGATTCATGAGAAGAAAAGAAGTTCAAAGACATGTTTCCGCTTCATCAAACAATCTCCACCAAAACAAACCGTAAGATTCCCCAAACTAGTCCAGCTCTTCTTCAACTCCTCACTAAACGTCTGAAACATAGACCCTCGACGGCGCAAATGGTCTCCGGGACCCCCCTCGACACCAGCCTCTGGATCGCCAATATGGGCCGAGCTGCGGCCGAACGGGCTAGTGGGGCCGCTGAAGGACCCGTATCGCGAGAACTGGGGACCGCCAGTCGCGAGGTTGCTTAACGAGCCGCGTTGGTCCTTTGGCCGGTCGTGGTGTGACGGTAGCATATTTGGATATGAGCTTTGCAGGCTATGGGGCAGTGTCTCGGTGAGCTTTTCGGCTAACTTGTTTCGTACAGGACAGTGGAGTGAAAATGTGGTAGCGATTGACTTGCTGTGTTGGTATTGCGACAGAGGGACGATATGTCGAGAAGAGACTGACGCAGAAAACGTTGAAGCTGACGCTTTCCGCTGCTCGGCGGGCCTTTTATATGGCTCGTATTCGCCTGCCCCACCGCAAATAAGCTTAAACTTGGAGGTGCGTCATGTGTAAACACAATTTGCCGTTCTCGCTGGCTCTTACTGTACCGAAGACCCGTGAAGCCCTGGTCATTCTAGCATATGCAGTAAACACTCTTGGATTCCCAATAATGTGTGAACAGCACGTCCAATGACATGCGGTGGTGAATGTACGCCTGGTTCGACACTTGAAGCCGCTGTTTCGGACTGAGACATCTCAAATCTATATACTGCTTGGGTACCTCTCCATTTTCCCCTCCGTACTTCGGACCCTTATTCACCTCGCCGTATCTTGGGTCAGAAGTATACAAACTACGCCGTCCCTCTTTTATTCTAGATCTAGGGTCTACTGTATGTTTCAACTACGCTTCATTGAGCTTCCACCGGGAGGTCAACTCGACCAGCGGCAGCGGCAGCAGCAGCCTCCTCGATCTTCTTCAAAGCCGCCTTTGCCTTATTCACATTCCTCCCCTTCAACCAACTCTTCCCACCACCGCTCTCCAACGCCGGGATGCTAACCTCCAACCCCGCCTTCCACGCCACATCCATCGCCTCAGCCGCCGTACACGCCACATCCGGCGCAACCCCAACACCCTCCCAATCCTTCCCCTTCAACGGACCCCGCAACTCTCCCCACGTGACAGAGCTCGGGATGAAGATATCCATGCGCGGGTGGATCCACTCATAATTACCCGACCGCCCCCCGCCTGCGGTGTTCTCGCCGACGATTGTCGCGCGGCCGGATGCTTTGGCACAGAAGGTGAAATGCTCGGCGGCGCTGAAGGTGCGCGCGCTAGTGAGGACCCACACAGGCCTGTCAGCACCGTAGCGTTTGCCGGGGACGACGGAGTAAAGATGGCCTGTGGTGGTAGTGTTGGTGGTGCGATCGCGCATGGAGACGGTGGGGAGCCGGGAGGGTGGCATCAGGTAGGAGAGGAGGAGGTCGGGGGAGTTTTCGTCGCCGCCGCCGTTGAAACGCATGTCGATGATGAGGCCGAGGGTGTTGCTGAGGAGTTGGAAGGCTGCAGCGTAGGTATCGCCGAGCAGATGGCTGCCGGGGAAGAGGTCTATGCGCAGATACCCTTGAGAGGAGAAGGGGGCCGGAAACCAAAATGCGTAAGATCGAGCCCAAAATGCGTCTAGAGCAAATATTACTCGTGCAATTGAACATACCAATGTTCCCATCCAACACCCGCACCTCCGTCACTCCGTTATTGAAATTGAGATAATCCTCCGCCCAATCTTCCCCACTTCCCTCATTCACCACGGCATGCGTGATCTGTTCCCTCTTCTCCTCAGTAGGCTCCGGCTTCGGGTTCAGTATCTCCTCATCGCGTACAACGACCTGCAGGTGCTTATCATTTGACAGCCTTGCGAGCTCCTCGTTGAGTAGATCGGCAAGGAGTGGAAGGGATTGGTTGTGAGAGTAGGGGAATTCGCCGTTATCTTTGGCACGGAGGCCGGCGGCGATGGCGTTGCCTTCCGAAGGGACGCAGTATTTGGTTTCGAGGTGCGTGATGATGTTTTGGATGATCGACTGCACGGCGGCCGGGGAGCCAACGAAGGCTGGCTTCTCGGCGGTGGCCGGGACGGCGGTCTCTGAGACGGTCATGGCTTGAGGCTGATACTTACTGTATATTACCCACGACGAGATGCCATTGAAGGGCGAGCGGGGGCCAGCGCCTCTTCTTATAGCCCGGCCGTTGGTGCTTGTCCACAAGGAGGTGCTCCATTGCGCGTCCGCCAAGAAGGCCAAGAGGCCAGATGGGTCCACGGAAACAAAGTCGACACCTCTTTCCACGACGGCCTCTTCTTTCCACGACGGCCGCCGCAATCGAAGACGGACACGTTCTGTAGAGCTACATACATACATTAGTTAGGCTACGTACTGTAGTCTCCAAGGGAGGCATCTGCTCCCGCTTCTCAACAGGAACTCGCAAACTGTGCTGTCTGCAGAATCGGGTAGCAGGTCCCCTGGACCCAGACCTCATCCCAATTTCAGTTAAGGTTGTGTTTACAGATGGCAAGCTTGGCGCCGAGCGTGGCCAACAGGTCTGAAGATGGTGACGGAATGCGACGTCCCATATGAGTGCAGCCCAGAATTCTATAGGGGATAACTGAGAGAATTCTGAGTATATCAAATTACTACTCCCGCATTCTGTCTGTAAAACCGTGAAAAGAAGGGAAAGATGGAAGCGCCAAGGTTGCCTCCCCGCCGAACGCAGAATAACGGAAAACGAGGGGAAGCCTCGAACGCAGGTTCAACCAGAAGCCTCGTTGCAACATCAGCGACCGACCTTCAGCCATCCCAGCAGCACGAACAGGGACCGCCAGTACGACGCCGGCCAAAAGAGGTGGAAGAGATACTCTCTCGTGCCCCAAGCGTACCGTCGACTTGGCCGCCGGAGGAAGAGATGGAGACACATACCAGTCATGATGGGGGCCAGGAGGAAGTCGACGGGATAGCGCTGAGACTCGCGGCTGTGGGTGTGGACGATGCGCCTCAGCTGCCGCCTAGGAACGATAAGTATCGCGAGGCGTTTGGTGATACCGTACCCATCGACCAGCCCCCGCCGCCGTATAATGCGGAATTCACGCCAAAAGTTGCGCATTCTGGCGTTGCAGCTAGTGAGAAACGGCGAACCGTTAGCGAGACGCCAAGTCTGCCAAATGTCACAGCTGGAGAACCGCAGGCTCCCGCGATACAGGTCACACCCATCGAAGGTGCCGATACCGACGCTCCTACAGAATCGCCGCAACCTGCATTACACCGCCGATGCTATTCCGACATTTCCACTGGATCGCGCGAGAGTGAGCCGTCCGCGCCGCCAGAAGGTGCAGTGAAAGGCCCAGCAAAACCACCTCGGCATACACATCTCAACAGTCCAGACTGGCGGCTGAGATTTGCGGAAACGCGGGGGCACGCTTCGGATGTGGAGGTCCGTTCGTATCCAGACGCGGAAGATGAACAGGCAGAAAAGCTCGAAGCGATTGTTCCGCTTGAGCCGGAGGTGGGAACGAAAGTAGCAGAAAGCAGCGGCAATGGTAATAACAATGGGCCACCAAGTCCAGGTCCCGGTCCTGGCCCTGGCCCAAGCGGCAATGGATCTCCCTACTTCCCCCGATCAAGCACCAATCTCTCCACCGCACCCATCGAGTATCCCACCCTCAGCCACGCACCCGCCCGCAACCCACTCCACCCCGAACCGACCTGGGTGGAACTCCGCGAAGAATGGGAACCCGGCATGGACCCCTCCTTTGGCTCGCGTGCAAAGATTTCGAGTTTGTTCACGGGAAAGGGGTGGAAGGAGACGCCGTGGAAGAAGGTGTGGATAGAATTGGTACCGGAGGATGGGTGGAAACTTGTGCTGTATGATGTCGTGAAGGTTCGTGCGGCGAATGGGGAGACTGCGTACCAGGTGAGTTCTCTTAGCGCACATCCAGAACATGCTTCCATTTCTCAATTTCTCACTTATGTATGAACATCTTTGCAGCGGAAGAGCAATACACCTCCAGTACAGGTCCTGAGTCTACGGTATTCCAGCGTTACGCCGCCTCGGACCGGGTACGGCTCGAGCAGACCGGACATTTTGTGCATACGACTCGTGAGTGGGAGATATATTGTCCTCTCCTTCCCGTCGTCTACGTCGCGGTCAGCTTGGTCGAAAGGTGTGAAGTCTGCCGTGGAGATGGCGACACGAGCGCCACTTCAACGGGGAGGTGGTTAGAAAGAAGAACCCGTCCCACAAGCATATGCAACACAGACAAATCATAGCGCAAACGTAAACCAGTGGCTCCTTTCTCCTAACTGAGATGGCAAATGGCACAAATTATCTTTTAATAGAATTGAAACCAAAAGGATCTGCCGAATATATGCATGCGTCCGTTCGCGAATACGCCAAGTTGATCAAATGTGTATCTATGTTGTACGTTGATCTATGCATAAGTGGAGTTCTGAGCCAGGTACATCGCATACCAAAGAGCCTTGAACCGCATTCAAAGGTCCGGCATCCGCGGCGCGTCCCGCCGAAGCTGGTCTGCCCAGCACAAACCCACCATCGGTCCCGGCATATATACTTGTACCCAGAGTAGCCGCAGCATTTGGAATTGCGGCAGGTGAGGTGACAGCCGTCGACTCCGCTCTGTCCGCATTCGTGCACCGAAACTGGAGGTCCGTATCCTGCACGCCCGTCCCGGCAGTGAAGGGTTTTACCTTCCCACCCACGTAATGTAGAAACCGAACAACCATCCCAGATTCCAAGTCCTTGACCGTATCCAACGCCAACGTCCCCTTCGTAGGGTCTCCACCAGTCACCCGGCACACCGTCGACCCCTTCCCATCCTCCACTCGTACATACAGCTGCTTCTCAGCGGAAACATGCTTGTTCATCTCGCGATCCTTCATGAACCCGAGCAGCTCCTTTGCGGCGTTTGTCCCATCAAGAGCCAGAATGATGTTTCCGCGTGCGTTGGTTATCACAGTAGGCTCGCCGATATCCTCCAAATCAGTGTACCCTGTGCTTGCTATGGGTTGCAGCGATTTCGAAAGCAACGCGGCGCCAATGACCCCTCCCGAGTACACTTTGTCATTATAATACAGCGTGTGAGGTCGGCCGGTAGCGAAAGGGGTCATTGCGCCAATGAGACCCACTTTAACAGCCTTGGGGAAGGTCCTGTCCAAAGTCTGCAGGAACTGGTGCGGTTCCCGATCGGAAAACGTCAAGAAGACTGGCGGTTCAGAGTGCCGCACGGCCTCCAGCTCATCTGGCAATGGCACGTTCCCACCCCCCATCGAAACGGTGGTAAACCGCTTCCAGTCGAACCCTTCCGCGCCGTTCTCCCCGTCATCCACAGCGGACCCGCGGCTGCGCATGAGATCCGGCCACCGTCCGACCGATTTCTGCTTGACGTGCCGAACGGAATCCTCGTCTGTTCGGTACGTGACTACTTGAGCTGCTTCGTCGTCTTCCATCACGGTTATATTCAGTCCTGGGCCGTTTAATTCGCCTTTTCGCCCGACGAGGTCGACAACTGCACCGATCAGGGCACGAGGCCCGAGGACTCGAGAAACCACCTCGCCGAGACTTTCAAGGTGGTGCTTTGGATAGTGAGTTGTGGCGAGCACGATGCATAGTGCCGGCGGCTTCGTTTGGGCGGGCGGTCCTGTTTCCGAAATGTTGGTGGATAAACTTGCGGGTTTGGCGGTGTGGCGGTTTTCGAGAGCTGTTATGCAACTCCTGACGGCATCTTCCAGGGAGGAAGAGCTCGACGTGGCGGTTGTCCAAAGAGTCCTTCCAGGTGTGATATTCCTGCAACGTACGCAGCGAGCTTCCACCTTCCATCTGGGGAAGATTCTTGGCCAAACCTTCGGAACACGCTGAAGCATTTTGCCGGTAATGAACGGACCTCGTTGAACAGGTTGGGTACTGACTACAGAAGGACTGCGATCTACTGTACCTATGGTGACTTCGAAAGGTGATTGCGAGGATGGTGTAGATCTAGCGAGGAAATGGAAAGCGCTGGCCCTAATGTCCGCCTTGGGAACACCTTTTGCTCCTTTTGATGCCGACGCGTTTTTTCCCACCGCTTCTCCGCCCAAGCACAGTTTGCCAGCCTCTGATTGGCATTTCGCTGCATTTCCACAGGAATCGCCGCCTCCACCTTCCAGTATGTTATCCCTGCGAGCGTTGAAGGCCATACGGGCAGCGGCTCTCCCTCCGCGGCCTAACTATTGCCGCATTCCACACCGTTCCTACAACAAACCCCGCCGTCCACCCCGCCAACAACAACCACCTCAAACAAGCCAGCAACAAGCCTACCAACCACCCCCAAATCAGTCCCACCCCCATCCCCAACCCCAAAACGATCTCCCCCCAAAAACCCTCCTCTACATCCTTGGCGGCTACTTTGCCGTCGTCAACGCCGGCTCCGTGGGTCTCTTCTGGTACGACAAGCAGCAGGCGCAACGGAGAGGGTGGCGGGTGCCGGAGAAGCAGTTGCAGTTCAGTGCGCTTCTGGGAGGGTGGGTCGGTGGGATGTGGGCGATGAAGACGTTTCGGCATAAGACTGTTAAGCAGTCGTTTAAGGAGCCCTACATGGTTAGTAGAATGTTTTGGAAATAGCGGTTGGCAGAGAGGGTTAGGGCTGACCATTTATCTTACTATCACGATAGATGTGCGTGGCAGGAAACGTGTTGGCTTGCATGGGTGCCGCCGCGGCGTGGAAGTTCCGGATATTGAACTTTTCTCAGTTGCTTGGGCGGAACCTGCGTATACCACGGCGATAGGATCGAGATTTAGTGCGAGTAGATTTAGAAACTCAGTGGACATGGGCCGAAACGAAATCTCTCCAATCCGCCGCCAATAGAATGTGATGAACACTTCAGAAGGATCGTGGGCGTCGAGTCAGCAACCGGGAAGGGCTGCCGCAAACGTCATAGTTCGCGACCGCTTCTCTCATTGCTCCCGAACGGCAGCTGTACATGTAGCAACCACAGACTAGGTCGCTTCAGATGCCAAATCTCTTCAAATTGCTAGTCTCTATATACACACGTGTTTTTGCGAGAATCATCAAGCGGATCCTCGAGGTCCCAGTTTGGCCAACGACCGGACACCCTGCTCGTCCCATTCCGCCTTTGTCACCCAGAAGGATTCCCTGTTCTTCATGATGTCTCCCAAGACGGAACCTCCCAAGAAGACGGCGTGTTTACGTCTTGGGGGGTCTTCGACTTGGATTTTGAATTTCTGTTGTGGTGGGGATATGTGAAAGTTAGGCAGGTCCCACAACGAACGGGAAAGCGGGAATAAGTACTTACGCTCAACCGGGAGGTGTCACCCTTCAATACGCGTTCGAGGTAAAGCTGCTTCATCTCCTTCTCGAGACGACTTGGCAGGCCAGGGTACATGGAGGTTCCGCCGGATAGGACGATGTGTTTGTAGAGTTCGGGGCGGACGTCCATATCCGCTGCGTTGATGGTGTTGAAGAGTAATTCTGCAGAAAACAAGTTAAAGCGGTATTTTGTAGAGAGGCGATGGGAAATGATGTAACTCACCAGCTACACCGGGCGATTCGACATCGACGAGATGTGGGGAGAAGAGTGCCTCGGGTGCCTGGAACCTTTCAGATCCGACCTTGATTACGCGTCCGTCAGGCAGCTTCGAGAAACATGGGTCAGAATGCAGTCCAATACACGTATTTCATATTCAAGATTCCCACTTACGGTGTACTCCTCCATGAGCACCGTCGTCTCGTTGGCTAGCTTTTGCTCCAGATCCAGGTCGTATCTACATAGCCCGATATTCCCATTAATCACCGCAAAGCATGGATATCTCATCCTCAAATCACGGACTCACCCAATGTAGCACACTTTCTCCTTCAGCTCGCGCACCGTCTCGAAATCTGCTGTCCTGTTGAAGGCGTAACCGCGCAGGAGTAACAGTTTGATGAGGTACCGGGTGATATCCCGTCCCGCGACGTCGAGACGGCGAGTGAGGTGAGGAAGCGCGTAACCGTCATATACGGGAACGATGTGCGTGACACCATCCCCAGAGTCGACGACGGCACCGGTTTGCAGTCCTGTTCAGGAAGCACGAACGATTAGCAGTGTATCGTCACTGCCCTTTTTCGTACGGCAAACCACAAACCTTGAGCATATAGCGTCAAAACCGCCTGAATCGCGACGTACACCCCATTGAACCCATACTGCTCAAACATAGCCTCACACATCAGCTCCCTATTCCTTTTCGGGTTCATGGCCGGCTCGGTCAACAAGATCTTGTGATCCGCAAAGTTCTCAATCTTCAGCTTCTCGCGAAACGTGTAGTCCCACAGGTGGTGCATGTCGTCCCAGTTGCGCACGATCCCGTTCTCCATCGGGTACGTCATCTGCAGCATGCTGCGGAGCGCAGCCGCTTCGTCGCCGACCATGATGTCTTTGAGTACGACATCGCCGATGCGTTCTTCAGAACGGAGGATGGGCCGCCCGACGACCGCGGGGAACGTCGCTTCGGGGAAGTGTTCGCCGGCGTAGCCGCATTTGACGAACTGATGGTGGGGAAAGTTAGAGGCGGTCAGTTTTTCTATGTCACATGAACACTCGGGATATCCCCGACGATGGAGCGGCCATCCTACGCACCCCAGTTCCGTTATCGCAAACGATGACTTCTTTCGTTGGCATTTTTGGACGCTCGTGACGTGAGTGAGGGTGGGTAGAAACGGAAGGATAGCGAAGCCGGACGCCGAGCTCCGAAAGGGTTTATATGTGGTTCGTCGGGCGTTGTAATCGGTGCTGCCAAGACACTGCCAAGACCGCCGATTGCGTCGTTGTGTTGCAGTTGGGCGTAAGGTGGTGTTCGTTGTGCCGTGTCATGATGGGCAAGTGGCGGTCGGGTGTGAGCAGCGGTTTTTTAACGAGGAGCGCAGTTTGCGTGTTCTCAAGTGGCGTCGGTCGGTGAAACCCGTCAATCCAGTTTCCCTCACTCAGGCATTACACTCTCGAAGAGCCATGGTCGTCAATTATAATGTAGTCAAGATAAATACGCAGTGTCCAGTAACATTCATTAGGTAGGAAAGTAGCAGATACAAAAGGTGAACAAAAAAATCTATCGCAGGCGGTGACTTTAAAAAGTATGGATGGCTTGTAAGCCTCCGTTGATATGATTACAAAACGGTCTGCCGCAGAGCCCGCTAAGCAAGTGTCCAAGAGCTACACCGGGAATCAGCACGGCAAGGATATAATTTTCCCAATGCCTAATTCTTCCCAATGTCCAATCTCATACCCCCCTACTCCGTCAGCACACCCGCCTCCCTGTCCCGCCGCAACATCTCCTTCTCCTCCGCCACTTTCCGCAAGTGCGCCCGCGCATCCTCACCCATATCCTCCACCATCCGTGCAAACCACGCATCTTCCACCGACGCATCCTTGGCCAGCAACTCAAACGGCGTGCCCGATTCAACGAGACATCCGTCGTCCAGCACCATTATATGGTCGTAATCGATGACGGTGTTCAGACGATGCGCGATGGTGAGCACCGTCGCGTCGGCAAACATCCCGTCACGGATTGCGGATTGGAGCAGTGCGTCGGTGCGCAGATCGACGGCGGAGGTCGCTTCGTCCATGACGATCAGCTTCGTGTTCCGTAGGATGGCTCGCGCGAGACAGATGAGTTGCCGTTCGCCTACACTCCAATTGCCCCCGTTCTCCGCAACCTCCGCGTCCAGTTTGCCCGGCCCGTTGGCCACGCGATCTTTGAGCTCGACAACTCCTAGTACCTTCCAGATCACGTCATCGGGCACGGTGCCGAACGGGTCGACGTTGAAGCGGAGGTTGCCTTTGAAGCAGAACGGCTCCTGAGGGATGATACTGATCCGGCTACGGAGGTCTTGCAGACAGACGTCGGAGGTTTTGATGCCGTCGATGACGACGCAGCCTTCGGGGGTCGGGTTGACGATGCGGAAGAGGGCTTGGAGGAATGACGATTTCCCTGCACCCGTTCGCCCCACGATTCCTACTTTTGTTCCTGCTGGAATGGTTTTGGTGATGCCGCGGAGGACCGGTTTGGCTGTTCCCGGGTAGGTCAGCGACATGCCTGAGAGCTTGACTTCACCGCCCGACGGCCATGATTCTGGCGGCTGGCCGTTGGTGGCGGCGTGCACAGCCCGGGACCGCTTGATGTCCTCCTCCGTTTCTTCTGGTGGCAGGTCGGTGTACTCCAGCACACGCTCAACAGAAACCATGTAGTTCTCCACCTCCGCGGATTGCCGCACGCACCATTGCAGCAGACCGGTAAGCTGCAGCACATAGCTGAGAAGCAGTCCAATGAGACCCGGTCGCAGACCCATCGAGTCGCGTAACCCGACGGCCGCGAACGCAATAACGGCCAAAAACAGCGCGCTCCCAACGTCAAGACGGAACCCAAGCCACCTCGCGCAACTCAAGAACATAAAGTACTTGCTCGTGTTGTCGTTCTGCAGGTTAACGAACCGGTCCTCGAACTGTCGTTCGGCGCTGAACGCACGCACGGTGCTCAGACCTTCGATGGTGGATGGGAAGCTGGAGTAGACGGGGGAGCGGGTGACGGCCTCGATACGTTTGATTTGGCGGGAGGTTTCGATGTATGCCGTGCGGAGGAAGTAGAACGCTAGGGCGATGAAGGGTACGAGGACCAAGAGGTAGGGGATGACGACGACGCTGATGACGAGGGTGCCGACGACCATGAAGGCACACTGGATAAAGTCGAAGAAGGTCTGTGGCAGCATTTCGTCGAGTAGGTTGATATCCTTCGAGAAACGGTTCATGAGCCGGCCGTGGGGGTTGTTTTGGAAGAAGCTCATCTGGACTTTGAAGACGCTGGCGACCATCTTCTGGAACAGTACTTTGCCGGCCCGCCAGCTCACAAAGAAGAAGAGTAGGGCACGGAACATGCTGACTACCACGGTTACGAATACGAAGATGGTGAATACCCACGCGTTGGTAGCGTTTCTCTTTCCCTCTTCGTTGGATTGCGACCACCGTGAGAGCCACCAGTTTCCGACGTCCATGATGGCTTCACCGGCAATGAGCATGATGATCAATGTGACAGTAGTGAGGACCGACGATCCTGACGAGAAGTACTTGTAGTATGCGTCGCCAGAGATGGATCCGACTGTAAGAGTCTCCTTGGACATCTCCGTATGTGCGTCCGTAGCGTCTGGCGTCTTGGCCTTCTTCCCGTCCTCCGCCTTCGGCCGGGCGCTCGGGACAACAGAGGTGGTATTGGTGTCAACCGACACCGACGGCGACTCCGGCGCAAGTATATCCTCCTCATCTTCAAGCGACTTGTCCATATCCGCAGGTTTCTCCGCGAAATCCTTCAACGCCGACGCAAACACGCTGTCCTTCGTGTTCATCACCTCAGCAAACGATCCCTCGCCAGCGATCCGCCCGCCTTCCATGACCACGACGTGGTCACAGCCTTGGATATATTGCAGTTGGTGAGTTACCAGCACCCGCGCCTTGTCCTTGAGGATCCCGTTGATGCACTTTTCGAACAAGTGCCGGCCGACGTTGGCGTCAACGGCGCTCAGTGGGTCGTCCAGGAAGTAGATGTCGGCGTTGTAGTACACCGCTCGGGCAAGCGCCAGACGTGCCCTCTGGCCTCCACTAAGAGTCACTCCTCGCTCGCCGATGACGGTATCGATCCCGTTGGCGAACCGGCTGACGTCCCGCTCCATGGCACAAGCGCGGATAACCTCCCAGAACCACGTCTCCTCAAACGGCCTTCCAAAGAGGATGTTCTCCTTGATCGTCCCCGTCAGAATCCACGGGTTCTGGCTACAATAGGCCAGGCGACGTGACCGCAGGCCCAGCTTCGTTTCGGGGGATGAGTACATCTCCCCCAGGAGAGCGTTGAGCAGCGAGCTTTTCCCTGCCCCGACAGGACCACATACGCCGATGACCTGTCCCTTCCGCACCGTCAGGTCGATGTTATTCAGGATCGGCCTGACCTGCTCCGCAGCCTCCTCCAACGTCTGATGAACAACCTCCTTATTCTCCAACGACTGCACCCCTCCAGCCCAGGCAAAGGTTCCATTGCGCACGGCAACCATGATGGTAGGGTCGTTGAGGGTGTCGATGAACTCTACTTGCTTGTGATGCGCTTCTTCGGTTTCCATGTCGGGGAGGGCGAGGAACGCTTCGATACGTTGGAGGGAGATGCGGGATTCGGAGGTGAACTGGAGGGCTTTGGGGAAGAAGTTGGTTACGGTTAGACGGACGTTTGATAGGTAGACGAGACAGGTGAACACCTGGAGGAGAAGAGATGAGATGCATGGGTGAGTATGCGGTGGAGTATGGAGGGTAGACTGGAAAGTGCAATATAACTCACTTTAGCGGGTGTCAACAGTCCTCCCATCAGAAAGTAAGTGACGAAAGCGAACAGAGAAGTGAGGCTAGACGACGCAAAATACAAAGCTTCGTTGATTGCCCGCAACACGGAAGCCTTCTTGATGTATCGCAGTTCCGTGTTCCTCAACTCGTCAATCTTCTTGATAAACGGAATCTCCCAAGCGTACAGCTTCACAACCATGATCCCGCCAAGCATATCGGAGATGGTCTTGATCCGGTCGTCACGGAAGACAACGAGCTTCTTCCTCAGCTTTGCAAACTGGGCCGCGAACGCCGTCTGCATGGGGATGACCAGCAACAGGGACCCGATGGCCGGGAACGCCGCCCATGAGATTTGGATGTACATGAGGTAAAGCGCCATAGCTAGCTCGACAGGTGCGATCCAAGCGTAATGCGCAAACGGCCCGGCGTCCTCGAAGCGCTGCACGTCGTTGGACACCAGGTTGACGATCAACCCCGTCGACGACGCATTCGACACGGATAGGTTGAGGCACTTCCGGTAAATCGCGGCAATGAACGCAACCCTAATCTGCGTCCCCGTCCTCATCCCCTGCAGAAACACAACATGGTGCAAGATCGCATGCATTGCGACACAAATCGACACCCCCAACGCCCATAAAAACCCCTCCCTCTTCGTCGCATTCGGATCCTGGAACCACTGTAGCAGGTATCCCAGAGTCAACCCCTCTCCCATCTTGAAGCACGATTCCAGCAGGTACCAGAACCCCGCTATAGTGTACTGGCGGCCGAACACCTTGCCGACCACCCGCCACAGTTTCGCCCCGCTGTGGCCATGCAGCTTGACCTCCTTGTCCCACTCCTCCAGGATACGCCCGGAGAGGTACCGCGACTCGTCGACGGCTTCGATGGTGGGGAACTCTTCTGGCCGTAACTCGCGACGGGCGCCTCGGCCGACCATTTCGTCCATGTAGGTGTAAGTCCATTTTGCGAGGAATGAGGAGTTCTCGCGCCGGGGGCATTCGCTGTAGTCGTTGAGGTTCTTCTTCCATAGCATGCGGCGGAAGAAGGTTTTCTTTTCTGGTTCACCGGTGGAGGTAATGCCGGCGGCGACGGGGACTTGCTTCTCGGTGGGCGTGGCGACGAGTTCGTCTTTGCCTATCTGCGCGGGAATGAACTCCTCGTGCGTGCCCGGCACATCGACAGCGGTGCTGCCGGTCTCGACCAGCTCGAAGGTGTTCTTCTTGTCGGACATGACGACGAAAGCAGCCGGTGTTTTCCCTTTTACAACCCTAGCCTATATCACTCTTTTTACAGAGGCAGGAGGTTCTTGCGAAACTGCTTTATAGAAGAATATGTTGCGAAGAGTCCCTCCTCAGTGACTGCCCACATAATACGACCAGCCAGCACCTCATCATATAGGTCGTAGCAAGGAACAATCCATGGCCGGGCACTCCCACCAGCGTCAGACAGGAATAATCTCGGGGGGGTTTAGCCGCGAGTACTTTCTCAGTCTGTCTGTGTGTGGCCTTTTTTTTTGTTTGATGAAACGATCGCGGAACCGTTCGCAGGGGGGGTGCAGATCACTTGCGCTCATCATCGCGAGAACTCCTCACTGTCAGTTTATGACGCTTCCCTGATGGCTTCGAGCGCATACCAAAGACCAAGCCCTGCCCCAGCTCCGTGCTACCGGCGGAACTCTCCCATTCCCCGATTCTGCACAGGGCGTGGACATCGGGACGCGCGCAGGCGACGATTCCCCACGGTTCCGGCGCGCGTCCGCCATTTCAAATCCGACCCAACTTCCCCACGATGAACTCGGTCGGTGCTATCATCAGGGTCTGTGGAGTCTGGCCGTTCCGTCGTGGGGAGGGGTGGGCGCGTCACTTGCCCATATCCACAGCGGGAGTTCGACGACATTTTCGTTGATTGTATATAGGAAAGTGATGGGAGAGGAACGGATAGGAGCGGGAGGGCTGTCCAATAGATGTGACACCGCTTCCGTATGATTTTTTTTTTGGATTCGGTTGAGGGACCGTGACTCCCCCCCGTTCCATATGGCGGAGGTTTGCGACATGGGCACGCCGACGATACATATGTACTGTACTGTACCTCTTCATCGAATTGAACGTGGGGCAGCGGCTCGTACGGAACGTGTCAGCAGCAGCCGTACCGCACCGCACAGAGAGGTTTGCAGCGGGATGTCTTTCCTCTGAACGCGTTGAGTCGGTGTGACATCCTGTACGCGTAGCATGGGACTCGGGCATTTGTCATGTCATATACGGCGGACTTGACCAATCCTGTATGGGTTGGAAGGAGGGTCCGTCGGCAAAGCGTGCCCCAAACCCGCCTCCAAAATCTACAAGATGGAAGGTGGGGGCAGCACGCACGGATCGTTTCGAGCAGGACGGCCGGGTGGACGTGCATTGAATGCCCCTTTTCGTCCATGGACGGGAAATATTGGATATGAAGCGCATCGGATGTGATGCCGCTAGCTTACATTCAATCAACTACACTACCACCACTATGCTATGCAGTAAACTATATGAAACCCCACATCGGGTCATTGATGCCAGCCTCCGAACCTCCCGAACGCCTGCGCTCAAATCGTAGGCGCCCTCCTCAACACCCCATCTCCACTCCCCGCCGCCTTCCTCGCCCCCACAGCAGGCTTCAGCATACTCAACAAGAAATTAGCCGGGATCCCATTCACCTGCAACTTCGTCGGTTTGCGAAGCAGCCGATCCACATCCTTTTCCCCTGCCTTCGACTCCTTCGTAGGCGATGTCGATGATGACGAGGGCGTGGAGGACGACGTCTTCCCCTCTGCAGCAGCAGCCGCCGTCGGGTTGCCCTGCTTCCCCTTCTCGGCAGCCATCTTCTTGACCTCCGCATCGCTATCCAACCCCCGGGCCAAAAACTCGGGGGTGAGCTTAACCGCCGAATCGTTGATGATGATCCCACTGTCCCGCTCCAACTTCCGCTTCACCGCGCTGATCCGCGCGGGGATGCTATTCACAATCCGGCGTAACTCCATCACCGACACGTCGGCAAACAGCGCCTGGACCGCTTCCGACATGCCGCGGATGTCCGCGATCGTGTCCAGGAGTTGTTGGTACGTCGCCGTCAGTGAGGCGTCCGTAGCGGCGAGTTTGGTGGTGATGAGCGTGTATTGCGGGAAATCTTGCTGTTGGTGCTGGTTCTTGAGGTGTAGGTAGCGTTCCCAGGCTTGCCGGGCGGCGAGGGTGTTCTCGCGCGGGGGTTCTTTTTCGGAGAAGGTGGTTTGGGACGTGGGGAAGCGCGGGCCCATTGTGAGGGCGATTTCGTCGAGGGTGTGTTTCTGGGTGGATTCATCGAAGCGGTATAGGTGGCCTACATCAAAATCGATGAGAACAATGAGCCAGATGTACAAGAGCCAGGAAACGTGATACCCCACGGTCAAAAAATACATACCTCGCAACATAACCTGCGACTCCCCCCCTTCCACCCCTGCAAAATCCGTCTCCTTCGCATTTGGCAAATCAATCGCATTCGTCCACTCCTTCCCCGGCCACAGCTGGCACGCTTTCGCCGGAATCTTTTCTAGGTTGTCCGTGAGGCGATAACCCTCTAGCCAGCCTCGACGCACGAGGGTGAATAGGAACCCTCGAGCTGTGTTGGTCGCCGATCGACACTTTTCTAGGAGATCTTCGATGTTGCCGCCGGGGGCTTGCATGTAGCCCAGCATCTAATATAAATACACAGGAATCAGAACCGGCTTCACAATCGTACATCATTGTCGCAACAAAAATCTTACCTCCATATACAAGTCATTCTTCTCCGCCTCAACATCCACTTTCGGGGCCACCTTCGCCGGTTCAGCAGCCGCTGCCTTTGGTGCCGACGGCGCGACCTTTCGAAGTTTCCTCCTCCTGTTTGGATCACGCAATTCGGCCAAGAATGCAGATTGTGCATCTACGGGCTCTGCTTCCACCGCTGGTTGAGCGGACGCACCCGGTGGTGGTGGCGGCGGCGGCGGTGGGCCACTGCCCATCATCGGTGGTGGAGGTGGCGCCGGTGGACCGCCCATCATTGGTGGTGGGGGTGGTGGAGGGGGTGCACCTCCCATCATTGGTGGCGGCGGCGGGGGCGGAGGAGGGCCTCCCATCATCGGTGGTGGTGGTGGAGGAGGAGGAGGACCGCCCATCATCGGCGGCGGGGGTGGTGGAGGCGGTGGCCCACCCATCATGGGCGGCGGAGGTGGTGGCGGAGGAGGGCCTCCCATCACCGGCGGTGGGGGTGGTGGTGGAGGTGGACCTCCAAGTACTGGCGGTGGGGGTGGTGGAGGTGGCGGAGCGCTGAGGGTTGGTGGCGGAGGAGAAGCGCTGACCATTGGTGGCGGCGGCGGTGGTGGTGGAGAGGGAGCACTAAACACAGGCGGCGGCGTTGGAGCTGGCGGTAAAGCGATAGCTACTTGGGGCGGTGAAGGTAACGGTGGACGAGGCGGCGACCTCAATGGTATGTTAGCGTGTAATGTAAATTGGCGGTGCGCGGCCGGTGGGGATACAGGTGCCTGTTCCTCGGCGTCGAGGTCTGCTATAAGCGATGGAGATAGATCTTCCCTCCTCTCGGATGTCTTTCGTCTCACAGCCGTCCTGCGTCCCAGCTTTCCCGGCACGGAGATTGTTGGGCCTCTTACGACGTTCAACTCATCGTTCTCCGTCTGCGCCTCTGCTGCTGGTGCATTTGAAAGCGCCGCTGTTTCCGCTGCAGTCGGTACGCTCAGCGACCCCTGTCTCGCCGGTGATGGGAATTTTGCGAATGCCTTTTGGAATTGCTCGGGTACTTTTTCGACCTCCTCGGCAAACAACGCTACGATGACATGATCCTTCCCGTGGATGCTGGCAACGGACTCGTCGTTTCCACATTGCCTTCCTTCCAACGTTCGCGCCGTGACCAACTCGCTACCACTACCGAGCTTGCTCGACGCCGCCTTCAACAGGTCGATTAGTTCCACATTGTCGGGAACGATACATGGTACCTTTCCCTTTGACGTTATGACTGTAAACTCGAGACTCCGATTTGGGGAGTTTAACGGCGTGAAATGTCCAGTTGACGTCGTTCGGACGGGTGAACTTGATGGAGACCGAAGTGCTGAGGTCGCTGCAGGTGAGGTTGGAGCTGTTCCGATTGATGCTGCGAGGAGGTTTGGTTGGCCGTCTGGGTTGAGCAGCAGGTCCCTCACTCTACTTCTACGAGCCGCCATTTCTCACACCAGTGCTTGGAGCTTGCAGTGATCGAGTCCGAAGTGTTTAAGCTTCCGGTTTCTATTTAGGTGCGGTTCTTTCCGCCAGCGAGCTGACTATTCCGTGCGTGTGCGCGAGCAACCGGCGCTCTTGCTTGCTCTTGAACGAAGTGGGGGTGCTCCTCTCGTTTGTGAGGGATCTTGGAGCGAGGCCTGAGAGTTGAGTCTTGTCTTGTTGGAGGAAGGATGGAGCGAGGCTTTGAATCCGACAAGTTGATGGGCAATGGGAGCGAGAGAGCATGATGATCGTCCATATGGATTCATTGCTTACGTACGCGTATGACTTCGGGGGGGCTTTGTGACTGCGCCCTCCGTCTCGCACTCTTCCTCATCATGCTCAAACCCCAGGCTTACTGTTTTTTACATGCAGCTTGACCTTCTCCGATGCGCACATGCCCAATTGCAGTTAGTACGTAAGCCCATGCCCGCTCCTTAGGTGCTGTGCTTGAAGGTGGGATTGAATGCCTCGGGAGGATCTGGACGGAGCTTCCGTAAAGGACAGATGTCCATAAGTAAGGTTTAGTTTCGAATGCTCACAGACCACTTGATGAATATGCTCCATAGACTTTAATGAGACGGACAGACTGGACCTCCTGTCATCTCATTCCATCCTATTGTTGATGACGGACGGCCGGGGTCAAAGGAACGCGGACCCACAGGCAGCGTGTAGTGGGAGTGTGGGGTCGAATGCATCACTGACAACATGGCCCCACCTTTTGGCGAGGCGCGTTTGAACTTTTGCAAGCAGCCCGTCCGCTCCGTCCGTGGATGTCTTCCGCTACCTTCCGACTCGCCGCCAAAGCGACTGCGCTGCATGCAGCCAAACAACACCCACACAACACTCCGCTGCCCAGCCATATTTATAGAACCTGCTGCCAGCCCCGGCTTCCGGCCACCGTCACCCCGTTTCTGATCCTCTCCGTCCTCTCTGTTCCTCTCCGCCTCGCATCCTCCTTGCCTTCTGTGCCGGCCGGTCACCGTGGAAAACTGAGTGAACCTTCAGCCCGCACAAACAACAGACACCAGAAGAGAGGCCACGCCGCGGAGCGAAGGGAGAAGACGGTGGAAGAGCACACCTCCGCAACGGGACTGAAACCAGCGTTTGGTCGTTCCATATCCTCAATTCGTCTTTAAAGTTTCAACCCAAGCCGTCGTAATCGCGTCACAGTCCTTTCCAAACTAAGCTGTCCAATTGCCGCCAAGCATGCCGCTTCTCGCCTCGGACCTCCTCAGAAAGGCGGCCTTGGCGGCCGCCCGCCCGCTCACACCGGAAACCGATGATACGGACGAAGGATACGACGACGACGATTTCCCAGAACAATTCCCTTTCTGGTACAATGCGCCCAGCGGAGTGCAAAAGATGAGCGACGAGAAAGGAGGAATAGATGCGAAGCGTCAGAAGCGACGAAAGGGCGGTTCCATAGACGATCTACGACCACCCACACCACCATCGCCGAAACTAAACAGACGAGCCTCATACTTGGACCACGATTCCGTTCTGCAGTACTTTGTCGCCAGCGGTGACGAAGAGACGAAACTCGATCGATACCTGACAGGCATCATCGATGCATTTCTCACCGAGCCTTCGCCTGTATACGCGACGCAGCCTGATACCCCGGAATCACTGAAAGCCAAATTCAACAATGCCCAGGTCCCACTCCGTCGCAAATCCGTCGGAAAGAGCGGCACATCCGCCGAAGATTACCTCAAAGCCGTCAAAGCAAACGTCGTCGACCGAGCCACTCGAGTCTCCTCCCCGAAAATGATCGGCCACATGACCACCGCCCTGCCCTATTTCCACCGCCCACTGGCCCGCTTACTAGCGGCCCTGAACCAGAACGTCGTCAAGCTCGAAACGGCGTCGACAATGACGTACCTCGAACGAGAAACGGTCGCGATGCTGCATCGCGAGTTTTACAAGGAGTGTCCTGCGTTCTATCAGAAATATATTCATAGCCCGGAACATTCCCTGGGCGTCTTTTGCTCGGGAGGCACTATTGCGAATATCACCGCCATGTGGGCCGCGCGGAATCGGGCATTACCTGCTGATAATGAGACGGATGCTGGATTCAGGGGCGTTGATAAGGAAGGGCTATACAAAGCGCTGTCGTATTACGGATACAAAGGCGCGGTCATTGTAGGGAGTCGGCTCATGCACTACTCGTTCAAGAAAGCAGCGGATCTGCTTGGGTTGGGAGACGATGGGTTGATCACAATCGATGCAGATGACCAGTTCCGGATGCGGGTAGATGAGCTCGAGACACGGCTGGCTGAGCTAAAAGCAGCAAACATATTGGTCGTGGCGGTTGTGGGGATCGCAGGGACGACTGAAACGGGGTCCATCGACCCTCTGGAGCGTATCGCCTCGGTGTGCGCCTCCAACAAGATCCATTTCCACGTTGATGCCGCCTGGGGCGGCCCTCTCATCTTCTCCACCGAGCACTGCCGCAAACTCTCCGGCATCCAATACGCCGACACCATCACCATCGACGGCCACAAGCAGCTCTACACCCCCATGGGCCTCGGTCTCGTCCTCTACAAAGCCCCCACAACAGCACAAGCGATCCGCAAAACCGCCAACTACATCATCCGGCACGACTCCCTCGACCTCGGCAAATTCACCCTCGAGGGATCCCGCCCAGCGACCTCCCTCCACCTCCACGCCTCCCTCAACCTCCTCGGCCGCGACGGCCTGGAATGCCTCGTTACGCGCAGCGCCACCCTCGCCCGCCAGATGAGCGTTAGGGTCGGGACACACCCCACGGGAGCGTTCCAGGCCCTGCATACACCGGAAACAAACATCTTCCTCTGCCGGTATATCCCCACATCCCTCCGCGAGAAAGTCCATGAAGGAGATGAACCACTGACGGACACAGAGGACGAGTTTGTGGCTGAATGCACCCGTCGCGTCCAAACCACCCTCGCAGCCGTCGGAACACCCTCCGCCGCCGGCCTCGAAGCCGCAGCCCGTTCATCCGATGACACATCCCCCACCGACCCCCACCTCGAACCCCACACAACGTCCCTCCCTTTACCCGCCCAGGAATTCACCGGCTTCGTCTCACGCACCCGCGTCCGCTTCCAAAACCGCGACGTGGACGCGTTCCGGATCGTGATTGCGAACCCGTTGACGAGTTGGGATGATGTGGAGGATGTGGTTAGGCATATGGTTATTATTGGGGAGCGGGTTGAGAAGGATGTCTGGCGGGAGCGGTTTATGGGGGTTTTGGGTGCCGCTGATGAGGTGACGGCGGCGGTGGATGGTGCAGGCGGAGTGCCCGCGCCGGTGCAGGTGGTGAGGAAGCGGTCTTCGATGACGATTTTGCCGGATCGGCCGAAAGTCGAGAGGAACAGTGGGGAGGATGAGCGGTGGAAAACTCTGAAAGTGCCTGACGTCGGCGAGAAGCCATGGGTTGGGTGGCCCTACGACATATGAACCCCCGGGATGGGGTTCGCACTTCCCCGTTCTGGGGACTTTGGGACCCGCCATTTTCCATACCCCCGTTCTCATCAGAGACGATGCTCATCGGCTGTAGCATTCCCTTCCCTTGATTATTTGATGTACATAGTCAGACGTAGATTTTTTGTTGAGCTGATTCAGAACAGATGCTTTCATATGGATTCACACAAATATGAGATACGCCGCCGTCGCTTTCCAAACTTCATCGCCTACATGAACAAAACTCCCGTACATACTCCAGACTCATCCCCCACCTCCCACCCCCTCCCCCAAACACCTCCCCCCATACCAAACCCTCACCCCCGCCTCCCCCCTCACCATCCTGACCCCGGGCAAAAGGTACTGCGTGGCCCTATTCATCGTAAACCCCACACACCGCCTCCCGACCCTCTCGACCACCGCCAAAATCATCGGCCGCACACTCCCCAAGCACACCTCCACCGCCGCCCTCGTGTACCCCTCATAGCAGGCCATGACCGCGATCGTGCCGGCGGACTCGCGCGCGAGCGTGCCCTCGAGCTCGCGCAGGTATTTGGGCCCGAGCGGCGTGCGCGACGCTTTGCATTGGACTATGATGGGCACGGTGTGCGGTGCGGACGACCCCGCCGAGCCGGAGAGCACCCATTTGCCGCGGAGGTCGACGCCTTTGTCGTTGGCGCCGCCGACGCGGCGGAGGTCCATGTGGAACGAGCGGAGGCTGGCGATGGTGTCGCTTTCGAAGGCGGTGCCGATCTCGACCATCGATGCGGGGGTTGTCGGAGTGTTGGTTGGATGATTACGTGCGGTGGGTGGTTGGGCTGCCGGGGAGGATTGGAAGGGGCGGGTTGGGAGGTGCGGGGCTGGTGACTTGCGAAGTGGGCTTTGAGGACGGCGGGACGTGGATGGAAACGGTCCATGGTGGATGTTGGCTGAAAGGTGAAATGGATTCCTTGGTGGCCGTATTATCCGTGCAATCCGAATGGTGAATGGACAGCAGGCCCTGAGCGGTGACACTGTTGTGGGCATCTCGACGTGGGTGCGGCGGATGGCTTCCTTTCGAACTTGGTTGGAAATCGAGATGGATGCCGGTCAAAGAAGCTGCATGTCTTCATGCCCGAACTTTTGACGTGCAGGACTTCCAGGACGCGTTGAACCGGCGCGTTGGTTTGACCTGCAGATCCATCCCCATTCGCAACTTCCAAGTGACGGCGGAGAGTGTAAATAGATTACTGCATAGACAGGTGCCCGCCTGCAACATCGTAACGAAAGTGCTGAGCTATCCGACTCGGTTCTCTATTTACCACTACGATACGCCGATGAACGCAATTACGCATCCAAATCAATTAGCTCCCTAATCTTCCCCGTCAACTTCTCCTCATCCTCCTTCGGCAACAGCATCCGCTTCCAATCCGCAGCGTGCGGAACACCCATCAGCTCCGCCAGCACTTTTCGTCCAAACTGTAGATTCATGATCCGCGGCGGGTGCCGCCTTCCCGCTTGCTCTGCTTCGGCCACCTGTTGCTGATACTCCTCCATGCGGTCCGGGGAGGGACGGAAGACGAGAATTTTCGTTTCAGAGGGGGTGGAGGAGGATGTCGGGAGTTCCACGCGACAGTACATGTCGGATTCTAAGTCGGGTAGGTTGGCGTTGGGGATGAGCTCTAGACCTTCTTCTTCGGCTTCTTTCATGAACGCGGTTTCGAGCTCCGGAAGTGATTTGTCGGACATTGGCACCACCTATGCGGTTCGTTGTTGGTGAAGAGTTCAACGCCGAAGTGATGTGCTTGCAGACACCGTCCACGTACCTGTAAATGCATGTGCTGCAGAGTATCTGCCAGTGCACCCTCGGCCCCACCGCCAAACATCTCGAAACACACCATCACATCCCCTCTCGCCTTGTAAAGCTCCCTGATCTTCTCCTTGATTCCCTCCATCTCTTTCAAGGCATTTTGTGCCGACTCGCCCTCTTCCCCTTCCAACGTCTGCATTTGACGCGTGCTTGTGTTATGCGCGATGGGAACAAGCAAGAAGTGCCCGCCCCAGTCTACTAGACCGCCTTTTGCTAAGGTGAGATAGACCTCGTTTCCAATGGAGACGATCAGGTGTTTTTCAACTTGCGGGTTCGACAGGCAGAACCAACATTGGCCAGCTGACAAAAAAGCAGTGTTAAAATTTTGAGCGCCTATTGATAACGGCTATCGCGACATACCTTCTCGTTTCTTCAACAATTCCGCGGGTCGTTGTTGCTTTTCGGGACAATCCTGTATCCAATGTCCGGGAGCATTGCATATCCGACACACGTACTCCGCCGGCGGTGCCCCTCTGCCGCCTTGTGGACAATCCTGAACCCAATGTCCAGGCTCATTGCATTTGTGGCAAATGTAAGTCGATGGTGGCGGTTCTGCAGGGGCCGAGGATAAGTGATAATCCCCATCTCAAATGGAAACCAGAAGAATCTGCGTACTTCGTTCGCCTTGATGACGCTTATTCCGGCCCCCATCCGAGCTCGTTGAATTGAAGAAAAAGCTGTCCGACATCTGACAGCTGGAAATCAGCCACGGGCTCATCTCATAGACCCCACCAGCTCAAAGCGCTGTTCTTATTACCTCATCCGCTGGTCGTTTCCTTCCGCCGTCCGCAGCGGCAGAAGAGAACGGCAAAGGCGTAGTATTTGGTGGAACGGCGGCGAGTTGTACCAGATCGATTTTGGACATGGGCACAATGTTCATCGCATAGAACCACTGGAAAATAGGGTAGCCTCAGAATCTACCAGTCGACCCACTTGAATCGGAATCAGCTCACCCTTTGCTTCTTGTTTGCTGGCTCGAAGTCCCCCACGGCAATGAAGCGTGTAACATGCCTCGCCCCTCCTCGATTTCTATACGGTTCACGCTCAAAGAATCCGCCAGCAGCAAAATGGTAGCGCGGTTGCAGAGCCACTGCTACTTCCGTAATGGCGTTCGTTCCCTTTGCTTGTCCTTCGCTCACTTTCGCCCCTGCCGGCGACCCATTGAGTATGCCCTCCGCCCACTCCGTTGTAATGAGAATGTCGACTCCCAAGGCAACACCTGGTGCTTTTCCGCATAATGCTTGCACGGTCCCTTCTGAAAATCGCTCGCTCCGCGCAGACTCCGCAGGGCCTGAACTTCCACTCAAGTATGCAATCTTCAGCCCCTCGGCGGTGCTATATATCCCGCTTGCGCCTAGATACACCAGCTGCTCGGCGATTTCGCCGAAGTTGCTCGAGGCATTGTTAAGAGCTTCTGCGGGAAGTTTCTCCCTTCCAGTGATAATATACGTGGGTAGAGGAACTTTCAAACTTCCACTGAGGACACCCTGCACATCCGCACTGGTCGTCTCCGATGAACCAAAGAAGTCACCAACGCACAGCACCAAGTCGAAGGGTCCGTGCTTCGCGTTGATAGAATTGATCTTGCCGAACGCTGTTTGCAATTTGCCATTCAGCGCTCCGACGACCAACCTGGCACGTGAAGGAGTGAGCATTCCAATGCACGATTCGTTGTATTTCACGGGGACTTGCGGGCAACATACGCTTTGACCGGCCTCGACATACTGAAACGGAGGTGCTGCTCAGCGACGCCTGTTGATATCAGCTAATAGCGATGGTCTGGAAGTCGATGGCTTGAGGCACCTTTTGTGTGTTGTCGGGTCGGTCTCGAATGCCAAAAGCTGTCGCGTTTCTGACATAAGCATCGGAGTTCTCACTCTCCAAGACCGTTTCCCTGCAGCAGCAGCAAACTTGAACTTAAGCTTAACCTGAGCGGTTTGAAGCGGACGCTGTTGTGCTGGATCTCCTCTGAGGCACTTTGCTAGAACTACACGTAAATACGCAATATGGGCCAACTTCGGTGGTGATTGAAATCAATGCATATTTTTGCGGCCGCTCAGGTCTCGTACACGGAACTACTGTTGACTCAAGCTCCATGGCAACCACTCGGCAGTCAAGCACGCCAACCCCTCTCACCAGCATGATGGTTCATCCGGACCTTCTCATTGATGGCCAGGGCACCGAGACGCCATGGTCTCAGTCGGATGAGCATGCGCTCAGCAGACAAGCGACTGTGACAGCGCTGAACTCGTCGAGTCGGAGTCTCATACCACGCTTTGTCGGACCGTCGAGCGGTACGCCCGAGCGTACGAGAACACCTGAATCCCGGCCCTCCCCAAATGTTGCAATCAGCGCCCAGGATCTAGCACTGCATCCGATGTTGACCATCGTTCTCACACCGCATCAACCAGTTGCCGCTGGATCATCGGTCGCTCAGGCTCCAACTCGAAGGGTGTTGACGGATGGAATCACACTCAAACTTGGGAGACGGGTCCGGAATCGCGATCAGCAGACCGCGAACGCGCAGAGCACCATTAGCGCTGGAACATCCTCTGCCGCAAATGTGGCATCAGGGGTCAGCTTTCCGTTCACAAGCAAGCCAGCGATGACAGCCGCTGGGGTTCCGTTGAACAACCCGGCGAGCAGAAAGGGGTCGGATTGCGTATTCTTCAACTCCAAAGTCGTCTCTCGTTGCCATGCGGAACTGTGGACACGGGATGGAGAGGTCTACCTGAAAGACACGGCCAGCAGCAGTGGAACATTCCTAAATCGGTTACGGCTGAGCCCCAGCGGGAAAGAAAGTCGTCCATATCTTGTGAGAAGTGGAGATCTTATCCAATTGGGGATAGACTATGTGGGGACTCCGCAGAAGGAGGATGTTGTGAGAGGTAGCTTCCCAAGCTGTTCTGACTTGCACTCGCCAAGCTACTTTGTGACTCAAAGTACTTTGACTACCTTCAGAGACATATAAAGCACCGATGCTCCAAATCAAAATCGTTCAGGACACATCACGCCCACCAACCAAGAGCAAACCCCTCCTGAGGCATCTGTTCCAAGAAGCCTTGGGGGCATTACTCACACTCGCCAATCCGTACTCATCGAATCGAAATGCAAAGTGCGCTTGTGTGCGGTCAAATCCACAACATCCAGCCCCTGACCCACCTCAGTGCGTGATCTGCCTTTCGGGGATGGGCCCATATCAAGCGCTGTTCTTGGCCCCATGCTCGCACGCATATCATTTCAAGTGCGTCAAATCGATACTATACCAAGGCCACATGTTTTCCTGTCCGCTTTGTCGGCAGGCGGCGAATCTGGACGCCAGCGTGAGCATGGATAGCTTGTGCGATCTCGCCAACGGGATAGACAGCGAGGATAATGAGGGGGAAAAGCCTTCCCTTGGTGAGTTCGATGCTTTTCATCGTGGACGTAGATGCCGCAGCTCAATGTGGGCCGCGCCACTTCCCTGTGCTTTCAGACATTGCTCTCGCTCACGACGACATCATGGATTATTCCTCCTCGCCAACCGTTCAAGACATTCACGACACCTCAGGCGCCCGAGAGGCCCTCGAGGGATTAAGCCTTGAATCCTCCGCGAAGCCACAGATCCATACTCTTTCGAGATCTCAGAGTACGAGTTGAGAATAAGATCATTGTTGGCTAGACATACTGTAATGCAACTGGGCTATATAATGCTGCCATAATGTGCGTGCGTAGGAGCAGAGAGAGAGATGCACAGTATTCCTCGAGTGATCTCAGAATGAGACAGTAATGGAATGCCCCTTATTTTAAGTTTTGCTAGGGGGGTCTGTCAAGTACTGTGGGATGTAGGAACGACGGCGGGGTGTTCTGGCCGCTAATTCGCCATGACACACTTATGACCGACTTGCACTTGCGCTATTGATTGGACGTAGGGGCGGCGAGCTTTTCGTGGCTTGGAGCAACCTGAAGGATAAAGGTTCCATAGGATTTGAAACAAAGAGGTTCGGTGCAAAGCACATGACAAGGCCGAAACGACAGAAGGCTGTTGAAGAATGAACGCGTCTCTCGTACGTAATCACAAAGTCCGCCCATCATCACAACCGGTGAAGAACCATAAATAGTATCCCTTTGTCGGGTTTAACTTCGCACAGCTCCTGACGCCCCGGTACCACCAATATTTGGATCTTGGAGCGTCTCCGATGCTTGTGAGATGACCAAAAGCCCCTTGATAGCTTCGAGAACGCACCTGTCGCCGCCCCTACGAAATATTACATTCGACTGCGTAGTTTCTGGTCTGACCGCCCTCGTCGAGCGTCCACAGAATCTCTGCGTTCAGCCTAGCCGTCTCCCTCTCTGAGCAGTAGTAGAATAAATTGGGAAAGAACATATCCGTAGCTTTATCGTTGTGCGCTTGCTATCCGACGCACCTCGGGCTCTTTTTCGCGTGCCAGCCATGCAAAACCTGAATCGCAACAAGTATAAGATCACACTGACTGCTGTACTGCAAGAGGAACATGAGTCGCCATTTGCCTTGGAGGACTTCGAGAAATTCGTAGCCAAAGAGCACTCGGAGGTATGAACGAGGCCGGCTTCTCAAGCGGCAATCATCGCCAGCAGAGGCTAAGCCTTACACCTCAATAGGAAAATCTAGATTTTTGGAATGCCGTGAATGCATATCGGGTGAAAGCATCGCGAGTCTTCCCCAACTGCCCGCCAACCCTTCGCGTTCGCCGACAAGGGTCCCACTCTTCCATGCGAAGCATCTCAGCCGCCTTCCAATCCACAGCATCACTGGGAAGCAAACACCTTTTGCACAGCACGTCAGAAGAAGCCCTACCAGAAAAAGATGCCCAAGTCGACCCAGCAGATCAGGAGAAATTAAAAGACGATATTGATGCGATCGTAAAGACGTACCTACTGCCTGGCAGCGAGAAGGAGGTCAATTTGCCTGCGCTCATGAGGAAAAAGGTGCTGGCCGAAATAACGGAGAAGAAGAATTGGCATCCAGATGTTTTCAAGACTCCCCTAGAGCACGTATATACCATCGTAAGTGGTCTTTCCGACTGACATTGACGGTTGATGAACTGTTATTAATGGGGCGCTCGACAGATGAAAACATCAACATACCCAAATTTCTACAAGCAAGCATGTGCGTACTTGACGGAAAGAAATCTGCCATTTCCAGACCGTCGAATCTCCGAAACCGGGGAAACGGAGTATGAACGGGAGAGACAGAATGGAGTGAGGGATGAAGGCACTGTACAATGAGGACGGAACCTGTGCACAACCGGAAGTTGCGGTGGAATCCTTCCATCGGGGTTGTTACTTTTCATAACTTCATAGACGCGAGGACTCCCTTCACTCGCTTACGGACTATGATCCCTTCAAAATGGAAACTGCTTTTTCCCTCATTCGCCTGTTTGTGGTGTAGATCTTTCTCAATACTTCGCAATTTTGTCAGTCTTAATACAGATCATCTGTAGAAGAAGGACGCCCCCAAGAAGATATCCGCGCAACAAAACATAGCACTCCAAAAATCATATACAAGAAAGACGAGCATCAGAAAGAAATAGACGTTTTACGGCTGGGTCGTTACTGAGGAAGAAGTAGCAGCCGTCCCAGTAGTCTCAGACCCGGCAGCAACCGTGACGTACACCGTCACCGTAGCAGCAGGAGGGCATAGCGGACACGACGGGCAGAATACTTGCGGACATGATGTTGGCGCTTTTCCATCGAGACCATGTTCTGGTTTACTACTCCGCCCTGCACTCTCCGCATTCCGGTCCGCGGTCGACGTCGTGGGAAAGCCGACTTGACCAATCAAGGATCCAAGAACCAAGAAAGCCAATCCACACAAAACCAACAGGGAAAGCGGATATGTCCCTTGCCCGTTGGCCCGTGCCCTGAAACGGAACCACGATGTCACGTTTGACGAGGTTGGATCTTGTTCTCGTTCGGCTGCTGAAATTGGACGTCGCTTTGGCACTACATCACCCTCAGCGTCATTGAATGGCGGCGGTGTTTCCATTTGTCGGTCTGCTGCTAGCATATCCAGCATGGCTTGACTTGCGTTTGTGACGGCTGATGAGGGCGTGCCGTTTGAGAATGACATCGCTTTCTTTTCTTGACTCGGAGACGAATAACCGCCGCCGCTTGGGTGATTGCGCTTTGTCGCCGATGTGGATGGTAAGGGCATACTTGCGATACGTAACGGGTTCTGTAGAGGAGTGTAGACAGTTCAGCATCACTCTCATGACGCAACATATACATGTGCCATTCTACCTTCGCTTCCAAACCTGGGGAGTTGGTCGGTCTTCTGCGGTTCAGGAATGATCCGAAGCCCAGTCCTCCCTGAGGCTCGGACCCGGATGGACCGCCTGCCAACTGCGCCAGATCTGTGCTTGAGTTTTCGTGCCATTTTGAAACCTCGCTCGATCGTGCGGACCCAAAGGAATTCCGACTAATAACATGATTACGAGCATTCAGTACCACTCAGAATGAGATGAGTGAACTCCATGATGCACAAACCTGGTCTTGCGAGATATCTTTCCCCGCTGCTTTCCACTGGGCTTCGTGATCGCCACTCGCGTATCGTTCACCGTGACTGGACACGAGTAATCGCCACCCACCGGCGCAGACCAAACCCCAGCGACTCCGATCCGCTTCTGAGTTGCAGGACTGATCCTCAAGTTGCAACTTACAGTTGCAGCTGCCGATGTTAACGACGTCCTTTTTTGCTGACGGGGCACGTTCTCCACCAGCCAAACCTTTACACGATGCTTGGATCCATACGCAGTTGGAGCGATCAGAGACGGTATTGGGCGACTGGAGCTGTCCTTATTCTTGTCGGGCTCAGGAACCAGAGACTCGAGCGGTGACGTCTCTTCCCCTGACTCGGTGCTGGCGCTGTTGATCGTGGGCGAAACCTTCGCAGTGCTTTTGGGAAAATGCGTGGCACTGTGCGTTGGGGGCGGTGGCACCTCTTCAATCTCGACTTCCAATACTTCGGAATCCGCGGTCATTTTCGAGTCATAGTCAACCTTGTAGCCGCTCCGATACCGAGTGAGGTCAATGACGATGTCCGTCACAAGAACACGGCGACCCTCCAGGTCGCTCAATGAATCAACTTCAGCATCGAGGGTCGTTGCCGCTTCAGACGCCTTCCTTGGCGTTTTTGCGAGAGACCCTTCATATGTGAACACGAACGCGACGGCATATTGACTGGTGGCGTGCGTAAAGTCCTCGCTAGTGACGTTGAAGCTGGTGAGCTGTAACTTGCCATTCGCCCCATCTTGGTTACTGCCCCCGATGGTCGTGTTCACTATATATGGTGGCACTCCATGTTCCTTCAAATATGCCTCCACGCGCGCTGGATGCTTCGGCGCGTTTCCGACAATCATGCTGTACAGGCCGCGCCAATGTGATATCGAGCCTCCAAGATCGATTTGAAAGTAAAATGTCGCTTTCGTGGACGGTATTGGGTATTGTTGACTAGCGTACGGATCAACCGGTTCTAGGATCCAGCCGCAGATAGGCAGAGTTCCTCGCACAGCGCCCTTAATCATGCAGCTAAGCATATCTGGGCGGATGAGGTCCTCGTTTATGCTGGATGTCGCTATTGCTATGGTGGGAGAACCAGTGTTCCCTTGAACCGACACCGTATGCTCGTGTGATATCACGTACATGTCCCTTCGGCTCATGGGATACATGGTCGCGTAGGTGAGATATGACAATGCAATACCATTATTGCAGTGCTCAAGGTACTTGGCTCCATCAAGCAGGTCGTCCCATACTTGTCTACACCCGTACGACTTGATGACTGCTGCAATATCCATGGGCGCAAAGTTCTCGATGACCTTTTCGCTTTTCATGATAGGTACGAAGCCGACCACATCCTTCCTGTGAAGATTCAGGCCGGACGAGCCCCCCGTGACAGCAGTCCATCCCTCAACGCTGTTATGCGTCTTCAAGAGTTTGGCGGTGGTCGATATGGCGGTTTTCTTCACGCCACTCAAACGGGCAATCTCCGACTCATTCGCGGGTGGTTCTGGCCGACACTGTGTGCCACTTGCGGGAATCGCTGGGCGCACGCTATCCACAGATGGAGCACTGACCCCTTTCGAACCGGGATCATCCATTGGCGAACCTGATGATTTCGCTGTCGATATTTCCAGCTCTGCGGCTCTGGTCCTAGGGAGAGTTTGCGCCGCTGGCTGATCAACTGGTTGCGGTGCTGAAGGCAGGGCCTTTGTCTCTTCATGAGCGATCTCCCCTTCAAACTCAGGCAAAACTTGCTTGACGCCATTGAGGAGGATTCCGGACCCTGCTTGGCCTTTGGCTATCTGTACATTGATATTCTCATCGGCCAAAGGCTCCCAACTTACAATCACGGAAGCAGCGCCGTATTTGCGAACTCGCCGCAGCCTGACAGTTGCTGAAGAAGTTATCGCCACGTTGCCTTGCGACCACGTTGAGAGATCAACGCGAACGTCAAGTGTCTTCGCTGTTCCATCTGCGACTGCGGACCGTGACTTTGCCGATAGAGTAAACTTCAGATATGGGTGAGAGTATTCGGTTTTATCAATGTGGCATCCTAGAGGGCACTTCACTGTGTACGGCGGGGCGCCATGCTTCCGCACGTGGGACATAACCGCATCAACCGCGAGCGGGATCTGCGTTGAGACCGCGTTCAGGAGACTAGACGGGATCCACCCTTTTGGATCAAACTACGTGGACGTAGAGTCAGCAAGAGTGGGCTAAGGAAGGTCAAACGAAATAAGCTACGCACCTTGATGATATGAGTGATCTTCACATTATCGTCAGGTAGAAGTTCCAGATCCCAGCCAGCAACTTCTACAATTGCGCGGACCCAGCCACTCTTCAAAGCTGGTATTGCTGGGTCATCCGAGACAGAAGTGACAAAGGCTTGCACCCGATCCTGCCCGTCGATCATCGTGCTGACAACAATAGCATCACGCGCGCTGTAACAAAATGCGTATAAGCTCCTCCGAACGGTAAAAAGATGCTTCGGCATGGCTGACCCACACCTGACCTTGTAGGCCAAACCGCCTTGTTGAGTGCATGTTGAATAGTGCTAACTGGACACAGATGTTCCACCAAAACGCTATCTTCGACGTTCGAGTCCCCTGCGCGATCCCGTTAGTTCCAGCTGTGAAAGTTCTCTTCCTCCATACTCAACTCACAAAGTTTTCTCGCGCCAGCAGTTTGCAGCACCGCCAACGCATCCCACAGAGCTTGCCGCCCTCCAGCAAACACCCCCGCACCCTTTAGGATGCCTATCGGATGATCTAATACTTCTCGCTTGTAAATGGCGATGTCCCGTTGTGTCGTGACAAGCCTTAAAGTGCTATCCCATAGCAAAGTGTTGAAAAAGTCGAAAGCCTCGATGACCTTGTTGAGGAATCGATGCTGATACAGGGGAAGACTAATGTTCTGCGTCATCGACGTTCGACAAGGTATTGCTGGTTCTACCGCCTCTTTCTTCGCAGTCATAAGGGCGGCGGCCTCATCGTTTGTGGACGAATGGCCTATATGAATTAGAGATGCTTGACGGGACCTGATGTCCGGAGGAACGGTCATTTCCAGCAGCGTTCCGTTTACCTCTACTCCAGGTGCGTCCTGTACGCTGAGCTGGATGCTAAAAGCGGATGGCCTCCGCTGCTCCTCAAAGAGACATGCGACGAGGTAGCCTCCTTCCTCATCCGCCGTCACCTCCACCAATTTGTTGAGATCCGTCTCGACTTCACCATTTGAGGTCTCCATCGCGAGCGATATCCGCAAACCCCTGCTCCGGCCCAGCCACCGCCGATAATCCAGTCTTACTTCCACCATGGGAGCCTGAGCTACGTGCGAAAGAAGGGAAGCTGTAGACTCCCCTAACGCTTCCACGGGATGCGCGACGGAAGCCAGCTCCCAGTCTAATGCGTACGTCTTGCTGGAATGTAAGTATTTCTCCCGTTTGATCTTGACATCCGGAGAGTAGTCTATCAGAAGCGGGATAAACCCATCTTTCTTCAAACTTTGAGCGGCATCCAACAAGGAGTTCGAAAGTTCCTGGCAAATGGTGGCCTCGAGCTCCGCCCTCGTTCCGAATGTGAACGCTTCAGGGGCAGAAGTAGCAATGTCCACCAACACTGTCGCTCGAAGTCCGTCGAAATCCGCCGCTCTCTCGATCACCAGGGAGAACAAGTTCAAGTGTCCGCGCTGGCTTCCGCTACCGCTGAGAGAATTCAGAGGGAGAAGCTCCTTTTCCGCGGATGCAGGAATGGAAGTTGACAGAGAAACAAACGTCCCAGTAGTTGCGACGGTCTGATTGATGCAAAGGAACTCTCCGGGCGCTCCCGCCTCCGAGCCTTTTCGCCATCGCTGTAACGAAGTGGCTCCGTCAAACCTCTTCACTATCGACATGTCATCAAAAAGAACCCGTCTCTGCGTCCCAGCTGATCCCTCGCTCAAAACAGCTCCATAGTTGCGCGGTCGCAACGCTATGCCGCTATCCGAGACTGTCGCAATTGCTTTGAACTGTGAAGACTGGGTGCCTCGCCGTGCGAATGCTCGGAAGGTAAAACCACCCGGCACATCATGTTGTCCCGATTTCAGCTCTTCCCAGTCGGTGGCGGAGATAAACTTCTTATACAAAGTGTGAGCCGTGATCAGCAGATCAGGGAAGCCGTCGGGGTTCTGCATTTCCTTCGGGTGAACTTTCCGCGAGGTTAGAAATGCATCCCCTGCGCTTGGTTGGGTGAGTTTAACGCAGCAGCAGGTGACTCAAAGCCCTGTCGTCTCTCCTCGAAGAAGTATAAGCAGTTCTGCTGTATGTACCGATGGAGTTCCTCCGGGAAACGGGCATTCGCTGACGGCGCTGGCCTCAGCCTTTGAGCGAACTTCGCCGTGTTAAAACGTGCGTCGGCAATCAGCACTGTTCGTAGTAGGTACAGTATGTACGTCACCAGCGCGTTTAGGTGCCTGGGTTGGACATGGACCAGGTCGAGTCGGACCGACGCTCATATACAGTATCTGCAGGAGATGCTGGAAACTCTAGAGCTGCCCACCTATCCGCTCAGCAAGTGACTTGTCATCTACCCATTTGCAAGGAGCTATTGTGCATGTATAGACTTTGGTCGCAGTTAGTGGTGGATGAAAGTATCAACGAATGGAGCACGCAAAACTCATGCATCCACACTTGAAATGATCCTGGAAACCACATCGAGCCGTTGTCCGGTTGGCGGGGCACATGGACAAGAGGGCATGGACAAGATCTTGACAACCACCATCCTTTCCGCCCGTACTCTGGGCAACCCTGGAATCCAAACCCAAGCCGTTGCTCCTGAGCCCACATCATCCCACGGCCCGCAGTCCCATTCGATCCAGTTTCGAAAGAGAGAATGCCCCCTATCCGTCGGTAGGCTGCTTTCCCACCATCCTTCGAGTCCCTGAAGTCGATGTATTCTCCATCTTCCGTGTCCTCTTTCCACTGTCCAACATTCCGAGCAATAGCTCCATCCAGATAAAGTGCAGATGAGAAGTGAAATCCCGGGTAGACGTGAACGAACTCTTTATTTATACAATGACCAAAAGTACACCCATTCATGCCTTAACAGCGAACCTAAAGGAGGGGAAAGCAGACCATGCGTAAGCGTCGATGCTCAATAGCATCAAATTGAAGGAAAGGTTGAACTTACTTGCGGAGGGGGAAGTGGGTCTCCCTCTTGGTTTGCCTGACGGTCTTGCGGGTGGCCTCGTGAGCAGTCAAACGGCGGCGGATGGCACGGGTCTTCTTCACACGGAGGTCGAGAGGAATGTACTTCTTTCCCTTGTAGAAGATACGGAGCTGGTCCCTCTGGGTCTGGCTGATGACGGTGTTCACACGGGCGATGGACTTGCGAACATCGTGGCTAACAATCGTGAAGGAAAAGGGCGAGACGTCAGTCTTTCGTTTCGCCTCCACCGTCATGTACAACCCATCAGCCTACTCCGCCACTTTCCCAAGTCGCCAGTTCGACATTCCACAACGCTTCGCCCAATATCTTCACACGATTCTTTCCCGCCATATTGCCTCATCTTCCTATTCCTATCGCTGCACGTCGACCTTCCACCATCCCCGCCTGACCCTTCGTTTGCCCCTCCTCCCTACTGCGGACTCCACAAAACGTTCGAGAATGTCGACGCTTACATCTTAGCCAACTTCGAGGCGTTTCCACCGGCGACCTTCTGGACACGAAGAGTGGAGAGCTCTTGCTTGAGCTCGTCCAGCTGCTTCGTCAAGTCAGCCTTGGTTTTGTTGCGAAGCTCGAAAGTCTTGACCTTGGCCTAATGAAGTGAATGCAAATCGTTAGGAACGGACTGCCGAATGCCATTCGAAGGTTCGTTCCGTCCGTCAGGGCCGTCCATAGCCTCTAGGATCTTTCCACCGTCGCTACGCCTCCCATATCGTTCCTCGTCTGATCATTCGGGCATAAATTCGGTTCGCATGCCCATTGCCGCCACCTCGGTCGGGTCCATCCATCCGTCACGCATCCATCCATCCATCCATCAATTTCGACCGTCCTGCCTGGCGGTTTGCTGCGTCCGCCATTCGTTCGTTCTCTCTCTCGCGTGTTGCCGCTGCCCGCTGTCGTTCGTACGCACCATTTTGTCTCTACTCGGTGCTGGTGTCGAGTAATTTGAGATTGGTTCGTCTACGGTACTATGCCACGATTTCCGCTATTCTCCAAGTGCAAACCAGCGACGCGGTGACTTATATTTCCTCACGTGATCATATATATTCGCGTTTTCCACAAATTAGAAGGCAATTGGATTGGCTTGGAAGTTCGCAGGAGGCCTTTTTCTGCGTGCTCCAGCGAATGAACTAGAGGGGACCGTCCCGCTCTATGGATGCATATCATGCATGAAGGGTGAGAGCAGAGCGACAGCGCAGGCTGTTTGCCAGTGAGGGGCCTTCCGCCAGTGACCACGAGAACGGCACTCCTCCCCCCAGCGGCGGCGGCACTCCTTCCCCCAGCAGCGATGTTGCCAACCACCAAGGACTGCCCCCTCCCACTGTGCGTACTCAGTCTCACATTGATATTCCCCTCCCCAAGCGCCTCAAGCGGCCCCTTCAGTCTAAGTTTCATAGGCTTGGCCCCGCTGACGCCCAAAGCTCGCCGCAGCCAGTCCCGTACAACATCCGGTGTCCTCAAAGGTTCATCGGCAAAGCCTTGGGACAGACTGGACATGTTGTTCTTCCTCGGACTCATGGATCAGGTTGAAGATGTGGGGGATGACAGGATTTACGAATCGACGATGCCGGGGCCTGAGGGGAGGACCTACGCAGCAAAGCTGCAGCTGCTCAGCGAGAACCCATTTGAGGATGAGTACGCCCAGCTGGAACAGTTTATTGAGCATGTGAACCCCACGTGCGATGGGCTGTTTGACATGAAGATGACCATGGTCGTTGGGGATGTGCCCTGAACCGCAGCTCGAAGTGGAGTGAAAAACACCGCGATAGGATCCGCCGCAGACTGTTCATCTCTATCCTCCTAGATCTGAGCACCCGGCATCTTCGTGCGAACTACTTTTAGCGCTGGATGTCCGCCCAGTTTTGAAACAGTTTTGAAGGGCGGCCTCTGGCGCACATATCCTACTACAATACTTGGGGTGGCCGTTGCCTGTGTGCAGAGGCCGTGGGGTTGCAAGAAGAGATGTCTGTGTGAAAAAGGGCATGGGAAAACGGGGAAGAGAGGCGAAGAGAGGCGACGCGCCCGCAAAACGTATGTCGTCGCTGAGCTGAACGTGGACGGAGGAAAGAAAGTACGCCGTTCATCAACGCTTCCCTCGAGTAGAGTGGACTCTGTTCCGGTAAAGGGGCCTATCAAGCGCTTGCAAGTCGGGCATATTTCATGTCTTCAACGGCGTCGAGCTGGTTGGCGGAGAACGGAAGACATCGAGTTGGACGCTTCCTACCACTTTGAAATATGGGCGGCCTCTAATCCTCCCCAATGCCGACACTGACAATAATGACGATGACAAGATACTATTATAAACAGGTCCGAAATACGCGAGGGTCAATGTACATGAATGAATGCTGAGGCGGAAGAGAAGGAGGAAATGTCCACGGAAAAAGTCCAGTCCAAGGTAAAGGGGAAGTTTCTCCCCGTCCCTACTGTCCCGCTACACTCGCAATGGGCCTCGCCGACCACAAGCTGCCAACGCCGGTGTTCTTTGCGAGGTTCTTGAGCCCGTCGAGCACATCTTTCACATCATCGGGCTTGACATTCAGCGCCTTGATGACCTGGTTGGCTGCCTTGCAGAGCGTCCTAACCATCCATTTACGCAGTTCAGCTTCCTCCTCCGTGCGCGGCCTGTATCCACTGGCGGTCTCCTGGTATGACAACGCGTTGTGCGAGACGAATCCATCGGCGGCGTTGACGTAATTTGTGAATTCGCGGTAGAAAGCTTCGTGCTCTCGCACACGTTTGATCTTGGCATCGCTGTACTTCATATTGACGCGCAAATACGATTCTGGTATGGGCGCGACGTGGCGAATATTGTATTTGTCGTCACGATCGTATGGCCCAGGGGTAACCGGGTTGTAAGGCGACCCGTGTCGGCTTGGGGGACTGCCAGCGCCGATCTGCCTGCGAGCGAATGCAGCACGTCTCTCCTTGCGGCTGTTGGATCCACCGCGAGCCGATCCTTGGCCGGCAAAGCTGACGGAGTCGAACGCAACGGACTTGGAATACGCATAGCACTGCACGTCCCCAGATGTCAGCGAGAACACCTGTCGAACGCGAGCGTTAGGATACAGGCCTCCAAACAGCATTTCGTCGTCGGGCCTGGCGTCGTGGGCGTTTTCGTTGTCCCGGTCCCTAGGGCCATTGTAGGTATTGGCCAGGCGCGGGTTCTCTTCCTGCCATATGCTCCAAAGGCGATCGAGCTGGAGAAAATATGAGTATACATTGAAGTAGCGCTAGGATGAAACGAAGGAGCACCTACGTTAGTGTGATGTGCCCAAAACAGGGGATCATTGACCGATATTGTCGTATTTGCCATGTCGCCTCCAAGGGAGGAATGAACCTGGTCATGAGGCCCGTGCTCAAGCGCCTCCCGGAAGGTGTTATAGGAATCCGTCGCGGTTTCCAGAATCTCCATGACGTATGGGTACGATGCCAAAGAGGGCAACCGGCTCCCGGTTTCTTCGTCTCTCCACTGTCGGCGGATGCAATCTTCCCTTTGACCATCTGTGAAGCGAGGCTTGGCTTGGCGATATTGACCGGAACTCAAGCAGTTTTCGTTGCTTCTGTCCCCGTTGGCGCCGAACCACTTCGGTGTAAGCAGCTCGGAGCGCTCAGGCGCTTGTGAATCCAGGCTCCAATCCCAGTACCTTAGGAGGGAGGAAACCGGGGTGAGAGGCCTGTATAGAGATGTGTGCAGTAGCTACAAACATGAAGGACTTACGGGACTGCTCCACTGTAGCCGCATTGTTCGCGGAGTAGCTTTTCGTATATACCGATGAAGTACCTGTGCCAAGGAAGGAACTGGGCCTGATGGGAGATTGGATGCTAAGAGAACGCTATCGACACGGGCGTAAGAGAAAGTGCACGTACCGTATTATGGGTCAGGGCCGCAAACTGCATATGGACATAGACCAGATCATCGTATATGGTTTGACTAGGCGAGTCCGGTAGCAGGCTGGGCGATCGCCGACGGTCCCGTAGGCAAAGACTTGCGTCTATGTAGGCTTGTTTCTCAGTGTCTGAGAGTTCACGGAATTCTCGACGAACGAGAGGTTGTGTGCAAGATCCAAGGCGGTTGGAGGACGAGCCGCTGCTCGAGTCGGTGGAGCCCCTCTGCGCAAAGGCCGCTGGGAACAAGCAAAGTCCGTAGACAAGTGCCTTAATGAGTACCTTCGGGGCCGGCATCTCGATGTAACATACTATACGCGGGGACGGATTTCGACCAGAGCTGAGGAAGATAGCCGAAAAGAAGGGCCAGCCCGTTCTCCTTCGCTTGCTTATAACCGTCTCTGATTCTGTGATCCCGCACAGCACCGTTGCACATGCACCCTCTGGAGAAGCCTCTTCAAATTCGGACGGTCGGAAGCCTCTTCAAATGTGGCGCCGTGGTTGCGGTCACTTTAACGGCGCGTCCAACGCCTTCTTAAGCGTAAGTTTGACCACGGAGGCCGCAGTCCCGCTCCGGATTTTATCTTCCCCATCGGTGGCTGGCATTGGCTGCGACATCTCTATGGTACATACAGTACGTAAGACTCGCAAGGATAGATCGCATTCGTCTTCTTTGCAGCAATCATATGTTTTGCACATCGAGCAAATCTGAGCATCCATCCCCTCGTTCGAATTCAAAGTTCCACCTTCTATAGTCCAAGTCGATTATCCGTCAGCCACGACGAAGCCTCGAAACAAACAAACAATCTGGTTCACCGCGCAAAACGCAAGCACAAGCTGCGATTCTGCGAACCCCATGAACGAGGGGCGGAAATGAACAAAGGAGGAGTCTCCCAATGTCCATCATATGATTTCCCCTGACGCTCAGAAGAGGTGCGCAGAGTCACAATACAACCTGTCGAACTGTCATTGCCACCAGTCATGGCTGTGCGCGCGTTTCGGCCGCTATCACTCCCAGATTCGAAGGTTGGACGCACGCTTCCCATGAATCCCATCGCAAGCGCAAGGTCCTCCTCATCCCATCGGCAACCTCACGTCTCGACTGATATCAACTTCCGCAGTTGCTGCAAGCAAAGTCATGGCTGGTCAACGTCAACGTCTGTAACAACCTCGAAGGCTCTTCCGCCGCAAACCACCTGGGCTTTTCATATTCGGCCTGGTGGACAACCAGCTCTAAGCGATTCCTCGGCATATGCGAACAGCCTCAAGCCACTACCATTTCAGCCCCCACCAACCACCTTCCACAACGGCAAAAAATGAGTGCCCCCGCGTCGTCCACTCCCAGTCCCATCCCTTCGCCAACAGGGGCGGGATCCACAAGTGGCGGCTCACGCATTGCGCTCTTCCTGGGCCTCTCGGCCGTTGGAGGCCTTTTACTGTTGTGCTCTATATTCTTTCTTTGGCGAAGGCATGTTCAGAATCGACCCGGTTATCAAGATCGGCGAATCCAGCGTGAAGACGGATTTTCGCTCGTTCCATACCGCTTGCGAAAGTTTTTGGGAACGAACAATTTTGGGAGGGAGGGGAAAGTGGGTGACATTGAAGAACAGCGACCACATCGGAATTCCATCGAGCAGGCATCGGGGATACAGAATGTGCGCATTTCCGCCACCGATGCACCAGCATTGAATGAACATGCCGCTATCGAAAGACAAGGAGGAGGAGTAAGGCTGCCGCTGAATCCTCTGCGGACGTCCGGCGATACTTCCCCCGTGCAACGCCCGACCGAAGATGCCATTCAAAGGCCCTCCTTGCCCGCTTTCCGCCCTTCGCACGAAATCCTTCCGCCGAGGTTATGTAAAACGTATTTATGGCAAAGTGATGAGGACACGAGGAAGGGGCACGCAAACAATTCCCCGCTTTCGCTCGAATATCCCGACAGTCCCGTTCATGAGAAGCGAAACGGATGGGACGCGACGCTTGAGCGGAATTTCGCTCGTTCCATACCGCTTGCGAAAGTTTCTGGGAACGAACAATTTTTGGAGGGAGGGGAAAGCGGGTGACATTGAAGAACAGCTAGTGGGGTCTGGTATCCCTGAGGCTTCTTGCTTTTCTTGTAAATGGTTTCCTTCCCTTTCTTGCGGAAGCGGCGGGCGTCGTGAATAGGATAGGAGTATCGGTACAACATTATTGTAATTTAATGATTGAGGCTCCGCTTTCCCCGCTACTATGCTTTGCATGTGATACGAACGTTTGACGAACTCGATCGAGCGTCCCGCCCACCGGGTATGCACATTGCAGAGGGGAATGGCAACTGCCAAAAACGCCGTGGTTTATGTAGACCTACTGTACAAGTACTTGAGGCAGTACAGTACTAGAGGGCCGCCGCCAGCGAGCATACGGCAGGGCCGCCGCCAGCAAGCATACGGCAATCTTCCCTCACCAAGAAAAAGGGAGTTACGGCGGCTTCTCTTCTTTCTGGTTGACAATTGAAGGGCAAATAGGAGACGGACGGTTGGTGACGGGACCTTAAGAAGAACAGCATTTTCTCGGAACTCTCTCAACTGCCAACGGCGAAGGGCGGAGTAGTACATTGATGTGGAAGACTGGACCAAGTGCTAAGGGGGGATAGGCATACAGAATACGCATAAGCCGATATCTCCGGCAGGCTTTTGAGGCACCAACGAAACTTCAATCCACCATCGGCGCGACACTCAATTCGGGCTAAACAGCAACGGCACCGAACTTAGTTTTGAGTTGCTATATTCGGCACTATGTACGCTCATTACGCAGACAAAGTGCAAGAGATCATTGCGAAAGAGAAGGAGAAAAAGTCTTTGGGGAAAACCGGGCCGCCTCGATCGCATAGGGCGGTGCGTTTGGAACCTCTGCGGGCGCCAAGTGGTGGCAGCACCAATGGGGTCACAATTCTGGTAAGTCTACCGTATAAAATACTGGTTCGCATCATGGAACAGCCGCTTACAGATGTTCGTCCGAAGGCAATCAATCGAAGCGCGTATGTGGACATCAAGTGGCAGAAACTGAAGACCAAGATCCAAGATTACTTTACATCTCGTGCGGGCGCCTTTCAACTGATCGCCTTCAAAGGGGATCCCGGGTCCGTTATCGATCCGGGGTCCGTTTTCCCCATTACTTCGAACAAGCAGCAGCTTCTGGACAATCTCAGTCAAATCAATGTTGTCCACTCAAGTATGCGTCAGGATTGGAATTCCTTCCTCGCCAGTGTCTGCACGCACCTCGACTTGGATCGTATCGGCAAGGTGAGCATCATGGATTGCAGAGACGACCTTTGAACTCGACGGTTCCTGATCTCGCTCTCCAATATAGGTCGTAGTGTTTAGTCTTCACCCTCCTTTCGTGCCTCCGGCCGCACAGTCTCTGAGCAATAGGGTATGGGAGCTTAGGCAAGCAATGATTACAGAGAAACGATACTGATTGTCGGACATTGTGCAGGGCGTTGGGTTCGAAACGATTTATAGTGATGGACCCGATATCAAAACTTCGGAAACAACACAAGAACCGGTGCACTTAAGTCTTTACATGCTTTTCGATGAGTCGAAAGCACCGACATATAAGTTGAAATCGGACGTAGATATCTTGCTCAAGATTCGCACAAGTTCGACACTGTCGAGCCGAACTTACGATGTTCAGATAAAAGAGAGTCCTTACTTCAAGGCGACCGTCGTCACGTTTCGGGAGATGAAAGGGAACCAAAGCGAGCAAAAAGTCGTTCGCTTGTCATGCAAGGTCAAGGGGATATCGACAAGTGCAGCGCTCGACTTGGTTCCGTATTTTTTGAACGTCAGTGTTGCTAAACATTCTTCTTTCGGAAAGCCGAAGCCAGTGACGATGCATGTGCTAGGATTTCATCTGCAACTGCGTCACTTCCTTGGCGACATGATACCCTTCGATAATCTAACGAAGATAAATGTGTTGCTGATGGGAGAAACGGGGGTTGGAAAATCGACCTTCATCAACAGCAGCTGTTTCCTACTGAGCGATGATTATCGATCGCTGGCCTTGGCTGGCGCGAATACGCTCGCGTTCGATGAATTCTACTGGCAACCGGACATAAACGGCCCGCACGGAACAACTCTGCCTTTTACATTCCTTGACACCCGCGGAATATCACCAACGAACTATGCGGGACAGGAGCTTGAGCTTATGCTGAACGGCGAGATGCCGGCGGGAATTGACTGGGCCCAGTTGAGCCCCGAAACAGAAGGACAGTGCATCCGAAATATTGACATTAGCCGCCATGGAGGGAAATGTCAGGTCGCCCAGAAGCCTGATGTCGTGCTGTGGCTGGTGTCCCCTTCTTCGCTCGACGATGAGGTCATGATGAAGAAGATCCGAATGTTGCATAGGACAGTGGCGAAAAATGGTACGTACCATCTTGCGTATTATGATATCAGTGTGGCCTTAGTTCCGGGGAGTCCGTGCCATGGTTTGAACCCTAGTCTCATCTCTCGTTGATTTTTTTTCTTCTTAGGGCGTCAAGTGGTAGCTGGAATAACACGGATGGATGCTTTCCCGGATTTAAGGGGTCGGCTGCACGCTATCGAGAAATGTAAACGTGCTACCGGCTGCGAGGTCGTTTTACCCCTCGTGAACTATACTGTCGCTCAACACCGGCGGGATTTCGACGTTGATCGTATGCTGGGGCATGTCTGGTTCGCCCTGTGGGAACACGGTAAAGACTTTCAGGCTCGGATGGCGCTTGACGAAGATCGGGCCGAGCTACAGAAGGACGGGGGGTCGCCTAAGGACCTTTTTCATCCGAGACGTCGCCAGACTACTTTCGACTTCAGCCTCCACAATCAGTCGTTCAGTGACCCGAACACAAAGCACTCGTCTACCACTTGGGCACAACCAATGCAGCAAACACCTCCTCAGTTCCTGGCGCACTCACTCGATGATGTGCCCAGTTCACCTCGTGGACATTCTTTACCGAGCCCACATCAACCGCAGGGAAGGACTGCGGTGCATCACCCACTTCAGCGATCACGAACGGAGCCCGCTCTCCGCCATCAGACAGAAGAGACGTTAGGGCAGGTCCGGCGCGCGCAGACGGGGTATCCACAGCCACCGCCGCCTACTTCAGCCGAGTTCCCCGCATACTTCAGCCGAGAGGTAACGAAGCCGCAACCGGCCCCTTTCGTGAGAGACGACCCCGACACGCTGCTACCTCGATACTTTCAGAGACTTGTAACGGTGGAAGAGAACCCAGAACATTCGTCGAACTACGTCGAAAACGTGTCCTCTCGGCTGCCCACCACCCAGGAGCCGATCATTCCACACTCCGCCTCTATTTCACCACCACAGACCACCTCCGGGAAATACCGATTGTTTCACGAAGTAGTAGACCAGCGTTCACCACCGCCGATCCCCGAACCGTCGAGGCAAGCATCAATGCGAAGTGTGGGCTATGGATATGCCATCAACATGGAGGACATTGCGGATGACGGTTTCGCAGATGATGATACGGATGGAACGCCGGGGCCGCCGCCTTATACCCCGTTTTCGTCGGTTCTCTACAGGGAACCGGAGGTCGGGCTCCGCCCGGAGGGCGATACCACTGCGACCGAGTCCGTGACCTCTGGATCGACTGAGGACGTAAACGCAGCTCCCCACCCGTTGCGAACTCCATCACTTACAGAAGCACCACGGCGGACGCACGCACCAACACCTCCGACTACACCACTAGCGATTCGCCTTCCGGTTGTTGCTTCCATAAATGATGCTCCTCCATCCCCGGTCATTACCGATCCTGCAGAAAATTTCAGCATTGGTGAAGACGACTTCTACGATCGTGCGATTGAGATCGCCGCAGCCGCCAAAGATTTGGCAGTTCAACAGCACATCGACTGGAAGCTGGTTCACGACTACGGCGACAAAGGCATCGCGTATCAGGACTCCTTCCTCAAAGCGCACAAAGAGTATGCGGACGCGTCTGGCGTGTCTCAAGGCGCCGTGGAAACTTCGTTTTTTCTGGCTCGATTGCGCAGACATTTGAAGCAACCTAATTAGGTACAATTGACAGCGGCGTACTGTTTTTTTCATTCTCACGTTTTCATTTCTTGCACCCTCGTTCCAATGCTAGCGAAGAGCGCTGGCGCTTGTCATATTGTACATTTTTATAGAGTAATGTTGACCTCATCCTTTTCGTATTAGCTTTCCCGTATGACCCACATAGACTGAGTTTCGTCATTGCGTGTCCTAATCCTCAAGTTTCTGTAAGAAATAGATTTCATGAAGGCATTCGACCAGCTGTCAAAACGCGCTGTCATTTCCAACTCCGCCCTCCGGCCATAATTTGAGCACATGTGCTGTTGAAAGATGGCCCACTTCGGACCAAGTCTATGTATGAGACACGACGACGCTACGCCTTGCCAGAAACTTCGTGTTGCGAGCATCGAGGGATCTACGCTGTTCGCTCCCAGTATAGCAGACTACATTTGTTGAACATCTTCCTACATCGGGTCAAATCCTTGGCAGGATGGCCGCTGCGACATCCGCCCAGTGGCACTCCAACCCACTGAATCCAACATCCGCCGCGCCACCTCCACAGTACGTTGTGCCGAGTTCCGCCGGTGTCAACGAACAACCACTGCCCCAAGCCACCTCGACCTCACCCTCACCGTTCCAACCGCCAACTGCGATGAGAAGCCACGCTGGCGGGGTGACCGTTGACCTACAGCTTGAAAGGACACTGTTCGTAGCCAGAGGAGTTCTTGCTGGCCGCGTGCTTGTGAATGTAGATCGGGCGAAGGGTGTCAAAGTAGGGAGGATCTCGGTTGAAGTGTTTGGATATGAGGGTATGTTGCGTTATGGGAATCGGGATCCGCTCGATGATCATGTGAGAACGCAACATAACGAATATTCTCTACAGAAACAACGCCATCCAAATCCGCCCATCGCCGCCTGCTTCTACACCACATAATGCCCCTGCAAGAAGCCCTCAATGCCTCAGCGATGCCGACAGATGTTGTCGTACCAGGTCCGCCAGACGAACATTCTATGTGGCCCGCACGCAAAGGAAAGCACGCCTTGCCCTTTGCGATTCCACTTGAGAACGCAAGGAACGGCACGGATGGCGTGAGGGTAGAGGTGGAGGGGCCGCGACCCCTGCCGAGCTCCTTCTGGAGTAGGGGCGTCGGCGGTGTCCGATATATTGTAACTTGGTAAGGCTCGGCTCATTGTAGATAATTGAATTGCCAATGCTGAATTGGGCATTCTAGCACGATCGACATCAAAACAGGAAACAGCCGACCTTTAGCTCCTTTAACAACTTATACGCCCTTCTTGCTCCTCGAATCCCTTCCTCTGAAGCTCTCTGGTGGGCCCCAACATTTCGAATCTACTCTGGAAGCTGGATCTCTCCTTGCGAGTGAGATGACTACTGTGGTCAATGGTCGCTACTTGTTCGGTTTGGGCAAAAAAGGCGAGATCAAGTTAAGGGCATCCGCGAAGATCCCGACGTCGGTGCCTGCAGCTGAGACTGGTTATCAGCCTGCGGAAAATGTCTGGCTGGCAGGGAGCACTGGGCTTGTGGGTGTGGAGATTGAGAACGGATGCCAAAGAAGGGTAAGGCCATCCTAGAAACGATTGCCCCATCTGATGGATTGTTCCCTTTCTAAGACTTCCCTTCGGCCCTAGATCACTGCCCTCAAAATTCGGCTGATTCGGCGACTAAAAACCTTCTCGCAACATGCTAACACCCCAGTCAACCCGCCGAATAACCTGAACACTACAACGACCACCCTATTTGCCGAAGCGGCAAGTTCAACCTTACTTCCCCTGTCCTTCTCGCGCGAAGTGATTGCCAAGCGGTGTTGGCGGTACAAAAAGACCGAACAGCTTTTCGAAGAAGATGCAAATAAGACGCAGGAAGTTTTGGCCTGGAAGGGCGTCGGAAGGGGAGAAACGAGAGCCATGGTGGTAGATCTAGCCATCCCCGTAAGTCGATCATACATGCATAACTCCGATAAGGGGCTCTCGTCGCTCACAAACATGTTTTCTGACAGATCGTAGCGAGAAGCATTCGATATGCTGCTTTATTGGACGTTTCTTATGTGATCCAGGTGTCCATCAAGCCTAATGGAAGGTAAGCTAGATCGCTCCAGGATCTCAGGATCTCACGAACCTGCACAGGACATAACATCGATCTCGCTTCCAGTGGTCCACTCTTCGTCGAGATACCTATTACCATCCTGCATCCTGCATCACTCTATCAAAACCTTCCTTTACCTCAGAGTCGCACGACAGCCAAGCCAAGCGCCACTGCACCTCCAATCACAATCGACAATAGACAAGCGCTGTACACAGACCCACATGTCGATCAGAGAGGCGAGACCCCCTTTGCACCTTCGCCTGCAAGGCAAAGCGCGAGTCTCGAATTGAACGCGGACAATGTTGCTTTAGCCGCCGAACGAGATGAAGGATCGGAATCGATCAGCGAGGCCTCGCTTTCCAAACTGACCGCAAGTCCCAAGCGTCAAGTAGCAAATGCCGGTGGTACGGTCTCCTCGATCCGGGCCGTCGAGGCTCTCCGATCAGTGTCTGTCAGCGGGCCGCGAGGGTCTGTCAGCCGCATCGGGTCCGTCGCTGGCACTTTGAAGGGCGTGGACAAACTGGGGTCCATCAGTCTTCAGGGAAAAGGATTGGCTTCGATCCCCAATGTTGAAATGCATTGTGCGGGTGGCAGTAACGTTGCTGCCGCCAGGAACGCCGAATATGACTACCATTTCAGCCACAATGAGGATGGAGCCGGGAACATCACGGATGGGTCAGATTCGATCGTACCTCCGGAGAACCCGCCTTCACCGGCGGCGAGGCGGGCACTGCTTTCGAGTCCTGTAGGAACAGTGCGAACGGCTCCTTCTGCGCCTTCTGATGAAGGAAGTGTCAACCCGGAAGAGATTTCGGCAACGATTGATCGGATGTTTGAGGGGTTGATCCCAAGCCATTGAAAGGACTATTGATTATATGGACGCTCGAGAAGGATCACGACCGTTAGCTGGTGTCAGATGTGTACATGTAATGTGATCGATGTAACTGTACAAATGAAACCGTTCCAACATTGGTGTACCGCTTGCGACCCCACACTTCTTGCTCACTTCTTGGAGAAGAAGGTTGACAGCTTTGTTTGAGTGCGGGGCTGGTCGCCCTTGACAGCTGCGCGCTTCGTAGCTGGGCTGTGTGTGGGGGATCGGTCTGCGGGTCGTTTCCCTATTGTGCGTGGTTGAAACCCGTCACTGGGAGACGTAACCGCAGACTCCCCGACTTCCTTCAGCACATCCCTGGAGAGACATATGTCCAAATGCCCATTGATCGCCACCGCGTCCACCCGTACATCGCAAACGGGACATACAGCTATGATAGCTTCCGAAGGACTCGGTACGCCGTCGGTCGCCGAAGTCAACGGTTTCACATCGGTAACCTCGAAAGGCACATCCGGTGGCCCCGGACTTCCCGTTTTTATCGCCCGTTGCTTATCTGCCGCCATACAGAGAGTAAATTCACCGCGCCACCGCTTTACGAGAAGTTGAAGGTCCACTCGCCTGCGAATAAGTCGTTGAATCCGAGCTGAAAACTTTTTCGCGAGTCCACAAGATCCCTAAAGTACCCGGCTAGCTTCCCCGCATTGCCGCTCTTTCCGACAACAGTCGGAACCACGCGCGCGGGTTTTAGGAACTCCACGAACTCCCGCAATTCTTCGAAGTTGCTATGTTCTATGATGGAAGTGTTGAATAAACGAGACGGAACCCAGAGTGTGCCGACATCAAGGCCTGATACCTGAATAGGGAACCTCATATATACACAGGTGTTCTTGGCCTGGCTTCATGGTGCAATGAAAGAGAGAGCCCGTCCCATGCTGCTTTTGAAACTCCCATGTCCATCCGGTGGGGACGATCCCCGCAAGATGGGTAAACTTTGGAACGTCGTCTGAGAGCAGCGAGTTGGCCCAATCCAAATATTCTTGTGCGAATCCCCAATTCGGTAAAAATCTCCAACCCCCAGGAACCATTTCCCCCAGCTTCCCCCAAGTAATCATATGAACGGAAGATTCGCGAGGCTCTCTCACAAAGATGTTCGCATAAGGCAAGTCCAAAAGATTCAGAATTTCCTTTTTGTCCGGGGAGGTGTAAATGCACAGGTCGCCGCAAGCCGTGCTAATCTCGTGCAGCACTTTCTCCTTGCCGATTGTGTAGGTGGCCACGACGAACAATGTTCTTCGCTGTGCTTGTGCTAGTGGCGGTGTATCATCCTCATGACCTTCGACCTCAGATGTACTTTCTCTGAGGGATGTCGCTCCATTCAGATCTGCAGCAAATCTGCTGGCAACCAGTTCACCAACAGCCGCTGTGACAACGTCCTGTTTCGGGAACTTGTAGCGAGGATTACAATATGTCGTGTCGAGAAAGACTGTTTCGACGTCGACCAAAGCGCCGTCGCGAAACCAGGAAGGCCAACACTTCATCCGCGCTTCATAACGCATATCTCCGCAGTGAACGTATCGCTTTACGCTTTCGTCGGTTTTCACATCAAAAATCAGCACGTGCGCGCCAGGACAGTGGTTCGCATCCATCAGAGTGACCCTGCACTCCGCATTCAGGTCCACAGGCTCATTCTGAGGCAACGACTTTATATACTGTTCGGGAACATCGAGAACGTGCCGGAGTAGCCGTGCGGTAATTTGAGAGCAGTATATGGGCCCATCGCTCCAATTTTTCGTAATTCCGCCATAATGGTCTTGATGGAAGTGACTCAGGAAGTACAGGAAGTCCGGGTTACGATATTTGAAGGCGTCGACGACGATGGCGGTGCCCGGTATGTTCTTTCCCGGAGGGAGTTGGTTCAACGAGATGTTTTGTTTTGTCTTTGCCGCCGACATTGTCGCGGGGGAAGTTGGAACTTGGCCCAGTCAACTAAATCTGGTGATGACGGCGGTGGAGACAAGCGCGTCCAATTGCGCATCGACCAACTTCATTCAAACTTCATTGCCATCACACATCACACATTTTCCCAGGGAAGTCACCTCAGCTGCTTCCACCTTCCCACCCGCTCTCAGTCGCCCACTAGTCTTGTGGGAAAGTCCTGGTTCTGTATAGCCAAGGAAAGCTTGACGTCGCCGCGAATTGCAAAGCGTCCGAGGCACAACCCCGCCACTGGGAGCGCAGATAAACCTTCGTGCCGCTTCGAAAAGAGGAACGGATTTTCGTCCATCGGGAGTATATCAGTAGGATTTTACTTTTCCGCCAAGAAAAAACGGTTCAAAGTTGACGTAGCGAGTGTGGAGGGATGGCGGAAGACCCATATTTCGCTCTCAAAGAGTGAGTGACACGCATAAGCTCCCCACTTCCAGCAACTCTGCCAAGAAAACAGTTATCTAACATGGTATCATCCGCCTATTCTTCAATAGCGAGGTAGAGCTGAACGTGAGCAATACTTCTCGCCTATATCAGCAATGGAATGACAGCCTTAAAGGGCCAGACACGTCAGCGGCGAGCGAGTCGTTTCGCCGGGAGTCGGAGGCTTTGAAAGAGGCGTTGCTGGACATCGATGAGGATCTGAAAGCATTACAGGAGACGATAGGGATTGTCGAGGCGAATCCAGCAAAGTTCAGACTGGATGTGCGAGAAATTGATCAGAGAAAGAACTTTATTGCGAGGACACGGGCGACTCTCCAGGTGGGGCACGGAAACAGGAGACATCTTGCATGAGCTTTTTTTCAAAATGCGGACGTTACGGGGTCAGGTGTCTGATGTGTTGTTTGTCTCGCTGTTCTGCTTTGCAGGAGATGAGAGCAGCTGTACAAAGTCCGCAGAAACGCGTGGAAAAGGAAAATAGAGATGTAAGTTCTTGTAGGCAAAGAACTCTCCCGTCTCAGGGAAGAGTGGTAGCTGACTCTGTTCTGTAATCCCCTCAGGCGCTACTAGGGACGAAAACGTCTAGAAAAACGGACCCATACGGCCGTACTCAAGAGGACTATCAGAGTTCAAATCAACGGTTCATTGAACGCGAAGCCCAGCAACAACAATTATTATTCCGGGAGCAGGATGAGCAGCTCGATGGTGTGTTGAATACCGTAGGGAACTTGAAAGAGATTGCAAATGTTATGGGACAGGAGCTGGACGATCAGACGGGGTGAGAAGAGCACGCGTATTTGATCACCCGCACGCTTGTTCTGTCGCGGAGCTCATCGGAGTTGTATTCTAGGTTACTCGTTGACTTGGAAGCTAATGTTGACACGACGGCGGGGAAACTGCAGCTCGGGATGAAGCGTATGAACAAGTTCATCAAGGACAACTCAGGTATGATGCCGTCGCGACGAAGTGAAACTCGCTTACCATTATGCCTCCTCGCTCTGACTGCATATACTTCATCAAACAGATACAAAACAACAATGGACCATCATCTGCCTGATTGTTGTTCTCATCATCCTCATCCTGATGATCATTTGGCTGTAGTTTGAAGTCCACGCGGGGTTACTTGACGTCGGTCAAGAAAATAGATACAATCCTGGGAGGGGATTTTTTTGGAGTCTAACATCGTTCTTTGGCTATATGAATGGTATTTTGCATATCTGTACATGCGAAGAGCAAGAACGCAGAAAACAACCTGCCGTTTCATCAATACTCATGATCACCCTCGGCAGGTAAAAGTCAACCTTTCACATGTAAACTTCCACTTTTTCATTTGTTTCAGAAAACTTGTAAAAAGACCCATCAAACAAGGGCGGCTCATACATTGATGGAATAACGGCACAAGCTTTGGAAAGCGGAGAAACTACAAAACTACATTCATTTACAGAAACAGATGACCACCGCCAGCCGCACCATTCCTGCCGTTCAGCGCCGTAGTCAATGCAAGGGCGGGCGCATTCTCACTTGATCAATCGAAACCAAATCCACTGGTTGCCGAGTAAAACAACGACCTGTCGCCCGCAAAGTTACCACCATGCATCTGACTGCGACTCGCCGAAGATAACGACGATCGATCGTCAGGGTTTGTGTAGGCCGATGTTTGAAGGGCGGCGCTGCCTCCTCCTCCTACTCCGCCACCGCCGCCCCCGGATGGCGTGGCGCTAGCGGCCACGGGCCCGCCGGCGCCGCTGGTGCCGGAAACGGAGGAATTGATGATGTGCCGTGTGCTGTGAGTGATCCCAGCGCCGCCCATACTGTTTTGGCTGGTATTACTGCCTCTCCTCATGCCGACAAGGCCCCGCAAGCCGTCATCTGCCGGCGACGTCCCATATGGCGCTTGGAATGGCGATGTGTGGGATGTGTCGGACGGTGGCGTTGTTCCGTACAGGTTTTGCATGGAAGGCGATGGTTGCATTGACGGGGATGGGGATGGGGACGGGCACGGTTTCGGCACGTCGGAGGAGGGACCGCCAGGTGTGGGGACGCTGGCTGCCTCTTTCTTGCGTTTGGCCGACTCTTTGAGTTTGGCCCACCGCTCCTTGTACTTGCCCATGGCGGCGTTGAGCCTCTCTCCTTCGTCGCGGACGCGGACGAGCTCTTCCTCCAGCGTCCGAATGCGGGCTTCCAGTTCCCTTTCGCGCTCCCTGCCGTCCTCTCGGCCTGTGGTCATCGACCGGCCCATGTTTCGTCTGCCCCTCGTCGACGCTTGCCGTCGAACATCTTGTCGAAACTGCATGATCGAAGACTTGAGCAAGTTGTTTTCCTCGGCCGCACGTTCCAGGAATGACACTTTGTGGGTTAGCGCGTTCAATGTCTTTTTGAGCTGAAAGTTCTCGAGAACCAACTCTTCGTGCGTCTTGTTAGTGCCCGCGATCGCCTGATTCGCCATGGAATCCTGGCCACGCATGCCGCCGTACTCTCGCCCCATGCCTTGCGTCGAGCTGGTGCCTATCAGTGACCCAGATCTCCGCCTCGCACTTTTGCTCATGGAGTTATCTGACCCCATTGGTCCGCCATTTCCGCTCTGTCCAAAGTAGTTTGACTCCACACTGCCACCAAAGCCCTGCATCTCATTATCTACCACTTGCCCAGCAGCATTGTAGAACACCGGCGGGTTGAATGTGGGATTGGTTGAATTCGACAGCACAGTGGAGCGTGATGCCATCAACGGATGTCCATCACCCGGCGGCACGACCAGATACGAATTCAACATCTGTGTGCTGCGTAGTGAAGCGCCCAACGAGCCTTGATTTGCATCTTTGTGAAACTCGTATCTCTCACTGACTTGCATATGCGGCGAGTTCCCTATCGGAGCGGTGGCAAAGGCCACCGGACTTGGAATCGAAATTTTCTCTACTAGATTCTCGACTGCCTCCCAAAATTTGTTGAAGGGATCTTCTGGGTCATCGTCCCCTTCCTTTGCAACCACGGAGTACGATGCTGCAAAGGAATCCTGCGGATTCAGTTGTACCACCCCCTGCGACTCGTCCAGAGACATAACAGCCATCGTAGCTGGTCCCGGCGGAACGTGAGTCACCACTGCATTCAAAAAGAAACAGGAAAAAGGGCTGTCAGCAACACATCAAAAACAAGACCTCCTGCGCAGGTCACTCACCATTTCCGCCACCACCATATGCAGGGTCAATTGCATTTGTACGGTAGGATTGACTGGCCATTGCGCTATCTGACTGGTTCTGGCCTACAAAGTAATGCCTCGATCCGAAGTCGGAAAAGTCACCCCCAGTCATAGCAGTCCGCGGATTGTGGACATTGGATTGACGTGGATCTGGTGGCCTCAGGGTGTTGCTGGGATTCCCACCGTATGACTGCGGGCGGTCTCTCGATCCCCGATCAGATCGGTGCGCTTGTTGCTGCTGCTGCTGCTGTTGCTGTGAGGTGTTGTAAGGAAGGTATGGAGGTTGCATCGGAGGTCGAGTAGCCGTTGCAGATGTCGGCCTGTTGGAGGGCATCCGAGGGGATGAAGAAGGAGACCGAGTCTGTATCCGCCGTTGCAGCTCCTTCCCTTGTCGCGTGTGGTTGGCATACAGAAGCTTTAGCGTTTTGGTGGCTTCCGGGTCAGACGTGTAACTGACAGCTGAGAGAAATTGCTCTAATGAAACAAGAGAAGAACATGGGTTGAGCGCTGGTTCTAGTACCCACACAGCCTCTACCGAATAGCCACGAAAGACGCGGTGTCTACGCACCTGCAGCTCTGAAGTGAGCCTCCATTGCATTCGCATACTGGCCCGTTTCCGCGTACTCTTCAGCAGCGTGCGCAAAGTGATTGGCTCGATTGACTGGACTTTCGTCCATTGCTGGATATAGACGCTTTGTAAAGGGTCGACCGACTAAAGTACAATTTGAGGTGCGACACCTTCCGGCGGACTTTCAATACAATGAGGACACAGACGTCGCGAGAGTGCGTCGAACGACGGCGCTGTGGCGGAGAGCTTGGCCAGCGTCGATGAAGCTTTTGCTCCTGTAGTTTGGGTATCTGTGTTGGCAGGAATACGTTGCGTTGTGGGAACTTCCGGGTGGGGTGTGTGCGGGAGAATGAACGGTCTTGAGGTCCAGAGTGGAGAGAGGGGGGAAGTCCTGCGTGCAATGGCCGTGACGTGTACAGTGCACGTTACTAACGGCTGCCGTCACATGAGTCACCGTATCGCAGTCATATCCCCCCAATGGACCACACTCAATCGTGCATTGTTTACGGGCTCCGAAGCGGAAGGGAGAACTGCCTCCCAGGACCATCCATATCCATGGCAATGCAGTGGGAATGAAAGGCTGACTGGGAACTTCGAAGTATGGCTTACAGGGAAAAATGATCTAAATATAAATAGAGAGGCATAGCAAGATACTTGGTCAAGAGTCCTTGGCCTCCATAGGTTCAGCGCCAATGCATGAAAATGTAAGGGTATGTCTACAGATCAAGCTCGATCGAGCCGCCGAATAACAAACGTCCAGAACTCCCGCCAAGGTATCCCGTTGTTCCGTCCCTACAAAGAACGCGTTGATTAGCAGGAAGTAGGTAAAGCAAATACCAAGATGAGAGCACTCACTTTCCGTCGTGCGGGAGGTCGAAAAACAGACGCCTGGCCAGCCGTTCATGGCGCTGGAACGACCAGTCGCCCTGCGGCAGCACCAGCGGTTGCCCGTTGACCGCACCTGGCGCTGCTGATACGGGCACGCTCCCACCGTGCGAACTCCCCGATTCCGACCCTGCGCCCGTATCCACGCTCAGTTGCGAGGCCGCACGCACAAGCCCAATCCGACTCAAAAGCGGATGCACTTCGTTCCCGGGCGCAGTGTTGCTCGTCCGGCGAGGCGTGTTTGGCGTCGAGGGCTGTAGAGATTGTGTTTTTTGCTGGGGCGAGCCTTGTCCATCCGCGTTCACGTCGGGATCTGACGAGCCGGCAATGTCCGAGGCGTGTGACGCTACCCAATCATCCCAGTGCCGTTCGACCGCATCGCGAATAATGGCCAGAAGATCGACCCGGCGATGCTGCAGGCTGATGGACGGATTGCGCTCCCCGAGGCGATTGATCACCATCAGGCATTCGGCGGCAATCTCGCGCTCCGCGGGGTCGCGAATCACATCGAGAAGAGATTCGACTTGCAGACCTGATGAATGGGGAGTCGGGGAAAAATTGTGAGTGGAACCGGCATGGTACTCCACTATTAAACATGACTTCCAAGACTGATCATTTACTCACCGAAGTTGAGCTCTTCAGCCGTCTTCTCGTATACCGTCGGGTTACTCGGCAGAAACTGCTTCCCAACCAGAATGCCTTCCGACATGCACAACAGCTTCCACACTCTGGGGTAAAAGTCTGGCGGAACTCTGTTCACTGCTCCGTCATTCTTCCTTCGCCTCAACCACCTTCCTTGCGATGGCAGCAGTAATGTCAAGGACAATCCCGAGGACGTGTTCGCAGCAGCTTGACTGAGAATGTTGCGCCTCGTTTTACCGAGGTCCGTGCGTTGCTCGAGCACAGGTGTCGGTCCGCGCTCACTCTGCATGTAATGCTCGGGAACTGATCCCTTTTCTGCGCCTCTCTCGCCAATGATGCACCAAGAATCTCGGTACTGCAATGATCGAATGGAAGCCGATCCAAGACTCTCTAACGCAGCAACGGCCAACTCAGACAAGTTCTCTGCGGCGTCATCCATAACAGCAACAACAACGATCGTTCCTGGGTCCAGGAACTCCACCAGCTTGGCGAACTCCTCGGACTCATTCTGCGAAACGTGCGTATCGAAAGTGACACGTTCCAAAATGGTCCCGTCGAGGGGATCGAGGAGCGCCACGTTCAGGCCACGACCGAATCCCCAATCGCGGATCTGCTGCTTTTGTCCATCCCGCCACACGTCGATTCTCGCGAAATTGCCTGCGTTGAAGCCGGCGGATTGAACCTGAATGAGCAAGTCCGTCGGAAGGTTTGCTCCAATGTTTGACAGTCGCATGGCGGACGACTCTGTTCCCTCCACCTGTACGTTCGCAAGATGCCGCACCCGCGGGATTGACGCGGTGAGACCCAGGGTAGCGCTGTGGTGGAGATCCTGCAGGTTACAGGTATCGTGAGCCGCCAGGATTTGCCCAAGTAGGCCGCACATCTCATAAGGGCTGAGTTGCATCAGCTGCTCGATGGCCACTTCCTCATTGCACCCCTTCAACCTCGAAATCTCCTCTCGGATCGCGATGATGAAGAAGTGGGTCCGTACACGCATGATACCTTCGAACATGTCAGGTGTGCCACGGATGAAGGAGCCCAGATACGTTAGGATTTCTTGTACAAGAGGGGCCTCCCGTACATCGCTTGCACAGTGTTTGTAAATGCTCTCCTTTAAAGCCGCCGGCGACATTGGCGATGTGATGAACATCTCCTCGCTTCCGTATCCAATTGTTACCGGGCGTTGACGGATGAGTAGGTCAGAAAGATTGATCGTCAGAGAGTTGACCATCTTCTTTAGAAGTCCGGCAGCTTGTCGCACGATACTCCATTGTCGCAGATGCATCGCTTTGAGATAGACTTCCTCAAGGAGTGTGGAGACGGTCCCTAGTCCTGAGATGTCATACCCCAATCCATGGCAGGAATAGATGTAATGAAGCAGGTCAATCTGATCGAACAAGTTGGATGATTTGCGTAACAGATCAACGGCGGCAGGAACCTTGCCCGCGTCGCGCAGGGTCAGCGTCAGCACTGCTTGAGATGCGACAGAATCTTTCGGAGGGCTGCTGTTCGGATCAATCGGATCGCAAGTTGCGTACATTGGCCCATGACGAGGAGTTTCCACACGGACGGAGTGCGATGCATGCACCGTCTCATCAGTTTCCTCGATATGATCGTGCAAGCGGAATCCATCTCGCGTCCACACTTCGTCCATGACCCAGGGACTTGCCAGAGGACTCTTGGGTGCCAGCAAGTCCATGCTAGACCGCCTACGAGTTCTCCTATATTCCCCACTAGCCGATCGCATGCGTTCCTTCCCAGCCTCCTCCGTGTCGATGGGCGAGTAGGACAGCTTCGACAAATCGTGATCGGCACCCTGCCCGCTCAACACCGAGTCCCAATCCTCGTAATCGCTGTTTTCGACGCTGACCAGGAAGTCAAGACTTTCGACACACGCGGTGGGGATCATATCACTCAGTCGGCCAGAGCGGACCCTCACCCCGCCAACCCGCCCTGACCGCAGAGACATCATAAAGTTGAGGAGGTTGCGTCCGCTACTATGGACAGAGTCGTGTCGCCACCTTTGAGATTGTTGATCGATGTCACGGATGCCGGCCATCATTTCACGGGTCAGCATTACAGTCATGGTAGGTCGACCAGTGGCGTCCCAGTGGTTTCGCACAAATGAGAGTTCCTGTTCGAACAAGCTCACAAGATAATCATTATCGCTGACGAGATAGAACTCCTCTTTATCCATGAAGTGCGGCGTGAAGGCATAGAGTTTGCCCTGGCAGCGGTATAGTTTACATGTGCTGAGCGTTCCCATTGGCCGCTTGGGCCGCCCAGTCAGTCCCTATAACGAATGCGAGAGTTTGAACGCTATCGCCACATTTCAATAGACTCAATGACTTACAAGCTTCTGGTTCTCTCCCAATGCAGTATAAGCGTCACGCAGGGCCGACGGAGGGGAAATCTTCACTGGTGCACATGTTTCGGCAACCTGAGTATCCAAGCCAAACTTCCTCAAACGGTCCTGTAACTCCTCATCCTCCGAAAGGATCACGACCTGCACCACAACCTCTGAATTGCTCTTTCGACGCATCGAGAGTCTACGGCCCAAGGGGTCCAGCTCCGCAGGCGATAGCAGTTCATCGTGAATCAGGTTTCCAAGAATATACAGACTTTGGGCCCATACAAGTGGGACATTCTCGTTCGGTACGCGCTCTTGAGATTTTGGACTCTTGCGCTCAGCTTCCACAGCTTGGCGGGGAACGATGAAGAGTTCCGGCACTAAGCGCATGTGCGCTGGAGGTAAGATACGCTTCGAAACCGAGGGCGTACGCGCATGTGGTGAGTTTACTGGCTCGTGGGCCAGTTGATGCCGGTTGAAGGTCGGGATGCCCTCCGAATCGACCAGTAGTGGATCGAGCTTGGCCCGATACTCGTGCACTTGTGCTGGGTCATCACGGAAGAGGCTAGACTCCTGTCAGCTATTTGTAATTCAAGGTTCTTAAGCCTCGCCATCCTCACCCGTCCAAAATCATGTAAGTGTAGAATAATGGCCACTCAGATTCAATCCCTTCAAAGATCTTCAATTCCGCGGGGTCGTAGTGCAACCTGAGAGGTTTAATGTCTGTTGTCAGCACCCGGGCACGACTTGTAATGTCCGGCGTGCAAAGGAAAGCCGACTGAAACCCACCTCCTATGATCTTCGAGCATTGTTTGATGCCCGTCACGCAAAAAGCGTTTGAAACCATAATTGCCCCCCAACTTCTTCACAATCTCGTTCCGCGTCCGCGTGACCAACTGCTCGTCGTGCACCGCAAATGCTGGAAATGAGATCACCGACAGCAGGGCAGCATCGATTTCCTTGGAGCCGGATTCACGGGGAAGTGCCGAGTGCAATGTGGTGTAGTTCCGCGTGATCTCGTCTGGAAGCACATGAATGACAGACGCTGGTCCTCCGCGCGCCCCAAAGAGGTTCAACCCCTTGATCGCCTGCAGCGCCGCGACCACCATGCCTATACTGGAAGAATTCAACTCCGGCTCTCCATGATTGACTTTGTTTCCACGTTCCCAAACTCCGAAGTCCGGAGTCCTATTTCACGCGTACCGTCAGTCGTCGGTAGCCCTGGAGGTCAAATGCCCTGATCTTCACTCACCTGTATGCGCGTTCGATGTAGAACACTAGATTCTGGATGAAATGTACCTCATCCATGGTATACACGACACGCATTCCACTGGCTGTCATCTGCGAGAGCATGAGAAGAAAAATGCTGGTCGCATCGATCTGAAGATGGCCCCATTCATTGTCGCCGACGACGGTGCCACCTGTTTGTGTGTTGTACCTGACCCGGAGTCGGACGAGGTCAATATGGGAATATAGTGAGCCCGCCATATGTGAACCGAGCCTCACTTTGCATGCAACGCGTTGGTAACCGCCTGAGTATTCTTGAACTTTTCGACCTTATCGGCCTGGCGCATCATTGCAAACAGTAAACCTCGCATCGTCTTGATGGTCGCGTGTTCCAGCTCATCTGCATCAACGGAGCAATTACTCGTTCAATGGGGCCGGGGCGAAGCGGGAATGCTCCCATATCAACTCACATCCTCTCCCATCATCATCGTCAATACGCCGGTAGGCGAGTGCCAAACCCCAGACCGAGAAGATTGTATACACGTTATCCCTGTGCAAAGCGTACTTTAGTCGCGAGGAGTATCATGCTATTTGACGAACATATGATCTAGACATACCGAACCCAGGCGTCCCGGTAGTCTCCGTGGGTTGTTATCGCGACTGAAGCTGGGATCTTGAGTTCAAAAACCGCGTAAGCACGGAGTCCATCGTAAACAGCGACCTCTCAACGGCCCACATGGGAAAAGCAAATTCTGGCGGAATACACACCAGCCCAGTGACAGCATTCTGACGCGTGAGGATGATGCTGGCCACCTCATGATAATATCTATCAAGCGCCGCACGGACAGGGGGCGACATTGTATAGAACTATAGACAGCGAGCTGGCGCTCAAGGGAGGGACTAAGATGGTGTGGTAAAGCAACAAGCGTCTTCCGCACAGAAGTGTCAGGCTACTTCAAGAGGGGCTGTATGCGGGAGAGATGTGCGAAAGAGACAGGTTGGGAGGCTTGGCAATGGACTGGGAATGGGCTGGGAAAAAACGCCCGCCGCCTCCCTGGCAGCAAACAAGTCCAAAATCGGGCGGCATCGAGATAAGGCGGCGTGCATGTGCATTGTGCACGACGGCAAATGAAAGAAAGACATGACACACGGTTAGGGTTGATGAAGACGCGTTGTTCGGCTTCCACGCGTTGTTTGCTTTCTAGAGCCTCTCATGCTGCTCACCGTGTTTCTCTGACAAACCCGATAGATCAACTATACGTGGGTAGCAGTATCATATTCCACAGCCATGATCTCAAACGCTGGAGGAGACGAAGGGTAAGAGCATAATGCATCGTAGTCATTGAACGGCTTCTAAACGGACACTCTTCGCTTCTCTGAAGACCGCTTCTCGGCGCCTTGGAATCCGAACACTTGGTTGCGTCGTTGAAGAAACACTCACTGCAAGACGTTGGAAGTCCAGAATGGATGAAGCACCACGACATCGTGGAAAAGCTCAACATACAAGCGCATTGGAACACCTTGAGAATGTGCGAGGAATTTGTTGGTGTGCAGATCGTCGATGAGCAAAAGGTGCGGCATAGCGTAATACATTTGATGCCAAGAAAGGTTTGCTTCTGCCGCACGAGGAACAAATCTGAACATTCACTTTAGATGGAAGCAGTAGTCTATGATCTAATTTTGATAGATACTTGGAAACGTCTTGTGTGGAACAAGATCAAGAAAAAAAAGATCCATCCGGAGAACACCCTGCGCGTTTATTTTATTGTGCGTCTTCTCCCCTACCTCCGTCTCCTTGCCGCAGAGCTGTGATGCTGAACGACTTTCTCGAATGTCCGCAGCTGTATCACGAGTCAACTGTAGTTAACCTCCTGGAGATCCTGCTTTACAACCAGACAGCGTGCGAGAGCCTCGGTGATGCTATCGTAGATCTGATCGACTACTGCGCTAGGAAGATCAGCGAATTGAGCGTTTCGGACCACGACGCAGAGCTGAGCGATGAAAGCAACAAGGAGAGAGGAGAACGGCAATCCGCTTCAAATCTTCTCGACAATCCGTCCCAACAACTTCGTACCCATTTGTCCAGCTTATCCGTTCTACGCCATATTACGACGCATCTCTCCGCTTTGCCGTATAGCGTCATGACGAGGATATTGGGGAAGCATGATCTGATTGTGGCGTTGGCGTGGGTCATGGAAAAGAAACCATGGGAGAGGCGAAGGCGGGTGGGGAAGAAGTGGGTTGTGGAACGATTCGGGGAGAACGGGGACTGGGCGGCGATCTCCGAAGAGGAGAAAATGGGAGTTGCCCCCTGGGAGGCGCAGGTAAGGAGTAACTGCGTGCTGCTACTGATTCATATGGGAACATCTGGAAAATCTGAGCATTCTTGTACCGCTTCCAGGTGTTGCTGACGCTATACACGCTGCTACTGGACGGTGAATGCCGGAGCAAGTATGAGTTCAACCCCACAAATCACGCCATCATACTCAAGGTCGGTTGTCTGTTTGTCTGGACCCCTTGCGAACTGAATCTGTTCTGATAGAATTGACCTTGCTTTGCACTCCAGCTTCGGCAGCATATCACTCCCACCATCCTAGATCAGCTCCCTCCTCTCGCATCCCTTCTCCGCTACCTCGAGGAGCTCTCCTTATTTACCCCACCGAATGGCGGTGTCGCAAAACCGCTGATGGGCTTTGTGGAAGAAGTGCCCAAACTTGAAGGGGAGATCCTGGACAACGTTGATTTGAACACTGTCAGAGCAAAAGCCGCGGACATGCTGAAAACCGCTGGAAATGAGAGGGATATTGCCCAATCGTAGGTTTCGACCTTCATTTTGACCGTGAAACCACAATCTCATTGTGTCCGCTGATACTTATGCTGAATCGATATGACAGCCTTGCGGAGACGTACACCCACCCGACACTCTCCACTCTCCTTCCCGACACCCCTAAATGCGCCAACCCAGGCTGCCCGAACCGTTCCACTCATCCGACGGCTACGCAACGCTGCTCTAGATGCAAGAGCGAGTGGTATTGCTCCCGTCCATGCCAAGTGGAGAACTGGAAGGTGCACAAGACGGTCTGTGATATGCTGAAAGCTGAGCAGTAAGGCACTTAGATGCGGGACATTCAATATGCGGGGATATGTCTCCACTTTCCTTTGTATTTACAAAGATTTTGTCAGTTGGGGTACATGAGGTATGTGAGGGGAGGAGCGGGGAGGTGTATGTTTGGGTGTAGGGTATCGTACATTACGAGATGCGAATCATGCGAAACAAAGCAGCCTGGAGAGTGTCAAAACCTCGGCCATAGTCTTTGAAAACAGTACGAAATCATCGTCAGTCGAAGTCGTTTCGTCTTGTATGACACTCCGAAGAAGGTGATATGGTGTTGCGTGGACCTGTTTGCATATGAAGATAGTGTGTCAATCGCAATACACTTGTATTTGGAGCATTCCAAGGTGGACTGGCTTGGTACATACCTGCTTGGCCGACTCCGGGCCTTCAGCGGCGAATGTTGTGTTCTCTGTAACTTCTTTACCAGGAGGTACGACATAACCCGCCTGCTTGAAGTTTTCCCCAACTTGCCATTGGCCGTCAAATACCAATGTGTGCCATTCCGTCTAAAACGCAATGATTTGTTACGAAGGATTCTATTCCAGAGTCATTGCGACGAGAACATACTTCTTCTGGCAGCGGCCAACTGTCGTCAGGTTTGGACTTGCGGAACTGGAAGACGCACTTTGAGCTCGATACCAGGTGGTTCGCTTGACTCCGCCTAAACATGATGTCGCCGGAACAGGCGCTGATTGCTGTTATGCACAACTGCTCAACGGTCGGGTTCTGTGTTTGATGGTAAGGATTCAGTTTCTGTAGTGTCCCTCCGAGGGTTACGATGTAACGTCACACCATACCTTGAGTATCAGATCATCCAGCTCGACGATCTTGTTGGGAGGTGGACCCTGGAAGTTGGCTCCTATCCTCGACAGTCTCTATCAAGCGCATAAGCGATTGAATCTCATCAATCTCCGTAGCATGGGTTGTTCTATCAGGCGCATATCAATTATTCAAACACATACCCGGAACAAGATAGCGGGAAACAACCATGCTTCTCCTTCAGCGAGCTGCGACAAATCCAACGCCGGCCGCAACGCCCGACATTTTCCCGGCCCCACTTCAATCTCCAGATCGTTTAGTAGCCCTCGGATGTGAAGGATGGCGGAGTTCGGTGCGATCGGGCGGATGGACCAGTCTTCATATGGGAACTCCGCATACGTGTACTGCAATAAGTAATGTACATTATTACAGGGGAGCCACGTTGGGAAGCTGATGAGTAATTCGGGAGAAAATTTACCTGCACGACGGCCGTCGGTGCGAAATGGATAGTTTTGAACCTGACCAGGCCGCTGGCTAATGGATTCTCAGTACATCATTGTCCTCAATCGCGATGGGAACCTGCCTCCAAGGCAACACCCACCGGGATCAATCTCAACGTCTGCGATTCCGTCCTCGTCCCACCATTCCATTTTTGAGTTCCACCACCGCACCGTGGCCACTCCATTGTGCAACAGACATCCTGGCTCTAACTGAAACGTTACCGTCGTCGGCCATAGCGAGGAATCGGAGACAGCGGGGCCTGGCCCATCCGCCCCGCTTTGGCTGTCATCACCGGCGGGTGCGGTATCGGGCTTTTCAGCAAGATCCTCATCTTCCTCCGTTGCTTCTTTCTTGAAAGGATAAGTGATACGTTTGATCTTACCATCCTTTGACACCACTACGAATCGACGCGCCATCCGTCAGTCGCTTCCACCACCTTACAGCTTAAAACTCGCGACATGGGATTCGAACACTCACTTGGGCGAATGGTCCACGCGTCGACAACCTTTGGCATGTCTGGCATCTCGATCAGATCAAGCTGCAGCACGGGGCCGATCACCGACATCGGCGTAGGGCCCTCTTGCTTCTCATATGTTGCTGTTGCGGTTATGCCACTTTCGAGAAGCAGTCGGATAGCGATGTTGGCCAATACAAGTGGTTTCGGGAGGGAGGCGGAAATGTGAACGGATGGAAACTCTATAACCTTATGGCTTCAGATCGAACGCCGTGGGTCAGCCGCGAGTCAGGAGGGGGTCAGGGCGCTGACAGGCGAAGGGAAGTGTTCGACCTACCGAGGGTTCTTGGTAAGGTTGCCCCAGATTCCGTAGACGTAGTCCTTCGTAGTGGACAGAAACTGGAAGTTTTCGTTCGCCTCTCTTGGGAACTGATCTATATGCTATATTCGTTGCTCGTTAGCTCTGGTGACGAATCGACGCCAGATTCTCCTCTCTACCGCACCTGCAGCGTCCGCATTGTGGCCATGTTCCATTTTCCATTAATTAGCTCCCGTATTCGGATTAGATCCCTGCCAAGAGCTTCGGATCTGGCATTTCGCCCGTCTGCTGGTGCATGCAGATGTTGCTCTATCTCTCCACAAAGCTAGTTTTGCAAGAGCAAACGTGATGAGCATTTCTGTGCGCCGCATCGTGAGCAGGTTCGCATGGGGGGGCTACTTGCAATATCAATCCCAGGCAGTTCCGTATACAACTTTTCCAATGAGAAACTGTTTTCGTCTCGCTCAGAGTCTACAGCCCATTCGTCAAGGTATGTCACCAGATTTCGCTCGTTGAGAGGATTTGGCAGTGGTCGGCATTGTAAGTACGCTTGCCACTAGGGCCCCGGTCATCAGCGCTGTCGGTCAACGTGAACTCCGCCTTGGTCCGAGGACTTACCTCGGCCTCTTCGCGGCGGCTTTTCAGAATGGCTTCCAGTCGGGAAGCGCGCGTCGCTGTCAATGTGGCGAGTTCGGCGGCTTCGGAATCGAAGCGAGCAGCATCCTGCAAAGGGAATAATCAGTTAAGCTTTCCAGGTCCGACGGGATTGGTCTCCGGCGTCCGTGGCTTGATATCGTACTTGCACGAAGATCGCTTCCAATGCCTCCCTCTGCTGGCGCTCCAGGAGTTCCTGCTCCTTCCTAGCCTGCTCGGCCTGCCGTGCTTCTGGTGTTTCGCCGAAAAGAATTGGATTCAGCTTTTGGTGTTCAACTCTTCAGCACAACTGGTTGGACACTTCCGGATGCCGAGTACCTTCTTCAGCCCTCAGCCGTTCTTCTTCAAGTAGCTTCTCTTTTTCGATATCCTTCTTGGACTTTTTCTTCTCTTTCTTTTTAGGTGGCATGGCGTGGACAGTTTCCGCGCTTGATGTGTGTGAGGGTTGCTGAAATGCGAGGACGTCTGACAACGTTTCGACAACATTTCGACGCGTTCATCCGAGTCCGACGGCGTGACACCACAAAACAGCAAAAACTGGAAAAAAGCTGTCAAGGCTCTGTTCACGCCCCCGCCAGAATTTCGCTTTGCCCCCCTTGCTTACCTCCCTACCTTCCTACCTTCCATAATGGCAACCCAATGGGCGCGGATATACCGCTCGCCCGCGCGGTGGAGCCCGTGGGAAAAGAGTGTGGCTGCCGCTGTTGCCCTATACTTCATTTGGCCATTGCTGACAACCCGGTCAATTGCCAACATTGTGGACTCTGTGGAGTCCTCGTCCCGCAGCACGCTCTCCTCGCTGGATCTGGAAACACGCTTTGATCGAAGTATCATATTGTCGGAGAAGGAGCAAAAAGCGGATGAAGTTCTGGCCAGAATCCGTTCAACGGAGTCCCTCGCGTTCCAGGTCTCAGGCACGTTTCCCCCTCACCTGCGGTTCCCCGTCGCCAAGCCATTGATGGAGGAATCCGAACTCTACACGCTGCTAAGGCAAATGCCAAAAGGCGGGATCTTACATGGGCATTTGGAGGCGATGGTTGACATGAAGTGGTTGATAAACACCACGGTGGAAGGAGAGCACGGAAGCACCTGCTTCGTGAGGTAACATATCGAAAGCGCATCGATTTGGGCGCTTCTGCTGTCTGCTATTCATTGCTCATTCGGTATATCCATAGATATGAGGAGAAAACGGTCCCAACATTTGATCAAGCGGTGGCAAGGAAAGAGAAGTTCGCTTTCTTCAAGTTCGCCAGTTCATCCTCAGGGTTGCCCCCAGATGAGGGATGGGCAACATGCAAAGAAGTTCGTGATGCTTTTCCCGGTGGCGCCAACGCCTATGACAGTCATTTGGAGCTTCAAAATAGTGTTATTCGGGAGTAAGTTTACGAGTTTCGAGAATAGCGCTGATATGGAAGGTAATCTTTCGTCCCTAGCATATTCAAGAACGACGATGCTGCGTGGGCCCAATTCCTCATGTCGTTTGAGATGCTAGGGTCCATTCTCCGCTATGACCCCATGTTCGAAGCATACATAGGGCGACTGATTCAGCAGTTCTATGAAGACGGCATACTTTATGTACGTAACTCCGCACCGCTCGACTCCTGCCCACTCTAACCCATCTCAATGCCCAGGTCGAGATCCGCATGTTCAAATGGGAAACGTACCTTGCAAACGGTGACACCAAGCCATTCTCGGCTGTGCTGCGCAGCGTACGCCGAATCGTCGCAAAGTTCAAGCAGACCCACCCCGACTTTCAGGATTTAAGGTTTGTGTGGCAAGAGGTCCGATCGCTGGACAATAGCGTGATTGCTGCATCCATAGGCGAAGCGATTCAATATCGCAAATCCCACCCTGATCAAATCGTCGCGCTCGATTTGGTTGGACATGAAGTGGTAAGTCTAGAAACGTATTGTTATGTGAAGCGGCGAATCAACGGGGTCGGTCGCCGCGACCTGTCGCTTGTGGGGTGAAATCAACCTCTTCTCTCTACCAGACTCGTTCGCTGGACGAAGTGCTTCAAACCCTCGTACAAGGCCAGCGCACCGCCAAACGGGCGGGCGTCTCACTTCCCCTTGTCCTGCATGCCGGCGAGACTCAACGCTGTGGGCCCGCGCCAGATGCGAATCTTGTTGATGCGTTGCTTCTCGGAACAAAACGCATCGGGCACGGTATTGCTTTGTCCCGACACCCCGGTCTCATCAAGCGCGTCATCGACCAGAATATAGCAGTCGAAGTCGCCCCGATTAGGTAACGACACACCTTTTTTATTCTCAACTCAAGGCCACGGTCCGAAGATCGGAAGATCGGCGAGCAGGCTTACTGACCAGTTTTCCTTAGCAACCAAATGTTGGGCTACGTCAAGGATTTGCGAGAGCATCCAGTCATTGACCTGCTACTAAGCGGTGTACAAGTGACGTTGGCTCCGGACGATCCTATGCTCTATGGTAAGTACATGAGCGCCGCGGCCTTGCCTACAAAGTGCTTCATAAGCACATGAAAGATGTAATGGAAATCGTCACTTTATCAACCTAGGCTATGAAGGTGTGACGCCGGACTACTACCAGGTGTACATGGCATTCGAGTCGCTTGATCTTCGCTCATTGAAGCAACTTTCCCTCAACGGAATCACCTTCTCGGGCCTGACTCGTGCGGAGCAGCGAACGGCGAAAATTGTGTGGGACCGGAGGTGGAAAGATTGGGTTGACTTCGTGATTGCTTCTGGCAAATGACCTGTATATGTAGTCTCCCTAATCTCTTGCGCGCTCGTAGGCTTGCGTTATCGAGTTATAGATATAGATGCACACATCCCATAATAGCTGGGATCTGCGGTGACGCCCTGAACTTAGATTATAGAGCATTGTAGATGATTGTGCAGAGTCCATGCATCCATGCATTTGCACGTACCTTCTTGAAGGATTTGTCTATCGCTGACTTGCAGAACCTGGGAACGCATGAGCTCAGTATTATTCCCTTCCGAAGTCTATGTTGCCTTGCTCTCCATAGTGCTTTCCTAAGCGAATCGGACGAGGGGCTCACCCCGTTTGCAAGTCACATCTCAGAGGCTTCTCCCATATTGAATTTCTCAACATACATGGACTGTGACATGCAGGTTGAATGTCAATGTGCTTGGTACATGCATGTGAAACCGAGTTTGATGTAAGGCAATATGCAGTGTCTGATGAGCTTTTTGAGGAATGCTCTAGCCCAGGAGCATCTCCGGTTGCGTGATTTCCAGCTGCCTGGGCATCCCTAGATGAAGAGGTGACCAGCGGTCAATCTCCTGGAGGTTGGGTAGCCTGCCCATCCTACAAGCTCAGGAGGTCCTTGAATGCATCTGATGCCTTGAGATAAGCTACAATGCAGGGTTGGCAAAATACCAGGTCATTGCTTGAATGGCTTGGCCAATGTCTGGCCCTGGACCAATCATTGCATAGGTGACGCTGCCTACTGTAAGGCATTTGATCATTTCTAGACCATAACCAACTTACATGCAACTGGTTCATGAATATGAATGAAGTGGTACCTGATGTCAATGTGCTTGGTTTGTGCATGATGAACTGAGTTCATAGCAAGTGTGGTAGCACTTCGGTTGTTTTCCCAGATGACTGTGGGGTTCTGGATGAGATCCTTTTTGTATTCGGTGCATGCTCAGTGTAATGTCAGAGGAGACTGTTGGAGGTATCATCCTCCCGAGTCCCCGGTTAGCGTTCCCATTGTTTATTTCCTCACGTGACTTCACTCCCGCTTACGCCATGCTTCTGGGTACATGACTTCTCCCTTTTCTTACTACCCTGGACCTCGCGTCCTCCTTTCTGTCTTCAGACAAGACTGTATAACTTCATACAATATAGGGCTTCGTCCCCCATACACAGGTTCCGTTCTCTATCCATATTCCTTTGCCAACTACCGCTAACAGGTTATGAGCCCTGGCTTCGCCTGCTATTTGCGTACGAATCTAGAATGGAGAGCTCGGTGTCCCCTCGCCGGTTCTTTCAGAAAGCACCATGCAGCCAAAGGATTCAACAAACCAAACTCAGAAAGCATGCTCTGCTGCCTTAGCAGCCGGCAAGCCGTCTACCCCAAATATGCGCTCCCAAGGGAGAGCACTCCTGGACTCACTACCGCCAGCAACCAGAGGAGGAGGAAAAAAAGTTCAACCAGCTCTTAGGAGCTCTGAATCTTCTAATTGGCTCTCTGGCACTGACTCACGTACTCCGCCTATTCAAGGCGTACCCCGTCAAGTGCAACAACGAAGTGAACCATCACCTACTGTAATGTGGAGTGTCTGGTCTTATTGGAGAACGACAGGTCAGCGAGACATGTCTCGCCAGGTGTGCGAGACATGTCCCAGACAGTGTTCTCCAATGGACTCCGACCTCATGGGTCCTTTAACAGTGCTCGTCGCGCATTCCTATGCACAACAAGTAGTTCTTTTACTACATATCGCATAGCAGAGCCGACGAACACCCAGTCGGTCTACAATACCTTACAGCAAAGTAGTTATTGTATACGAACATCAGTTAAACAACCCGCGTGGAAGGTAGTCCACATCACATGGTAGCACCACTCGTTTCGAGCAAAACGAGCTTCCTAGTAGATAAACACGTCGGCAACTTCAGCATCTCAAAATTGCGGACGTAGCAATCGTCACAGAATGTCAATACAACACTTCTAGACGATTCAAATGGCCTTCAGGACCTCCAGGACAACGTCCGTCGCAACTCCTGAAGCCCCTAGTGCGCTATAGTCGAAAAGCGCCGACCTCTAGGTTATTTACCTAGTGGAACAACCGATACGTCGCAACCACCTTGCTTTTTGTACCTGGGTGGTTAAACAAACCACCGTAATTCACAGTTTGCCATCCACACCTTACTCTTCCGGTATATCAACCCCTTGAAGGTATACGTTCAACGGTCGACACGTAGTCAACATAAACGCGTGTTTACTAGTAGCCAATTAGTAACCCGTTTGCGGATCGGAAATCTACCCCAGTAATTTGATCCCCTTCAAACTCGGAAACCTTGTAGAGCACACTGGGCTTGAAGACTTGTGAAAGTTTCGAAGAGATTCGACCTACGGATACGGAGATATCGAAAAACGCGCTAAATTGTCGCCATCATAACCTCTGTATAGCAAAACTATCCCAGTTTTGACCGAAACGACCCTCGATCAGGTTTTTCCCGACCCCGAGAATTACCTTGAATTTAGCTGAACGTTTTGGGATTTTTGAATCACTGGAAAACGAGTAATCCGTCATCGCCTTTGTTGGTAATTTGATACTTAAGCGAAAACGGGCGGATAGGAGAAGTATTTCAGTTTTGGGACAGAGCTGAGCCGTTAGGGTTCTTCTTGATCCTCTCAAAGGTTTCTTTAAACTGATCGCTTCTGATCCATTTCAGGATCAACGCAGCCAAAACCTGCCGACATTGGACACGGGGGATTTTGGGGATTTTTCGCTCAAAAGAGGGAAAATCTATGCCCGAATTTTGGTTATTGCATAAGGCATATACCTGATTCGAAAACGTAGTTGTTTGTGTGTATTTGCTTGAGGTACTGAGCTATACAACATCAACGGAGTACTTCTGTCCGCATTCTGGACGTAGTCGTCGTTGTTTGAGGTTATTCAACCTGAAAACGAGATTACACTGGCCAGAAGGTCGTCATGAGTACGTCAACGGGTAGTACAGTTACCAGGAGTGAGGACACTACTCCTGGGGGTACAGCTGTTATTGCTGAGATCGTTGAGGAGCTCAAAATGTCGGTTGACGGACCTCGTGTTGAAGTTTGCCTTCCTCTTTCTCCTTGAACGACGGGACCTGTTCCGATGGAGGGTATCCAGGTCGGTGGACCTCCTCCACCTCCTGCTGGTAACTCGCCCGCTACGGCTATGTTGACGATCTCCGTCAGGGAGCTCAATGCCCGAATGAAGGCTGCTGCCGCTGCCGCTCGAGCCGAAGTTCGCGATCAACATGCCGAGGAACATCAGGCTCAACAGGATCGTTTGCAAGCTACGTTGGAGCGTGACTCCGCAATGCGCCGTGATGTGCTGCAGGATGGGTCGGTGGATCCGTTCTATATCGAGCAGCGTAGACACCATGGTACATGGATCTCGCAGCATCTATTTAATGGCAAACGGCGTGAGGCCGCTTTTGTTGACACGGTTTTGCAGAAGCATACGGACTTCATGGTTACTTTTGGTCTTCTGATTGATGACTTTAAGTACATGCAGAAGGTCTCGAGCTCGCTTGAAGGCGACGCACGTACCTGGTTCAACACCGCATGCAGGCTTGACGTGCGGAAAGAGGATTTTGAGACGGCTTTCAAGTTAGCCTTTTATCCTACGAACGCAAAAACAAACGCGCTCAACGCTCTGCACCGAATGACTTTTCATAAGTCGATGGACTCATATGTGACGGAGTTCAAACGTATCGTTGCCGAGGCACAGCGCAACCTGGAGGTTATCACTCCTGACAATTTGAATAACCTGTTCCTTTGTGGTCTTACTCGGGATAAGACCAATACCGTCGGCTATGAGATCGCCCAGTCGTTGTTGCATACGATGGTCGATTCTAGGGAGCAACACCCTCTGCTCGCCGTTCCATTGATTTGTTTGATGGATCGTGAGCTTAGTTCGTTTGCTGTACGTCGTCTCGCCGATAAGGGAACCGACGCTGTGGTGGTGGCCGGCAGAAACAAGGGTCTGTCAAATACGGGTTTACGGTCGGGTGTCGGGAAAAATAAGCTGCCGGTCTCTCAATAGCACAAGAAGAAATCTTAAGCGAGAGCATTGTCTTGCCACCTTAATATCCAGGTGCTTTGAAAGGAGTCCTTCTTCTAATAAAGGGTCTTGAATTACGGGTACGGGTACGAAATACGAAACCGGGAATATCTGCGGGTTTGACTACAAAACAAAACAACGGGGTTATCCAATCTCACTCTCAGCTCTTCTTACGAGATTCCGGAACTATCAAGTCCTCGGCAACGTCAGCAAAGTACAAGTTGCGACACTCGGGGTCGTCTTGTCTAAGCTCTGTGGGTCTATGAGCGCGCCTTGAAAGTCTATCTGAAACTGAAAGAAGTTGTCGGGAGTAGAGAAGTAGAAAGCTCTGTTGTTGATCGGGATCTGTGTTCTGCATGCACTGATCTGGGTTTTGTGTATCGTACAAAGGTCTGGGGAAAACAGTCGGGTTTTTATGTGGATTTTTCTAGGCTACGGGATTTTGTCGAAGTCCAAACTCTCTACTAGTCGTCTCTAGAGGATTTAGCTACGTCGGGGTCTTTTTCTCTTTTCCTGCGGCGGTCTACGTAGTGTTTCCTTTTTCCATTCGCAATTTTGGTGCTGATACAGTCTTATCGCTAATCTTTTCTCGGGGTTTTCTGCAACGTTCGGCGTATACGGCCACCGGAAATTGGTTTTCTCGTTTCGCAGGTGATTTCTTCAGCGTTTTGGGCGTTGTGGGAGCTTCTGGTTGGTTGAGAGTTGGGTCGGGGCTGCTTTCATGTGTGAGATCCTCTCCTACGCTTACATTTAGCATGTCAGTCGTAACCGAGGACAAAACGTCGTCGTGAAGCAAGGTTTCGGTAAAGGTAGTTGTATTTGGTAATCGTCGGAGTGTCGGGAACGCAAGTGTGTCAATTTATTGTCGGAAGTTTTGACGGTATTTTGAGGTTGTCGTATAAAGGTGATTTCATTCGCTCGTCGAAGATTCTAGGCGCATAATCGACGTCGAAATATTATCGAAATATTATCGCAGTTCAAAGCGCAATACTACATCTTTCCTTTTGTCGAATATTGATGTCCTCATCAATTCTCGTCCGTAATATTATCTTCTTCGTCTGTTCCTTCTTCATCTTCGGTATGGTTGTCGACTATCGGTTGTGTCTGAGTTCGAGTTCGAAATATCTTCAATCGGTCTCCGGCTACAGGGTTGCGTATCGGTGTCTGG